TATATAAATGTGCTTTTAATGATTAGAGGGAAAACTGATTGGTAGCTAATTGCTATTTTAAATCATAAATTCATAGGACAAAAGTCTGTTAGTCTAAACTCTGGGTTTAGTGGTTATTATCAGTGAAAACAAGTATTTGCTTCAAGACTATGCGTCTATGCCATATGACAACAAATAGTACTTTTAAATATTATATCTAAATTGATCCGAACTCTACATACAAATCAAAAGGTAAATTTGTCTATTATTTTTCTTCAAATAATTTAAAAATAGAAGATTTATTAGATGGAATTATCATGTATTTTTTATGTTTCATTTATATGTTAAGCATTGCAAACAAATGTTAAAAAATATTTAACATAAAAAGAATTTTCCGCACGATTTTACGCGGGTTCCATTCCTAGTTAAGATAATAATAAAGGAAAAAACAAAAAAACTGTAAACTATATATGAGAACTACTCGAAAGCGATTTAGGGTTTTAGCGTTTAGTATGTCCAATTAAATAATTATCAATAATCTGATAAATATGTATATACGATTCTTTCATCGTAACTAAAATAGAAATTATCTTTTTCGGATTTAATTTTTTCCAACTATATAATTACATAATTAACTCTATATTTATCTCCAAACAAAGAAAGAAGCAAATTTTCCTTTTTAATTGTGATAAATAGGGTTGGACCCGCGCCCTGCACGGGGTGATATTTTCTTGATTTAGTTTTATTTTTAGATATCTTTTTACATAAGTATCATTCTAGAAAAATAGGGTGTTAGACAATAAAAAATATGTCAGTTTACATTAGAAATTTTGAGTGATGTATATTTTTTTAGCCTGGATTGGAACATGACGAAATATTAAGTGACACAGTTGAATCCACATATATATCTTTTAATAAGTTTGAAATAGTTTTATATGGCATATATATTTAATATTTTTGATCAATTTTAAATAACTAAAATAGTTTAACTTATATATTAAGTTATTAGATTTTATTATGATTTATTTATTTAGTTCAATTAAAGAACAAAATTAAATCAAATTAAAAAAAAAAGTTTGGAAACCTAATAAATCAGTTTTTTTACTATGGTTGATCATTATTTGGATCTTTTTTTATAATAGGTTTTTGAACTATCATCCCAAAATATAATCGATATGAGACTTTTAACAATTTTAGAGATTTGCTTCATTTTAAAATTTTCAAATCATAGCATATGCAGAAAAAACTAATTTTGTTTTATGAAATATTTTGATGTAATGATATAATTTATTTTTGAAAAAGTAAAGTTAAAAAAATGATAAGATAATAAATTAATTTTTAAACAATTAATATAATACAATTGAATAAAACTTTCCATATTTTACTGATTGATTGACTAATAAATACTTTTAAATTTATTTATAATTTTCGTCACTACCAGATAAGGAAATAGAAAAAAATAATTTTAATTAATAATTATTTTTCTGATTAAATTAATAATAAATATTTCAGCACTTGCCTAATAAAGAGAGTTATTTTTAGAATATTCTGAGAGTGTGGCAAATTGCGACACCTCAGCATGGCATACTTGAAATTAAGTTGAAAACAAAGGGGATTTTTATAAATGTCTTCTCTTTTAATATATAAGGGATTAGTAGCTTGGGATTATGTTTTTTTATCTTTATAGTTTAGTTTTTTTTGGTACTCAACCCGATCAATTGACAAAATGAGTATTGTAGATTATTTTTGATATTACAAATATAGTTTTTTTTAGGGTTTTCGGATTTTTATTCAGTTTCATATATGTTTCCATTTTTTTTAAATCGGCCCGATATCGAACCGAAATTCATCTGATACAAAGACCAACTACCTCGATAGATCCGGACCGATCGATATCTATCGAAACCCGACTCGATCACCTGCAAGCTTATGAGGAAGCATGTGAACCGATCAGTTAACATATTCGATTTCTGGTTTGATTGAACCATCTTCCGATTTGTTTTAAGTTATTGTAGATGACCTACATCTATTACCCAAATAATTAGGATCAAATTTTTTGTTTTCTAAACCATCATTTTGTTTTAATTTATTATTCTTTTATCCAAACAATTTTTTCCATTTATTTTTCTATGCAAACAGTTTTTTTCTCTTATTCTTATATCCAAATATTGCAATGTACTTTCCGATTAATAATATAAAGATCGTTAAAATTCGAAAAATCGATTCTGATGTGTTTTTAATTCGCAATTATTGATTAGTGTAATGTAATTATGCAAACCAGGTATCAAATCATCTTTTCTTTATTTTCCAAAAATGTTCTACCGTTTATTTTAATTTTCACTATTATTGGGCTTGGAACAAAGCGTTTTGTTTTCATATGCCTCGGGCCTACTTGTAACTAATTGGACTTTTCTCACTCGATTATTAACAACCCGACCCGACCCGAGCCGGTTAACCACATCGCTGGCGAGTGGCGACGAGAAGAAAAAGAAGAAACGACAACACACTTCCTACTCCCCCTACCACTTTCTCTCGCCACTCCTCTCTCTCTCTCTCTCTCTGCGTCAATGGCGACTCAAGGTCAGATTATCACATGCAAAGGTATGTTTATCCTTTGATCCTCCTACTCTCACTCGCTCCTTGTTTGATTCTTCTTCTATTATTCGGGAACTATCCGTGTTTTCATTTTCTGGATACGTTATGGATTTTTTGAAATCCCTATCTACAATTGTGATTTCTCTGATTCGTTTCGCTTTGACACCGATTCCACAGCTGCTGTGGCTTACGAGCCGAACAAACCGCTGGTCATCGAAGATGTCCAGGTGGCTCCTCCTCAGGCCGGTGAGGTTCGGATCAAGATCCTCTACACCGCTCTCTGTCACACCGACGCCTACACTTGGAGCGGCAAGGTTTATAACATCTCTCCATTTTCATTTCATTTTCACTGATCCGATTGATTTGACTCGATTTCTCGAATTTTCTTAAGAATTCCTGATTCTCGTGGATTAGCGATTCATATGTTTGATTGTTTCATCTCGATGCAGGATCCTGAAGGTCTCTTCCCGTGTATTCTCGGTCATGAAGCTGCTGGGTATGTTCAATTCGTTATCATCAAATCCAGTTTCATTTGTTGAGATCTTCTCAATTCTAAACACGTTATGAGTTTTTTTCTGGGCAACAGGGTTGTTGAGAGTGTTGGTGAAGGGGTAACAGGAGTTCAAGCTGGAGATCATGTGATCCCTTGTTATCAAGCAGAGTGCCGTGAGTGCAAGTTCTGCAAATCCGGAAAGACTAACCTCTGCGGCAAGGTTAGATCCGCTACTGGTGTTGGAGTTATGATGAACGACCGTAAGAGCCGGTTCTCGGTTAATGGGAAACCGATTTACCACTTCATGGGTACCTCCACGTTTAGTCAGTACACTGTTGTTCATGATGTTAGCGTCGCCAAAATCGATCCTAAGGCTCCTTTGGATAAAGTTTGCCTTCTTGGATGTGGTGTTCCCACTGGTAAGAAATGAATTTTCTTCATTGCAGTCTCTTGATTTTCATAAATCTTTCTCACTGGTAGTATACTAATGTCGCTTACCATTCTGTTTATCAACGTAACATGACTGATAAGAATTTATCGAAATGCAAGTTTTTGGTGATATTGGACTTTATGGAGGCCTAACAGTGTCTCATGTGTCTGCGTTGTATTAGGCCTAATAGTGTATCATGTGTCTGCGTTTGATTAGGCCTTGGAGCAGTTTGGAATACGGCAAAGGTAGAACCAGGGTCAAATGTTGCCATTTTTGGTCTTGGTACCGTCGGGCTTGCTGTAAGTTACTTACTTCCTTTCGAAAGCTTCCATAACTTCTTTTCGCCTAGCAGGAGAAGGAGAACGTTGTTGTTAATTTTTTCAAAATTTGTCCATGGATAGGTTGCTGAGGGAGCGAAAACAGCTGGTGCTTCGAGGATCATTGGCATTGATATCGATAGCAAGAAGTATGAAACTGGTAAATCTCCTTGCCTTTTCATTCACTGGCTTGGTTTAAAGGGATTTACTACAAGTCATTGAGTTTTCCTTGGTTTGAATTTCAGCAAAGAAGTTTGGTGTCAACGAATTTGTGAACCCAAAGGACCACGAAAAGCCAATCCAAGAAGTGATTGTTGAGCTCACTGATGGCGGTGTTGACTACAGCTTTGAGTGCATCGGGAATGTCTCCGTGATGAGAGCCGCATTGGAGTGCTGTCACAAGGTAAACACATAAACCATCAAATTTTTATAGAACTTGGATATGACAAGTCAAGGACATGTTATCGTTGCAGGGATGGGGAACTTCGGTTATCGTTGGTGTTGCAGCATCGGGACAAGAGATATCAACACGACCATTCCAGCTCGTGACAGGCCGTGTGTGGAAAGGAACAGCTTTCGGTGGTTTTAAGAGTCGAACCCAAGTTCCTTGGCTCGTAGAGAAGTACATGAACAAGGTTAGAAAACTTAAAAGCAACGAGTATTCTTCTCTTCTATGCAAATTTCAAACACTTGACTGTGAAAATTCCAACGAATAATGCAGGAGATAAAAGTGGATGAATACATAACTCACAACATGACCTTGGGAGAGATCAACAAAGCGTTTGATCTGTTGCACGAAGGTACTTGCCTTCGTTGCGTCCTCAGTACCAGCGAATGAACAACACACCAAATGGTTTTTAATCTTCTCTCTCTCTCTCCTTTCATCGTGTGTTTTGCGACTTTTGTCGAGTATTGACAATTTTCCTGTGTGTGTCTCTCTCTCTTCCTCTATTGGTTTAAAGACATTATAGCATCATCAATCAATAAGCAACCATGTTTATGGAAATCAAAGGTCGAATTGTCTTTTTTAGCTTTGCATGCGAAACTAGAATTCACAATATTGTATCACTTTTTCACCGATGAGAAGGAAAGATGAAACGTAGAGCCGTTGTTACGTTATGAGTTATGGGCCTGAAAAATATAATATACTACAGGCCCAATACAATAACCCAATCAGAAAATATCATCACCATCTCTCATCGCCGAACCAATTATTCTTCTCCTTGGGTCCCGTTGGTCCTTCCTCGCCGGATAATTCCACCGGAAGCTTCCTCAACACCGCATTAACCCAACTCCTCAACTTCCATGGCAATCTCTCATTCAATCTCTCAATCTCCGTCCTCGATCCGTACACAATCGTCGGTCCCCACTCTCTCATATAACCCAGCCACGGCGGCTCCACCACCGCTCCTCCTAGATACTCCGCCGCCACAATCTCATACCTCGAACTCGAATCCACAAACAAATCGCTTTTCGCTGTATCGTTCCTTATCCCGATCCCAAGCGCATCCGATCCCTGTAAATACATCCCAGACCTACCAAAGCTCGCGTGACCATCCTTCGACGAGTAAACCACAGCTCTATTGCTTCCTTCCACGAACTCCAGATCCCGAGCTCCGATCCACTCTCCGCCGCTGTGCTGAGAGAAGTAAACCGCACAGAGCTCGCCGGAGAAATTACTGATCCGGAGAGTGAAATGTTCCCAATCGCAAACGTGTTGACCGGTTTTCGCCAGCGGGAGATTCACCAACCCTAGCTTCAGCGTCGCCGGTCCGTTGAAAGGACAGAAAATCCAAAACGCGAGATCCGTAAACGCTCCTCCAAACGCCGGCTTAACGTGAACGTAAAGCTTCGCGGTTCCGATATCTCCTCGCTTGAGAAACTTGCTTCTTCGCTCGTCGCTTCTCGGCAAATCGATCCAAAACTGCTTATCGTTGCTTCCTCCGTGAGGCAGATTCGCTCCGTTCTCGTCAACATTCTCGTGGATATCGGAATCCGAGCTGCACAAAACGGCACCGTTCTTGAAGAACCATTCGACTGAAGAAGGCAAATAAGCTTCATCGGGATGGAAGTAAACTCTCGGACCGTAATGTTGGACCAACGCATGAATCTGATCGATATTCGGCATTGCGTGTAAACTCGAATCAAGATTCTTCAAACAAGCAATGTCGTCGTCGTCATCTTCTTCAATCATCAGCCGAGTTCTGCAGAAGAATGTACCCGCAGAGACTCCTTTCCCCCACATTCCGCGATCTCGCGGTCTCGTTGTCCATACAAACAAAGGAACGTTTAAAGAATCTGAAATCGCTGTGATGACGACTTTATGCGCTTCGCATTTATCGGTTAGATCGGCTCGAACACATCTCACTTGATCCAATTCAGGCTTCGAGGGGCTCGTTGTAACCACGAATCCGATCGGTTTATATCCTCGTGGAGGTTGCGGTAGCCAGAAGTAACCGGATTCGGTTTGAGGGTCTTGTGATAAGTCGTCATTTGAGCTCCAGACCAATGTGTAGTCAAGTGGTTTCACAAGTGCAGGGTCTTTTGATGGTTCTGAAGATTTGACGTCTCTTGCTACGAGAAGGAAACCTCTCAGGAGGTGAGAATCGGATTGACAGTAATGGCCTAAGCAGTGGAAATCTTCTGGGGGTTTGTCTGGTTTGTAGAAGGAGACACTCTTCTTGCTGTCTCGAGGAGAGACGTATCGCCATATGAATTTGAAAGATGTGATCTCGGTGACTTCTAATTCTCCGAGGTTGATTCTTCTTGAAGCAAAGCCTTGACCTGAATCAATTCAAAGCATATATATCTTATATATAATAGATAGTCAAGAAACGTATGAATATCTGAAAAATCAAAGTACCCAGAAATGTTAAACTCAGCCAAACATTAATGAAAGACGGAAGAAGGAAAATGAGTCTACAATTTAAAAAAAAAAATGAAAACAACAGCAAGTAAGACTGTTTCTAAATATTTCGTTTACGGATTGTGGATCAAATCTTGTCAGGGATGAAGAGCTAAATCAAATTCCGATATATTTCAGATCGAATTGAAGAAGGTGAAACTGAACAAGATTCGAAATATTTTCGAGAAGAAGAATGGAATCATAAAGTACCTGAAGGCCACTGGGGAAGAGAAGCAGGGAGCGAGAAAGTTTCAGGTTCCTTCAATGGCGGAAATTCTCTGAGATTGTTCCAAGACAGACATTTGCACCCAAACATTCCTCTCTATTTCTCTCTCTCTCTCTCTCTCTCTCTCTCTCTCTCTCTCTCTCTCTCTCTCTCTCTCTCTCTCTCTCTCTCTTTTAAGATCATCCGATGATTCGGGAAACAAAAATAATGAAACCGAGAAATATCAAAATCTTGTAGGGTCCCCCAATTCTTGAAAAGTTCGGGAAATTTCGATTTTTGCGATAATCCTTGTTACCACACAAACCAAAAAAAAAAAAAAGTTTTGAATCATGAAAATTAAAACACGATATATTGACGGTAAGCTTCCTTGACGCATGCGAATCTTGCCTTTGTGGCATCAGAAATCCTACCGAACAGAAATACATCAAACGATTATAAGAAATAAAAAATTCATGAAACTAAGACTTACATTTTGGGAAAAAATAATTATCATTGGAAAAAAGACAATTTCGAGTACATTTTTAAGTTAAAAGAGCGGTCTGCAGGATATAAAGCTCTGAGATTAAAAGATAGTAAGAAACAGTAACACACTGAAGTTCGAAACCAAGCCAATGATAAAAGGAAAAACAAAAATTGAAATGTTACATAACTAAAGCCATTCTCAAAGGAACAGGTAAGAAGCCAAAAGCCCTAAATCTAAAGAAAATTAAAAAGAAGTAAAGAAAACATATATAAACCAAAATCTTTCTTTAAGCCAAACACCAAACCCAACAAAAGATTACAAACTACTTCTTCAGTAGATTAAGAAACAAGAAGAACATCTGAATCATTCTTTCTTGGTTGCCCTATCACTTAGAAGAAGAGATTCAGCTTCTTGTCCTTTTTCCCTTAGCGGCCACCACGGTAGTAACCGTTGCCTCTCGGCCTGTAGTCACCTCCATCCTGGCTTCCTCTCCCGGACACGCGGGAACCAAACCGGCCTCTTGGTGCTTCTGTTGGGTACCCTCCCCTTCCACGTCCTCCTCCTCTTCCTGCTCAGTCAATTAGAAATCTTATAAGAAATTTACAAGACACTAGAAAACGTTTTATGATCTAGAATGTTTTTCAAAGAAGACTTACTTGCTCCGCGAACACCAGCGGGATTGGGTCGTCGTTCCTCAATGTATACTTGCCTTCCTCCCAAGTATATAGGAGAAGCCTATTATTAATCATCACACACAAGGAAACCAATAAGAAGAAGGGAACAGAAGAAGACAATCAATAGAGAGTGGAGTAATAGTGCAAAAGAATCTAGACCCTTATAGCATTCTCGACGGAAGTCATGTCCTCAAACTCGACAAATGCATAGCAAACGCCGACAACATCCTGCATGTTTTGGTTGTGTACGATTGTTAGCTTTGGTACTTCATATCACTTGAAGAAAAAACAGAAACAATGAAATGTTTGTTTATTAACCTTGCGGGTTCTGAGGAAAACACCATCAGGCTTGATTGTACCAAAGTTCTTAAACTCCTCCTCGATTTCAGAAGCAGATATGTCGGAAGGCAAGTTCCTAACGTACACTGATTTGATCTCAACTGAAAAAAAAGGCAAATCAATAGATGAATATAAACACATTTCCAAAATGACGAATAAAATCAAATAGCAGCACATCCTAGTCTAATTCACTTCTCTAACCATGAGTCAGTTCAGAGTATAAAGCAACTTACAGTCTTCATATCCGAAGCCATCATCCGCCTCTGCTCCATAGTCGGTAACATACGGGGAAGAAGCGTTTGATTGCTGAGCAGGGGCAGCCACCTGCGGGGAAGGAGCCCCAATTGGTTGATCCCACTCGTTCACTTCTTGAGAGCTCTGTTTATATGTTGGTTGTGCAGCAGCTACAGGCACAGCAGCTGCTTCCTTTACAACCCGTAACTGAGATGACAAAAGAGAAATCAGCACATATCCAGATGAGACAAAACCAAAGTAGAGTACAAATGGCAAAATCAAATCATCATTATCCCCATTTATCACATTGTCTTTTTCAAAAGAGAGTCAGCAAATATGAATACAGGTCGATAGAGTGTGTACTTACAATGGAAGCATAACTCATCTTCGATTTTTCACCAACAGGTTCCTCTGGCGGTGCAGCACGAGGTTCATGTACCACGTCAACCACCACTTCCTCCCTAGGCGTTTCCTCAACCGCAACTTCATCCTCATACTCTTCATGCTGAGGTTGATGTTGGTCCTCCTGCAGACTGTACTTGTCCACAAGATCATCTTTGATTTGGACTGAGTTCACATAATCCCTTGCCTCTTGTTCCAGAACATAGTCAGGAACTGCAAATTCACAACAGTGACCCAACTTTTTTTAACTTTCACATATAAAACATCACTTTGAATAAAGCATGACAAGCACATCCACAAACCTTGGGGCTCTGGGTGAGGGCTAGGAGGATTAAGCTGAGCCTCATGCTTGCTTTCAGTTACATAAGAAGGTTGCTGGTGATAGAATACAGTTCCTTCATCCATGAACTGGAAAATATCACTGTGGACAAAGTAACCCTTCTCCTGAGGAGCAAGGAAAAAGGTCTGAGTGAAACTCCTCCTGTTGCTGTATTCCTTGGTTTTCACTGACCCAGAAACCACCACCATGATACCACCTTCCCAGGACTCGAGTGAATTGATCGTCTTCACTTCGATCGCAGTGAAGTTCAGTGACATCACCATGTTGTGAATATGCTGCAAAATTGACCAATTGCATGATGGTAAAACTTCATCGACCAAATTAGCCCAAAGCACAAATCTTTACTAGTAGAACAAGAAGGGTTTTCGATTTGTATCCACAGATCATGAAACAGAGAGGGAAGAAAGTGATTGAATCGAACTGAATTCGTAGAAAAAAGAAAGAAGAGAGTTTTTACCAGCAAAGTGTTAGCAGTCTCGGAGGAATCTCCATCAACACGAATCGCATTGCTAGAGTCGGAGTAAAACTGATGAATAAGATCTGGCTGCTGCTGCAACACTTGATAATACTGTGTCACAAAGTACGAACCCACCTGCACATACACATAGAGAAACCACCGATTAGACTCCTCAATGGCGAATTAACAATCATGAATTAACCAATCAATCAAGAAATGAAACTCGCCTGCATCGCTCCAGGGTAAAGAGACGCCATTGAAGCTCAGTAAAAGGGAAGAGCCCGAAATAAAAACCAAGATCTGGATTCAATCAAAAACCCTAAGATCCGAATTAGATCGAAATGAAAAACCCCTCGTCAATCCGATGAACTTCTCTAGGGGACGAGAAGAGAGAAGAAGTTAGTGCCTCTCTCTCACTCTGTTTTTCAATTGAAGTAGGAACAGATCTGAGAAGGAAGATGAAGAGGAAGAAGAAGAAAGAAAGAAATGAGATTTATATAGGGTTTACAAACAGAAGAAATGGAGTGTTTTTAGATCTACGAGAAAGGGGAAAAAGGAGGGGTTTTGTGTCTAGATAGGGTAAGAGACTTCAGAGGAGGCGTTTGAGTTGTTTATTCCTTTTTTATCTTCTAGATATGGTACCGTAACTTTCTTTCTCTCATTATTTCGCCCCATAGGTTTTAACGTTAGTCTGAAATAACCCCAAAACGTTTTTGTAATTACAACATGGAATCTTGCACTAATGAAGATTGATGTCCTACTATAATTACACTAAAATGTCATGATTGGGATATGCATCTAGACTTTTGTGGTGGTAAACTTAAAATAGGTAACATTTTAATGTGACACTAAGATTTTTTTTTTGAGCAATAGCATTTATGGTGTTACTATTTTTTGTTTTTTTTTGTTAAAGTTATGGTGTTGATGTAATTAACTAAATTTGTAAATTGGTGTTAAATATTAAATTTTAAAGCAACAAAATCAACTCTTTTTACATGTTTAACACTTGTTAACATTTTAATTTGTGTCGGTACTCGGATTCTGTCTTTTCAGACAATTGAACCTTTAACGACAACTTGTACGCATGATAAACATTGTAGTAGCATGCATAGGTAAATTCATTTTTCGTAACGGGTGAGTCTTTTGAGAGAAACGGAAAAATGGTGAACCGACAGTGATTTTCATAATATCAGAATTATGTCTCTTTTATTCAGTTTGTTCAAATGTGGTTTTGTTAATTTACGATGGATTTTTTAATCTACGGCGATAAATTCTTAGCTGGATGACCTAGTTGTTGTAAGGTTAATTTGAGTATAACAAGGCTGCTCCAAACCCCCAAACTCCCATTTGAACCTGTAGACAACATATTCTTCACGACAAGCCAAACGATGAAGTTATGGTGTTGATGTTATTAACTAATTTTGTATATTGGTGTTAAATATTAATTTTTAAAGCAACAAAATAAACTCTTACTACATGTTTAACACTTGTTAACATTTTCAATCAATGTGGGTACTCGGATTCTGTCTTTTTAGACAATTGAACCTTTAAGGGCAACTTGTACACATGATAAACATTATAGTAAAATGCATGAATAAATTCATTTTTTATAACGGGTGAGTCTTTTGAGAGAAACGAAAAAAATGTGGATCCACGGTGATTTTCATAATGTCATAATTGTGTTTTTTCATTAAGTTTGTCCAAATTTGGTTTTGTTAGTTTACGGTGATGGACTTTTTTAAAATATAATCTACGGTGGTGAATTCTAAGTAAAGGTGATTTGGAGTCTCTTCCTCTCTCTATAAAATAAACAAGGCTGCTATAAACCCCACATTTGCATTCGAACTCCGTAAATAGCATGTTTTTCACGTCAAACCAAATGATGAATGAAAACCTAAGTAAGTCTTTGGAAACCAAATTATTTTACTCAAAGACCTGGTTGCTTTGGCACGTATGTGGCTACAACTTTTAATTTACTTTTACTGTTAAAACTTTTACTTCAATAAGGCTTACAGAAAAACCACTGAATCATGTGTGAAAAAAAAAAAAAAAAACATATTCGTGTTGCGAAGAAGATGATAATCTAATGGGCCGATTATTATATTGGGCCAGACCCAATAAAAGGGAAACAAAACTCCTTCAATTGAACGAAACCCTCGTCGCTATCTTCTCTTTCCGTGCAAATCGATTTCAGACGCAATAAGGTGAAATTAAGAAAGAAGAAGAAAAAAACAAATCTCTTATCAATCGATGGCGGCGAAGAGAATCGGCGGAGCCGGGAAATCTGGCAGCGGAGGAGATTCAAACATCTTGGCGAGGATCTCCAATTCCGGGATCGTATCTCAAGGAAGACGCGCAGCTGGAGATGTCGCCGGAGTATCGAAGAAATTGCTATGGAGCACGGGAAAAGCGGCGTGGATCGCCGGTACAACTTTTCTCATCCTTGTTGTTCCGCTGATCATCGAGATGGATCGTGAAGCTCAGCTCAATGAAATAGATCTTCAGCAGAGCAGCATCCTCGGAGTCCCTCCGTCTCCTATGCAAAGGGGATTGTAGAAAAACCCCTACAATGAAGCCAATTTCCAGGCTTTTCAATTAGGGTTCTTCTGTTTTTTTCATCTGTTTTACTAGTTTGTGTTATGGTTTTCTTCTCGGATTCGAATTCGTATAAGAGTGGTTTACGCATCTTGGTTTCATAAATTTCGAGCTTGCTTTTCGTTATCATCTTCAATCTATGATACTGGTTTCTATGGAATTTTGAAATATCAATAAGTTGATTGAATATAGGATCTCTGGCGTATTCAGTTATCTGGAATCATTTCTTGTATATGCCATAGAATTCTGAAACTTATTCATTAATAGTTGGTTGATTTGAATGTCATTTTCTTTGAATTGCTAAACCTTTAGAATCTTGATGTGCGTTTTCTTCTTGTTCATGGTATTTTGAGCAGCTGTATGGCAATGTCATATGGAATTTGAGCTTTATATATTAGTATGGGATTGTTCCTTTCGGTGTGATTACCAAAGGTGTTAGTCTTTGTTTTGTTAAAGGTTTAATAGGTGAAATATTACATTTTCAGCTTCTTGGTTCAGAGATTTCCTTAAGATGGTGTTTTATCATGTCTTCTCTTGCTATCTATCTTCTTCCCATGGTTTGGGAACTCAGTGTTCAGGATCTAAATCAACCAAAATTCATTTCTTTAAAAGGAAATACAAAAAGAAACTCTGCAGAACAAATTATTGGCTCTCGTTTGACATTTAAAAAAAAAAAAAAAAAAAAAAAAAAAAAAATCTGCTCTCAAACTGTTTTCTCTTGAAAACATCCCTATGAGTAACGTGTTAATACTTAATACTGCTCATTTGGAGGTTGGATAGAGTTCGATTTGCAAATTTCCAACAGTTACTAAAAGTGGTAAAGGCTAAAACAGTGGGAAGAGATGGATGTATAATCAAAAAAGGTAAGAGAGACTCGGAGATTAGCCACTGTTTCATTCATGTTTTGACTTTTGATAGCCAGAGCGTTGTTAAACCGGGTTTGAAACTCGTGGGCTAAAAATGGGTCCGTTATGTGAAAATAATGTAGTTTAGGCCCTGATTATTAATTTGGTTTTTCGTGTAGTTAAGTATATTTTTTTTTGTATATAGAGTCCGTTTTCTAACTAAACGTCGTTTTGGTCTAGGTTTTTGTTCATAAGAAGTTAAAAACCGATGAAGAGACCTCACGCAACGATCTCTTGTTCTCTCTTCCTAGCTTCCGCTTTCAGGTTCTCGTTCTGAAGCATCGTGTTGTTTTAAATTTAAGTGTTAGCTACTAGAATCAGGTTAGTTTTCCTTGATACTGAGTTGTTTGAATTTGTATTTTGGAACAAGTTTTTTTTCTTCTTTTGTAGATCTCAACTTTCACACTCTCCATCATAGAGACCTACAAAGTGAATGCATGACTTGTCAGTGTCACAAAATCTAATCATATCGTATATTGGTTTGGTGAAATCAAGAATATAAGACATTTTTTCCACCAATCATCATTCACAATCTTCTCTTTAACAAAGTTTGAAGAGGTCTCTAAGCCATAGTTACAAATGATGAATGGTTCTCTTATAGAGAAGATGATGTTGATAAAGCAAACTTTGTTAAAGAGAAGATTGTAAATGATGGTTGGTGTGAAAAATTGTTTTATATTCTTGATTTCACTAAATATTGTTAGATTTTGTGGTACTGACAAGCAATTCCTTCACTTGGTATTAAGATGTGGGACTTTATCTATAATTGAGAATGTGAATGTTGAGATATACAAGAAAGAAAGTCTCAATAAGTCTTTTCTATAATGTTGTTTATGAAATCTTAAGAGTCTATAGCTCACTTTTTACATCAAAGAGGTATATGATTACAAAAATAAATATTTTTTTGCCACACATATTATATACATATATATAACACATTTTGTATGTTGTAGAATTTATAGTGAAGATTGGTTAAGTGGAGATTTTACAAGAGTTGGTACTCATACAGATTTAGAAATATCGCATGAAAGGATATGAAGTATTTTCGAAAATTGTTTTCAAGTAAGTGATGATGAACATAAGAAAGTTATGAATAAATATGAAAAAAATTCAATGAAGATGGAACATTTTGAAGATTTACACATGCATCAGCATCACTCTTTTTTATGAACCGATCACATAACCGAAAAAAAAAATTGTTTTGAGAATTTTCTACTTTTTGGATGAATTTTCTTCAATCTGCTAATGTCATACTCTATACATAGCCTATTCAGAATTGTTTTCTCATAATTGTTCATATGGTTGAATAGTAGTAACTGTTGATAAATAGCCAAAAATCGCAAAAAAAGCAAAAATGTAGTGAAATGTATAGTTGGATAATGTAAATCTCACTATAACTCCAAGCTTCCGAAGTGTATCACTTTGAGCTACCAATAAAGCTTCACTCTTTCTCACTGAAAACGACAGAAAATTAGATCGACTCAGAAATTGAGGAGTCACATACACTTGTATTGCTTCACTAAAGTTGCTTTAACTTCATGTTTGAGTATTGCTAACTTTCCATTTTTAAGCCAAGTTTTACTTTTTATAATTTTGGGTATATGCTTTTTCATCTGATCCTGCATCATAGGATATGATATCACAAATACTAATCAGTAAGTTGACGAATGTCTTGAGTCATTTAAATCATATAGTTGAATATACAATTGGACAAGATACTATTCATTTTTTAATCACCTTCTCAAAACTAGTGAATTTTCTTTTAGGTGGGTGAATGAGAATAGGCAAGTAATCAATAAGCATCATATTTACTCTTCTTCTTCATCGCAGATTTCAAAACCAACAAACAAACAATCACAAACCCTAAAACTGCAACACCTCCCACTGCCAAAGCTATCGTTCTTTGCGTGTGCTGTCTCTTCTCTCCATCTACAACACATACACACACACACACACACACACACACACACATATCAATGGCCGTTCCATTTACTTCGAAAATTTGATCTAGAAAATAAGTAAAATTCATTTCTATATTTAGAGTCTGACAAGTAGCATGAACTGAATGATGTGTCAACATACTAAGATTTGGTAACGAAAAAAACAAAAATCTCTTCTTTTCTCTAAAGTTATATATTTTCCCCACTAGCTTTTTGTTATTAATTGCTTCCACTAGTTCTCTTTTATTTTTTTGTCTTGCTTCCATATAGTTTTTGTTTAATCTTCCCTGACAACGAAACTACATAAACATATAAATATTCCTCAAAAAGATTCATGTGTCTGCACATATAACATACAGATGATCCAATATAGCTTAATTATCACCAAATTATTAGGATTAAGACACAGACGATCTTATAGTGATTCCTGTCCAAACAAGAACTTAACCAACCAATCAACATTCGAAAACCATATTTTTCTTACGTTAATATATTACGTTGATTTTTCTTTTTTGTGTGTTACCTGAAAGTGAAGAAATGTTGGGAACGCCACGAGAGTAGTAACTGTAGCTAACGAAGCACTTGTGAAGATAAATCTGTCCAGAGATGGAATCACCACACTCACTCTTTGCTCTCTCAAACCCATCTTTCACACATTCGCCACAATCTGAATTTCCCAAACTACCCTCGCACTGTCCCAACGCATACACCGACTCATACTGCCCCGCGTAAAATCCTCCTCCGCCGCCGACGACGCCGTTTCCTCCGGTTTTCACGCCGTTCTCCGCCATCTCAAACGCCGAGTCCCTCTTCCCGGAGAATCCAGAATCGCCGGAGTGTTTTTTCCCGCAGATACGGTAAAGCATCTCGGTACCGGAAGTCTGCTCAAAACCCGAGACTTCGTACCGGAGATAACATCCGGCGAGCTGCACACGCGCCGCCACCACAACATTTCCGCCGTCTCCGTCGCCGCCGCAGAGCTTAGAGACGAGTTTGGGGATTTTGGCGACGCAGTCGTAGCACTGAGCGTTGGGTAGATCGCCGCGGCACTGGAAAACGCCGATCACGGCGGTGGTGTTATCAGTTCCGGAGGTTGTGGACGCGAAAGAGCTCTGTGCGGATTGAGAGACTAAGGAAGTGAAAAGGGTTTTGAGATTCTGAGAGAAAACACCAGTTGGGTCCGGGAATTTCTGGTTTGCGCAACCTTTGAAGATGAGATTTTTGTAGTTATCATCGGAGATTACGGAGAAAGGTAAACAAAACCAGAGGATGGCAAAGAATTGGTAGATGAGTTTCATAATTGAGACAGAGAGAGAGAGAGAGTGAGAGAGATTCTGAAGTTTTGATTTTAGGAGAATTGATTTGTTTGCTGATGCCTGATAGTGATTTTTTCGGTAGTTTCTGCATAAAGTTTGCGTTTTTTTGTGTCCGGAAAAATAAAATTTTGCCGTTTTTATATATTTTTTGTCGTTGAGGGTTTAAAGACAAAAGAAACGATGGGATTTGAGAAACAAGAGCTGGTTTTGCAGTATGAAACCATGAAATAAAGGAGCATACTTTTCCCCGGATTTTGCTTCAAGGTTAAGATAAAAAGAAGGAAACTTTGAGACGACAAGTTTGTTTTTTTATACATTTGTTTGGGACAGACTGTGTAATTAGTATACAGTTTCAAAAAAATGATTACTGTTAGCTTTTTCAATGAAACTAGACTAATGCCTCCGCGTATGCAATATTTCTTCTTTTTTCAAATGAAAATTATATAAAAATTTATTTTGTAACTTACAATAAATACAAAAGAATACCAAAAGTTGTATTGAAGTTCGTATTAAACTTTGAAATTTTATTTTTTAAAAGAGACAATTATATGCCAAATGTCATTTTCTCTTATACCCACATATCATTCATATGGAGAGAGTTGACCTCAATTCATATATATGATTCCAAATCATCGCTCGATGTTATGATGCATTGTTTTTTTAGCATCTCACATGGAAGCATTTTTGGATTTATCAAAAGATTGTAAGATAGAGAATATGTAGATATGTAACTAGGTGTTATCCCGCACGTACGCGCGGGGCATTGGTGTCATTATTGTTGTTCCTAAAAAATTAATCTAAGAACCTCTTCAAATAATAAGAAAATATAGTTGTATTGTTATTCTTTAATGATTGTAATAAAACCAGTTATGTTGTTGTTTTTAATTTCCCACTTTTAGTTGGTTGGTTTTATCCCAAAAGAATCTCTAATACTTACCTATATACATCCATTGGTTAGATAGACAAATATATTTTTAGTAGGTCTAAATTTGTTATGAAAACCTTTTGAGAATAATTCTAATGTGAGTAAACAATGTTAATGAATAAGCATTTATTTTTCCAAAAACAAATCTCTTAATTTCATTATAGTATGATAAATCAAGTAAAAAAATAAAAATTCATTATATTGTCCCCCATTTTTGTTGTTGGATTCCAATCCCATCTTCTCAAATTCACATCTCCAAGACTCCTACTAACCATGGCACTAAGCCGATCCAAACTGTCCAACCATTATCATCATTAGAAGCCAATGGCATATTTGCAGCAGCTGGTATATCTTCTTTTTCTCACTCTCCCCAAAAGTCATCACAAGAATTTGACTTCGGGGAACTGCAGTAACAAATGTGACCTTCCTTCTCCAACATATGAATTCGGTGGTCTGTTCCAATTTCAAAGGTTGGGATAGTACCATTTCTCTCATTCCTTTCTCATTTGGTTCCAGCTTGTTGGTCCTTGTATAGTTTACTCTTCGACTTTGTGTATTGCAATTGCCTAACTTCCTGTAGTGATTTTCTATCTTTGTTGTAACACTCCTGCTTCTACAGTTTCATTGACCTTGCGATCACACCAACCTGAAATAACTAAATTGTTTTTTTATTTTAACTTCAAGTTTCCAAATTATATTGGCAGCAGTACTATCGTAAACGAAAAATGTTTTACAGAGTATCCAAAACTATGCTCTATACAGAATCTAATTTGAGATTGTGCAGCGGCCTTTAGATGGAAAATAAACTTTAAGATTATATTTTGTCAAATTAAGGAAGATCATGCAGCTAGAGAGGACGATCAAACTTAGATTTGAGGGAGAAGAAGTGAGACAGGCAGCTCAGAAAAGGCTTAATACTTTACAGCCTCTCGTAATCAACATAGATAGCATAGCAGATAAAAGGTTACGGATTCCCAACTGGGAAATCAACCGGAATGAAAATGTTAACGTACCTTGAATGTCAACTCCTTGATGCTTGCATGAACAACACAACATCCAATTAAGCTGCAGCCTGTAGATGCGGTAACCAAAACGTAAAAAAACATCCCAACCCTTGTCGTTTATACACGTAAACACATGAACACGGAATTCACCAAACACATCTCATCCTACTTATGAAGAATTGAAAAGCATCAAAATTACCTGAGAGACGAAGTAGACAACGTCATCCTTGTTGATTCTTTCTTGAAGTTTCGCTTGATCCAAAGTCAATATACCTGCCGTAAGAAATATAAGCCAAAACTCAACTCAAGAAAATAAGGGAAAATAAATTTGCCGTGTAAAATCTTATTGACCTATAGAGAAACAGAAATATACAATTTGATAAATTTGGTTATAGGTTGAGAAGATTAATAAGAGGCTATGAGAATCCTATATTAGAATTTCAAACACGGGTCAGGAACTGCAACGAATGTTATTATATCTCATTTTTCTCCTTTGAGCTGGTTCTCTTCCTATCGTGAGGTTTACTAATAAATCTGATCAAACTTTCAAATAAAATATTCAAAACAAATTTCAACACAGGAACACATACTTGGGCTGTTAAGCATGAACTTCCTCAATAAGAGCTTCACCATCTTTCGGAGCTAATGGTTTTTCCGTTTCTTCTTTCATGGGTTACTCTTGATTCTCCAATACTTATTATAACCAAGTTTCATCCAGAGACTGTCTAGAGAAGAGTGAAGACCACACAGAAAAAAAACAGAACAGTCGAAAGTCAGGAAGAAGAAATAATTGAGTTAATAACAACCTCTGCTATAACTGCGTCGATAAGCTGCTCAGCAAAACCTATCTGTGCAATACTCTCCACTGCTCTTTATCAGCCTTCGCATCAGCCTCTGAATCCTTGAAAGGATTCGGTCACCAAAATTAGACTGGAGATACGGTAAAGTCACCACAGCACCAATAGGTGGAATAGTTTATGGGATCCGTACAACACAAGGACCAAACAGAGAAGAATGTATTTAGAAATCGAGGATGGGGAGCTGGTGGTGTTAACCATGAAACGGAAATGCGATTACAATTAAAAAGGGGAATGATTTAGTGATTATATGATAAACATCACTCTTGGAAATTCAAAAGTTTATAAAATAGGACGGAAATAAATAAAAAACCTAACGTAAAAGGGAGTTCAACAACTTCTCTCTCTTTTTGTCAGCGGACTCCTCTTCGCAAAATTATGTCCCCATTACCCTTGTTGCCTTAGCTGCCAGGGGAGTAAGCTTGGCGTCTAAATCAGGAATGGCTGTCTCTGCATCCTTTGAGATCGTTTCCAGCTTAGATGTCACGCCATCTTTGACATCATTGTGCGAGAGGGGTTAAGGTTTTTAACCAAAAAGATCAGTGTCTCTGTCAGCAATCAGTGTTAAATCATTGAAAAGCCGGAGCCTGAACTTCTGGACATCAATTGACTCTTCCCCATCAGGAACCTCTACCATTGTTGTAAGCTCTGTGAAACATACAGTATGCTTATGGTCTGAGACCTTGTAATGCGTTTTAGATGGTTGCACCATGAAATTTTCAGTTTGTAAACTGAGTTCCGCTTCAAGATGTCCTCATACGGAAGAGCCGGTTTGCCAAGATGAACCTTGGATTGCGTTGGACTGGAAAATGTTGGTTGGTTGATTAGAATATTTTGTTCTGTTATAAGTAAATAGAAAACGTTATCACTGATTAATTTCGAATTTACCTCTGAGTGAAGGAGAAGGAGCTCAACCCCCATGAGGACGTCGCCTTTCTTGAAATCCAGGGCTTCCCAGAAATTAATTAGCCTCACCAAGACCTCGTCATTGCAAAATTGGCTGTCAATTTTCTCGAGAAGCATGAAAGTCTGTGGCTCGGCAGAAACGGAGCGGGATTTGGACACGATGGTAATTTGTATTGCTGGGTGTTCGAGACTGTTTGTTGTTCTCAGTGGTTTGCATGTGATGAGTTTTTATAGGGGGGTAGGAGAATTGGGGATCACGGAATTTAGGTGTCATTAAGATGAAATTAATGGCAAAACTCTAGATCAATAACGGAAGCGTGAAAGATGAAGACGAAGAGATCGATGGCGGTGAAGACATCGATGGAGTAGGAGGTAAGGGCCGGAAATTAAGATATTAGTGATAGATAGGCCCATAGTTTTGAAGAGATAGAGATGGGCTTCTGTTAAAGAGATCACTAATATGGATATGGCTTTGCAGACAATTCGAAAGACAGAGATGGGCTTCTTGTTATTAGTGATGCTGACGTGGCAGCGTGGGAGAGAAGCAAAAAGTGCTGACTTGGATGCTTTGAGAGGTCCCAGGCAGCTCCTTTAATGTATTAGAGATTGTAAATATTAATGAAATATAATCTTATCCACACTAAGGTTTTTTCCTCTTCTTAACTGTATTTTATGTTAATTATGTATTCTTAAGTGAAGTCAAATTCTTTGACCAAAAAGACAAATCAATCCATGCCATGACGAAGACTTGACCATCTATAATTTTCATGGAAAGTTTTCATTTTTAATCTTTATCATTTTACAAAGCTTTCTTCGTGGGAGAATTTTGATACCAAATCTCAATATGTTAAGTCATGAAATTTGACTATTCACATGCATGTTGTATGTATATATAGGCATGCTCTTCCCCCTTTTTGTAATATCTTCTTCACACCCACCACCCACACCCCCAAAGAAAACTTGATTATCACTCAAACGAAAATGGCTTTGTCAAAGTTTCAACTTGCAGTGCTTCTCATCACATTTTCTCTCCTTTTTGCTGCCCAATCAACGGGTAAATATTTCCTTATAATTCTTCTCTTTTATCTGTTTTGGTTAGAAATTACAGTTTTCACTTGAATCTTGTCTACTCACGTTCCCTAAAAATATGCGTGTTTATAAAACAAAAGATCACTCACTAAAAGTGCTAGAATGTTATATAGAACATACATATTTTGGATGTAAAATACAGTAAACTAATGATCTTGCTGATTTTTTATTTCCTCATTAGTGGCGGAATTCAAAACAAGAGAGTGTAACATCAGAGGTACGTGCAATACCGACACGGATTGTAAAGTTAGATGTGACGCGCCTGAGTTCCCACGAGGGACTTAAAGGTTTATGTGTGCCCAATCGTCTTACTGGTCAAAAAAATTGTTGTTGTACCGTTGCTTAATTTTTCCAGTAATCTAATACTAATACAATAAGAATTTGGCTAGAGATTCATATTATCACAGAAAAATTAATAAAAGGAAGCGAGTGTTTTTATTTCTACGTGTTAATCAGTAACATCGAAGATTCTCCAAGACCATCCAACCAAACTAACCAAAAATAGAGAAAGTTAAAAAGATCTTCGTCTGATGTCACTTGTCAAAGACATTAAAACATTAGATGAAATCTCACCTTACACATTAGAAGACTTGATGATTTCCTAATATAACCTCATATGTAAAACCCCGCATTTAAATTATTAGTCAAATCATTGGCGATGTGAGACTGACTCATTCTTCTCCCATCTCTTTTATCAGTACCTGTCGATCCTCGAGCAAAAAGTTATGTTAAAGGCATGAATCAGAGTTAAAACTTAGAAACTTAAAAAAAAACATAATGGCTACAAAGAGAAATGTGAATCAAATTTCTCAATCAGCCTGAGCTCTTTCGCCACTTGAATCATGCTAGTCAACGGCTCTCCCAAGTTGCATCCGATACCTTTTTCTTCAAGCTCTCTTGTTAATGAATCTTATGATCCACAGATTCCACACACGTTTTTTTCTTCTTCTTTTCTGTATTTATGTTATTTATGATTGTTAAGCGAAATCAAATTCTTTCCCCAAAAAGAAAGAAAAAATTCAATGCAATTACGATTTAGAGAGAGTAGAATAGTTGGAACTATTATGATTTCGGAGTTTCAAAACAGACAAGATAATAACAACCAAGGCCTATTTGTATAATTGTATCAATTGCTTTCTTATGTCTTATCAAAACACACCTCAAAATCTCATTCCTTGTAAAATGCTACTTGTCAGCAAGAATTTTTTTTCTTATCTCTATGTGACATGGAGCGAATCAGACAAAGTAACTACAATTTCTTTCTTTTTTAGAGTATATTGAAGTAAAAGGCATAGTTGCTACTTAATTATCCGATGATTCTTGGTTTGCTGCTGACAAGATTTTGGCTACTAATTTCTCTTAAATTGTGACCAAATTGGGAATTACTAATTTTTTTTTGTGCAACTGGAATTACTAATAATTCTAACATAGTAACAAACATGTGTACAGATTTTGGGTGCTTACCCATCGATCATAAACTAGATAAAAAGATTCCCACCAGGCGGTGGCGAGGTGGCGGCAAGGCAGCAACTTGGGCAAAAAATGAGGCAACAAGAAAAAATTACAAGCCGCACCATGATGCATGATTAGTATGTGGTCATGTGAACTGATGTTACTTTTTAATGTTTTTATTGCGGACTTATGGTCTTGCCTTGGGATGTTTCAATACGTTGTCTTTGATCGTATTTTGCGAATCAGATTTGGGGTTTTTTAGTGTTTATTGTTTTTGGTTTTCTCAATGATTGAAACTGATTGCTTGCTTCCATAAGAAGTTTTTGTGTGGAACTTATGTCTAGGAAAAATGCTATTGAATTATCGGTTTTTACTTTCAGTATATTACTAGACCAATACCCGCGCATACGCGCGGGTTTTTCTATTGTTATAATTTTAAAAACATTCTAAAATAGTTATATATTTGTAATTAATTTTTTGATATGATACGTAATATTATAAATTCTAACACAATAAAACCCGTGTTTTAGTTTCAACTTACTTAGTTAGCGACTGAATTTCAAATATATATTTTTGCATCATATGACCCATTTTATATATAACTCTCTTTGTTTACTCACAACCACATAAAATGGACTTTGATTTCCCACATTTAGTTAACATAGTGCAAACGTGTCCAAATTCTGAAAAGGTTGAACCATTTTATAAATATGCTTATTATTTCATGTTACATCTTAAAAGAGAGGAATATGAAAGAGACGATTCAGAGTTGGAGGTTGATATTATGATTTCGGAGAATTAAACGATAGAAAGAGGGGAATTTGTAAAGACGACTAATATATAATTTCACGACTAATAAATTTGTAATTTATTAACTTTTAAACTGTAAAAGAAAATGAAAGGTCAATTCTTAAAAAGAAAAAAAGAAAAAAAAATCTTACTGTCACATGTCATTTTCTACTGCATCCACATGTCAAAAATATGGAGAAAGTTGATCTCTTTTCATATATATGATTTAGTGAATCCACCTTAAATGGCATTGACCTATGCTGCGGAGTTAGACAATTTTAAGAGTTTCAGTGGAGTACTACTAATGTATGTGCATATAATCTTGCAAAAACGAACAAAAAGTAAAGTTCAATCTTTTTCTATAAATTTTGTCCCTCTTTGGTAGTGGCATGGCTTCTCCAAGGAGAACAAATAGGGATTTAGATGTTGAACAAAAAATAGTTCTAAGTGTTTGGTGTTTCCAGCTAAACCAGTAACGCGGTGAGACCTATAACTTGGCTTTTGACCAACCTAGCCAACGCATCAACTTTGTGGACTGATAGATATAGAAATGTCATAGCAAAGTTATAGGTCTCAAAAACCATAAACCAACGCATCAACGATATAAAACTTAAATCTTATAACCAAACTTATCCAAAACCATAAAGAAAGCTGGTCAATCCAAGTCATTTGAAGCATGTCTCAAAATTGGCTAATATAACTGCAAACTTTATGATTAAGATTTTTTTTTTAATTGGAAGATCAATGAGATAGACCGTATCAAAATTATAGAAATCAAAAATAAATTAGAAGACATTTTTTTTTTCTTTAACAACTAAATAATCTAGAGACTATAGATCTTTGTCAATATGAAAAATCTGAACATTTGTGAAACTTGTTCATTTGTTCTAGCGAGGCTGCGAGTGAGAGAGTTAATTGGGATTCTCAACGGTCATATTTGTTCCTGTTAAGCCCGGCCAATTAAGATGGAGAATATTTCATCGGAGGGTCACTAAAAAGTCACAGTCCAGCTTCTCTCGCTCACTCTGTAGCAAAACAAGCAAATCCAGCACTTGTCACTGTACTCGCGTGTTCTCACGCGCCGACGTAATACTCCACCGTCGACGCCGACATTGGCTCTTCTCCGTTCTCGTTCGCGTTCACGGCCACGATTCTCTCACTAAACAGTCGAAATCCTCGACTTCTCGGCTCTACCGAGCTCGCATTAAACCCTAACCCTCCCCACATTTCGTAAGTCCTTCTAATTTTGTTGATCGTCTTCTTCTTTTGAGGTCTCAACCTGATAGGAGCAAACGCTGCTTGTTCTCTGGTTCTGAAAGAGAAAAAGAAACGTTTTTTAGGGTTTATTTGTGCGTTTGTGACCATTTCATAAGTCCTAAGCCCCTTGGGTTCTCTCAGAGCTATTCGCGGTTTGTGTTTACCTTCTAGGGTTTAGATATCTGGATTTGCTCTGGTCTGTTCTCTGTGCTTAATTGTTCTTCACCTTCGTTTCATTTTCTCATAGTTTGATGAGACTGGTGATTGAAAGTTACCGTCTTTTGTTTGCAGAAACTTGCAAGTATGCCACCGAGTCATCATGTCAAAAAAGCATTTGCCGCCATGGAAGCCCTTGGGATAGATCGGGAGCGAGTGAAGCAGGTCTTGAAAGATCTCCTCGCCACTTACGAGAACAATTGGGAGTTAATTGCTGTGGACAATTATAGTGTTCTCGCTGATGCTATCTTCGAGGAGAAAGAGACTGAGGTATCTTTATTGTCTCATTTCATCATCTGATTTTTTTTAATCTTCTGTATGTTATATCAGTTTCTTTGTTATCGCCTTGACATTCCACAACGGTGTAAAATGTGAAGGCCACTCGAGAAATGGAAGAAAAGAAAAAGAAGCCTGAAGAAGCTGAATGCAGTGTATGCTTTTCCTTTCCTCGTAATCTTCCTTTTATTAGCTCAAAGATTATGTCTTCTTTTTTGCTGTATGATTCATGCCCCGCTTTGTTGTTGATCAAATCTTTCAGGCTGCGGAAGTGGACCGAGGAAAGAAGAAAGTCCATGAGGTATGTAAAGTGAACATCTTTGTTGTGCTAGAATATGTTGTTTTCATGTTCTTGCATTAATTCAGTTTGGCATGTAATTATCAGCTTGCAGACGAAGATGAAGATTCCATGGCTGAGGCTGTACCGCCTTTAAAGAGGCTGCGACGCGGAGGTGAAGGAGGCTCTGCTTTGACTTTGAACCAAAGCACAAGCCCTAGCTTGGGCAGTCCCAGTTTAAATGAGCCGACAACCTATGACAACGATACTGTTCCGATTTTATTGCCATATCATGATGCTGGTGCGTTCATTGTTCCTAAAGACGAGACCTTGACAGTGACAGATATGTCTTCCTCTCCTAATCATCCAGGTATTCTTTCATCAAATCTTCCTTGCATTGCTTATTTTGTTCTGGTGAAGTGTTGAAGCTACTTAGATCAAAACTGAATGTGCCGTGTGCATTACTTAGGTATGTTTTCTCTTGGTGTCTTTCTCTAGATTCAATGGAAAGAGGGAACTCTTCGATTCCCATTCTTGAGATGGAGAAAACTAATGGACATGTGGACAAGCAGGATGGAGAAACAGTCAGCACTGTTCATGGTACTACCAACGATGTTCCTCCTCCTACAACTATTCAGAGATTTAGTGATCAAAATCTGGCTGCAACTCAAGCAGAATCTTCAGCACTTGAGTTAGCTTCTTCTGCTTCGGGTGAGGTGAAGATTAATCTGAGCTTTGCTCCTGCAACTGGAGGATCGAGTCTACGTTTACCTTCTGAGGAGGAGCTACGAAGAGCAATGGAGGATAAGTGTCTCCGATCATACAAGATATTGGACCCCAACTTCTCCGTAGTTGGGTTTTTGAACGACATCTGTAGCTGCTACATGGATCTTGCAATAAAGGCAAACAATTCAGCCAACCAGTCTCCAGAAAAGTTGCCTGTTCTCACCACGAATGTTGAGGCTTTGAAGATCTCTGCAGCAAGGATGGACTTTGCTTCTAGTAGCACTAATGATCATAATGTTGATGGAACTGATGATCGTAATGGGTCTGCAGCAAGGATGGAACTGATGATCAGTGATGATCATACGCGTGATGATGAAAATAGTGCAGCTGGTGACTCAATGGGTTTGGTAGTTGTTCCGGAATGCCAAGCATCTGCGGATGAGTATAGATCGATAAGCAACGTCAGTGACATCACTCTAGGGAGAGAAACTGTTGAGATTCCTTGGGTGAATGAGTTTAATGAAAAGGTTCCTCCAAGTTTCTTTTACATTACCCAAAGCCTTGTGTATAAAGATGCGGAAGTGAAGTTTACGGTTGGGGATATCAGGGATGACCAATGCTGCTCCTCTTGCTGTGGAGATTGCTTGGCTCTGTCAATGGCTTGCAGCTGTGCAACTGCAGCTAATAATGGTTTTGCTTACGCAGTAGGTGGCCTCCTTCAGAATGATTTTCTGGAAGATTGTATCTCTGAAGCTCGTGATCCAAGGAAACATGTGGTGCAGTATTGCAAAGAATGTCCAATACAGAAGGCCAAAAATGAAGACGTTCTTGAAAACTGCAAGGGCCACCTCAAGAGGAAGGTCATAAAAGAATGCTGGATCAAATGTCGCTGCAACCAAAGATGTGGAAACCGAGTTGTTCAACAGGGCATTCACAACAAGCTGCAGGTGTGTAAATTCGTCTTAACCGGTTCTAGAGTTTGTGATGCCTTAATGCATGTAAGTCAAATCTGGACAAACCGTTTCCTTTTTCATTCTTTGATTCAGGTGTTTTTCACGCCCAATGGGAAAGGTTGGGGACTGAGGACACTAGAGAAGCTGCCTAAAGGAGCATTTGTCAGTGAGTTTGCTGGGGAGATTCTGACCATTACAGAGTATTGCCAACGTAGCAAGGAGAAACCTACTTGTCCGTTTGTATTGGATGCACACTGGGGTTCTGAAGAACTATCAGGGGATAACAAATCTCTTTGTCTTGACGGAACTCAGTATGGAAATATTTCCAGGTTCATCAATCACAGGTAAAGAAGTTTTACGAGCACAATTTCTGTAAACAAGTTTTGAGTCCTTTGCTTTTGGTATTTTGGTGAACTTATAATTTGGTTTTCCTTTCATTTCATTTACTTCTAACCGTACTATGTCTATATTTGCAGATGCTTAGACGCAAATTTGATTGACATACCAGTTCATGTGGAGAACACGGACCCACACTACTATCATGTATGACACAAATCCGGGTTTCCATTTATTTTCCCATGCTCATAAGTTATGTGGAAAATTTAGACTGATAAGCTTATCTGTGTTTTAATCCAGCTCGCTTTCTTCACAACAAGAGAGATTGACGCTATGGAGGAACTTACCTGGGTATGTTAGAACTACAGTATGATACTGGGTTCTTTTATAAATTCTCACTGACGCTATGAAGGCTGGATGTATAGTGATTCTTTCTGAGAAGATTTGGTCTTTAACCTGCAGGATTATGGCGTCGAGTTCAATGATCATGTGTATCCCACGACTCCGTTCCATTGCCGATGTGGTAGCGAGTTCTGCCGTAACATTAAGAAGCCGATAACCAGTGAGTAGTCATCAAAACCTATTTCCTTAGTGTGTTGCTGTTGAATGTTATCTTTTGGTTTCAAGAACATGGTCCTTCAGCTTTTCTTGCAATTAAAACAGAATTTTCTGATGATGCAGAAAGTAAGAAGTCGAAGAAGAGAGGCATGAGAGAGTAGTTTTTTTTTTAGGATCTGATCTGTGATGGCCGTAAAAAAAACCTTTTTTGTTAAAATCCGACAAGGCAGATAAGAAAAGTCGGTTGGTCCATCTTTTAGGTAGCTATCGGAGGATGACACTTTAGTCCTTATAATCGGAATAATGTTTTGTAATCTCAGACCACTGTGTATAACTTATTTTGGGTTCTAATGGCTTTAACGTTGGTATTATATATATGATCTCTCTATAAGATGCTTGCGTAAAGATATGGTTTTACAGGGAAGGATGATCCAAGATCATAACATAATCAATGGCTAAATATATTGCATAAACGATACTCTACGTGCTGCTGCTTACAGTTTGAGTTATTTACAGTTTTTGTCTGCTTAAACCGCGTTATGTGCTTCAACGGCTTTGCCAACGAAGTCTCTGTGATGAGGTCTCAAGAGAGATTCTTGATCGCCAGATGAAGAAATAGCCGGTTGAATTCCACTTGCGTTTAGCGGAAACAGCGTTTTGTAGTAACCATCCATTATAGCAGGAAGATCACAAGTAGCCGCAACACCAGGAATCTGTTTTTAACAACAACAACCACAGAATATGAAACGCAATTCCTAAAACGCAGAATTGAGGAAACCAGTAAAGAATCTGATGTTATACCTGGTAAATGTCGCGCAAGTAGCCATAGAGATTAGTGTACTCGACGAGCTTCTTCTTGGTGCATTTGAACAGAATGTTGTAAACAGGATCGAAACGAATCAGAGTTGTGAATAGACATACATCAGCTAATGTTAACCTTTCTCCACACAAGTATCTGTTGCTACTCAAGTGTTCTTCAATTACGTCTAAAGTACTGAAGATTTCATTCACTGCTTGATCATACGCTTCTTGGCTCTGCGCAAATCCACACCTTTCAAAACATCAATGGACATACAACAAAAAAAAGCCATAAACTTTAGCAACAAACACATACAATTGCATTTAAACGCCATTGTTAGCTTTATTTTAAGCTTTTGTGATGATGTTTTCGAAATTACCTGTAAACGCCATTGTTAACTTTAGGGTACACAATCTGATTCCAATCTTGGATCTTTCCTTTTAATTCCGGTGGCGAGAGATCGAGATTAGGGTTTCGTGCCAATTCGTTTAGACCCGAATTGAAGAACTCGATAATATCGTAGCTTTCGTTGCAGATAACTTCTTTCTTCCTTGAATCCCACAGCATCGGAACCGTACACCTCCCGTCGTAACCTCCGTTTCTCGATTTGTACACTTCCTTCAAATTCCGGCACCGGTTTGCCTTATCCAAGCTCGGAATAAGTTTATCCTTATCCGTTGCCGAGATATTGTTATCCTTGAATTCCCACGATCCGTCTTGACCAGGCGATGCGATTGAGACGGAGACGGCGTCGTCTAAACCCTTGAGAGCGCGTACGATTAGGGTTCGGTGAGCCCAGGGACAAGGAAGACCAACGTAGAGATGGAGCTCCGATGAAGCTGCGTAAGGGAATTGGGTCGGGTCGAGGCGGAATTTGGAATTGGGTCGGGTGTATGACCCGGAAGAATCCGATGGAGCGAGCTGGGTCATCATGAGCTGCCATACGGTGGTCCAAGCTGTTCGGGCGGTGGAGATTAGTAGTCCTGGAGGTAGAGATGGTCCCCAGAGTAGCTTTGTGGCGGAGGTGAACATGTTTGCGCTGGGTTTCGGTGATTGGTGCGACATTTTCGGGCCGACGTAACGTGGCGCGAAGGACGGTATGCTTAAAACGGCCATGGCTGAGCTTACTCTGCTTACTCTCTCGCTCGGCGAGAGAAGAGAGACGAAAGATCCAAAACGGTGCGTTTCGTGTCAATATGAAATTAGGCCCATTTGTATTTTCTCTGGGCCCAAACAATAGTCAGTTTTTTCTTCTTCTTTACTAGTGCAAATAGAGATGATAAAGCATCATAGATTTATTTGGTTTGTGTTACTGTCACGATTGTAATATAATACTCCCCTTTCCACTATATAAATTGTTTAAAGTAAAATACAAAAACCAAGAAAAATAGTTTTTAAAAATAAAATATTATTTAATATATAACTTAACTAATCATGAAGAAAGACTACAAAATATAATTGGACACACAACATTCAATAAAGTAAAAAGTGCAAAACAGCTTATAATTTGGGACAATTTTTTTTTTCCAAAACAGCTTATAATATGGGATAGAGAGAGTACGGGTTTGAATCCGAAAGTGTATGTATGTAAATTCTTGATCGAAAAACAAAAATCAGACGATAATTATAAGGTTGCTCGATCCAAATCGTGTCATGAGTGGTATAATTAGGAACATTGTGGGGGCATTTAGTGTTAGGTAACTGATTTGATTACTTCAGAAATATTCAAAGACAGCGAGATAATTCACCTTTTATTTGTTTTCATCCACAAAAACAAAATAGTTTTTACATGAATATATACTCATTATTCAAAATATTCTCTGGCCCCTATATTCTTTTCCTCCACATGAATTTTATGGATGTACACAACAATCATCAACAACAACCATTTTTTCAAAGATATGGATCAGCTTATCAGCTATAATATGAATCCATCAATAAAAAACAGCTGTTAAACAAAAACAAAAGGACACCAAAATATAAATCATAAACCTTAAATAACTTTAAATAAACAAACCGGTGCTTGTGGCCCGGTGGTAAAGGACCCTCAGCTGAGGTATCCGCCACTTGGGTTTGAGTTCCAGCCACAACGGATTTAACATCCCTTCCATTGGGGCGCTGGACCCAACTTATGGAGATAGTCGGGAATGTGGCTACCCGGATACCAAAGTTTCACAACCTATCTCTATAAAAGAAGATTTACATTCTTTTTTAGCCTAATTGGTATGAAGTATGAACACATTCGAAAATACAGTTTCAGATTTACGTTAAGTTTGAAAACATCTATGTTTGTGAAACCCACACACACGCAAAACAAATCTAAAACTTTTAATTTAAAGAAGCGGAGGGAGTTACTTCCACTAGTAAACAACTTTATAAGATATAAAACTGTTTCTATATTTGGATCAACAACTATATATTACAAACTACTAAGCAAAAGAACAAAATTGAGAAGAAAACAACTTTATAAGATATAAAACTGTTTCTATATTTGGATCAACAACTATATATTACAAACTACTAAGCAAAAGAACAAAATTGAGAAGATCTTGCAATTTTGCTCGCAAGAACAAAACAAGAAAAGAAAATACAAAAATCATCAACATATTTTTTTAGATTGAGACTTTAACTATATACAAAATATGAAAATAAAAATGACTCCATGGATAATAATAATAATTGCCGTTTGTTTTAAAAATCACCGTCGACGAGACCAACCATCGTCAAAATTCAGATGATAGCTCCGGAGATCATAGCTACACTGAATATTATTATGGTCACTCTTCCGCAACAATCTCAAACGCGATTTCAGCCTCCAAACGAACTGCTTCAGGAGAACGCTCGGTTTCCCACAACATGAGAACGCATACGCCACAATCGTTCTTTCCTCTGCGTTTCCTAGCGTCGCTGAGGCCGTCGTCGAGCTTCCGATTCTCTTTCCCCATTTCCGGAACTGAAGTCTCTTCAAACTCTGTTTATGCATAGCTTAAGAGTTTAGCTTACTCTCTCTGTGTGTTGATTTTTTTGTGAGTGAGAAAATGTAAATGTAACGAAGAAGCAAAGAATGAGAAAATTATTTAAAGGGAGAGAGAGGCTGTGGGGTTTGCAACGTGTTGATTTATAATTCGTGTACTAAAAGTGTATAGTCAAATAAATAGTCTAAAGTGCATCATCCACCACCATATATCCAAATGTTTTGACTAATAATACCAAATTACAAATTTGAAAAAGTTAAAATTATGAAAAATAATTCAATCTATTTCCACTTTAGTAGACTACCTCCGTGACGTATGTGCATCTAAGGTTTGGCTAAATGAAATCATCTATAGACAAAACATGATATACGAAGGTTTTAAACGACCCTTAACCCCTTTTAACAATTAAAAAAAAAAAGTTTTACTTTTAAACAACCAACACAATGACATGAGCTATAAGATAGAACGCAAAACTTGAGTTACTATCAATTGTTAATCCAAAAGAAATATACTAAAAATTATATGTTTCGTACGTCAAGTTATCACTTGTTCATGCACTACATAAAAATGTTATTTGATGCTCCTTCTATTTTATTTTGTTTTATTGAGATTTAGTTTTTATAATGAGAAAAGTTATGAAGATAACATTATAATTAAAAATTACAAAAACTATCAAATCCAAATCTGCAACGGCCGCGTTAATCAAAATTATAATAAGCTAACAGTACCAATCTTTTGCTCTTTAAACTTCTAGGTTATGGATATGTTTGATTATTTGGTTAGTGTCATCTCCACATCAAAAAGCCTAATTTATGGGTGGTCATAAGTCATAACCCGTCCAACTTTCGGGTGGAGAATCAAATTCAACTTTTATTAAAACCAACGGCCAACGATGAAGCAAAATCTCAACGACTAAAATAATTCCACTTTTGACAAACCCTTTAGCAAAAAGCACATACAATCTGACGCGAACTCTTCTCTTTCAGACTTTCAGTTGTTGTCTTTTTGTCTGAAATTGCTGGAAAGATTCGGTTAAAAACTTAAAATCAGAGCTTAAGTCTTTGAACCGGTTAGGTTCGGTTCGACGACATTTGTAGGATAGATCTTGATACCGACTGATACAAAGAATATACCAAAAAGACAAGATTATGCCTCAAAAACAAAGACCCCACACGCGCTTAGTGCTTTCTTGTTAGCTGACGTAAAAGTAAAGAAACATGATGCTAAAGACAACGATGGATAACAAAGAGAATTCAATTTGAAACAACAACCAAAAGAAGAAAGCAAAAGGGAAAATATCTAGAACCAGAAAACAAATTCATTTCTGGATCTTTCTTCTACTTATCTATCATCCCATTAATTGATGAAACCGATTGTGACTGAAACTGAAGGCAAAACTCCTTAGATATTTTTTCTGTTCTCCATCTAATCCAGCTTTCTCATAACATTTACAGACAAAAACATCTTCATCGGTGTGGTCTTACCTCGAAGATACTGATGATCTTCTTTGAATGATCAATTAGACAATTAAATTGTTTGGTGGCATATATGGAATACATACAAGTACCAAACTCTTTCTGCGAGCTCACCTAGAAATAATAAACACAATTTGATTAAGGTTAATTTCCAAATATGTCTCAAGGAAAATTGCAGATTTTAAGGCGTAGTTGTTGAGATAAATGATGTTGGAGAGGTAAAGGTAACTTACAGTTCTTGTGCTCGTTTAGATCTTTCTCGCAGTTACAACATCTGCAGAAGAGAAAGAGGTAGTTTTTAGCTGCTACTGTTTAGCATTTAGTTTACAAGAACAGTGTGGAACTGGTGTTTGAAGAGAAACTTAACCTTGTTGTTGAGTGGTCTAGTTTCAACTGTTTCTCTATTTCGCCAAGATACTGACCAAACAGCGGTGACCTGTGATACCACATGATTCAAGATCTTTAACAAAATGTTACTTTGAACAAAAAACAGAATATAAGACCTTTTGTTATAGCATCTGAATATGAATGAGGGACATCAAAAGTGAAAGAACATGATGCATAAAGAGCACCTACATGAGTTTTTTTATTCAGGTGAAATAGGTTTGGCAATAGATTTTTTTCTTTTTTGGTCTTATAGAGACATTGTTTGATGTTCTATAATCTGGTTTGGCTAAACAAAAACCTACTCAGAGAAAATTTCAGTATTAAAGTCTTGCGAACATAGCAAATAAGCACACGAGAGGCTTTTTTTTGTATCATTTGTAATCAACCTCTCGCACATATCCAGAAAACAGGACTTATAATTAGATCAAACGACAAAAATAATGAAATTACCATGATGGAATTGCAGCTGCGGTAAGAGCAGGAGGCAATTTCCAGAGGAGATGAAAACGACTCTCCAGTATTTCTGTTAGATACTCAAGAATCTCTTCAACCTATTCAAGAGAAGTCCAAGAAAGTTAGAAACAAATGTTATGGCGTATTTTTTCAAATTCTATAAATGGTTGCATCTAAGAAAAGGTACCTTTGAATTCAAATCAATCTCGCTCTGTTTTAAACTTTTAGATCTTTGAAGAAGCAGCTTACATAGCTCCTCATATTGTTCTGACACAGTAATCGATTTGTACGAAACTGACATGACACCTTCGATTACACGAGTCCAACTGCTTGTAATGCGTCCTAGTAACAAGAGCTCCTGCTCTTCAGCAATATCACCACATGTGCTCAAGTTAGAGTGACCACCTTTTCTAACAAAAAAAAATTAAGAGGCCAAAATGGATACATCTAGTTCAAGAATCAGATCAACTTACGATCTTCTCGATGAATATAGCATCATCATTCGTAGCTGAAACCTTCAGCCTTCTTAACACTTCTCCCCACTGAGCTTTCGGTGCAGAAAATATCAAGCTGGCTCCCGATACCAATCTCAAAGTTCTCTTACTGAGAAAATACGATAAGCCTTTCGATTGCCACATGTTCCATGTCAAAAGTTCAACAGGCTGTTGTCTCCGGCTAAAGATAAAGAATCACATCAAGATCATCAAACAGATCATTGCAATATATGCTATCTCGTACTTGAAAAGCATACAAACCTTAACAAAGTTGTATCCTCATCTTCTTTCTGTAGTGGTAGTGAGTCTTTTGGCTCAATGTTCTTGAAAAGGATCTTCAAACCTGACTCAAGTGATGATACACATGACACAACAGATTGCCTCTTGCAGAGTTCCACATCGATTACGTCTGCAATACCATCACCTGATTCTACTGCCGCAACCAGAATAGCTTGGAGTTGTTTATCCTTCAGTGTTGAGTTATTCATCAAATGCTCTAACACAAATTCTCTTCCTTTCGAGAGAGTACTTGATGATAGATTCTCTAGACCCTGAGAATTTTACCCCCAAACAAACGTTAATTCCAGAAAAAAACTTACAATCCAGCTCTTGATTTCAGTTATGATGAGAGACTTTGATAAACAAAACAACCTTTGGGAACAAAGGGTTAGCTTTTATCTCGGAGATTGCTTCGTCAAGCTCTCTCACTGATTCTCCAAATGTGTCTGAACTAATTATGCTTCTTAACATCTACAAGAAAAAAAGAATTCTCCGATTAACTAAGCGAAAGTAAATTTGCAGAAGAAAGGGAAGTGAGAGTGAGAGCGAAAGTGATTAACCAACATTTTCGAAGAAGAGACCCCATTGAAGAGCTCTTCTGCAATTCTCAGCATCCCAATGAGCGGGAACACCAGAAGATTGAAAACCCGATGCGAGGATGAGCAAATCCACAAACCCTCTCAATAGCTTCATGAAATCTTCCCTGGAAATTTCTGGGTAATTCCAAACCATTTTGCGCAATTGTTATTCGATTCGAACGAGAAAAAGCCTAATTCGCAAAAGCATAAGCGATTTGACCGATTGGATTGCGGCATTGGGCGTAAATCACTGAAAAACCTTTGTTCTTTCCCGCGCGTCCATGCCCTTGAGATTAGAGAAGAGACGGTCTTTTGAATAAGAAAGGTTTTTGTTTTCCACGTAATAACTTTGCGGCGTTTTCTTCTATGGAGAACTACACGATGTTTGATCATTCTATGAGAAAACGTTCAGCTATGTCCGTGAATCGAACCGGACCGGTCCCCGTTCTGCAACTTTTGTTTGTCACTAAAATGACTTGTTTGTTTGTTTTTTTAACCAAAATTATAATTTCCTACAACATGAAATGTCACTAAAATGACTTGTTTGTTTATACTGCAATAAAAAAATCCGAATTTGTAAATTTTAACTTTATTTGTTTGTCAACTGAATTAGTATACACTAGTGGCCTTTTTTATGGAGTAGTTAACATGACATATGGGATGAGCTGTGATGTTCAATTATTCTCAATCCTTCTTTGTAAATTAGAATATTTCTGATAAATAATGAAATCTTTAAAGCAAATAAGATTTTGTATTTCTATTCATCCCTAAATAAACTAGAAAGCCAATACCTCTCGGCGATTTAATTCACTCATGGATAGATAGTAGTCCAGAAATTTATTATTTATACTAGGATGGTCAAAAAGATTCTTGTTAATGAAATGGTCTACAGTATTAATTATAGATCAATGATTTTTTTTTTTTTTTTTGTCGACAATAGATCAATGATTAAACTGAAAATTGTGGACACAAAAGTTGGGAAAAAAAGCATTCCGATTGCAGACAGTGTTTATCCAGACTGATCAAGAACCGGATGAGTTGTCAACAGTTTGATTTGGTATAAAAGTTACTTCTCTTAAAGTCGCACCAATTTTAATTAAACAGAGGAAAATAAAAGTAGAACGTGTGAAATGTTGTTATAATAAAGGATCGATCGGTGTAATGTAAACGACTAAGGGTTAGGTTAACAATAACACATGAGCTCAGCCATTCACAAAATTGTATTCGCTGACTAATACTAATACAGCGACGTGCAAAATAGCTTTAATATTTTACAAATCTTTTGTTTGTCTCAATCTGCTTTATAAAGCTAAGAGGATCTAAATATTGTTGGAACAAGACAAATGCTAATACTAATTACTATTTGATCGGAGTATAGTTAATCATATATATAGGCCATTTAAAAATATTTTTGAAAGTGGATTCTGCATAGCAAGATTTACAATGATTTTCGGACACGACCGCATGTGTAAAGATTACTAGCAGTCTGGTCTATTAAATAAAAATAAAACCGCTTAGAAATGACAAACAACATAAGACTATTCGGCAATTTTAGTACTAGATGTTTTTCAAACCCTTTTATAATCTTTCTTAACATCCTACACTTTTCACAAAGCCCAAGTGCTCAACATTGTAAGAACTAAGAATCATTTTAGATCTATAAACTTTATTTACCATATAAAATCACATTAGACGTCAAGGATGAAATCTTAAACTAATATTCTAGTGCAAAACTATAGTTCTTCATGTGAACTTGTATCCAAGTTCCATTATTAAAAATATACATAGTTCTAAATTTCTAATTAAAGAATGATGCTTAATCAAGATTTGAATCTGAATGGCTCCAGCTTATGCCAATATCATTAATCAATATTACAATGAAAAGTGGGAGCAAGTTTAACCAATGACAGTATCATATATATTATAATGGTCATGGTCAAAAGCATTTTGGTTGTATGTATATGTATGTTTTCATATGCATATTACCAAATGTACATTTGGATTATGATACGGTAACAGAATATTTAGGCTATATGTAGATTGAGATGTATGTTGTGCAGATATGTTCAATTTTTATAGTCAAATCCTGAATATATACTAGCTAAGAAGACATTTATTCAGACACCCAAGACGGTTGATTTTAATAAATTGCATGAGCTGGAATGGATGTTTCACACCTTATTTCTTCAAGTTGTCGATCTCACACATCAAGACATGGTGCCCACTCTCTTCACACTCTATATCTGTTTAGAGTTATTATATTAAGAAAAAATGGGTGTATGTGCTGTCGTTCACATTCATCCCCAATATTTTTCTAATATGCATTTGGTCACAGGAACATGATAAAGATTTATCTGTAATGTTGAGCAATAGTTGGACAGAAAATGTTAAATACTTATATAATATTCTTACTTTTCTTTTTGTTTCTATTGATAAAGAGAAACTAATTATTTGGTGGCCATATACAAAATTAACTAATGTAGTTCAATAAAGGTTAAAATCATTTGAAACTTTAATGAGAAGTTTGATTTGAACATTTCTCGGGTAACAATATATACAAAAAGTTTGAAAGGGGTTTCCTTATCCATAAGGTTAGTTGGACGTTGTAGTTGTAGCAATATCAAGATGTGTAGGACTAAATCTAAGAAGAAAAAAGAAAATTTAAAATACTTTTTTTTGTCATGTTGATTTGAATACTTCTACACACTCTACATATTCTATATATACACATTACCATACTAGAAACAGATCGCCAAAAAAAACAGTAAGTATTCTTCATCCATATCGATCGATCATCAACATGGCTAGATCCGTGTTGCTTTCGTTAGCCCTCGCATCTGTCTTCATCGGAATGGTCTCAGCTCGTGACTGGAACATCCTAAACCAGCTCAAAGGAGTCAAACCAACCACAACCACCACCAAGACCAGCCAAAACCGCGTCGCATCATTGAAAGGACCGAACCTAAACGGATACTGCGAGAGCTGGAGAGTCAACGTGGAGCTTAACAACATCAGAGACTTCAAGGTGGTGCCACAGGAGTGCGTGTGGTTCGTCCAAAAGTACATGACATCATCTCAGTACGAGGATGACGTGGAGATGGCCGTTGATGAAGCCATCCTTTACCTCGGCAAAACTTGTTGCGAAAAGAAGAAATGCGATGGCATGGATGCTTGGATCTTTGACATTGATGACACTCTTCTCTCTACCATTCCTTACCACAAGAGCTACGGTTCCTTCGGGTAAATAAAATTAAATTAACCCTATAGATTAGGTTCGGTTCAATTCGGTTTGAAAAAAAATTAGTTTGGTTTTTGGTTCGAGTTTTGATTTAAAGAAAAAACTGAAAAGTTTAAATTGTTATTTTAAAATTCGTATATTAATATCATATTTAATTTTCCCGATTAACAAAAAAATTGAATTGTAATAAACTTTGGTTAATAAAGTTCGGTGTGTTTATCAGTCTCTTTTCATCGCTTTAATTATTCCGGTTTAGAATAACATGGTTTAAAATGTAACTCTTGATATGAATCAGTGGTGAGCAATTGAACACGACCAAGTTCGAGGAATGGCAAAGTTGGGGAGAGGCACCAGCACTTCCAAACATGGTGAAGTTGTTCCATGAGATCAGAGAGAGAGGTTTCAAAATCTTTTTGGTCTCTTCTCGCAAAGAGTATCTCCGATCTGCCACTGTGGAGAACCTGATCGAAGCCGGTTACCACGGCTGGTCTAACCTCCTTCTCAGGTATAAATTGCCCGGTTCGAGTCTCATTTGATTATAAAAACTACAAACAGTTTATTAACGAATATAAATCGGAATTTCATTTATAATTTCATCAATATCCTGTTATAAACGAAAATCAATGTAAACTAAACCGAAACCAAACCAAATAGTTTTTTTTTTTGCATTTCATATATTCTCTAAACCGAAAAATCAAGAACAAGTGATATTGTAAGATTCCTATATGAAAGCAAAATGATTTTTCTTTGTCTTCCTGAAATGTCATAAGAAGAATAATTTTAGGGAGTCATTGTTTTTGCTCTTATATTGATAATAATAATAACTTAACTCTTAGAGTATACATTGAGTTAAAGATTACGTTTTTAGCCATGCCATTATAGATTTATAGTACCATGCACATAGTTTTGATTTATTTTTCCTTCGCAAATTTTATTTTTCCTTTATTAAATAAATAAAATACTAGAACATTCACATTTTCATTACAATAAAATAACCAGTAGAGATGTATGAGCAGTAAACCAGGTTTGATAAAAATGTTGAAACCGGAAAAAAATTGCAGGGGAGAAGAGGAAGAGAAGAAGAGTATCAGAAAATATAAAGCAGATGTGAGGGAATGGCTTACAAGTCTTGGATACAGAGTTTGGGGAGTGATGGGTTCACAATGGAACAGCTTCGCAGGTTGTCCAGTTCCCAAGAGAACCTTCAAGCTCCCAAACTCCATCTACTACGTCGCCTGATCACATCATATTTACTACTCTAACCAAACAAAGTCCCAAAATCAGTTTCAATCTGATTCTTGAGTCTTTTTTTTTTTGCTTCTTCTTCATTTCTGGTTTATATAACCAATTCAAATGCTTATGATCCATGAAGCATGAGCATCTTCGTTTCTGTTGTATTACCATTTTGGGACTTTGTGAAATTGATTTTTGGCTTTTTTTTGTTAACAGTCTCTTCTCCCTCTTATCCGATTGGATTCAAGAACAATGCTGGATTTTGTGAAGTTACAAAATAACTTGAAAGCTACTCTAAGTTACACAAAATTCTAACAAACTAAAAAGAACAACAAACAGCATAAGAAGTTGGAACCTCAAGCAATAAAAAATAAAAAATAAAAACATTCTGACCAAACTATTCAAATCAAATCATATTTACTACTCTAACTAAACAATAAAATCAGAGTTTCAGTCTTATTCTTGCGTCTTTTGATTCTCTCCCTCTTTTTTTTGGTTTTTCTGGTTTATATAACCAAATTCAAATGCTTATATGATCATCTTTGTTATTCCTGAATTGGGCTGTCCTTTTATTGTTTTCTATTACCATCTTGGGCCTTTATGGAATTGATTTCGGGCCTCTCTTAGATAATATTTGATCCTTTTCTATCTCTATCTGATTGGAGTCAAAAGACACATTGCTGGATTTGGTGAAGTTCAAATATATAAGAACTCCAACTGTTAAGTAAGACTTAAGTAGACGTACATAATAACTTGAAAGCTACTCTAAGTTATACAAATGCTAAAGAACTAAAAAAAGAACAACAAACAGCAGAAGAAGTTGGAAGCTCAAGCAAATAATATAAAAAAACTCTGACTAAACTGAGCTGTCTCCTTCTTCCACCAAATCTTTTTGCCGTCTCTTGAAGCTTTCTTATGACACAAACCTCAGAACCAATCTGACCTCACAGTTTGGTACAGCCTCAGTTTTCTCCACAACAGATTCTAACATTTTCCCCTTATATTACCGCCACTGGTCTCTTCAATCATCAAAAACACATAGTCACATACATTTCTCCATCTCTCCCTTTTGCTCTACTTTAGAGCTTAGCTTGCCTCGCCATGGATCCAAACACCATGGCCAGCTTCGACGATGAGGTAAGATATAATAAAAAAGAAAAATCGAAACTTTTCTCCATGGTTATGTTCTTTACCAATTTTTTTCACTTGATATAATGTACTTTTTGTGTGTGGATGCAGCATCGTCATTCCTCCTTCCCGGCTAAGATGTGCAAAATCTGTAGCGACGAGATCAGAGACGGCGACAATGGCCAGAAATTCGTGGCGTGCCACGTGTGCGCATACCCGGTTTGCAAACCTTGCTACGAGTACGAGCGTAGCACCGGTAGCAAATGTTGCCCTCAATGCAAGACTCACTACAAACGCCACAAAGGTAAATAAATTTTAAACCCTGCTTTTTTTTTTCTGTTAATAAATCCATACTTTTCTTTAACTCTCATCTTGTGTTTTGTTTTGTTTGAAGATGAAGAAAACAATGGTCTTGATGATTCAGATGACGAGTTGATGAATATCAAGAATCGCCCAGATGCTTCCTCCATTCACCAGAATTTTGCCTATGGATCGGTATTATATAACTTCAATCGAAGTTTTTAGTCTCTCTTTCCCATTTGGAATCAAGAATCTGATTATCCTCTTGGTACCGCAGGAAAATGGAGACTACAATAGTAAGCAGCAAGGGCGTTCAAATGGCCGGGCCTTTTCTTCCACCGGAAGTGGTATACATACATATATATATATATATATATATATATATATATATATATATATATGTATTTATGTTTTCATATAGATGTATAAGAGCGAAATTTGAGACCTGTTTCTGTCTGATTTGATTTGAAGTGTTGGGGAGAGAGTTTGAAGGCGAGAGAGATGGCGCCACAGACGCAGAGTGGAAAGAACGAGTGGATAAATGGAAAGCGAGGCAAGAGAAGAGAGGTCTATTAACTAAAGCAGAACAAACAAAGGATCAAGACAGTGAAGAAGAAGAATACCTGTAATTAAAGATTTCTTTATTCTAAAGTAACAAAGACTGGAGACGCAAGTAACTGAGTTTTTGTTTGTTTTACAGAGATGCTGATGCAAGACAACCTCTCTGGAGAAAAGTACCAATCTCATCAAGCAAAATCAGTCCATACAGAATCGTGATCGTACTTCGTCTCGTCATCTTAGTTTTCTTCTTCCGTTTCCGTATCTTGACACCGGCAAGAGACGCGTACCCTCTCTGGCTTATCTCAGTCATCTGCGAGATCTGGTTCGCACTCTCTTGGATCCTCGACCAGTTCCCGAAATGGATGCCGATTAACCGAGAAACCTACCTTGACCGTCTCTCTATGAGATTCGAACGGGACGGCGAGAAGAACAAGCTTGCACCGGTTGATGTGTTTGTCAGTACGGTGGATCCGCTTAAGGAGCCTCCGATCATCACAGCCAACACCATTCTTTCGATCTTAGCCGTTGATTACCCGGTGAATAAAGTCAGCTGCTATGTCTCTGACGACGGTGCTTCGATGCTCCTGTTCGATACATTGTCTGAGACTTCCGAGTTTGCAAGAAGATGGGTTCCGTTCTGCAAGAAGTACAACGTTGAGCCAAGAGCTCCAGAGTTTTACTTCTCTGAGAAGATTGATTACTTGAAGGATAAAGTCCAAACCACATTCGTCAAAGACCGCAGAGCAATGAAGGTCAGTGTCTCAGTGACTAAAGAGCTTCACTTTCAAATTCAAATCACACAACGGATCTTTAACTTTCTTTTCTCAATTTGTTCTTGCAGAGAGAGTATGAAGAATTCAAAGTGAGGATCAATTCTTTAGTGGCTAAAGCTCAGAAGAAACCTGAAGAAGGTTGGGTGATGCAAGATGGTACACCATGGCCTGGAAACAACACTCGTGATCACCCCGGGATGATTCAGGTCAGATTCTTCTTCTCTTCTGATATACCATCAAAGATTCCACCTTTTGAATCTAAAACATCTACTCTGGGACTCAATTTCTTCAGGTGTATCTAGGAAAAGAAGGAGCATTTGACATCGACGGTAACGAATTGCCACGCCTTGTGTATGTGTCGAGAGAGAAGCGTCCTGGTTATGCACATCACAAGAAAGCTGGAGCCATGAATGCAATGGTAAGTAAGCAAACAAGTAAAGCCTATCAGAAGAAGTAAACTGTTTTCTAATAAACACAATGGTTACTTTTTGTGGACTGTGCTCAGGTTCGAGTCTCTGCAGTGCTCACAAATGCTCCATTCATGCTGAATCTGGATTGTGATCACTACATCAACAACAGTAGAGCCATCAGAGAATCAATGTGCTTTCTAATGGATCCACAGCTTGGGAAGAAGCTTTGTTACGTTCAATTCCCTCAGAGATTCGATGGGATTGATCGTAATGATCGATACGCCAACAGAAACATCGTCTTCTTCGATGTAAGTCAATCACCATTTTCACCCAAAAACACACACTCAAAAATCGAATTCGAAACCCTTAAAATCTGTTTCTCATTTCGCAGATAAACATGAGAGGCTTAGATGGGATTCAAGGACCGGTCTACGTTGGAACAGGATGCGTATTCAATCGACCGGCATTGTACGGATACGAACCTCCGGTATCGGAGAAACGGAAGAAGATGACCTGCGATTGCTGGCCGTCGTGGCTTTCCTGCTGCTGCGGCGGAGGTAGCCGTCACAAATCGAAATCATCGGACTCGAAGAAGAAATCGGGGATTAAGAGCTTGTTGTCTAAATTGAGGAAGAAGAAGAAGAGCGATACGACGGCGATGAGCTATAACAGGAAACGATCGACGGAAGCGATTTTCGATCTGGAAGATATCGAAGAAGGGCTTGAAGGGTACGATGAGCTCGATAAATCGTCTCTGATGTCGCAGAAAAACTTCGAGAAGAGGTTTGGGATGTCTCCGGTGTTTATCGCGTCGACGTTGATGGAGAACGGAGGTTTACCGGAGGCGACGAACACGAGCTCGCTGATCAAGGAGGCGATTCATGTCATTAGCTGCGGATACGAAGAGAAGACTGAATGGGGCAAAGAGGTAATAATAATAAACTATAGGTTCATATTGGTAAATATCACATAATTTCAAGGGAAATGAATAAATTTGCATACTTTAACGGCGGGAATCCGTTAATTAACAAATAACTACTCCCTAATCTCTAAAGATTGGTAAAACATTTTATTTTTCTACTCTTTTATTTTTTACCAAAATATTTTTCTACTCATTTAACACATTTTTTTGTTTCCATTTTTCATGATTCCAGGGTTTAAAAGGTGAAATCTACTAATTTAAAAAAAATCTGATTAGAAAACAATCGAATATTACCAATCATAATTATTATAAAAAAAAAAAAAAATCTTATCTCCTCACTAAACCACTAGTAGATGTATAAAATGTTTACCGATTTGAGTGTTGACATCTAATGCTTAACTCTTGTTTTTTTTAATCTTTTTATCTAAAGACACTTCAATATTTGTGTTTTCAGATTGGATGGATTTATGGATCAGTGACAGAAGATATTCTTACAGGATTCAAAATGCATTGTAGAGGTTGGAAATCGGTTTACTGTATGCCCAAAAGACCAGCTTTCAAAGGATCAGCTCCGATCAATCTCTCAGACCGGTTGCACCAAGTCCTTCGATGGGCGCTCGGTTCGGTCGAAATCTTCTTTNGAAAGTTGGGGAGAGGCACCAGCACTTCCAAACATGGTGAAGTTGTTCCATGAGATCAGAGAGAGAGGTTTCAAAATCTTTTTGGTCTCTTCTCGCAAAGAGTATCTCCGATCTGCCACTGTGGAGAACCTGATCGAAGCCGGTTACCACGGCTGGTCTAACCTCCTTCTCAGGTATAAATTGCCCGGTTCGAGTCTCATTTGATTATAAAAACTACAAACAGTTTATTAACGAATATAAATCGGAATTTCATTTATAATTTCATCAATATCCTGTTATAAACGAAAATCAATGTAAACTAAACCGAAACCAAACCAAATAGTTTTTTTTTTTGCATTTCATATATTCTCTAAACCGAAAAATCAAGAACAAGTGATATTGTAAGATTCCTATATGAAAGCAAAATGATTTTTCTTTGTCTTCCTGAAATGTCATAAGAAGAATAATTTTAGGGAGTCATTGTTTTTGCTCTTATATTGATAATAATAATAACTTAACTCTTAGAGTATACATTGAGTTAAAGATTACGTTTTTAGCCATGCCATTATAGATTTATAGTACCATGCACATAGTTTTGATTTATTTTTCCTTCGCAAATTTTATTTTTCCTTTATTAAATAAATAAAATACTAGAACATTCACATTTTCATTACAATAAAATAACCAGTAGAGATGTATGAGCAGTAAACCAGGTTTGATAAAAATGTTGAAACCGGAAAAAAATTGCAGGGGAGAAGAGGAAGAGAAGAAGAGTATCAGAAAATATAAAGCAGATGTGAGGGAATGGCTTACAAGTCTTGGATACAGAGTTTGGGGAGTGATGGGTTCACAATGGAACAGCTTCGCAGGTTGTCCAGTTCCCAAGAGAACCTTCAAGCTCCCAAACTCCATCTACTACGTCGCCTGATCACATCATATTTACTACTCTAACCAAACAAAGTCCCAAAATCAGTTTCAATCTGATTCTTGAGTCTTTTTTTTTTTGCTTCTTCTTCATTTCTGGTTTATATAACCAATTCAAATGCTTATGATCCATGAAGCATGAGCATCTTCGTTTCTGTTGTATTACCATTTTGGGACTTTGTGAAATTGATTTTTGGCTTTTTTTTGTTAACAGTCTCTTCTCCCTCTTATCCGATTGGATTCAAGAACAATGCTGGATTTTGTGAAGTTACAAAATAACTTGAAAGCTACTCTAAGTTACACAAAATTCTAACAAACTAAAAAGAACAACAAACAGCATAAGAAGTTGGAACCTCAAGCAATAAAAAATAAAAAATAAAAACATTCTGACCAAACTATTCAAATCAAATCATATTTACTACTCTAACTAAACAATAAAATCAGAGTTTCAGTCTTATTCTTGCGTCTTTTGATTCTCTCCCTCTTTTTTTTGGTTTTTCTGGTTTATATAACCAAATTCAAATGCTTATATGATCATCTTTGTTATTCCTGAATTGGGCTGTCCTTTTATTGTTTTCTATTACCATCTTGGGCCTTTATGGAATTGATTTCGGGCCTCTCTTAGATAATATTTGATCCTTTTCTATCTCTATCTGATTGGAGTCAAAAGACACATTGCTGGATTTGGTGAAGTTCAAATATATAAGAACTCCAACTGTTAAGTAAGACTTAAGTAGACGTACATAATAACTTGAAAGCTACTCTAAGTTATACAAATGCTAAAGAACTAAAAAAAGAACAACAAACAGCAGAAGAAGTTGGAAGCTCAAGCAAATAATATAAAAAAACTCTGACTAAACTGAGCTGTCTCCTTCTTCCACCAAATCTTTTTGCCGTCTCTTGAAGCTTTCTTATGACACAAACCTCAGAACCAATCTGACCTCACAGTTTGGTACAGCCTCAGTTTTCTCCACAACAGATTCTAACATTTTCCCCTTATATTACCGCCACTGGTCTCTTCAATCATCAAAAACACATAGTCACATACATTTCTCCATCTCTCCCTTTTGCTCTACTTTAGAGCTTAGCTTGCCTCGCCATGGATCCAAACACCATGGCCAGCTTCGACGATGAAGGTAAGATATAATAAAAAAGAAAAATCGAAACTTTTCTCCATGGTTATGTTCTTTACCAATTTTTTTCACTTGATATAATGTACTTTTTGTGTGTGGATGCAGCATCGTCATTCCTCCTTCCCGGCTAAGATGTGCAAAATCTGTAGCGACGAGATCAGAGACGGCGACAATGGCCAGAAATTCGTGGCGTGCCACGTGTGCGCATACCCGGTTTGCAAACCTTGCTACGAGTACGAGCGTAGCACCGGTAGCAAATGTTGCCCTCAATGCAAGACTCACTACAAACGCCACAAAGGTAAATAAATTTTAAACCCTGCTTTTTTTTTTCTGTTAATAAATCCATACTTTTCTTTAACTCTCATCTTGTGTTTTGTTTTGTTTGAAGATGAAGAAAACAATGGTCTTGATGATTCAGATGACGAGTTGATGAATATCAAGAATCGCCCAGATGCTTCCTCCATTCACCAGAATTTTGCCTATGGATCGGTATTATATAACTTCAATCGAAGTTTTTAGTCTCTCTTTCCCATTTGGAATCAAGAATCTGATTATCCTCTTGGTACCGCAGGAAAATGGAGACTACAATAGTAAGCAGCAAGGGCGTTCAAATGGCCGGGCCTTTTCTTCCACCGGAAGTGGTATACATACATATATATATATATATATATATATATATATATATATATATATATGTATTTATGTTTTCATATAGATGTATAAGAGCGAAATTTGAGACCTGTTTCTGTCTGATTTGATTTGAAGTGTTGGGGAGAGAGTTTGAAGGCGAGAGAGATGGCGCCACAGACGCAGAGTGGAAAGAACGAGTGGATAAATGGAAAGCGAGGCAAGAGAAGAGAGGTCTATTAACTAAAGCAGAACAAACAAAGGATCAAGACAGTGAAGAAGAAGAATACCTGTAATTAAAGATTTCTTTATTCTAAAGTAACAAAGACTTGAGACGCAAGTAACTGAGTTTTTGTTTGTTTTACAGAGATGCTGATGCAAGACAACCTCTCTGGAGAAAAGTACCAATCTCATCAAGCAAAATCAGTCCATACAGAATCGTGATCGTACTTCGTCTCGTCATCTTAGTTTTCTTCTTCCGTTTCCGTATCTTGACACCGGCAAGAGACGCGTACCCTCTCTGGCTTATCTCAGTCATCTGCGAGATCTGGTTCGCACTCTCTTGGATCCTCGACCAGTTCCCGAAATGGATGCCGATTAACCGAGAAACCTACCTTGACCGTCTCTCTATGAGATTCGAACGGGACGGCGAGAAGAACAAGCTTGCACCGGTTGATGTGTTTGTCAGTACGGTGGATCCGCTTAAGGAGCCTCCGATCATCACAGCCAACACCATTCTTTCGATCTTAGCCGTTGATTACCCGGTGAATAAAGTCAGCTGCTATGTCTCTGACGACGGTGCTTCGATGCTCCTGTTCGATACATTGTCTGAGACTTCCGAGTTTGCAAGAAGATGGGTTCCGTTCTGCAAGAAGTACAACGTTGAGCCAAGAGCTCCAGAGTTTTACTTCTCTGAGAAGATTGATTACTTGAAGGATAAAGTCCAAACCACATTCGTCAAAGACCGCAGAGCAATGAAGGTCAGTGTCTCAGTGACTAAAGAGCTTCACTTTCAAATTCAAATCACACAACGGATCTTTAACTTTCTTTTCTCAATTTGTTCTTGCAGAGAGAGTATGAAGAATTCAAAGTGAGGATCAATTCTTTAGTGGCTAAAGCTCAGAAGAAACCTGAAGAAGGTTGGGTGATGCAAGATGGTACACCATGGCCTGGAAACAACACTCGTGATCACCCCGGGATGATTCAGGTCAGATTCTTCTTCTCTTCTGATATACCATCAAAGATTCCACCTTTTGAATCTAAAACATCTACTCTGGGACTCAATTTCTTCAGGTGTATCTAGGAAAAGAAGGAGCATTTGACATCGACGGTAACGAATTGCCACGCCTTGTGTATGTGTCGAGAGAGAAGCGTCCTGGTTATGCACATCACAAGAAAGCTGGAGCCATGAATGCAATGGTAAGTAAGCAAACAAGTAAAGCCTATCAGAAGAAGTAAACTGTTTTCTAATAAACACAATGGTTACTTTTTGTGGACTGTGCTCAGGTTCGAGTCTCTGCAGTGCTCACAAATGCTCCATTCATGCTGAATCTGGATTGTGATCACTACATCAACAACAGTAGAGCCATCAGAGAATCAATGTGCTTTCTAATGGATCCACAGCTTGGGAAGAAGCTTTGTTACGTTCAATTCCCTCAGAGATTCGATGGGATTGATCGTAATGATCGATACGCCAACAGAAACATCGTCTTCTTCGATGTAAGTCAATCACCATTTTCACCCAAAAACACACACTCAAAAATCGAATTCGAAACCCTTAAAATCTGTTTCTCATTTCGCAGATAAACATGAGAGGCTTAGATGGGATTCAAGGACCGGTCTACGTTGGAACAGGATGCGTATTCAATCGACCGGCATTGTACGGATACGAACCTCCGGTATCGGAGAAACGGAAGAAGATGACCTGCGATTGCTGGCCGTCGTGGCTTTCCTGCTGCTGCGGCGGAGGTAGCCGTCACAAATCGAAATCATCGGACTCGAAGAAGAAATCGGGGATTAAGAGCTTGTTGTCTAAATTGAGGAAGAAGAAGAAGAGCGATACGACGGCGATGAGCTATAACAGGAAACGATCGACGGAAGCGATTTTCGATCTGGAAGATATCGAAGAAGGGCTTGAAGGGTACGATGAGCTCGATAAATCGTCTCTGATGTCGCAGAAAAACTTCGAGAAGAGGTTTGGGATGTCTCCGGTGTTTATCGCGTCGACGTTGATGGAGAACGGAGGTTTACCGGAGGCGACGAACACGAGCTCGCTGATCAAGGAGGCGATTCATGTCATTAGCTGCGGATACGAAGAGAAGACTGAATGGGGCAAAGAGGTAATAATAATAAACTATAGGTTCATATTGGTAAATATCACATAATTTCAAGGGAAATGAATAAATTTGCATACTTTAACGGCGGGAATCCGTTAATTAACAAATAACTACTCCCTAATCTCTAAAGATTGGTAAAACATTTTATTTTTCTACTCTTTTATTTTTTACCAAAATATTTTTCTACTCATTTAACACATTTTTTTGTTTCCATTTTTCATGATTCCAGGGTTTAAAAGGTGAAATCTACTAATTTAAAAAAAATCTGATTAGAAAACAATCGAATATTACCAATCATAATTATTATAAAAAAAAAAAAAAATCTTATCTCCTCACTAAACCACTAGTAGATGTATAAAATGTTTACCGATTTGAGTGTTGACATCTAATGCTTAACTCTTGTTTTTTTTAATCTTTTTATCTAAAGACACTTCAATATTTGTGTTTTCAGATTGGATGGATTTATGGATCAGTGACAGAAGATATTCTTACAGGATTCAAAATGCATTGTAGAGGTTGGAAATCGGTTTACTGTATGCCCAAAAGACCAGCTTTCAAAGGATCAGCTCCGATCAATCTCTCAGACCGGTTGCACCAAGTCCTTCGATGGGCGCTCGGTTCGGTCGAAATCTTCTTTAGCCGTCATTGTCCGTTGTGGTATGCTTGGGGAGGCAAGCTCAAGATCCTTGAACGTCTTGCTTACATCAACACCATTGTTTATCCTTTCACTTCCATTCCTCTTCTCGCCTATTGTACTATCCCGGCGGTTTGTCTTCTCACCGGCAAATTCATCATTCCAACGGTAAAGTCTTGACCTTTTTAGGATTTTACCCCTATAGTTTATAACGTTTACATTTTTACCCCAAAAGTTGTCAAATTATCAAACTGTTTTTTAACAAGTATCTCGCTTTGATCAGATCAACAATTTCGCGAGTATTTGGTTCCTAGCGCTGTTCCTATCGATCATCGCGACGGCGATCTTAGAGCTCCGGTGGAGCGGCGTGAGCATCAACGACCTCTGGCGTAACGAGCAGTTCTGGGTTATCGGCGGAGTCTCCGCTCATCTCTTCGCCGTCTTTCAAGGTCTTCTCAAAGTCCTTTTCGGCGTCGACACAAACTTCACCGTCACGTCTAAAGGAGCAAGCGACGAATCTGACGAGTTCGGAGATCTCTACCTTTTCAAATGGACGACTCTTCTCATCCCTCCGACCACTCTCATCATCCTCAACATGGTCGGTGTCGTCGCCGGCGTTTCAGACGCTATTAACAACGGGTACGGTTCGTGGGGACCGCTCTTCGGGAAACTGTTTTTCGCGTTTTGGGTCATCGTTCATCTTTACCCGTTCCTCAAGGGTTTGATGGGAAGGCAAAATCGAACGCCGACGATCGTCGTTCTCTGGTCGATTCTTCTCGCGTCGATCTTCTCTCTGGTTTGGGTTCGGATCGATCCGTTTTTGCCGAAGCAGACTGGTCCGATGTTGAAGCAGTGTGGCGTCGACTGTTAATAAAAAGAGGTAAACTTTTAGGGAGCGTTTGCATCGCGTTTGCGTTTTCGTGAGCCATTTTGCTTGGCCTATTTTGGGTGCTTTTTTGTTTGATTTTTAACAACGAAGTTGCGATTAAAAGATTTGTATGTTGGTATAACAAAGACTAAAGATTCAAACTTTGAGTCACATTTGGGAATAAAATAGACAAATTTCTGTAATACAAACGAATATAATGAATATTACATCAAATCACATACAACACACCACGATTTGGTTCAAACACACACACACACAGAGCAAAGAACATAACTTAACAAATGCAATTAAACGTATTTTACTCACAATATCAGAACAACCAAACATGTGTGGAATAATTGTTATCTCTGATGTGGAATTTGAGCTTAGACTTCATACTTGTCTCTAGTTTCTGGTGGCCATTGAGTGACTGTTCCAATAACCACCGACTGTTCCGGTTATAGGTGACTCAGGGCTTCTACTGGGAGATTTCCTCGGCGAATTCGTAGCTGAAAACTGTTTGATCTCCTCTGAAGTTAACGCCCCCAATATAGGTCTTTCATCGTAGCTTTGAACCGTTTCCGAGTAGCTAAACATACACTTCTTCTTCTCAGAAACTACAGTTTCAACACCCATAGAGACGCTGGTCGTGGTCTGCGATGAGGAGGATAACCAAGTCGAGAGGCTAGCATCAACAGCTACTTCTTGACATCTCTCCTTCTTAGTCTCATCATCTCTTGATTTCTTGTTCAAGCTGAATGATGATGGTAAGCTGAAAGAAGCTTCAAGTTTATGTTCTTGATCGTTCTCCTTTCGAGACTGTGTCTGTATCGTTGTTGATCTTCCTTTGGATTTCACAGCTTTCCATTGCGTGAGATTCTCGATCGGGTTTAGTACCGCATTGACGTATCCGCTTCTGTCTCTACCACTCGCAATAGACCCTTTACTGGTTTCTTCTATCCTCTCTATATCCAAAACGTTATCTGCAATCTCCTCTGTGTAAACTTCTTTATCCCAGTTGTGCAGCTTAGCCTCGTAATTGCCATCATCGTTATAATAGTCTTCTTCACAAAGCAGCTCATCATCATCATCATCCTCTAGATCGCTTTCGTCGCAATCTGTTACATCCTCAACTTCATCATCACTGTCTCTGCAATTCTGGTATCTATGGTTTGAAGGATAAGACCCTGACGAGTTTGAGGTGATATCGCTTCCTTCAGATGAACATTGACCTTGCTTCTTCACCTCTTCTTTCTTCTCTTCAAAGAGCTCATTGGATTCTTCAACTGCAATGTGTTCATATGTTTTGACATTGGAGTCAAATGTCACTCTCTTACGAGCTGGACTCGGACTTTGTTTCTCCTCAGCCTTGTCACTGCGTTTTGAAAACGAAAGAATCAATCAGTTTAAGCTCAAAACAAAGAGCAAAATACACAATTTTCTTAAAGGGCATAACAATCAATACTAACCAGATATCAGTGATCGGAATCACAGAAATTTTAGGGGCTTCTTCTTCATCAGTAGGAAGCCTAAAATTGATACGATCCTCTGGAATTTTAGGGATTTCGACAACATTACGAAGGTGATGATCATCCTTTGCAGAATTTGAGACTTTCTCAACAATCGGAACCCTAAGATTCAGATGAACATCCTTTGTAGATCCCTCAGCGAGTTTCTACATATAGCGACAAGAAATTATGTCAGATCAAACATAACTAACAAAAAATTAAAGCTGAATTTTTTAGCTGGATACTGAGATAACAAGCAAATCGAGAGCATTGACTAGAAGCAGCATTTTTTCCTATTCTCGAGAAAACTTACGTTTAAACGAGGCTGGAAAGATTCTCTGCGACTCTGACGGCGGCGATTCTTCCGACGGCCGAAGCAACCTGGAAGGCAACCCATTCCTTCGAAGTTTCTGAAGAACTAGCGAGAGAGAGTGGAAGATAGATTCCTTCGATTGATTTCACAGAGTTAACAACTTCAGTTACCCATGGTTTTTAGGGATTTTAGGGTCTTTTTAATTGAGATTTGTCGTTTGAATTTCTTTTTTTTTATGGTTTTTGACAGCAGATTTCCTTTTTCTTTTTAATTTTTCGGTTTATGAATATCTTAAGTTGGGTGGGCGGGGAAAGGCAGAAGACCGTTACAATGTCTCGGACCCAGCAGCACACATTACATTAGCCTGTCACTCAAATTGGACCGTTGCTGTAGGCCCCCCAATAAAAAAAAAAAAAAATGGATGTTAATGGGCCGTAGCAAACCCAATTCGGTCCAATAAAATTGAAACGAAAAATCACAGCTAAAAACTATTTTACTACAGGTTGGTTGTGTCTATAGCTTTTAATTTTTTGCTGTAGAATTTAGATTGTAGACTTTTTTGCTGTGGCTGTAAATTATAGTATTGTAGGATTTTTATTATAAATATATTTTTTATAAAATATCATAAATATAGCATTAAAAATAAATAAAAGAGATATAGAAAAAAACATTAAAAAAGGAATAGTGAGAGTGAGATTAAGGAATGAGAAGAGAGAATTCTCAGAGCCCTAAATTTGTGCTCTGAAAAATCTTTTCTGCAGAGCCAAAATATTTCCATATTTAAAATTATGGCTCTGAACTTAAAAAATGAAATCAAAGCATGATTGATTTAACACTAGTGCTTTAGAAATAATTATTGCTCTGCAGAGCACTAGAGCACTTACCAACCACATTTCCATCTTTCACTTTGGGTTTTCACTCTCTCTTCTAATAAAGTTCTCGTTTAGCTACAAAACTTGCACAAAATAATATTTCACCGTTTATAAGGACCATTCCAAGAGTGAAAGCACCAAAAATATGTTTCACCATGTAGTAACATTCTTCCACTGTCTCATTTCTTCAGGAGTTACTACTGAGAACTTTCCTTAATATTACCATTCTTTCTATTTTTTTTTTTTTTTTGACCAAAGGCTTTCTTAATTAATGCTGAAAGGAAATAAAAAAGTTACAAGCCCTTGGGCTATAGTGTTTTGCATCAGCCCGATGCTAAGTGAATTACAAAGAAATTGAACCAACCCATAGTTTTACAAAGCCCACCATAGGAAGATGAGAAATTATGTCGGAGAAGAGTTTTGTTTTGATTTGTTTGAGATTGTCGCCGGTGCCGAATCAGACAGTGATTCATCATCTCGCAACCTCCGTCGAGAGCCATAGCTGCAGGAGGTTTGATGCTTGGTTAGGATTCCCATCTCTGAGGCTGGCTATTCTGTTACGGATCTGGCGATCTATCTTTGCGTTGATCGAGTCAACAGAGCAGAATATTTGGCGATGGAGTCTCTCGTTTCTCTCATGCCACAGCCAGTAAATCGAAGCCTGCCAAGCTAGTCGCGCCAGTCTGTTTCCCAGCTTCCCCAAGGAGAGGCTTTGCATCTGGTTTAGCGAATCCGTCCAGCCTCTTGCCGCCTGAAGATTACATCGTGTCGCCTGAATATTCCATACCGACCAGCTTGTCGGGCACTCGAAGAGAAGGTGGTCCCTTGACTCAGTGCCTGTGTTGCAAAGCAGGCAGTTAGCGTCTGTTTGAAGTCCCCAGCTCAGTAATCGATCCCTAGTTGGGCATCTGTTCAAGACAAAAAGCCATGCGAGGAAGCTATGTCTCGGGATTCCTCCAGCGTTCCAGACTGTTTGTGCCTAAGGTACTACCTGTGACTCTCCTATTAGCTTCCTATAGACTTCTCCCGTTCTATACTTGCATATAGTTTTTCCGTCCATTTCCCACTCATAGACATCTTCGCGATCATTGAGGATGACAGTAGTAAGATGAATGTGCAAGCTAACCTGGCTATCTGATCGTGCAGGCGGAATGCGCCATGAATTTGATCGGAACAAGCTCGCTAGGGTTGCTTTTTCTGATATGCCAAGCCGTGAATTTCCTGGTTCCTTCAGGAATTGCCTTAAATTTCCAAAAGGCGACCAGTTGTCTGACCAAAATCTACAACGAGTTCCATTCCCAATTCTCAGCTTAATCCAAAGGTAAATATCCTCCCTTATCTTGATCATTTTATTTGCCAACCAAGAGTTGTCTCGATGTGGCTTGACCGTCCAGAAGTTGCTCACGTTGCCATTCAATTTCTCTCGTGTGAACCAGGCAACCCAGACTGATCCTGACTGAAAGAACAAGAGCCATATTAGCTTAAGACAGCAAGTCCTATTCCAGGTAGCAAGGTCCTTAATTCCTAGACCTCCTTCTTTTTTTGTCTTTGTCACCATTGACCAGGCTACCCTGGCCGAGTGATGACCCTCCAAATTTCCTTTCCACAGGTAGAAGCTGCAGAGGGACTCCCAAGTAGCGGACTGGCAGGGTTCCCATTGGCATACCCGTGGAGAAGGAGATTAAGTCTCACTCTTGTTGGCTCAGTCCTGAGGTGAAGAAACTGGATTTCTGGACACTTACTGCTAGACCGGACCTCAAATGAAACTCTTGGAGCACCTGGAGGACGTTTTGAATCGAGTCAAGCGAACCCTCAACGAAAATGAGGAGGTCATCAGCAAAGCAGAGGTGAGTGAGTTTAGAAGCATGGCATTTGTCATGGTAGTTAAATTTTTGTTCCTCCGCAGCCTTATTGAGCATTGTAGATAGGCAATTCATTGCAATGACAAATAGATAGGGAGATAGAGGATCACCCTGCCGTAGACCTCGCTTTCCTTTAAAATACCCTTGCACCATACCATTATAGCCAATGGTAAAGTTTGTGGTGCAGATACAGGACTTTAGCCAATGCAGAAACTGATTAGGTATAGATAGACCTTCTAGGCAGTTGAAGAGGAAATCCCAAGAAACACTGTCAAATGCTTTAGCTATATCCACCTTTATCGTTAGTTTCTTTGTGCCTCCCTTCTTGTGATATCCGTTTACTAGTTCACCAGCTAGAACTGTGTTTTCCACTAACAGACGATCTTTGACAAAGGCTGTCTGGTTAGGGAGGATTAGATCTGGGAGGATCGGCTTCAGTCTTGCCACAAGCAGCTTGGAGACAACCTTATACAGGGTATTTAAGCAGGAGATCGGTCTATAGTCCGAAATCTTTGACGCACCAGGGAATTTCAGAACAAGTGTGAGAATGGTGGAGTTCGTTGAGGCGGGCATGAAGGAGGAGACAAAGAAATTACTGACCGAAGCTATTACCTCATCACCTAAGATACCCCAGGCCGACTTATAGAAACCAGAGGTGAGACCATCTGGTCCAGATGATTTATTCGGGTTAAGTTTGAACATGACCCTCCTTATATCTTCTGCTCTTGGCAAACTGATCATATCTCGTTGCTGCTCAGGTGGACATCGGAATGGTAAGAGAGTTTGGAACCAGGATGGGGGAGAAGCAATCAGCGGTGGGTGGAGGACTGAAGGTCCTAAGATGGATTTGAAGTGCCTTATTGCATGCTCACTCATTTCCAAGGGGTCGTGGATAGTATCTCCTGAAGGTAACAAGAAGAATCTGATCGAGTTGTAGCTCACTCTAGTCTGTGCTATCCTTTGGAAGTAAGTGGTGTTGAGATCTCCCTCTTTAAGCCAATTAATTCTTGATTTTTGTTTAAAATAGCTCTCCTCGATATGTCTCAGGAACATCCATTGGTCATGAAGGGTTTTCTCCAAGTTAAAGAGATGGTGGGATGGCGCCTGTAGAGCTTGTACCTGCACATCTCGTAACAAACCGTTAGCCTCACTAACCCTCTTTTGTATTTGTGAGAAATTCTCTCTGTTCAGTTCTCTCAAAGATCTCTTTATGGTCTTTTGTTTCCAGCACAACTGAGCAAGTGTGGAACCAAAGCTTCCGGCCTGAGTCCAAGCCTCTATAACCACTAGTTGAAAGTCTGGGTGCTTTGAGAGGTAGTTGAAGAATTTGAAGGGACGGGTTCCGGCTCTAGGGAGTTTATGGGCTAGGTCTAAAAGGCAAGGGCAATGATCTGATGTGAGAGGAGGCAGGAATTGGCAAAGCTATTTGGAAAGGAGGCAATGGTATGGCTATTAACGAGAAGCTTGTCTAGCTTTTTTGCCACTGGTGAATCGGGTTGGTTATTTTTCCAGGTATGTAGTGGTCCTTGAAATCTTAGATCAAACATTCCCAACTGGGTAAGGCAGTCACTGAACTCTAACATCCTTGATGAGGACGTGTTTACAGCTGCGTTGGAATGTTCTGCGGGATGAATGATTTGGTTAAAATCACCACCAAGGATCCAAGGAGAGGAATGGAGGGAGTAGAGATTACAAACGTTTAGAAGCTCCACCCAAAGGTCCGCTCTCTCACTACTTTGATTTTAGGCATAGATAGCAGTATAAGTGAACTGCTGAGCATTGGGGATTCGAATCTGACAAGTGAGACTCTGCCTCGTTTGTTGTAGGACTGTTAAAGTTACTGGGTCGCGCCAAATGAGGATGATTCTCCCATCTTCATCCGACAAGTGATTAGAGGTAAACTTCCAACCATGGCATAGCTTAGTCATAAGCTGGTTCAAATTAGAATCTTTTATATGAGATTCCAAGATAGCTCCAAAAAGTGGCTGCTCCGTTGCAAGCCAACTACAAAAAGGCTGATGCTTGTCCGGGTCATTTAGGCCTCGGACGTTCCAAAAAAAGAGCTTAGTATCCATTTAGGTAGAGGGTAAAGACTCTTCTTGGGTGGAGGGATCTTCATAAGAGGAAGGGACAGTTAATAAGGAGAAGGAATTTTGTAAGTGAGTCTGAGATGGGGGAGGGAAAAGAGTTTGAGGATGAGGATTTTGGGGAACAAAAGAGGGCTTAAGACGAGATGGGTCTAGTTGTTTAGGGGACGAAAGAGTGGGACTTGAACGACATCTTTTTAGACCAGAGAGGTTAGGCGGTGGAGGAGGGCTATAAGGGTATGGATCACCTGATGGGGTTATTGTAGCAGGGAGCGCTATGATAACCGAGGTAGTGGAATCGGAAGGGGTGGGATTTTTAGGTACAGTAGAGGGAGGGGGTGAGATAGAGGTAGTAGGGGAAGGGTTAGATTGGAGGGTTGGGATTGGGGTTTTAGGGAGATTTAAGGGAGGGGCAGGGTTTGCAATACCGATTTCTAAAGAGGGGCCGACTCCTGCCTTGGAGACATGGATTGGCTTTTTCGAAGGTAGAGGGAGGGCAATGGAATCTTTTTGTGGATCAGCAATGTCTTTCTTTTTTTGATAAACCTGTTGAGGTTTTTCTTTCACTGGACGAAAAGGAGTTTCTCTCGGCATCATAGGAAGCAGCAGGCAGTTCTTCGCTATGTGGCCCAATTCTTGGCAGTGAGAGCATTTCGGAGGAAGCCATGGATAATCTACTTGGACCTCCACAACTTCGCCACTATCTTTCTCAAACTCAACAACCCAAGGGAGTTCTTTTGTAAGATCCACTTCCACTTTAACGTGAGCGAGAGTAAGACTTACTAGATTCTTTGTGAAGTCATCCGTCTCTTTTGGTTCTCCAACCAAACCAGCGACGAGACTAAGTCCTTTTTGATGCCTCAGGTCTAGTGGGACACCGGTCAAGTGAGCCCAAAGTTGGATGGACACTAGAGGCGTATCGACTGAGGCATGAGCAGCCGTCCATTTAGCAGTATGGAACATCGAGTCACCCACATACCAAACTCCTTTTTCAAGGATTTTTGTTCTCAGGTACTCATTCTGAATCCTTACTATCATGGACCTCGTAAGGGGATTGTTGTGAATCTCTAGCCTTCTTCCCTTTCCCCACATGTGGTTCAGTACACTCTGGATTTGACTGTAGGGAGGAGCTCTTCCGTTGAAGTAGCAGACAATAAAATCTTTGTGAATTTCTGCACCTTCTTGGAATACTGCATCAGGGATGAGAATTCTCGGTGTACCTTTTTTTGAGTAAGTGACTGGAGCCAAACGTTTTAAAGACTTGTCAACGAAGACTCTAATTTTTTCGGCTAGTGTTGGATGAGAAGAGTTTGGGTTAGGGTGAGGGATGTCTGATTCAGGCTGAGAGGGTTTTGGAGTTGGGATTGAGACAGGGGGTTTGGTGGTGGGGATTTCAGGTGTGGTTTTAGGGTTTTTTGAGGAGGAGGAGGCCTTATTAGTAAGGATGGGGCTTGTAGTTTTTGGTGGGAGGATAGTGAAGATTTTTTCTTTGGATAGGGTTTTTTGAACAGTACAATCAGATCCAGGAACAGTACCACTAGATCCCGAGTCCGATTGTGGCTGGAGTGAAGGGTTTTCGTTCGCGGCTTGAGTCATCTCGACATCTGCAGGGGCTTTTTGGTTAGTTACGGCTGCCTTGGTAGTGTGATTCTCTGTTGAGGCTTTTGGCTCTAGAACAATAGTTTTCAGCTTCGGATCATCCAAGTTTGATCTAGGGGCTTTCGTAGTTTTGGAGGAGGACTGAGCTTTTGCGACATCAGTAGTTGCGGGTAGAGACTGCCCAGATCCTTGTTCCACTAGCTTCTTATGAGGAGCAGTTTGTGGAGAAGATCTGGATTTTTTCAGGCTAAGAGAAGGGGAAAGGGAGGGAAAATGGGTAGAGTACGATGAATTGGGGTCAGAGGAGTCGGGAGGGATTAAGGGAGGCGGGAGAAGACCATCACCAGCGGTGAGAAGCGGAAGGTTCGGGGTGGAAGCTCGACCATTAGAGAACCAGCGGTTCTGCATTGGCCATTGGGAACCGTGGCAGAGAGAGAACTTTTTAACTTTCACCAATGTCGTTAAAATATGAACTGATGTGGGGACTTTTCATTCTTTCTATTTTGGTCCTCCTAACTTCACCAATGTAAATATAATCCTCTTTCCGATAGTGGATTAAAATGCAAAATTGATGGTTGAAAATATGATTTTCTTAAAGTGTGTTTTTCTAATTTTCTTCTTCCGATAATCCGATGGTCAGCTTTTATTATATACATTAATTAAAAGTCTCAAAATCTTCTTGGACCCGTGACATAACTTACTATTCTAACTATGTGTCCATTTTTATTTCTATCTTAAAGATCATTATATTTTCTTAAATGAATCGTACGAATCATATTGGCGGTAATAGACACATGAAAACAAAACAAAAGCATCTTGTGTATTCTGTTGTATGTGATCGTGTGTTGGTTGAATGTTCACTTCTAGATAAAATAGGATACTATATTGTTGACAATAAAAGAAGAAGATACGGTTTTATTAATCAAAAATAATAAATTAATTCAAGTCTACGCAAATGGAATGGACTAAGCCAACTATAATGCGCGTCCAACCTTAGGGGGCGTTAATTAAGCCATCAGAAAAACGCGTCACATTTATAGCTTTTTTTCATATTTCTAGCTCTCGTATGATTTTTTTTTTTTTTTTTAATTATCTGATTTTACTAGAATTGCTTGTCTCAACACGTTCAATTCTTGTTTCATTCTGTTTTTTTTTTTGCCTCGTGTGGAATGGTTTTATACGTTATAATCTTTTTCTTATTTGTTTAAAGGGCTGTCTTGAATTTAAGAGAATGAACAAGATACAAGAAATTTGCTCTAGATGTGCGAAGTTAAATATATGGTTTCCACAAATATTGTTACTATTCAGTGTGCAATCACTTTTGTTTTTTCTACGTCAATGTTTTATATATGCTTGAAAAACTAGAAACCACAATACTTTTAGGTGTTAATTAACTGGTGCGATGATTTTTTAAAATAAGATACACTAATCAGTTGGTTGTTGTTTTTAACGCTTTGGACCTTTGGTGCCGCTTAATAAATTCTAGATGGTCGACTAGAAATAATCCAATTTAAAAGTAACTTACTATAATATCTTTGTTTATTCTTTATCTACATCTTCGTTTTTGTTGTTCGCTATAAATTCGAAGAGAGTGATAACACAGCATAACATGTTAGGTGTAAGAGGCCAGTGTTAATTAGCGTTTGATGGTTTGGCTGAACATGTGTTTGATATGAGGGATTTGCGAAACGAATTGTTATGGCCCCCTCAGCAATGTGGGTCCCTTACTCCCTTGTTATACTTAAGAGTAAATTAAAGGCATGCAATTTTCGTGTTTATTGTTATTCAATTTATTTAAGTTTTTTCTTTCTATTGACATTACTATTATATTATTACTAGATTAAGGCCCGCGTATACGCGGGTATATTTTAAGATTTTATAATAAAACATGGAAAATATTAAACAAAATTTGATCATTTTTAAACATAAACAAAATAATATTGAAAACCCGATAAAAATATTTAAATAAAATAAGATTGGTAATACTTTTACATTTTTATTGTAATTAATTTTTCTTTTGAATTTATGATATGACAAAATGAATTAATTTGTTTTACTATTATTTTTATCCAATACAGAAAGACTTACACATGTCTAAATCTGATCAATTGATTAATTAATCAAACTTTTATTATTCCATTCAAGAGATTTTAATTGATGAAATATTTATTTCAATTTTTTTACCTAACAAAAATTGAAAATCAAACTATTTAAAATTAGAATATCAATTATAATTTTTTAATATTAGTTAATTGCTTGATAATTATTTTGTTAGTTTTTTATTTATATGTTTTCTTTCTCAATTTTGTTTTTGCCTCGGACCATTATAAATACTATATATTGGTATTTTTCCTTTTCGAAATGGATTTTTTTTCCTTTTCTTAATAGATGTAACAAAAGAATTTAAATTATTTGTTTCCTGTTTTTTTATTACTTTTAATGGATATTTTTTTTTCATTTTAATTATTTGTTATCTGTTTTTCTAATTTTTAGTTAGTCTTATACATATTAATTTTTTATTATTTTTATTCCATGACACATGTTACGATCTTCATACTTCGAAATTTTTTTTTTCTAAAACACATGTCGCAATTTTGTCAGTTATAAAAATCCTATGTATCGCAAAACTTTCAAAAACATGATTTTTAAATTGGAGAAATATAATCAAAGGGATTTGATGAATTTTTTTGATGAATTTATGATTGAGAAATCTTGACTCTCTTTTATAGGGGTTCAAGTAACCTATTACATGCAGTTATAGGAAATTTAGTTTACATAACATATTCCATGTACAAATAGGATTTTATTTTATTACATTATTTTGATTTTATTATTTGTTTGGATAATATTAATTTGATGAATGGGAAACCTTTCTCTATTAGGATATGACAAATATATTTTTATTTCTTTTAACTGTAATGGATTAATTTTTTTAAAAACAATTTCCTTTATCTAAATTTTATTATTATTGTTTTTTCTTTTTTTTTCTCTAAGACATGTGTCACGATCTTAACGGACGTAACATTAAAAGTGACACATGTCGCGATCTTATAAATTATAAAAATCCTATGTGTCGCAACCACGTCGTGCGCATCCAACTTTATATAATAAAAAATTGATGAATGAAACCTTTTTCTGTTTGGATATAACAAATATTATTTTTTCCTTTTTGATATAATATATTAAATTAAATTTCGTTTTTTTAATTAACATTTTTCTGGAATTTTTTTTTTAAGTTCTCTTTTTTCCTAAGACACATGTCACGATCTTAACAGACATAAACTTAAAAGTGACACATGTCGCGATCCTGAATTTTATAAAAATCCTACGTGTCGCAACCACGTCGTGCGCATCCAGCTTTATATAATAAGAAGATATCATTCAATTGGATGAAATTTAAGTTATTTGAGTTGGCAAACTGACGCCTAACTACCCGAAATCAATTACTTTCTTGTAACCTTTTGTTAGATTTGATATCATAGTTCTGCAATATTTTGTGTTATATAAATTGGTTTATTACTCTATGATTTAATCTAAGTGATCCATGCACAATAGTGCAATACTGTTCATTAGTCCCATTCGGAGGTTGGGTCTCCAATACTAAGTCAATGATTAATATGATTCGTAGCATTTTATTGTCTCAATTTGGTAGTCATGTAAAATATAGTAATTTATTAACATTTATTTCATTGGCCAAGTTCATAGTTATCCGGTGATTTAACCTAAAGTTCTATTGTAGACGGTTTAAAATGTTCTTGTAGGATCTGTGAATATATATTTTTTTAAACATTTTATGTTGAATTTGGATTTGTTTTTTGGGTTAAAATGTTTTAGTTTTGGTTTAGAAAAATAGGAAGACATATTACCCGGGAAAAGTCTAACATTAATAAATTTACCCTTCATTAGTCACTATGCTTTGTGTATACTGTATACTATGCTTTTAAAACAGAGCTACAAAATGAATTGGATTTTTTTTTTTGCATTATTGGACCGATTTTTTTTTATTATTTTTTTTTCTATCCCTATCTGAATTTGGTTTACTAATTATATTTAGCTACTTATGTATTTTTTTCTGTTCTTTTCAAACACCTTGACAAATTAATTCGTCTATTCGTATTTGAATTAAAATATTTGTTAAAAAAAAATCTACATGTTCATTCAGATGCATGAGCTTCTTTTCTCAATTTCTTGCTCTCAATTTCTTATTTAATCTTTTTTTTAAGAGAATTTTTATAAAATACACCTTTTGAGTTGCAAATTTTCAAAACTACACCTATTGTGTGGAAATTTTCAAAAATACAATTTTTCCTAATTTTAAGCTATATGTTTGGGTTCACTAATCCTAGATTAGGGTTTAGACTTTGGGGGTTTATGGTTTAGATTTAAGGGTTCAATGTTAGATTTTAGGGTTTTGGGTTTATATTTTAGGGTTTAAAGTTCTTTTACTCCATGAAAAAGTGTAGTTTTGAAAATAAACACCGTAGAGATGTATTTTTGAAAATTTGCACCTGTAGTTTTGAAATTTCCCTTTTTTTTAACATCAATTTCATTAAAAATAAAAGGTTATTCCATCAACAAAGCAGGGGAGAAATGTTACATCAACAAATCTATCCAACTGTTTAAAAATTAGTCGATATGTTTTATCACCTATCCAATATTATATTTAAAATTTTCAGAATAATTAAAAAGCATGATGAAATCGCAGAAAAACATGTATCAATATAGTTGTCTTGAAATAAATATGATATTCTTCTTAATCGTTATCTTCATTTCAGATAAAAAAACAAGTGGAGAAAATAAAACATGTTTCAAAATATAACTGAAGTTTATAGTTTGTATGGTGAGAAGTTGAGAGAATAGATTTTTATTTTGTTTAGAGGTAAGCAATAATAATCCTTTCCTTTTAGGATTTAACACCATGTTCTTTCTTATTTTAACTTTCCCTTTCTGTTGTTGATAAATATATTTACATTCTTTTTTTTCATTGTATTTTTCTATTTTAATCAAGTGTAATTATAAATAAAGTAATACAAAAATTAAAAGAAGTTTTTTTACACGTATCAAAATTGATCTACTGATGATGTAACAAAATCTTATCTATTGATGATACATGTTGTGGTCATATTAATTACAAATTAGACACATCAAATTTTACATACTAAAGTAGATTATTATATGTGTTTATATATTAAGATAATTATAATAAGTGTTTTAACAAATTGAAAGATTAAAACAATAAGTTAAAATCGCTTAATAACCAAACAAGGAAAATAAATCAACTTTTTATATTAGATATTTTCCGGTTATTTCATATAGATTTTGTCAAAATAAAATTATTGTTTATATTTTTTACAAATTATAAAATATTAAATTTTAATGTGAATTCTAATTTAGTTTTAAATAAACTACAAAATCTCAGATTTAATTGATTATTATGGAAAAATTAAGTAAGTCAAAATTTTGTATCTTCTAAAAACCAAGTTCGTCAATTTTTCAGGTTGTTCTAAAGACGTTTGATCTTCTTTAGAACAATATAATGAATTATTGTTTTTCGTTAAATCCTAACATATTCAGCTAATTGGATGTTTATATATTTTTCTTTTCCTGGTTTCATCTTGCTTCTTACTCCCTCTGTCACACAAAATGTAAGCAATTTTGGAAAAAATTACTTTATGGAATAAAGTATACCTAATTAGATTATACATTTTTTTCCAACATTGATTATATTATATTTTATTTATTTTTTAAATAATATTTTATTTTAAAAGTTACTTTTCTTAGTTTCTCATTTTTGTTTCAGATTACTTATAATTTGGGATAAAGGAACTATATGTTAGGGTAGTTTTCTATTGTATCTTAGTTTTTGGGTTTCTCCGACTTTTGACTTCAAAAGATTTTGTAATTTGTCAGTTTTATCTTTTACAAAATCTCGATTTTTACAAGTTTATTGTATTTCTGAGATTCAAAATTTAAAACTCTACTAGATGTTAAAAAAGAAATGAAAATGGTGTTGGGTTTGTCTATATAATTATAGTTGGAAATTATCATAAAATAACTATATTCAGAATCCATTTATAAAATTAAGAAGAAACAAAATCCAAAAAAGGGGATTCCTTTTTTTTCTACCCCAAAAGGCTTTCAATGTTTGCGTTACTTGTTTCATTGGTAACCCAAATTAGAAGATATGGTAAAGAAGGAAGGGTATGAAAGTCATTTTCACGAATGGCATTTTATGTAATTTCTTAGAAAATTAAAGGGTAATTTATGCGTTGTGCCTCTATAAATTGTCGTAACCCTACTTCTTTCATTTGTCCTTCCATTCTTATTCTCCTTCTCTTCCTCATCGTCTCATTCTCTCTCTCCCCTCTCTCTAATTTTATTATTTTTAAATTAAAAATAAATATATAAAGGCCTCTCGGGTGATTTTTTCCTTCCGGGAATTTTAAAATTACTGTTTCACCGCAGTAATTATTTTCAAAATTTACTCATTGCTGACGTGGCATGCATCCAATAGAAAACCGCCATGAATACCAAAACGATGCGTCTGCCCCCACGCCGTGTGCTGACATCAGACAAACGAGTTATCTCCGGCGCCGTCGCCGGTAAACAGACGGAAACCGCCGTCATAAGTCCGCCACCGCCGCCGATTAAATCTATCCTCAAGAAAACTCCACCACCCGTTGCTCCACCAACCACTACCGCCACCGCCGTGATAGCCGAGCCGACCGGTTCGAACCAGCTCCTAGCCGGTTATTTGGCTCACGAGTTTCTCAACAACGGCACACTCTTCGGAGAGCATTGGAACCCGGCTCGGGCCCAAGCCGGCCCATTTGCGGCCCAATCTACTGAACCGAGAAAGACTAAGCCGAGCCATGATATCGAGCCGAGCGACCATAAACGGAGGAGATATGTGGAGGTTGCTAACATCCTCCGGGTAGACGGGGCCCACTTTCCCGGTATTGTCAACCCTTCACAGCTTGCCCGATCCCTTCAATTGTGATGGCGTGATCCACGTGGAGACAGGTTATTGGTCTGTCCTTCGGAAATCGCGACAGTCTTAGCATCGAAACATATCTCTTCTCTCTCGTTTTTTTCTTTTCATATTTTTTTTTTCAAAATGTTTGTGTAAAGCTGACTCTCTCTCTCTCTCTCCGTCTTCTTCTTCTTCGAAATTGACTCAGAAATGTTAGGGTTTTTGTTGGGATCATGTGTTTTGTAAATCTGGTTATGTTATCAATTAGCCATCCGATTATGCTTTCATATTACATGTTGAACGCCGATTTGACAATTTTTGGTGAAATTTTCTGATTTCAAGATGTGTTTGTTTATGTCATTACTGATTTTCATGATGAACCAAAAATGATCAATGCATCGATCACTGAATCGCTTGGATGATCTTCTCTGATGAAAATCTAGATCCGAAAAATGTGGATCTCCAAATTCCTTGCAAACACTCTGCAACAAATGAACTGTTTACTTCATTAGCCTTTGTTTTGATTTTATAAAAAATTCAATTCTATATCTCAATCTGATAACTATGCCATCTTTAATCTGATAAAATTTCCTATATTCTGATATAGTTTTGATCAGAGATCTCTGGAAACTGTGTGCTTCTTATTCCAATCTTTTGTAAATTCTGAGATAATTTTGATCAGAAATATCTGGAAATCGTGTGTTTGTTATTCCGATCTTTCGTAAAAACGTCATATTCTTATTCCAAGCTAACTTCTAAGAAGTGTAAGCCAGGAACTAGAAAACTTGTGAAATTGATAAACCAATTTGTGTGTCTGGTTTAAAAGCCTGAATTTTGAGATGCGTTCAAATTTGTACAGTGGTTTGGTTATCTGATGTGATGCCCCTTGCTAATTGATTTCCACTTTTGGCAAATGGTTTGGTGGGTACAATTGAATTTGTGTTTGATGTTATAGTCTCAATAAGTTCGTGATGACATAGACTTAAAAGGTGTTTGTGTAGGCTTCTGTTTTGCTGCTTCTGTGTATTTTCCTAAGCCACATGAAGATTTCAAAGGACAATTACTTAAATATTTCGTGCCTAAGGCCATTGTAAAGCTTGTTTCAGATCTGTTTGATCTGCAAGTAAGCAGTGGATAAAAACGGTGATACAGAATCCATAAACTGGCACTTTAGCTAGCATTTGCATCTGAAGCTTTTTCATGTATCTTGGTGATACAGAATCTTTGACTCTCGAGTCTCAAGCATCTCTTCTTGGTAATTGGGATCACGGCATTGGAGTTAATTGCCTGAACTAGTCACTCTCGAATCTTGCTTATACATACCATTTCTTTGATTATATTGGCCATGGAGTTTCAGTGACTCTGAAATTTCTGCTTATAGGTACACAATTGTTGTTGTTTTAATGACTCCTAAGAAAAGTCCATATGCAACTTATAAAAAAAATTCAATTCATTAGCTTTCTAATTATGTTCCCTTGACTGATTTTAATTGAAATATGTCAACAAGAAAAAATCTGTTTCACTCTCACCCTTATGGTCTTAACTTTTTCTTTTTGTAAAGTCTTGCCTTTCTAAGTCAAACTTCTCGTATTTGATTCATTCATTGAAAGTTTTTTTTGGTTAAACTACACACTTTTAGGGTGATTGTTGTGTTTCTATAAAGAAAATGATGATAAAGAAACATATTGAATGGCCTTAGGTTCATTTCTCAAAAGTTTGGTGTGAGTTCTTCAATTCTTTATATACTACTATTTTTTTTGTTTTGTTTCATCTAATATTATACTTTTTTGATTTTTGAAATTTATGAACAGAGCAGAGCACGGGAAAGAGCCAGAGCTGCAAATTGGGAAATCCGGACATATCTAAAGCATTGTGGCCCACATTGGTTGAGATTAAGGGATCTCTCAGTACAACCAGCTGTGTAATTCTCTTATGCAGTATTTGTTTATTTTATTTTTTTTAAATGATAACATTGAAGTCTATAATTAGAAGAAAAACTAAGTTGTTAAAATTAGCTGTAGATGAATGAGCCTTGTGGGCGTGAGAATCAGTCTTAAATATAAATGCCCAGTATTAGATATCTAAACCTGAAATATTTGATTCAAGTATACAAATTTGCTTGAGCAAAAAATTAGCTGCAATCACACTATTAAAACTGCAAACTTAAAAATTACAATTTTGAGGTCTGATCGGTAAGAAGATATGTAAATTTTATATACAGTTAACTTTTGTTACCGTCAACTTTAGCAGGAATGTATGTATGCGGTTTTACCTTTTACACTTCCATACATTTGTTCGTTTTTTTAAAAGGTTTTAGAAACTTAATTTTTCTTTTTCACCAAAAAAGAAAACTATAATTCAAAAATCTACAAACTAAACTTTACGGCAATAAATATTCAACTATAGCCCAAACCAATCAAATCTTTGACTACACATACTGGGCAGGTCATTATTACACTGGTCAAATTCGTCAATCTTTGTTTTTTGTTGCTAAAATTCGTCAATCTTTGGTCTATGACTCTATATGCAATGAGACAACGGAAAAACAATGTCGAAGTTTTGAACACGTAAGTTGAAATAGATCACAACACTTGTATAATTTACAAATTTTCCAAAAGTTCAGATAGTATTTTATTAATAAATTTAAAATTTAAATTTTCATAACAAAATGTGTTTTTTTGTTTGTTAATATAATTTAATTATGATTGAGACGCCACGCTACAAATAAACCGGAGTCCTCTCTGCCCCCCGACCGGTTCAATAACTCTCCCAAATCTCGCGCCAACTTTGACTAGGAGAGACTAACGGCGACCACACACCGTCAAAATCCGTTTAGTCATCCGAACTGTAATCCAGAACAGAACCGAGTATGAAACCTTCCAACCCATCCAATTCGACCACATAACCAGATTTATTCAATTGAAATTAAGCAAAACCCACCTTATAAGAGCTCGGTTGTGCATATAATCTCAGCGTAACAGTATAAAATTACCTCACAACATGCAATTACTGTATAAGTACTAGTAATCAAACCGAGCCAAACCGGAGAAAATTACTTTGACGGGGTCACTAACGCAGACGGCATTTCGTCGCGCTTTTCACGTTTGACTTGACCCACGTTAATAGAGAGAGTCAGAGAGAGCATTGACCTGAGAGAGTTCGAATAATTGAGTCCCTGTGTAAAGTGTATATACATACATGTAATCAAAATCGCCTTCCCATTTTCGAATCTCTCACGCCGAAAGTTAGTGTTCGTTAAAGTTCTTCTTCCTCCTTTTTCGAATCCACTATCGAATCCAATATATATATATATATATATACACACTAAAACCCTCGAAGAAATCCATATGGCTATGGCGAGTTTATATCGGAGATCTCTTCCTTCTCCTCCGGCGATTGATTTTTCTTCTGCCGAGGGCAAGGTACGGATCGGGTTTTTGATTCATTGATTCCGATGCAAAACTAGATTTTGGTTTCGCAGTTTCGATTTGTTTACTTTGGTTTCCTACTCATGAGATCTTACTATCTGCTCAGAACTGGAATCAAAATTCAAAATATAGTCAATTTGGATTTTGTTTTCCACAATTCATGGAAAATTTGGATGGTCTCGTGGCTTAAGATTCAGAGATCAGAAAAATGCATAATGTAGTCGTTTAAGTAGCTTATAAATCATCATTTGTCTGCCTTCTCAGGCCAGTGATCAGTGAGATCTGAATATTTCTCACGAATTACCAGAGAATTTCTATCAAATTCTTGCTTGTTGGTTTTATTACTGGGGATAGACTTGTTCAATGTAATCTATGTTGCTTGGTTACTCTCTAAAAGTGTTTTGTGTATCATTTGGATCATTGTGCAGCTAATCTTCAATGAAGCTCTTCAGAAAGGCACCATGGAAGGGTTTTTCAGGTTGATTTCTTATTTCCAGACGCAATCCGAACCTGCCTATTGTGGTTTGGCTAGTCTCTCTGTGGTATTGAATGCTCTTTCTATTGATCCTGGACGGAAATGGAAAGGTAAGCCACATTATATATTATATTTTATTAGAGAATCTTATATGTCTAGATGAGTTTTTGATTATTATTTTGTTTCCCTTTATTGCTATAGGGCCATGGAGGTGGTTTGATGAATCAATGCTGGATTGCTGCGAGCCGCTGGAAGTAGTGAAGGATAAGGGAATTTCGTTTGGAAAAGTTGTGTGTTTGGCTCATTGTTCAGGAGCAAAAGTGGAAGCTTTCCGAACAAATCAGAGCACCATTGACAATTTCCGCAAGTTTGTAGTGAAATGCTCGACTTCTGATAATTGCCATATGATCTCTACATATCACAGAGGGGTTTTTAAGCAGGTAACTTATTCAGCATAAATGTGATAGATTTTCTCTACACTATCTTGTTTAATTCACATTCATGATTATTGCCATTGTTGATCGGGATTCTAACAAATCTTATCGCAGACTGGGTCTGGTCACTTTTCACCTATAGGTGGCTATAATGCAGAAAGAGACATGGCTCTGATTCTTGATGTTGCCCGTTTCAAGTATCCTCCTCATTGGGTTCCTCTTAATCTTCTTTGGGAAGCCATGGACAGCATTGATCAGTCAACAGGGAAACGTAGAGGGTACATACTCCTTTTTTTGTTTTTATCCTTTTCAAGTTCTTACTGTATCATGGATTCACGAATGTAATTATTTTGTAGAATATGGTCTGATCTTTTCCTCTGTTGGTCCCAGGTTCATGCTCATATCTAGACCCCACAGAGAACCTGGATTGCTCTATACTCTGGTATGTCGGGACGCATTTGGTTTCTTTTTATTTTTGCATTTGCTGATAGTGAAATTTTCTCACTCGCCATCCTTGAAACTTTTTAAGAGAATATCTAACTTCGGATCCTTAGTATACATATCATTTGTTATTTTGGTTTTGTCCAAACTCTATGGGTGATAATTTTGGCTTACATGTATACCAGAGCTGCAAGGACGAAAGCTGGATCAGCATAGCACAGTATTTGAAGGAAGAAGTTCCTCGTCTTGTAAGTTCACAGAATGTAGATTCTGTGGAAAAGATCTTATCAGTTGTGTTCAAGTCACTTCCCTCAAACTTCAACCAATTCATCAGATGGGTGGCTGAGGTCAGAATAACAGAGGACGCAAACCAAAATCTCAGCCCCGAGGAGAAATCGAGGCTCAAGTTAAAGGTATTTCCCGTATAGAGTCTTCAACGTAAAAGTTACCAAAACCCAAAGTTGCATGAAAATAACTATTTGTCCTTTTGAAGAACACTGACTTAAGGAATGTTCCTACTTCGAATCATGTGCCATATAAACAAACAGCTCTCTGTAATGGCACTTTGGTTTGTATAGATCTGTTTGTTTATATGGCACGTGATTTGAACTAGGAACATTCCTTAGCCTTTGAAAAAAACATGTTCATGCTCATTTGTTTAGACTTTCACATTCCTGTTCTCTGGGTACTCTTTAGGTTTTAATGTCTAATAAGCTCTAGTTAATCTACTGCAGCAAGTGGTGCTGAAAGAAGTGCATGAGACTGAACTGTTCAAACACGTCAGTAAGTTCTTACCCTCTGTGGGTTACGAAGACAGCCTGGCATATGCAGCTGCAAAGGCTTGTTGCCAAGGAGCTGAAATCTTGTCGGGAACCTCATCAAAAGAGTTCTGCTGTCGGGAAACTTGTGTGCAATGCGTCAAAGGTATGTACACTTGGTTGATTCTTAAAAGTCAAGACCAAAGTTACCCAGTGTCTGTGTTTATGATTTATCTATTTTTTTTGCACCAAGGTCCTGGCGAGGCAGAAGGCACGGTGGTGACTGGAGTTGTGGTGCGTGACGGGAGTGAACAAAAGGTTGATCTGTTGGTGCCATCGACTCAAACCAACTGTGAATGTGGTTCGGAGGAGAATTATCCAGCAGGAAACGATGTGTTCACTGCACTTCTGTTGGCTTTACCTCCACAGACATGGTCAGGGATCAAAGACCAAGCTCTTATGCAGGAAATGAAGCAGCTCATTTCCATGGCTTCCCTCCCAACTATGCTTCAAGAAGAGGTAACACCATAACACCATGTCTTTTGAAGAAGAAACAATAGATAAACCTAAGTTAGGGTCTGAAAGTTCTACCTGTTGAAGCAAAGTGACTATTTTAAAGTTCATTGTTAGGATGTTACATAGTGATTGGTTTAAGTGGAATCTAAACATTGTGAATTTGGGGGTTATGTACAGGTATTGCATCTTCGACGCCAACTTCAGCTGCTAAAACGATGTCAAGAGAACAAGGAAGAGGAAGATCTCGCTGCTCCTGCCTTTTGATTCTTCTACCCAGATTCACACTCTTTAGTCTCTTCTTCCCCATTTGAATCCCAGTTTATCAGAGAATAAAAAAAAGAGCTTAATTGTTAGAGAGTCTCTTTTATTCTGTATGATTCAAATTCTATTTGTAAGGAGAGCGATTTGTAATATCCGAAGTCTATATAATATCAAGCTTTAAACCACTCTACTGCAGATTATGAACCACTTTGTTGATAGAAAACACAAAACTCTACACCCTTTTGTTGTGGAAGTTGTAAAAAAATCTCCAACTTCGACTAAATCGCAAGAAATCTCTCAAACACCAACTAAACCGCTCAAGCATATCGATTGTTTATCATATGCGGCTGGTTGCCACGGAGCTGAAATCTTATCTGGAAGCTCATCAAAAGAGTTGTATTGTCGCAAAACTTATGTGAAAATCCACCAAAGGTACGGCCTTGTTGGTTCCTGAAATGGCTTCAATGTTTGCCATTTACTCAAATGTTTTCACTTTTCACCTCTTGAAAACTTTCTTGCTAAATCAGACTTGACTAAAAACTAGAGCTATCCTAGGAAATTTCACTATGCGGGTTTGATTCCATTAAAGGTCCTAGGCCTTCTGGCTTAATGTACGCCGCCACAGTGATAGCTGCAGTCGTGGTTCGTGATGGTAGCCAACAAGAAACTTGACCTATTGGTGCCGTCAATATGCTTATTAATTCACTCTCCCCACAATCTGACTCCGGATTTCATTCAAAAACTCTTAAACTTCTGTATGATATTTCCAAACTGAGAGCGTTTAAGCTCACTCCAAGATCAATTCCTCATCAAAAACCAGAAATGGAAACTATGTAGCATATCATATGCAATCTATATAGATAATAAGTTATTAACCATATTCATCACACAGAATCCACTCTCTCTCACTCACACAAACACACAGGTTTTAGTTACAAAACCAAAGTATCCTTAAAATCCTAAAAACCTTGAAAAGTCTATACCTTTTTTTTCTTTTCTTCATATGATTACCATTCCAAAGATCGAATCCTGCGTAATAACCCATGTTGCTGCTGCTGCTGCGGTTTCTCAACCACAGGAATCACAAACTCCATCAACTTCTGGTATCTCTCTTTCCTCTTCTCTTCAATCTCTTTAGAGAGCATTTCATTCTCTTCCTCGAGTTTCGCTGCTAAAGACTCCAATTCGACTTGATAAGCTTGTTTCCTCTCTCTTGACCTAGCAGCAGATTCACGGTTCTTAATCATCCTTCTCTGTCTCTGTGCAGCTGCTTTATCCAGTGGCTCAACCATTACTCTCGCTCTCTTCCCTCTCGCTCCTCCTCCTCCTCCCGCTCCTCCACCTCCACCGTAAACATCCAAACCATTCCCAAACGGAACAATCGATCCTTCCACTTTATCAATCATCTGAAACGGATTATGCGGCGGCGCTGAATGATCGAATCCGTAATTGAGTCTCTCCGGCGGAATCTTCACATCCATATCGTCGGATTCTCCTCCTCCGTTCCCTACCGTCGCTGCTGCATCCTCCACCTCAGCTTTCGCTAGAAAATCCTCCAACGTCATTATCTCTTCCTGCGTCTCTTCCTTCATCCCTTTCCCTTCTCCCGATACGATCTCCCTCCAAACCTCGTCGACAGTCTTACCACCACCACGCGTCTCCGTTCCTCCGCCGCCACCGCCACGATCTCGATCGACATCGGAAACCGTCGTTATCTCCATTGGCGCCGGAGTATCCATCAGAGTCATCGACGCGCCAAGGAGTGAAGATTCCCTCGCTGGTGGATCCGACGCGAAAGTGTCGTGTAGTATCCCTTCCACCGTCATCGAAGTAGAACTGTATCCGTCGCTTCTTCCGCCGTAACCGCCGCTAATCCTCGATAGATCGGCGTTGGGATCTCGCCTGAACTGTTGAGGTCTTATAGACGAAGAGGAAGTAGAGGAAGAAGAGATGCGACGAGATAGATCCGAGTTTCTAGAAGTGGAAGAATGCATCACCTTGAAGGACGCCATTTTTGGGGGAAAATGAAGATTGAAGAAGTCCGGTTTGTCCTCTCTCACCGGAATCGGATCAGAGAATCGTTCGATTCCTTTGACTCGGCTCGAAAATGGAATTGCTGAACACTAAGCGTTTGTGAGATTGACGAGAAACTAGAAATCGCGAGATTTTAGGGTTTTTTTTTGTGAGCCCTAGAGGATTTGGCAATTATCAATCCTTTCGATCCTGGATTTTTTTTTCCCTTAACTGTATGTTTATTGACTTCTCAACTAGAAAAATGCAGAAATTTTGATAAGATCACGCGCGGAATGTCGCACGTGAAATGCACCTCTCAGATTTCTCAGCGTAAATCGTCGATTTGTGCAAAACAGTCAGATTTTTAACTTTAAGGGCGCGTGAGGAAGTTTCTGTCTCGTGTCATCACTGTGGTCGCCAAACTAACCATCAATTATTGTTAAGATCAATTAGTGCATAATTATCTCGAGTCACATTAACCTAATACATTATTGTACTTGAACTTCATTAATTTAATAATATATACTCGTGTGTTAGGATCTAAACAAGACTAAACAAAAATGATCCAGTAGTAGTAGTACAAATGATTAGTTTTGACTATAACAGAGGTTTGCAATATTAACTGTAAATATGATATGCATCTGTGTGTTAACATGAAAGATGTATTTTAGATTTATTTACGAATCTACAACACAAAGACATAAAATGATTGTTGCTAGTTGCTACCATGTCATAATCCGAGTTTCGATTTTAACGTATGCTTGCGAGTTACAGACGACAAGAGTGAAAAAACAAAAAAACAAAATACACGTTTGACCTTATCTACCAAAATACAAAATCATGAAAGGTATCTATTGACAAAAAAAAGCTTGGACTAGTAAACAGGTGTTGTATTTTGCCGAATATTTCGTTCCACTACGAATTAATGTTGAAATCTCTAATTTACCTAAAAAAGTCCAATATATTTCCGTAGGGGTTATTAGGCTTAGCGGTCAATCAACAAAGATATATTGAATAAAATCTCGCAGATAATTGATAACATGTGAGTATGCACAGAATTGATGCTCAATTATCCGGGTGAGCAAAAAGCAAATAAAAACGAAGACTTGAACATATAAAACAGTGTTCAAAGATTTGTACCCCACAAAAAGTTTCTTTGTACATGGTTTCTTTTGATTTTAATTATAAAACCATTGTTGGTTGTTTCCAGTTCCACAAAAACACTATAAACACCGTATGTAGTAATATACATAGATTGAAAAAAGAGTCCAAAACCTGAAAAGCCTAAGCAAGACGAAAATTTCATGAAATGACAGCCTCCTCTTAGAAGATCCAACCTCTTCTTCTTCCCAAGAAGCTAGTTAAAAGAAAATCAGCAAACAAAGTGTCTTTAGGAAATGATCAAGCTTTCATGCGAGCATCAAGAAGTTGCATAAATCATGTATTGATAGAGTTTTAATGTTCATGATAAATTGCGAAAATCAAGGGTGAAACTTATTACCTCTTATGAAGTAACTAAAATGGAGATTCGAGTGGTTCATCCCAAACATCGGCACTCCCATTCGAGACTTCCTCCACATCTTCCTCCATTGATAACCTCACATACTCTCTCTGAGCAAATCGGTCCCATTCTGTCAATGTTGGATTCTCGCGTTCCTGTGAGATGTATAAACAGACTTGTTATGATAGACTATCTAAGCACTAATAAATATTCAGTAGTAAATTTCAACCAAGGATGGAGAAAAACTCTATGTTTACCTGGCGAATGAGGAAAGGGTCACGAGTTTCAAAAGCCATGAATTTGTTCAGGTTAAAGAGTATATTGAAAACATTTCCAGAAAGTTTAGATCCTTTCAGGTCCTGGAGCGTGATGCAGTTCTCCTTCTGTAAGAGCCACTCAACAAATTGATGGTTCGAATAAAGAAAAAGTAAACAGCAGCCGGGAACATCAAAGACAATGTTAGGGTTTGAAAGAAGACTTGCCTCTGGTTTAACCATGTCGAATATCTGACATAGGATATCCTCAAAGAGTACAGGTTCCTGGGTTATGCATTCCATGCGATGCAGCTGCTCTTCGTAGAAAAACTGCATTTCGTTTGGATTGATCACCCCATCTCCATCCAGGTCTATGCACTTGAACCTGCAACGATGGTTTTAAAACAGTATCAAGGGACAACATTTGCTAAAGGCAAAAGGGAGGAAGAGGAGAGACGTGTACCAATACTCGAGGCTAGGCTCGGATGACTTATCCTCCTCAGCGAGTATGAAGTATGCAAAATCTTCATAACTCATCTTCCCCACAACCTTGCTCGTAAATTTCCTGGGGACCTTAGTGAGAGACATAGCCGTAGAATGAAACAAGAGAGAATGATTCAAACACATTCCATAAGAGTATGATTAAGTTTCGATAAAGAGTGTTCCGCCAAGAACATTTTGACATCTAGAGCCAACCTGTGAAAATATTCTGTCGACGATCCTGTAGGTAAGGGCATGATTACCATACTTGATGAGATTTTCCTTGTCAATAAGGAAATCATGGTCGCCATCGAGTTCCCAAAACCGACAGTATATAACGTAGAAATGCTCATAGGAGAAGTACCTGAAAAGCAAAGAAAATATCATATTGAATGGTCAAATCGTGCATAATGTCCTGTCTCATTACCAATATGAGTTCTAGTCTAAGAAACAATATGAGGACCTAAGCACTACCGATATTACTCACAATGCAAAACGGCTTTCTATTCTGAGCTTGAGATCTTAAACAACTTGACTGATCTTTATTATTAAATTAAATTGAACTTGAATTCTTTTGGAAGTAATGTGAAGAAAAGATAAAAAAAAAGGAAAGCATAATCACCTAATAACTTTATTGATGTCGTCTTCTTCATCAACTTGTTGCATGGCAGCAATAAGATTCCCACGCTTCAGCTCTCTAAGAGTAATGCAACCGGTTCCCGATCTGTTTATGTAGTAAAATATTCTGTAGATGACAGTCTCAGCTGGGTAGACGGGAAAGAACACAATGATGAATGAATCAGGCAAATACGATTTAGTAAATAGATGTAATGAGTCGGCTGGGTAGAACTTTTGATATTTCACACCATAACAAAGGTATCATAAACTAACTAAGTTCTTACCATATCTTTCTTGAAATTCAGGTGTATTCCGCAGGAATTCCAAGCCAGGATGAGTTACGAGAAGCTCATCAAGAACTGGTTTGAAGTCAGCCTATCCCCAAATCCAAGAAAAGACAAAGGTCTTCAGGACAGCAGATTATAGAAAACAATTGAGACGATAATTTTTGATACAATATTCAAAACAGCAACGAAGAATCATAAAGAGACCTGTCTGAGGTACTTGCAGCCTGGCTGCCTTAAAATATTATATATCTGTGTGGCTACATCCATTGCCAACATATGTCCATCAACCCAATACTTGATAAATGCATCCCTGCAGGCACACATCATATTTAGGAACAAAATATGGTGTATTCAAAGATACAAATTGTACAAATTTTCTGTAAAGTAGATATAAATCATATAACATTGGTTTAGATAAAACTGATAACAATCAAGTATCAAAATTCTTATGCCACTGTACATTTATCTGAAAAGTGTGCAATCTACGAAATAAGTCGCTGAGCATGAATCCAGAAATCCAGACCAGATTGTTCTATTGGTCTATACCATATACACAAACACACAAGCATGCTTATGTATATATATATATATACTTAACTATGATTACACATATGAAAGAGAAAGTATACAATGAGTTACCTTGTAACAATACCGGTGCAACTCGTATCTATCTTTCCAAAAAGCACAGAAGAAAGAAAAGAAGGCAGCTTGCAGACTTCTTTCGTAATGGATTTGAATTCTGCAATTTGAGAATAGCAAGAATGCGTTTGCAAGATCAACTGTTTGCATATTACTTACAGAAAACGAGACTGATGTAGAAAAGTTTGAATTGAAACATTACCATCCATACGAAGTCCGTCAATATAGTTACTAAAAAAATGATCAATCATGGATATACACTGCTCCTTTAGTTCTTTCGCAGGCGGACGCCCATGTTGGAAGTAAAACTGCACAGCATATCAAGGCATATAAGTTTCAAACCAGAATGCTAAACACTATAATTAGCTAAACCCTTCAACTACAAAATCATGTTAAACGGATTACCAAACTTTCACTTTGTTATCATTTGGTGAAATAAAATGTGTATCTATTCTACTTAACCAAAGAAAATAGTTTCTATCAAATTCTGTGCTCATGGTTCTGCATCCAAATGAGGAGCAGATGGATATAAACCAAACCTGAGGGATGAGCTGGCGCTTAGGTTCCCTGACTGATTTCAGAGGAGACTGTAGAGAAGAAGGGCTTGTCTTCTGCCTCGAGAAACGAGGAGACCCAGAAGAGCCTCGTGGGGATAGTGGGGGAGTGCCGCTGTTCAGAAACACAGATGGCAATGCACTTCCGCAAGCAATATTGAGATTGGCACAGTTCTTGGATACACTGACTGGGGTACTAGATTTAGTATCCTCAATCAAAGACTTGACCTGCATAAACATCACACAGACGAATCACCAAAAGAAGCCATAAGAAGCAATCAAATGAAATCACACAAGGATAAACGAAAAGTTCCAACACGCAATCAAATTACCAATCGGCCAGTTTCAGGGAGTGAAAGCCACTGGGAGAAGAGTTCCTCAGCGATATGAGGGTTTGCTTTAACCGATAAAGGAGACAAACCCGGAAGCTGCAAGAGCTCAGGATCCAAAATCTGGACATCGCTTACACCATCAATCTCCATGATCTCCCTTTCTTATCAGACTAAGAGCTACAACTGCCACGAAGACCCAATTCCAAAGATGCCGATCAGCAATCCGAAACGCGAAGCCCTAATCTCTTCGAATTCCTCGGGTCAATTCCAAAATTGGATCGTTACCAACTGAAACCCTAATCTCTCAAAAGCAATTCCAACACCTTGAAGCAGTAACTCCACGACAGAATACTCGGATTTATCGAAACCAACACGAGAACCGAAGAAATTCAGAAATCAACAAAAGCGGCTCTGGCCAATCGAGTAGCTATAATAAACTAGAGAGATTTTAGTAGGAGGAGAAACACCAAGCGAAATGGAAGAGAAGAAGAAGACACTCGGATCAAAAACGAGTTCGAAATAGAGGAAATTCAGGAGTGGAGAAGGAGAGAAAGTCGAGAAATTAATGTTGAATGGAATTAAGAAGAGGAATTTAATTGACTCAGGCCCCAGCGGTGGTTTTTGTTTTTTCACTTTCAGTCATTTGGCGTTGACCAAATTCAGCGTTTTGTTCTTTTTCTATGTTGTGAAGTGTGTGTGATGTTTTTTTTGTTTTTTTGAGAAAAGAAGTGTGTGTGATGTTGCTTCCGTTACAACGTTTGAAGCGGCCAAAGGTAAAAACGGCACAAGAGAAGCGTTACATTGACCGTTTAAATCTTTATACGATCCATTCTCAGCATCTTCATTAATCGACTCCTTGTGTTATTCTCTTGTTGCTAATAGTAAAAAATACCAACATTAACTACATCATCATTAGTTATTTAGTTTTACCATTTGAAACCAACTACTCATAATCCACACCAAATGACCTTCCTCCACCCGTACTTGAAAGTTGCCTGCTTTATATCCAGATCTTTGATTACCTTGGCATGGAAAACATATCTTGGTTCAGTAAAGTTATGATGTGAATTAATAAAAAAGAGGTGGTAAATTTAATTTTTAGTTCATTTAACACTCAGACCCAGCGGTGTTTTTGTTGATGCTAACGGTAGAAGTTCTGTCTGAGTCTTGGACAAAGTCTTGGAGAAATGAAGAAATTAAGCCTACATATTGTTGTGTATTGGTCAGGAGAAATTAAAAGAAAATTACAAGAAACAAAACGAAAAAATCAGGAAAGTGGAAACCACGCGTTAGATTTTCCCTGGATGATGAGAAAAGGAAATTGTTTTGATAAAAGATGAGAAAAGGAAATATGTTAAGCTGATCCGTTTAATCAGATAACTTTTTTCAAAACAAAAAAAAGGAAACTCGGAAAAAAAGGATAAGTGAAAAGGAAAATCCAACACCGTCGTGGAATATATATATACAACACACCAAAACCTAAAGGAAACGCAACAAAAATCTTTATATAAGCTCTCTCGTTTGGTCTCGTCTTTGAGTCCGGCTTTGAGAAAGAAGATATGACGATGACAAGTAGTAGGCGCGTGGAGATAACTAGAGGATCATCATCGGACGCCACCGTTAAAGTAGCCCACGGCGATGACGATGACGGAGGAAGAAGCGTTTTGTCGTCGTGGGTCAAAAGAAAATTACTTGGAAGAGGGGCTAACGCTTCGGTTTACCTAGCCACCCGTGAAAACGACGACGATGAAGACATCGAAGTAAGAGCAATCAAAACGGCAGAGCTTTCACGTGCTTCAAGTCTCATGGACGAAGGAAGGATCTTAATCCGTCTAGATTCTCCTTTCCTTGTCCGTTGCTACGACGCCGAGATTGTTCGGGAGGAGAACTGTATGCAATACAATTTGATTCTCGAGTATTGCTCTGGCCAAACGATCGCGGATCTGATCGAGGAGAATCACGGAGGAGGGTTGTTAGAGTCCGATGTGAAAGTGTTCGCTAGAGATGTCTTGTCAGGTCTCACATACATCCACGACTGTTACATCGTTCACTGCGACATCAAACCGGAGAATCTCTTGCTCTGCCCTGCCGATCGCCGGTTTAGACCTAACGGGTACTTGACCAAGATTGGTGATTTCGGTTTAGCTCTGCAGAAAGGGTCCATAGAGTACGGTGACGGATACGGTCTCAAGAGAGGCACCAAGAGGTACATGGCTCCGGAGCTGATAATCCATGGGATTGTGGAATTTGGAGCAGATGTGTGGGCCTTGGGATGCACGGTGTTGGAGATGTTAACCGGAGATATGGTTTGGGGAGAGCATGGTGATATTGGTTCTGGTTCTGATGATTGGGTCGATCTCATCGGTTACAGCGGTTTAACTCCACATATTCCGGATTTTGTGTCTCAAGAAGCGAAAGACTTTTTGAGCAGATGCTTTGAGAGAGACGTTCACAAGAGGTGGTCTAGCCATTCACTTGCCAAGCATCCGTTTGCTATTCTGTGGTGAAGACGAAGAAGAAGTAAACATGTTGTTATTTCAGTGATAGATCTTTGTTTCTAATTCTGTTGTTTGAACGATTTCGTGTTCTTCTCCATTATATAAGATTTTGTAGTATTGCTGTTTGAATTACCTTGAATTCTTTTTCATTAACCAAGAAGATAATTGTAAAACAAGAGATCCAAGTCTCTGTTTCAGTAACAATGTATTGTCACTTTGTCAGTGCGTGATGGGATTTTGAATAATTCAAGAGGCCCTAAATTCATTACATACGCTGTTTGAGAGAAACACAAGACTAGATAGATATTCTTGCTTAGCTAAGTGACAGACCTTAAACAGAAAGTATGTATATGCCAAAACACAGAGTTAATCACGACTCTTGAACAGATAGGACTTGTACTTGGGCTTGTTAAAATATGATTTTTCAAAAAGAACTTAGTTACAATTTTCCAATCATAGATTCCTATGTAAGATCCTGAATAAGGCAAAACGAACCATAGATCACACATTTCTGGTTATAAGCACTAACATTTAGAAACCTAAACTGTATGTATGTCTAAGTATTTTCAAGACTAAGTTAGCTATTAGTATGTATATGCCAAAACACAGAGTCACAGATAGGACTTTGTACTTGGGCTTGTTGAAAAAGGATTAGAGAGCTGTATCCGTCGGCACAAAGACTTGAATATATTTAATAACATTTTGCCAATCATAGTCTCCTCGGTAATGAAGCAAGAATGAAGAGACAGAACTAACCTTAGATCACATATTTCAGGTAATAAGCACTAACACTTAGAAAACTAAACTGGGTGCATAGAGCCATAAGCTAAAGTAAGCCACAAGTCCTTGACTCAATTTTATCCATAGACCATTCAACTAAAATCTATGAATTCCACTGATTGTGTGTAGACAAAAGTTGGTATGCGTTGTGATGCATAATCGGATAATCGTTTTCTTTTCCTTCATGAAGGTCACTACTCACCGTTGCAGGAAAATATAGTGTATATTTGAATGTTTTGTCACTTATTTGGTAGCCAAAATACGACTTTAAGGAAATGTTATTATCAAATACATAATTCAAAATACAATCCATCTCCGATTTTAATCAGTTTAAGAAATTTCCGTAGTAAAAATCAATATATAATAGCAAACTCATTTTTGTGTTCGCTGATGTCAGCATTTTTTTGTAGGAAAAAAATGTAAAATCGAATGGTTAAGATTGTTTGGCTTTTGTGATCTAATTGACAGGAGATTCTGGGATGACATCATCAAATGATTTCATCAAAGGAAGGGGTGCCTTCAGAAACAGTCATATCTTTTCCTCTGCGAGACTGCGAACAAAGGCTTTACCAATCCCACTTTGATTTTATCGAAAAGGTATAAGATAGAGATGCAATCAAAAAGAAAAGTCATGTCCTTTGCTACGTTCTTTGAACTAAGCTTCTTTAAAAATTACAGACCAAAAGGGTTGCTGCTTTTCAAAAATTATAAATAGTTTCCTTCTTAGAAGATATCAGATTTTGTATTCATCATTATAGTTGTAGTTTATTCATTATAGTCTTATTTTTGTTATCAGGATTTTCAAACACATGTTTTCGTTTTCTCAATTCCAATGTGAATTTTTCAAACATGATACGTTCATTCACAATCACTCATTCGTTCCTACAGTGGAGTCTACCTTGAATCGGAGAGCTTCAGCGGCAAAGGCTTCCTGCACCTAAGAAATGGACAGGTGTCTGTCAAGGCGGCGAAAAGTTCTCTACAAGTATAAAACCCACTCAAACTGATCATACAATTAACTGCGTTTAAGTTTTGTCAATTTTTTTTATTTTGAGTGTGAGTGATGATGTGTTTTGTTGTATGCAGCAAGCTTATTGGAACTACACATTTGAGGGGCTTCCTCAGTAAGCCAGGGACAACGTTGGACACGGATCACACATAGCTTCTACGGGCTAGGAAACGGAACCGTGAGAGGAGGCGTTCCAGCCGCGAGAATAGCGGTTTACAAAGTATGCGATAAGCAAAGGTGCAGGAATGACGGAATTCTATCTGCGTTTGATGATGCAATAGCGGACCAAGTGGACATCATAAACCATTTTTGTTTATATACATATCTCCATTACTCGCTATAAGTAGCACACAAAATAAAATAAATATACAAAAAAAATTAGTAAGATTATTTAAGTTACATCCTCTAAACTAAATCTGTATGTAAATGCCATAGCTTAGTCACACTGCTATAAGTGAAATTTAGTTAACGCTAAAGAACAAATTATATATCATAAAATTTAGCAAAACATAAGTAAATATATCATCAAAATTTAGCAAAACATAAGTAAAATATAAGCAAAAATGACATTAAGTTATCAAAGTGATCAAAATTTGAAGAATGATCCTATATAGAAACACTAACCTTTTTATACATTTCTTAATTTCTTCAATACATTTTCAGAATCTCTCGGTTAAATTAATTAAACTACCCTTCGATGACTGCTCAAGTCTCGGCGACAAAACCGTTTAATGTGACTTTCTGTAGAACAGTGTATGGCTAAAGCTACATACAAAGCGAAGATGGTCGGATCTAAACTCAAGGTCAAGGTTATTCCTAGTAATAATAACAGAAAAATGGAAACACAAAACTCCATGTGGGGATTGGGAGATCACTAATGGAAATATGTACAACTAAATTAATTATTCTGCTCGTAATAAACTATATAATTATAATTATAATCCGTCGTTGTCGAATTAACTAAAGGTAAAACCTGAATAATTAAGGAAACTGTAAAAAAAAATGGAAAAAGGAACATCGAGCGATATATATTTCCTTTTCCGAGTAAACAAAGGATCAACGAAGAAAATAAATTACGATCCAAACTTGTATAAATAAACCTCCCCACAGATCCAACAATCACACACAAAAATCTCTCACACACTTCTCCAAAACCACAGAGATTAATTAATAATCCCACTCTCTAACAAATAATAATTTCTCTCACATTCAATGTCGATCGCCCATAATACCTTTTCGATGTCCACCATGTCCGATGCTTTACCACATATCCGTTTCTCTAGAGGAATCTCCGGCTCCATTCCTCCTCCGGGCTTCTTCATCCCACGCGCCTCCGACACGCGCTTGAACACGCTGTTCAACCTAATGACTAGCGGCGAAGGTGTGGCCCTCTTCCAAGACATGATCTCGAAGCTAGACCGAAGACAGCTTCACACGATGGCCTCTTTGCTGACGTCAGACTCCGATTACTTCACGGAGGTTGTCAGAAACAAGCACGGGTCGAGACGCGTGCAGAAGCTCCTCGGAATATCAGACGACGTGGACGCGCTCTTCCACGCCGCCATCTTGCGCCGTTTCCTCCACGTCATGACCGACAAGTACGCGTCCTACGTGGCGAGACGAGCCATGGCCGTGTTCGACCAGACGAAGAAATACGCAATGTACGAGCACATCCTCCACCACGCGCTCGACATAGCTCGTGATCAACACGGCTGCATCGCGCTCAACGAGATCATTACCGACGCGGACGATCCTTTCTACAGAAACCAGATGCTGGACGTGGTCGCGCACAACGCTCTCTCCCTAAGCAACAATGCTTCAGGGAACTTTGTGGTCCAACACGTACTTAAACTGTATGACTTGCGTTGCACGCATAACGTGGCGGTTAATCTCCGAGGCCACTGCTTTGACCTGTCGTTTAAGAAGTATGGGAGCTACATCGTTGAGAAGCTTCTGGAGGCGGAGGGGTCGATGGATGTTGTGGTTGGGGAGCTTTTGGAGTGCGACGGAGAGAGGTTGATGAGGCTGGCGAGGAATGAGTTTGGGAGTTTCGTGGTCGTCAAGGCACTGAGAGTCACGCAGACGAATAGGATCCATCTGTTTTGGGATTTGGTGCAGAAGCTCATGCCTTTTCTCCATCTCTTGCGTAGGTCTCACGGAAGTAGCATTGCAAACATCTTGGAGGCATGTTCTATAGCTACAAGATGATCAAATTATAATGTGTTCTGTTGTTCTCTCGTTGATTACTACTGAAATCTTGTTAAAAGAAGTTTGTCGTTGATTGATTTTTGTATAAGGATCCAAATTTGATTCAAACGGAATGCCATAATAACATTTCCATTAGTAATCGTGCACTCTCTCCGTTCATGACCAGTTTGTTTTATTTAACCGAAATTCAAACTTAGGATGTCTTGATACATGTTACTTACTTACTTGTTATCTTAACTCAGATCAGCTGTTTTAATTTGTATGTATGATCCTTCTTCTTCCCCTGTTTTGAAAAACAGATTAAAACGTATTGTATTCATCTCCCTTTTTTGATAGCTTGTCATCCATAGATCTATGTGTAGCCTAAGACCTTCAACAGATTCTTAAGAAAGTAAAATCTTTGCCAAGCGAAGCCAGCGACACCCTATAGTGCATAAGTTTATATGAGGGTTTATGGCCACTCTTATATTTCGATGGCAAAAGATAGGTAAATTAATTAAAAGTTTTCATTAAGGATATTAATTAGTGTAAATTTTTTGTGAGGGTGAATGAGTGAGGTACTATAAACACAGCCTCCCCGCCTCCACAATCCGTATCATCGTTTCGTTTTAGGTTTTTACAAAACTCAGAGAAAATCAACAAAGAGATAAGATAGAGAGACTGAAACAAATATCTAGAGTATTGAAGATATCTTGGTGAGTAAGCCAAACCAAGTATGTCAAGCCCGTTTATGAAGTGAAACCTGTGAAGCCCAACTGATTAGGAATATTCTATAAAATTCATATAGTGATAAGTATTAGGAAGATTTACATTATTTGGTGTTATCAATAATGTCAATGTTAAACCCTATATGAGTCTTATTCTCTTGTAACAAAACACAATTCAATAATAATATATTACCTTCTATAATATTTGTCATAGAGTGAAAAAAGATATGAGAAAAATGGCGAGATCATCATCTTCTGATCAAAATCGTCGATTAGGTCGTCGGGAAGACGACTCGAACCGTCCTCGCAAGAGGCCGCGATACTCACCGGCCATCCCAGAGACGACGGGGATAATAAACTTTGCTGGTTCGTCGACCAAGACGAACCCTAAAGAGAAGAAACCGATCACGGGAATCAATATTCCAGAAAGCGATTGGTGGGTCGTGACTAGATTTCTCGGGAAAGGCTCATACGGCTCTGTTTACTTAGCCAATAAGACAACGACCAACGGAGACGTAAAAGTCTGTATGCCTCAAGAGATGGCGATCAAAACCACAGAGGTCTCACAAGCATCACGGCTCCAGAAAGAGGAAGACTTCTTAAGCCGTTTCAAGAACCAATACGTCGTCTCTTGCTACGGTGGCATCATCACACAGGACAAGGAGAGCAGAGAGATGTTATACAACGCGATTTACGAGTACTGCTCTGGAGGATGCCTTGCGAAACACGTCGAGAGATACAGAGGAAGAGGATTGCTAGAATACGATGCCAAGAGGTTCGCCATCGATATCTTGTCTGGTCTCAAGTGTATCCATGAGAAGAAGATCATTCACGGGGACATTGAGCCGAAGAACATCTTACTCGTGCCTGATGATGTTAGGGCTAATGGGTTGGTTGCTACGAGGAGGTTTATGCCGCCGGAGCTTGTGGTGGATATGGTTTTGGACTATTGTGCGGATGTTTGGGCTTTTGGTTGTACGCTTCTTGAGATGTTGACAGGAAAAGCGGTTTGGGGAGAGTATGGTGATGATATTGATTGGGAAGATTGGATTAGTCTTGTTGGTGAGAGTGGCTCTGTTCCTTACGTTCCTGGTTCGTTGTCCCAAGGAGCTAAGGATTTTCTCTCAAAGTGTTTGGTGAGGGATCCTGCCCAAAGGTGGACTGTTGAGGAGTTGCTCAAACATCCGTTTCTTGTTCATTGGACTAGCGGAATCTCTGGAGACGAGGAGGAGGAAGAAGAAAGATATGAAGATGTAGTAGAAGAAGAAAATCAAGAAATGGAAGAGGTAGAGGTAGAAGAAGAAGAAGAAGAAGAGGAAGAAATAGGAGTTGCAGATGTAGAAGCACATGAACCATATCAAGAAGAGGAAGAAGAAGATGCAAGCAGCAGCAAATTTAGCATATGGAGATCCAGAAGTAGAAGCATATTTAGCAAATTTACACTATGGTGATGCGTTTGAGGAACAGGAACAAGCAACTGAAATTGATGAAGAGTAGCCTAAAGAGGAGGATTCGGATGAAGATATGTAAGAAGATGTCCATGTCAATGTTTAACACGTTCTCTTCGTGTTTATTATTTGTTTGATATTGCAAAATTATGGATGATTATTGTGAAAGTAACAATGTTTCAGTTTGCCGTGAATTGATAGATTTTCTTAATAGTGTCAATTGGACTTGTATAATTTTACTGATTACATAGCTGAAACAGGGATAGTCTAAAACCAGAAAGGTTGTGTCTTGCGAGTTAATGACAAAGGAGGAAAAATGAACTTTTTAAAGATGATTCCAATCTTGTCAGCAACATACAACCAAAAAGATTGAGTCTTGCTACTTAGATAATGCAGCTTCAATCTCACATAAGCCTTGTTGGTGCCATTGGGTCTCATCAAAATGTTGACTCTCTTGTCCTGGATCTCGTACATCTTCTTAATCTTTCTTCTTGCGGCTCTGATGTCGACAATGAATACAAGGGTATTGTAGTGTTTCAATCTTGTTCATCGCATACAAAGTGGTGAGAGGGTAACCTTAAGAATATGGCAGTGGTCTGTTGAATTATTGTGTTTGAGTGTTTACGAAAACATAGTAAGGAGAGAAGAGACAAAACAGAGTGTCTTATGAAGAAGACATGAAGAACGCGAAACTGAATCTTTATTGATCTGTAACTTGATTGTGTTACATCCGTGTTACAATGTCTTATATACTAAGACAAAACAAAACTGAAAGTTGTTTCTCTTCCTCTTGTGTGTGAAACAATCTAACCAAGAGTTGCAACTTTACTAAACACATATGTTAACTTAGGACTAAACTCAATTAATTCCAACATGGTCAAGCTTGTTTCTGTGTATTTTGGGTTCTGATCTTCTTAGCCTTCTTGTTTAAGCTAATAGTGTTTATTACTTGTCAACTAGATCCAATCCTAACCTTAAAAACACTCCTTTCTTTTTCTAATAGCGTTCTCTACAAATGCAGATTTTAAGCTACATAGAGAAAAAGAGACACTGTTACTCCAAATATGCCACTATGCCTAATCAGCTTCTAAGTGAACTAGTAGTTTCAGGGAAAAAGGAATAATGCATAGTTACTTCAAATGCCAGAGAGAGAGATTTACACAAATCACAAGCATTTACTGACTAAAAATGCACTCCAGAAGTAGCATTCTTAAAGATAAGTTAAGAGATCAAATGCAGATTTTTGTTTTCTGTTCAGAGCTCCAAAAAAGCTACAAATGCAGATTTCAAAGCTACATTATATCGCAAAAAGGATCACTACGGTTGAAATTCTTAGCTTGCTCCACTCGAAGATGATGAAACAGCAGCAAAACCATTCAAAAAGTTCGCCAATTGATCATTCCATAATCAGAAACCAAAAAAGCTCCACTCAGTTCTCGGTAAATATCAACAAGACCTAAAAACAAACAAAAAATATTTGTTCTTTCGAATTGATCCTTGCAATTTGGTGGCTGAACAGAAATGATGAGTGCGACAAGTTTTTTATTTATATGAAAAAAAAAAAAAAAAAAACAATAGAACTTTAACAATGCCATAATAGAGGCATTCACCATTATAATCATTCGGGGGTATAAAACACTCAATTCAAACATATAGAAAACCAAAAAGAAAGAAGCAAAAGAAACAAAACTAAAATTGGACAAAACCAAAAACAGAACAAAACAGAGGAATGCTCTCTTAGCAAATCGTTCCATTCCTTGAGGCTCTTGAGACAATCCTAAAAATATGACTCCTCTCAGAAGAAGAAAAAAGAAGAGCCTTGGTATTAAAAGAGACCAAAAGAACAATTTTTTTTTTGGTTTTGTTTATTACAGATAGACTCGAAGTAATCGGATATAGGAATAAAATTTCACCGTCGGCGTTTATACATGAAAGAAACTCTCTACATTTTGATTGTTACTTTGTCTAACACATCACGATTTAAATATACAGATGAAGATTGGTGAGAAAGATCTCTGTATAAGCTGAAGCTGACAAATTTACCTGTATTCATCTGTCGATTTCATCAGCTCAAAGTATACGAAATCTCTCTGACCAAGATTCTCCACTTTCTCAGAGGAAACTTTCTGTTGAGATTCATTGCTGTCGTCTCTCTTTCTATGTCATTTTCTTTTATTTCCGAAGAGAGAGAAGCTCGAAGCTCCTCAACTGCTCTTCTCGAGTGTTCTTTGCAGCCGTTGCACGAGAGAAAGAGAGAGTCTTGGACAAAGTCTTGGATTCATATCCAGCTTGGACTCTCTGACTGGTCGAGGGACGGCCATTGCCACTGCCGCTGCCGCCACCACCACTTGATGAAACCAGACGACTTGAAGTTCGGCTTTCGCTTGGTCCACCTGCTGAACTTGGCCTAGAGCTTGAAGCAGCAACTGCTTTCCTTGAAGAAGAAGATGGTCTGTATCTTGAAGAACTGTTTGGTCTTTCTGAGTCTCCATGCTGCCATTACAAACCAATATACAATTGAGTCTTTCTTCTGCCTAATTTAGTGCGGTTTTGATCAATGTATGTTTTTGTTTAAAGTAAGACTTTTTACCGAGTGCTTAGTGAAAGGTCCGTCATCAGAGTTTCTTGATCTGGAACGATCACGTGGCGAACAAGTTGTTGTCGGATGCCTTCGGGAGAAGGCTTCCACTGCACCGGGGACTCTCTCACGTGTTGTTTCCTTTCCTAAACGAAAGGTTATGAAAAAGAGTAGAAGAATTAGCGTGAGGAAGGAATGTTAAGGTTCTAAGATTTCATAAAGAACCAGAAGGAGCGAAATTTTACCTGCGGTCCTCTCTCGTCTTTCCATGGAAGGACCTGTGTTGAATCCTGGTTTAGTGGTTGTATGTTGCTGCAAAACCCCGATGATTGACATTTACGTAAGCATATAGAAACTCAAAAGCCACAAGAGAAAACATACAAGAAAAATAAAGAATATTATTACCCTTGTCCGTGAGCTAGAACCAGAGCTGAAACCGATTTGAGGATACTTTAGGACTGTCCAGTCAAATACATAATCGAATTGATAACCTGCAAGAGATTTCAAATTCTTTGAAAACTGAGACGAGATATGCTTTTAAAGGGGAATTTGTCAGAACAATGATGTTAAGATAAAAACCTTCTCGGATGAACAAGTCGCGGAAAAGTCTCTTGAGGTAAGAGTAATCAGGTTTGTCATCAAACCGTAGAGATCGGCAGTAATGGAAGTATGAAACAAATTCAGACGGTTGATTTTTACATAACACCTACATGAAACATTCCATTAACATACAAAGCTCAGCCAGAAAATGAAGATAGTAACTTAGATTCTATCAGATTGTCCAGTTGATTTACCTCTATAGGAGTTGATACTTTCTTCTCACTGATTCTGTCATATTTCTGCTTCTTTGTTCCAGCTTTTAGTCCCTGCCATGGTAAGCTGGTAGCATCAAAAGAAAAAAAAAAGGGTCAAAATTTTTGTTTAAGAAAATATACAGAAGTTTAAAAGACAGGCAGAAAAACTGTTAACACTCTTCTTACCTTCCTTTGAGAAAATACATGAGCACATATCCAAGTGATTCCAAATCATCCCTTCGACTTTGTTCTGTTCAAACACCAGCGGAAACTAATTAAGCATCGGACGAATATACACAACTTGCTAAATATATACAACACCACAGAGCAGCACTCTTACCGACTCCAAGGTGAGTGTTGACACTTGCGTACCGAGCTGTGCCTGTGAGATTTTTGTTTTCTCTGCCACCAAATTTGATCTTTCCGTTGAGTTCACAGATCCTTGAGCAAGGATAAAGGGATAGTGGGAGAATAAAACATAGTCTTACCTGTAAGGAATGTGCTTGTGAGTCTGAAGGTCTCTGTATTTCTTCCCTAGTCCAAAATCAATGATATACACCTGAGATAAAGAGAGGAAAAACAAACAAAATACTCAGAAGTTTGAAGCAGAAAACGCTATCACAATTACATGAATGTCTCAGCACAATATCTCCAAGCACAAGTTTTGATCACAAAGATAGATGTTAGGACCTGATTTGCTTTGCGTCCGAGGCCCATCAAAAAGTTGTCAGGCTTTATATCACGGTGAAGGAAACCTCGAGTATGCATATACTCAACCCTGTTAAGCTGAAACGTAAACAGAGAAAGCAATTCTCCTCCATTACAAACGAGTTCATAAATTCAGAGAACAAAATATCTGGTAACCAATTGGCAGAGATATATACTCACTAGTTGGTCTGCAAGCATGAGAACAGTTTTCAAGGCGAACTTCCTGTTGCAGTAGTTGAACAAATCTTCAAGACTAGGGCCTAGAAGGTCAATAACCATTACGCTGTACTCAGCTTCAACTCCAAACCACTTGAGATTCGGAATACCAGCTTCAGAGAGAAACAAACAAAAAAAAAAACTCTTTTAGTCATTTACAAGCACAAAATGTACCTGAAGAAACCTTGTCTACACAAGTATAACATTCTTGATCTCTTGCAGCAGAAGAAGCATAAGCCTTTCATTCGAAATTCTATCATGATATAACATTAGTGTAAAGTGACACTTACTTCCTCCCTGAAGCAGCATGTACAACTTTGATTCATAATGAAGTTGAGGATGCTTGGTCTTTACAGATTCCTGAAAAATTGAATTGAGAAAAGGCAACAAGGTCATGTAAATGAGAAAGCAGTTTTCCTCATCGTCTTCATGTGAAAAGAATTTTACAAAAAACATCACATGGAAGTTGCATTTGAGCTACAAAAAAGACTTTTTTTTTTTTGCATTTGGATAATCAAAAAGTCTTATCGACAAAATGTGATGTTAAATGTGGTAAAATTTTACCAGCTTGACAGCAACTTCTTCTCCTGTTTGGACATTTACACCTGCAAAAATGATCAACAACGTTTTAAGTTATAGAAGAAATTATACAAAATCAAAACGAATTTTCGTCCTCTGTTTACAAACCTAGATAAAGCTCTCCAAATGATCCACTACCAATTTTCCTTCCAAGCTTAAATTTCCCACCGATCACAAGATCCATCTTTCTCCGATTTCTTCAGCAAAAAACCTCAAATTCCAAAATCAAATATCAAACAAACCCTCCTCTTCCTCAATTTGCCCCTGGATCTGTTTTCCAATTCAGCATTTAACCCCAGAAATAAAAAAGTCTTCTGCAGATTACCACCCTCGACGACAATCCTCAGATTCACGAGTTTAACATCGAAAAACCTTCAGAGACCCACTGACATCATAATTCCAGATTGCAGAAAGTCAATTCGCCATCATCATCGTTACCGCTTCAAAAAACAAATTCACCATGAAATCGATTTAATCCGGAACTCCGAACAGCTCATCCCAGGAGACCAAATTGCCAATGAAAACCCTAATCAGATTAGAGATCGAACTAATCAGAGATCAAAATTTAAAAGAAGGCACACTTTTCGATGGATTTTGATTTCCGCAATTGGGCAAGAAATCGGAATTCCGTTGCACAAAAGAAAAGAGATTTGAGGTAATTAATGCGAAGAAATTAGAAAAAGGGACGAGAGGAAATGGAGATTTGCGACATTTTTTGTTGTCGTCGTCGCTTTTGAGTTTTTTCCCTCTAGAAAAAGAAAATTTGCCTTTGTCGTAGTTTGGTTTTATTAATTTTTACAGTCGGATAAGTTAACAACAATATCCTGATTAAGGTTTTTGGTTTTTTGTGCAGCAAACAAAAAATACAAAAATTATCCGAAGAGAGCAACAAAAATTAATACGGTGGTTTTTTTTAGTTCTGATATTTGAGAGGTTAAGCGCAACATGCTCTAACAGAGACGGTTTAATCATGTCATTATTGTTTTTTCAGTAGATAAAATTAAATTCAAAACAGTTCAAATATCAAAATTGAACATTTTTTTTGTTGACAACATAATTAAAAGGAAAACTTTCATTTAATTAAGAAACAATTGGTTGACAGACAGAATGTCTTTTAAACGTGTCATAAAATTGGCGAAATCTACAAAATAAGTATAAAGAAATAAAAACAAAAGGCAAATGTGGAAGTGCTTCTTATTCTTGCCGGTTCTGTGATGATGATTCATTTCATCGGTAATAAGCCATTTGTCGAGACGACATAAACGGAGAGTTAACAAGAGGTTTCTTCTTAGTTTTCTTCTCAACTTTGGTTTCAGAACGAAGCCAAGATTCAACCACAGAGAGCAGATTAGGTGAGGTTTTCAGTTCCTTGACATCGTCCAGCTTGGCCGAGAGTTTCAGCTCACCGCCGTGAATGTACGCCAGATGACTAGCCCATGTCTCTAGTCCGTCGAATATATGAGTTGCATATACAATTGTTGCTCCTCTCTGCTCAATCACACACACACAAAACAAAAAAAAATCAACATTCGATGTTTTATGCTTTAAGATAGGAAAAAGGATTAGTGAAATAGCATTTACCTGTTCACATTCTTCTTTGAAGAATTCCAACAAATCCATCCTAGCAACAACGTCGAGGTCCACAGTAACCTCATCCAGTAATAATACCTGTGATCATAAATCACATTCACATTTACAGTTTACGGTTTCAGATAAAAATATCAATAACTATTTGTTTTGGTACCTTGAATGGATGTAAAAGACCCATGCATATTTGCACTCGACGTCTCTGCCCATCAGAAACCTTGTGCATACGCCACTGAAGATTGATATCAAGAAGATCGATCAGCTTCTCTCTTCTCTCAGGATCAATCCCTTCAACTGTTCCACAACACACAAACACATCCCTAAGTATAAACACAAGCGAAAAAACAAAACAAAAAACACTCTCTTCTTCTTCAGTCATGCTAAGACTCTTTAAAAATCACCTCCAAAAATCATATGTTCTGCTGAGAAATCTCCCTGAAGAGGAATGTCACCCTAAAAAAATCAGAAGAACAACAAAAATCAAAGAATTAGAAACAAAATGTTCTCACATCTATTTTTCGATAACTCATCAATTTCACCGGTGTTCTCAAACTCCTTGGCAATGTTTTAACTTGAGATCTCAGAAAGAGTGTAAGGTTTACTCACAGCAGAACCAGCGGTTTTACTCCATGAACCTCCGAGGTAAGACAAGTCACCACTACAAACAAGCTCTGTATCATGAAAAGCTGAGCGATCCAACACTTGCACAACGTTCTTCCCTCCAACCATATGTTTTCCAGCCAAAATCTTCAATAAAGTTGTCTTGCCTGACGAAATTCAATCAAAACAAGCAATTACGATCATCTCCAACCGAATTTAAATCACGGACCCATTTTAATCTGACAACAAAGAGACTGAGCAAACTAAAAGATGAATCCATCAACTCGAATTTGAGCATACCCAAACATAATTATACGAATGGTATATATATATATATATATACTACATAAATAATATAAAGGCAATGTTTAATTTCAAAACCGAATCGTTAACTGCAAAACGGATCTAATTAGATTCACAGAAACATAAACCGCAGTCGCAGATGCAATCCGGAATGCACAAGAGAATAATTCGATCGTATTTACCAGATCCATTGGCACCAACCAAGAGGCAACGAGATCCGGCGGGTAGATCGAGGTTGAAATCGAAGAATACAGGATCTTGAAATTCGTACGAGAACTGCATTCCGCTAACCCTAATCGCACCGCCATTTCCACCGTCGCTTCTCGCCATCGCATCTTTCTCTGCCATTTTTCTAGATCAAACAGTCAGATAGAAAGAGAGAGAGAGAGAGAGAGAGAGAGAGAGAGAGAGTATTGTTCGGTGACCGACGATTTTCCCTCCTCCGCCAAATCTGTCGTCCTTTAAATACGTTCCGATTCAACCCAGACTCGATAAGCCACTAGATTCCGGCCACGTCACTCGCTTTTCTGTCCATTAGATTTACCTACTTTTAGTCTTTCGTAATACGTTTAACCACCAGAACACTGCCACGTCAGTGAGTGTTGCTCACACGGTCACACCAACCAAAGAATAAAACGACGCCGTCCGTGCAGAACATATGATGTCATCATTTGGTATTAGCTAAAACAGCACTAATCAAATTTCTTTTTTTTTGTAAATCAAACTCATAATTACTCACATTGTACAAGCAAATTGCAATTCTGATTGGTAGCATTCGTTAAAGGTTTGAGCTGGTTAGAAGTTGAATCTGCTTTCTAATTACATAAACAAGTGTTAATTGTTAAGCTCATTGCTAAACCCTAATAGCAGAATTATTAATATAAGTATATAGATAAAAAAAAGTATTTGTGTAATTAAACTTAAACAATTGGGTTGAAGAAAGTTTGTTTGCGTTGGATATAATTTATTATCATGTACAAATCAGTCCATCAATATATCAAAAATATTTTTGGATCAAAGATTTCGTTCTTTCAAAGTTTTGTTTATCATGTCAGTAGCTATGGTCATGTTCATTGTTATTTGAGAATATGACATTAGATAGTAAAAAAATAACCCGTAGCTAAATTAATTTCAAACCCATAAATAAAACAAATTTAAATTGTGCAAGTGTAATTTCCGAGATGTCTGCGTAAAAGGATGGAGAGCTAGACTCATGGGCTGAGCAGAAATTATGTGAATTTCATCTACTTTGATCACATGAGCGTTTGAGCAACCCTCGCATCACTCTTGGTAAGTATATGTTACTGAATATATTCTTTTTGTGTTTCTCATATTTCTCATGGAATTTTTTTTACATGATGCAGCTAGATCCTCAAGATCATCTCAAGCCTATCAACAAGAATTGGTGAAGAAGCTCAAGTTTCCTTCAGCTCAAAACTCCCAGCTTTTTGCTAAGATAGTTTATGATAGAGTGCACTGCCACAAGAGGAATACCGTCACATGAAGAAGTTGGACAATCAAGGAAGAGGTATGCTAGAGAGAGATAATGAGAGGGAGAAGAAGAGACTGCAAAATATTCAGCATGAGAAGTTAGATGCATAGAAACAATTTTTTTAGCAAAATATTCCATGTTGACTCTATTCAGTCCAACGAATGCATAGACATTTAAATTCATCATGTAAAATGAGAAACTCACATGAAAGGATTCATAGTGTTCGGACCAAAACGACCTGGAACAATTACATTTTGATGCAATCATAAGTCATGATCCATCTTATCTCTTTTGTCAATAACGTAAATTATATCATATATATAGATAGATAAAAAGTATTTGATCCATCCACTAGGTAAGAATAAGATTATCTCTCTTTTGTTTTTTAATTATGTTTCTATCTCCAAAGATTGTTCAAAAAAATTATCCTCTGGTGATCAGAAAGCTGCCCATCCAGACTCAGCTTCTCCCGAATTGGTTGAAGGAAGATTTCCCTGAAGCACAATGGACAAAAAAAATTAATAACCACAAGAACAGAGTTCTAAAAAATGTGCTACTTGAAAAAAAAAGCAATTAAAAGAAACCTTGAGCTGAGAAAAATCAGAGAGTGGATTGTTCTCAGATGATTCCTTACAACCATCAGATGTTACGGAATCGTTTGGAGGCGGTGCTGGTAAAGGAGACCTGATTTTAGCAATGCCACCTGGTGGTGGTGCAAGCCCTAGTGGTTTAGGTTTCTCATTACCTGACAGAGCCGTTGTGAGCATTCCGGTTCCACTGCTCGTTGGTTTGGTTTTCACATTGATTCTTATGGTTTCACCTTCCTGATTACCAAACAACAACATTGCCAAAAAAAAAAAGAAAAAAAAAAAATCAGATGTTTATTCAGACAATTCTTCATTAGTATGATCACAAACTTGACAACATCAAAAGATCATCCTCTAATAGACTAATTCTTAGCATATATGCTATTATTCAAAAGGCTTAAGCACAGTCTGTTATAAAGTAAAAAACAGACTGTTACTTATAACAGATCCAACGGTGATGCTGCACAGATCAGTTTTTACTCTTTTTTTTACCTTCAATCTGTGGTTAACAGCAGGATGAATATCAATATGATCATCGCTCTCACTATTTTCTCCAGTCTCTTTCTCCGTCTTCTCCCTCATAGCGTACTTTTCGTGATCCGACAACGCAACATTGAAATCAAACGCCTCGTTCCTCTCACCGAATCCTACCCCGACGAACGCGTACTTCCCACGGCCGTCGTCGATCTTGAGAACGAAGTACCTCGACGAATCAAGACACGGCTCGACGGAGTTGTCTCGCCTTCCGTTATCGACGAAACAAGCGGCGAAGAGATCGCCGGAGATGGGATCCTCGAGACGGATCTCGCAGCGTTCCTTGCAAGACACGACACGGAGGCGACCGCTCCAGATCTTATCGGACTGGAGCCATTCGCCGCACTTGTAGCCTCCGGATGTGTTTAGCGGTGGGATCTTGTAGACGGAGACCTCGCGCACCACCAGAATGGTGTGCTCGAAGGTCTGATCTTCTTCCTCGTCGAACGACATCGTTTTGTTGAGAGAATCTGGCGATCTCAGAGGAGTTTTGCAGGGAAAGGCTTGCTGCTTTGGCGATTTAGATCAGTCGGACGCTTGGTTGGTTACATATTCAAATTTATGGATATTTTTTTTTATCCATATAATCATAAATAAATTTATGAATTAGATTAGTTAGCTATTCAAATTCTCAACTACATTCGTTATGAAAATCGTATTTAATTAAAATCTTTACAACTTTTAGTGTGAATTAATGAATTTGACTAACCCATTATATATCCTATCTTAATATGTTTTCTTTCTGTATACAACCATTTTAGATGTCATAAAGAAATGAAACTATTTTGTAGGCAGTAAAATACGTCAAGTAATACTGTTTTTTTCATGTAATACTTCTGAAGTTAACAAATAATACATTGTCACATGACATGACCCAAAATTTTGACAATTGGTAATGTTTACCACGTCAAAGTGGTCGGAGATTTATAAGAGAATCATCATAACTATTTCTGATTGCTTTTTTCTTTTTGGTAAATAATTTTTTTTTATTGATTTTGGAAACCTTCACAAGTTAATTTCATAAAATTTTGCGTGTTTACCATGTGTTAAATCATGTATTGTTTCTCCGGCTTCGATTACAGTCTATTTTTGAGTGACCCATTGCTTGTTCCCTAAGACACAGTTTAGACCTATAGATTTCTGTTAACTTGATAGAAAAGACTGCTTTTATTCAGAAAAAGAGTGTTACATTTTACAGATAAGCCTCAACAAAACCAGTCACATTTTCGTTCGTACGTACGTTATTACTACTATTTAACTTCCTTTTACAGTAGAGGCTCATCGTTATTACTTAACGCCGCTCGTTTAAAGCTCTCAAGCGTCAGCCCTCCTTGGCCTCCCGTGGCTAACTGGACCACTACTGTAAGTCAAAGTGGTCTCGAGCGTGTTGAACTTAACCTTCCTTGCTTCTTCGAGTGAGATTTGGAACCCGTTGGTTATGACCTCTAATGGTAAACCTCTCAAGACTGAGGTTCGTCCAGCAAGAGTGTTGATTTGTGCGTTTGCGTTCGTCTTGAACTCGACCCACCGGAAATGATCGCTTGTTGCGCGTTTCACCACCGAGAAACCTTGGGGAATGGCAATGAGCTGTCCTTGAGAGACTTGTCCGTCAAACACTCTGTCACCGTTGTCGTTAACCACCTGAAGTTCGGCTTCACCGTCTGTAACGTAGAGAACCGCGTTTGCGTTTGCGTTCCACTGTGGAAGCACCATCGCGTTCTACACCCATGCACGCACGTTTCAAGACTCATACATGTTTAAAGTGATATAAATAATAATACTTTTTTGTTTGACACTTACTTGACGGATAGATCCACGGAGGGCTGAGAGACGGAGGAAGCGTAGGATGGGAAGATCGTAACTGTTCAAAATGCTGATGTAACCGAGCTGTGGCTTGTACACGTCAGCGTTAGAGGGGTCATCGAGGTTATCAGTGACCCTTGCGCTGCATATGGTCTCCTCTAAACCGTTACCTACTGATTCTTCTTCCTCCTGCTGCGGTCTCTGGCTCCTCAAAGGTGGCCTAATGACACCGAACGGGCCTTTAACTCGGACGATGTTTCCGCGGTTGTCTTGGTTGTTTTGAAGCTGCTGGGCCGTACTAACATCGATCTTGAAAGCTTTAGAGATAATTTCCGGTGTGAAGCCATTAAGGAGGTTCTTTTGTGGCTGCTGCTCTCGTCCTTGTAGCCATACTTGGCCTTGTGGGTTGTTTCCGGCTAGGTAAAATGGCTTCATAACACACACACACACACACACACACACACAACAGATCATTTTTAGTTAGGTATGTAACTATATAATTAAAAAAAAAACTGTTATGAATCTCTTTAATTTGAGGTTTTGGTTAGTATATATACCCTTGGGTTACGGTCGAGCTGGTTCTGGTGGCTGGCTAAGTCGAGGACGCTGACAATGACAAGTTCTTCGTTTCCATCGTTAAAGAACCACTGGGCTACACCTGGTGATGAGGCGATGGTGTCTCCGCTCCTTATGTGCTCCACTTTCTGGTGCATGTCACGGAAGCTTTGACCTTGGCCCTGGCCTTGTTGTCCTTGTCCCTGACCTTGTTGTCCTTGTTCCTGACCTTGGCCTTGTTGGAACACTGATGAGTCTTGGAATGTCTCAGCGCATCCAGGGATCACTCTTCCCATAAGACCATTTCCTGCAATTCATGCAACCCATCCATAAACAAATTAAATTACATAGGTTTAAAAAAGAAGACAAATTATGGACTAATTACAAAAAATGGTTAAACCAATCAAAATCGAAGCCATATAAAACAGTTTTAGAAAACTCAGCGTATGTAACCGGTAACCCTAATGTTGTACTAGTTAGATCACTTTCTAAAGAGAGTGAACCTTAAGGTCAGGAGTATGAATATCGATATTAAACTGGTCTCCAATTCAAATTTGGCACCAAAAATTCAAACAATTTTGGTAATTAAATTTAAAACAGTTCTATGAATTTAAAAAAAAAAAGAAAAACTAAATTTGAATATAACCGCACCCGTACGTACCTTTAGCCACGAAAGAGAGCTTCGCGGTGTTAAAGAAAGAGGGCAAGTAGAGACCCTTAGACTCGATGATGTAACGTACGAAGGCAACACCAGAGCAACGTAGCTGAGGAGCGTGGTGGTCCCACACTTCTATGCGACCAGCCTCGGCCTTGAGTACGTGTGACGGCTCGAGCGCATTGAGCTGGTCGAGCTGGCACTCGTTTGGAAACTGTTGTGCGGTGTAGCCATGGAGAAAGATCAAAAGTGTGAAGGAAAAAGAGAGCAGAGATGAGATTCGAGCCATTTTAGCTTTACTTGTTTTTGTGGTTTGTTGCTCTTATCACTTGCAGTAGGTGAAGCTATTTATAAGGAATGTCTTTGATAATTGTTTTTAATTGAATTTTTGAGGATAAGTTGATTTTTATAAGAACCAGGCATATAGAGTCGACCGGGTACAATTTTCACTTCACTTGAATTGCTATTTTTATGTCTTCTTCTGTAGATAAAATTTGGCTGAATACTGTGAAGACGTATATTAATGGAAGGTCTTGACACATTTCAATTTGCATGGCTTCTTGAAGTGCATGTTTACACCTCAGGTTTGAGATATATAGGCACATGTAATAGGACAAATCATTATTTGTTAAGAAAAGAAAAAATCGACCACATGTCTATAACACTACACATCAATATAAGGATAAAATTACGTTTGGAAAACGGCTGCTCCAACTTCATTAAGATGATAGTTTTTGCCTATGATTGGTTTTTCTATACTTTGAAAATGAGTTATTTTTTGCAAGCCTTTGTTATTTTTTTGGTAATCTTTACCTAGAAACCAGAATTTGTAGCTTAAACCGAAAAAAAGTCTACACACGAAAATGTAAAACCCGGTCTTTTTTACTTTTACAAACTAACAAATCAGCGTTGCAATATAGAGAACATAGAAGCAAACGTAATTATCGAAAAATGAGGAAAGACCTAAAACGATTTACTACTTATGGAAATAATGGAACGAAAAAGGATTCAGGCTGAAGGGATGATAAAGAAATGAGATAAAGAAATTTTGAAATAGTGAATTCCATTCATCCCATTCACTCATATACGTTTTGGAAGTGGAACAAAAATGAGAAATTTGATTAAGGATTTTTTGAAATTTATTCCACAAAAAAGCATCTTACATCCATACTCTTTTTATCAAGAAAGAAAGACACTTTTTATCAAGAAAGAAAGACACAATCTTCTCCACCAGTCGTTGACTCAGCTTATACGTACAATTAAGAAAATAATCCACAACCATATGGTTTCAGTCTAGTACTAAGACTCGCCAAGGTTAAGAAGAACCAACTCCAATTTTCTTATGTTTGTTAGTTATTCTTTACGGACTTGATTTGACAATTTCAGTAACCATTTCTTTAAAAACTATTCTAGACTATTTTTCGCTTTGTGTGTTCATTTTTGCTCAGAAACTATGCATGTGTAGTTTTTTTTTTTTTTTTTTTAAATACTAGTTGAGCACCAAAAAAGTTCTAAACTTCTAATGGTGGTGTTGAAATTAATTAGATTCAAAGTTTGATGCTAGGTTATATATAATATATTTTGATTAGATCGTAACGATTGGTCACACTCGAATTGAAGAACAGTGAATTTTCAAAAGATTGTGATCAGTAATAGATATTATATATATACATATGCAAATGACAAAAATTGATTAAAAAAAAACTATTACCAAACAAAAAAAGTTGACAAGAAGACGATCCAAAGAAAAGATGTGGCGACACAAAACATTTGAGAGTTTGAGACACACGCGAGAGATGTGGCGGACGCGACGAACATGCAGTGCTTTCATCGTGTTCCATCGCCGTGTGTCCGTGACGAGTGTACGTGCATGCTGCTCAGCGGGCCCCACCATTTTCTTCCTCTCTTTTATTTTTCTGAAAAAAATACTTATATTGATTTCTTGTGTTTTTCTCCCCTTTGTAAATTCATATATAATATTTGTTCTATACGAATCTGTAAATTCAACACCACATACAACGGTACAAGTCTACAATTACATATCCAGATATCATACGATTTTATTGATAAATATCAGAATGAACTTGTAAGTTTACCAAAGAATAACATTTTACCAAAAAATAAAAAAAAGTTTACCAAAGAAAATAAGTGATCAAACATGACTTTTAGTTATATTTAAGAAAGTTTCTTGGATTTTATTTTCGAAGAAAAAGAATTATCGCGCGGCCGATAGACTTGTACCGTTGGAAATTCTGGTTGAATTTTTGAAAAAAAAAAGAGTTTAATTTCTGGTTTTTTCTCCTCCCCTTTTGAAATTATATATATCCAATCTTTGCTCTATACGAATCTGTAAATTCAACACTATAAGTCTACAGTTACATATTCAGATATACATACATTCTAATGATAAATAACAGAACTTGTAAGTTTACCAAAGAAAAACAAATGATCCACAATGATTTTTAGTTTAATGGATTTGATTTTCGAAGAAAAAGTCTAAAATCACCTTTATATATTCATCTTCTTCCTTCCCTGAAGGAAAACGATTACAAATACAGCTTTAAAAGCCAGAAGATGCCTAAACAAGGTGGCATAAATAAAACACATTTAAAGCAGCAAACAGCAGCACAACCATAGAGAAAGGATTAGGTTTGAAATAATCTAAACCAAGTGATAAAAAAACGAATCCTCCCGACTAGCAGCATGAGAAGATGCGTTGGTGATCAACAGAGATGAAGACCGATCCAAGCTGAAGAGTTTTGCACTTAATAGAAGTTGAATTTCCTTTATCAAAACATGAACCGGTTTTGTTGTGGGAGTATGGAGCCTAGCATTTCTCTCTCTCCATAGACTATAAACAATCGCTTGCACCAGAAGTTTGCAAATTGTGTTCACCTTCCTTTGAGTAGAAGGCGAATTGGACCACTGAATATCTTCAACTGAATTAGGAAAATCACATTTGTTTTTGAAAAAACAAACAGTTTTAACAAATACAATGAACTTTTTGTTGTCTTTAATTAGGTTAATCTTGTTTGGTTCAAGTATTTAGGTTAACTGAGCTAAATCCGAAACTTGTGCATTTAGCTTTTTGAAAGGAGTTACATTTTACAGGAAAACTTCAACAAAACCACTCCCATTTTCGTACATTATTATCATTATTACTACTATTTAACTTCCTTTTACAGTGTACTAGAGCCTCATTGTGCTCGTTTTAAGCTCTCAAGCATAAGTGACCCTTGGCCTCCCGTGGCTAACTGGACCACTACTGTGAGTCAAAGTGGTCTCGAGCGTGTTGAACTTAACCTTCCTTGCTTCTTCGAGTGAGATTTGGAACCCATTGGTTATGACCTCTAATGGTAAACCTCTCAAGGCTGAGGTTCGTCCCGCAAGAGTGTTGATTTGTGCGTTTGCGTTTGTCTTGAACTCGACCCACCTGAAATACTCACTTGTTGCGCGTTTCACCACCGAGAAACCTTGGGGAATGGCAATGAGCTGTCCTTGAGAGACTTGTCCGTCAAACACTCTGTCACCGTTGTCGTTAACCACCTGCAACTCGGCTTCACCGTCTGTAACGTAGAGAACCGCGTTTGCGTTTGCGTTCCACTGTGGAAGCACCATCGCGTTCTACACCCATGCACGCACGTTTCAAGACCCATGCATGTTTAAAGGGATATATGTAAATAGTAATACTTTTTTGTTTGACACTTACCTGACGGATAGATCCACGGAGGGCTGAGAGACGGAGGAAGCGTAGGATGGGGAGATCGTAACTGTTCAAAGTGCTGATGTAACCGAGCTGTGGCTTGTACACGTCAGCGTTAGAGGGGTCGTCGAGGTTATCGGTGACCCTTGCGCTGCAAATGGTCTCCTCTAAACCGTTACCTACTGATTCTTCTTCTTTCTGCTGCGGTCTCTGGCTCCTCAAAGGTGGCCTGATGACACCGAACGGGCCTTTAACTCGGATGATGTTTCCGCGGTTGTCTTGGTTGTTCTGAAGCTGTTCGGCCGTCTGAACATCGATCTTGAAAGATTTAGCAATAATCTCTGGTGTGAAGCCATTAAGGAGGTTCTTTTGTGGCTGCTGCTCTCGTCCTTGTAGCCATACTTGGCCTTGTGGGTTGTTTCCCGCTAAGTAAAATGGCTTCATAATACACACACACACACACACAACAACTCATTTTTAGTTATGTATGTAATTATGTAATAAAATAAATTCTATGAATTTATTTTGAGTTTTTGGTTAGTATATATACCCGTGGGTTACGGTCGAGCTGGTTCTGGTGGCCGGCTAAGTCGAGGACGCTGACAATGACAAGTTCTTCGTTTCCATCGTTAAAGAACCACTGGGCTACACCTGGTGATGAGGCGATGGTGTCTCCGCTCCTTATGTGCTCCACTTTCTGGTGCATGTCACGGAAGCCTTGACCTTGACTCTGGCCTTCCTGTCCCTGGCCTTGCTGTCCCTGACCTTGTTGTCCCTGGCCTTGCTGTCCCTGGCCCTGTTGTCCCTGGCCTTGTTGGAACACTGATGAGTCTTGGAATGTCTCAGGGCATCCAGGGATCACTCTCCCCATAAGACCATTTCCTGCAATGTAAAAAGAACAAAATATTTACATACGTTTAAATTAAGAAGACAAATTATGCACTAGAGAAAACAAAGAATAATTTAAAAAGAGAAAATTGCATTGGTTAAAAACTTAAAACCAATCCAAATGGAAACCAAATGAAATAGTTTTATAAATGCGTCTTTAACCCTAATGATGTACTAGAGCCCTTCCTAAAGAGAGTGAGCCTTAAGGCAATGAGTTTGAACTCGATTTAAAAATGGTCTCCAATTGGAATTTGGCACCAAAAACTAAAAAAGTTCAATGTATATTTTTTTTATATATCGATTATTTCTGGGGAAAAAAACAGCTGAACATCAAAAAAATATAAACTAAATTCGGATAAAGTATTTATAGAATTCGCACGTACCTTTAGCCACGAAGGAGAGCTTCGCGGTGTTAAAGAAAGAAGGCAAGTAGAGACCCTTAGACTCGATGATGTAACGTACGAAGGCGACACCAGAGCAACGTAGCTGAGGAGCGTGGTGGTCCCACACCTCTATGCGACCAGCCTCGGCCTTGAGTACGTGTGACGGCTCGAGCGCATCGAGCTTGTCGAGCTGGCACTCGTTTGGAAACTGTAGAGCGGTGTAGCCATGAAGAAAGATCAAAAGTGTGAAGGTAAAAGAGAGAAGAGATGAGACTCGAGCCATTTTCTCTGTACTTGTTTCTCTGTGTGTGTGGTTTGTTGCTGTTATCACTTGCGATATAGGAAGCTATTTATAGGAGACTTATTTGATAAATGTTTTATTTCAATTTTTGAGGATCAATTGATTGAGATAAGAACCAGGTATATAAAGTCGACTATGTACGATTTACACTTCACTTGAATCACTATCTTTTATGTCTTCATCGTAAAATAAATTTTGGCTTCACACTGAGAATAAAGCATATAAATTGAATGTGCGTTGACACATTTCATTTTGCATGGCTTATAGAAGTGCATGTTTCTTACACATCAGCTTTGAGATAGGCACATGTAATAGGACAAATCTTCATTTATTTTTTGCATGGATTTATTTTTTCATATCTTACTTATCCATTATATGCTATATTGGATGTCCCCGGAAAGACTCAATAATTAATACAAAATACAAGTTCGATATTAGGCTGTAAATCTTGATTAGATCGCAATATAACGTACACTCGAATTTAATCAATTATGGATATATACAAATGATATACGTTGATGAAAGCTAAATAATGGTAATTGTCGAGAGAAAAGACGTGGTGACACGAATCGCCTGAGAGATTTTGCAGACGCGACGAACATGCGGTGCTTTCGTCGTGTTCCAACCCCGTGACGAGTGTACGGCTGCATGCTGCTCACTTTCTTATTTTGTTATATTTATATTTTCTAATTTTAACTTCTTGTGTTTTTATCGTAATGTTTATATTATACTGTAATGTTTTTATTTAAAAGATTTTGAGTTTCCTCACCAAGATTTTAATCATGCCTCCAAGTGGTTTTACGATAACAATTACCACATAGAGAGAGACTTGTTTAGTCAAATGAATTGGGCGCATCCTGCTGAGTGATATTGGGTTTTATAAAACTAACTTTAAAATAATGTTTGATCATAGTTCTTCTTTTATAGAAAGCTCATGTTTTTGTTTACATTACAAAACTGGGTGTGATTAATAGAGATGATGCTCCTTCTATTCACGTATTCGCAAAGGTACCTCGTTTTTTTTCTAAACAACAACTTGAGTTTGATTAATAGAGATGATGATCCTTCTATTCACAAAGGTACCTCATAAATGTCTTTGTTTACAGTAAACAAATCCTTCTACGTCTAGAAATGATGATCCTTCTAATATTATTACTATCTCTTGTTGTTCATCATTCATCCAATTTCTCAAGCATTTTGTTTACATTGAACAGAAACACGATGCGTGTGTGGTTCATGATACAGATTTTCATGTTATTGAAGATAACGGGAAATTTGTTGTGGAATCTTGAGTTCATGTTTCAGGTCCAAGCGAAAGACGAGATATCAGCAATGGCGGCTCTGATAGAGAAGCCTAGTACTATTGAAATGAAGGCTGGATTTGAGTTTGATTTTGGACTTGTTATGTTATGATGCATGAATTAAAAAGAGTATTATTTCAGTATATATGACAATATAAATTTAAACCAAGTCGAAATATATAAAGGCAAAATCCTAAACATTTTTCTTTTAGTTTAATCTTCCCTTTCTTCAAGTTGATCCCCCTTCCTTTACGTGTTCATCAAGAAAAAATAAATATTAATGGGCTTTATTGGCCCAACAAGCGTTTCTTTAAGAGAATGTCACCGACCCAACATAAATATTTACCCTTTTGGTTTTAGTTTGTTAAACCCTACGCTTCCTGCTAGTTTCAATCTCTGATCGTTCCTTAAACCCTGACTTGTCAATCAAGAACTGAACTTAGGTGCGTTTCTCTATTAGTCTCTTTCGCCGATCAAGAGTTTTCTTTTCTTATATTACCCTTTTCTTTGGTACCAAAATCAAACTGTTCCATAAATTCCATTTTATGATCCTTGCGTGATTTAGAGGTAATTTGAGTGACGCGAATATTAAAGGATCTTTCTAATAGGGTTTACTTAAATCCAGTTTTTTAGAATGATCATGTGGTGAGAGTTTTGGAATCATTACCCTATATATTCCACAATCTAGGGTTAGCGAAGACAATTTTTTCAGTCTCATGTATTTTTTTTTCCAGAAGCATCAGTAAATCGGATTATTTTTTCACTAATAATCAAAATTCTGTGTTCATTATTTTTGTGTTTAATCAGGAAATGAATGTCAACAAAGTTCCAAACATTCCAGGATCACCTATACTCTCTGCGTTGCTTAAGGTCGGTGTCATCGGTGGGCTTGGAGTCTACGGCATTGCTAATAGCGTCTACAATGTCGAAGGAGGACACCGTGCCATCATGTTTAACCGTCTTACCGGTATCAAAGACAAGGTTTGTCTTCGTTTTTCTGTTCTTGAATCTCTCTCAATATGTGAAATGCTAAACTTTTTGTTTTTGTTTTTATAGGTTTATCCAGAGGGCACACATTTTATGATACCATGGTTTGAAAGGCCAATCATCTACAATGTTCGTGCAGTTCCTTACCAAGTGAACAGCGACACTGGAAGTCATGATCTTCAAAAGGTTTTGCATTACTTCTCTCCCTGCTTCACTGTCTTTTGTGTGTATGTTTCTTGGAAGATTCAAAGCATTTTGCATCATGTGTCTTGTGTCTTGTCTATCTGTCTTTTTCTGATTCTGATACCTTGTTTGCTGTTTGTACAGGTGTCAATTGGGCTTAGGGTTCTTCATCGTCCAATGGGAGACCGCTTGCCGCAGATGTACAGGACACTAGGTCAGAATTACGAAGAACGAGTTTTGCCTTCCATCACCAATGAAACTCTCAAAGCAGTTGTGGCTCAGTACAATGCAAGCCAGCTCATTACTCAGAGAGAAGTTAGTATTTGTTTTTCCGATGCTCCTTAACGTTAACATTTGGTTACTTTTTTTTAGGGTTTTAAGTGTTAAACTCTCTCTTGCAGGCTGTGAGCAGGGAGATACGCAAGATTCTGACAGAGCGAGCAGCGACTTTCGACATTGCTCTAGATGATGTCTCAATCACAAATCTCACATTTGGCAGAGAGTTCAGAGAAGCAATCGAGGCTAAGCAGGTTGCAGCTCAGGACGCAGAACGGGCTAAGTTTGTCGTCGAAAAGGCTGAGCAAGACAAGAGAAGTGCTGTTATCCGCGCTGAGGTCAGCATTTGATTTCATGTGTTAGATGAAGTTGTGTTGTCTCTGTGGTTTATAATTTGCCAACATTTGTATAAATTCACAGGGAGAAGCTAAGAGTGCTCAGCTCATAGGACAAGCTATTGCCAACAATGAAGCTTTCATCACTCTGAGGAAGATTGAAGCTGCTAGAGAGATTGCTCAGACCGTAGCTAAATCGGCCAACAAGGTTTACCTCAGCTCCAACGATCTTTTGCTTAATCTCCAAGCAATGAACTTGGAGCCTAACCCTAGCAAGTAAAGAGACAAAACTGTTACTACTTAGAACCGGTTTCTGGTTTTGTCCCAATGACCATTTTTAATCTTCTTCAAGATTTGCTCATCACTATTAGTATTTTTAGGATTGCTTCTATAGTTCTATGATGTGGTTTAGTTTGGTACTCCCTATGTTTGACTCCGTGATATGGAATAAGATTTGAAGAGTTCATTTATAAATTACAAAGTAACTATTCTCATTCACCTTGGCAATACAAAAAAAAAAATGGTGTAATCTAGCAAATAAATCAAATCGTGTCTAACCAAGAATCAAAATCATCTAAAACTTTGGATTTTCCAACCGAGGAAGAAGAAGAAGTCTGGTCCTCCTTTGGTTTGATCGACACTGAAGTAGTCTCGAGCAAATCATCAAGCATGTCATCGAAACCTGTAGTGTGAAGCTTTTGATCAGATTGGTTCGCTGGTTTGTTGAATGCTTCTGGACCGCTATGAGAGTTGAGAAGAGTATCCAGCTCTGATTCAAAAGCTGAAGATCTTTGAACAGAAGGATTCTGATTGGATGCAGTTGAGGCATTAGCCACTGTGTTAGGCTCTTCACCAAAGGAATTGAGTAGCAAATCTAAATCAGCTTCAATTGCTGAAGATTTCTCTGACTGGTCTGAGAGTATTTGTATGTCCTTGACTTGATCCAGAGACTCAGCTTCCAGGGCTGATGATTCTTGTTGAACCGGCTCTTTTAGCCTCGTTGTGACCGTCTCTTGTGCTGTTTGTGAGTGACATGGTTCTTCTTTGCGGCTCACTTTTGTTTGGGATGTACACTACAAAATTGAATATGGTCAAACACAGAGCCTAATATTGTTTATGGCTAATGGTTTAGGATTCAGCAAGTGTACCAGCTCGGCCAGCGATAGAAGATCAGCGTCAATGTAGAGTCTCTCGTGCAAGTCCACTTTCTCTAGCGACTTTTCCAGAGCATTTAGATTCAATGAGAGGAATCCAGGCTTCAAGAAAGCAAAGTTAGCAAATATTGAGAGAGGCAATTAGCAAGTTAAAGTGGACGTGCACGAGAGAGAGTCACAAGAGTGTTGTTACTACCTCATGATATGAAGCAGATCCGTCTTCTTCCACGACGAAATTGTCATCTTCCATCCATGAAACTATACCTTCTCCTCTCGCCGAGATCATTGATCCAACCACACGACTAAACTCATCTGCAAGAATTCACAAAATCTTGAAATCCAAGCAACCAAAACAAAGACAGCTAACGAAGCAACATTTAACGAGATTTCTTTCAATCAACAAACTGAAATATTCATTCATACCGTGCAAAAGATCATCTAACGATGATAAACAATCTGAATTCATCTCAATCTTTGAATGAGACTCGGCTTGAGCTTCCAATATCAGATGCGTATAATCTGCTCCTTTGCTTTTTGGGACGATAACATCCGCAGCTTGGCTCGTCGACGCATTTTCCAAGCCGGAATCGGGTTCTTCGTCATCGTACCGGTCCCAATTCGACGGGAGTGCAGAGATTCGTCGAGATTGAACCGGACTCTTTGTTTTCGGAGCCGCGGTTTGGTTTCCTTGCGGCTTCTCAGGATTTCTGGGAACTCCTCCTTGAGCATTCGGCTTATGAACCGAATGCGATTTCTTACTGTGGTGTTGAGTGTGAGCTCTCTTCGATCTCGCCAGAGATTTCGTGTCCATTGCAGTGAGAATCTTAACAACAAAAATCAAAGCAGTCTCAGAGATTGCAAATTAAGCGATTCCATTTACTAAACATCAGTTTTCTAATACGGTAGATTCCGATTCCGATTCTCAATCTAAATTTTCGAAGATTTTAAACCCTGACTAATCTCAGAAAAATGGATTACAAAAGAACGATAACAATTAGGGTTTTATCAATCTGTTTGATTAGTTCCTCATAGCTTTGGGATCGGAAAAACTCACCTTATAGAAACGAAATTCGTGCTGAGGAAGATCGACGAAGCTTGCTTTGGAGGAATCTGAGAAAGCGTATGAACACGGTGTTGAACGAAGAAGAAGGACAAATTGGGCGTTAATCGAGTCTAACCAAAAGAGGAATGAATGATTATATTCGATGAATACGACACCGTTTTTAACAACAGTTTAAATTGGGCCATGAAGCCCATTATCTAATACATTAAAGGATCTGTATTCTCAATATGTGTGGCCTGAAAACACAATTATTTTTAGCGTCAGGGCATGTCCATCGCTGGATTTAAAGATGGTTTTAAAGAAAAGAGTGATTTAAAAAAAAGATTTAATCAAACAAAATACTAAAGTCGAGTCTTACATTAGCTCCTCCTGTTAGATTAAGAACCCGACATGTGTCAAACTCTGGGTAAATCATGTTTTGGCAAAATAAAAAATAAAGAAAAAAACTCTCTCTCTTCCTTTCTCTCTTCCTCTCCACCGAACAGACAAATTCCGTCGGTCGGATTTCGTCCGACCTCTTATCGGAACGGTGTCTCTATATCTCTCTCGCTCCGTTTTGATTATCCTTGTCTCTCTATCTCTGTATTTCTCTATTTCTGCCTCCAATTCGCACTAATTTACACCTCTGCCAATTCCATGGATATACCTTCGCTGTTTCTGCTGTTTCAACTGTCGAGAAAAAGATGAAATTCCTATGGATTTAAAATCCAGTTTTAGATGAACGATACTGAAAATTGTTTTTTCAGCTTCAAGACTACCGTTGTTTGAAGAAAGATTTTATGTGTTTTGTTGTCTAATATTTTGTTCTGTAATCAAGCTTTTGTTTTGTCACGATACTGAAATATGTATTATGTTTAAAATGACTTTTTTTTAAGAGAAATTTGCTCTTTAAAACTCTCTCAAAGATTCTACCGATGGAGTAGGAAAAAAAAGTAAGATCCAGTACAAAAGATTTTAGCATAAAGTGATAGAAAATTTATAATTAAAAAATTCTTTAAAACCTAAAATTGGGTTTTAGGGATGGAGATGGTCTTATTGCTAGTAACACTTCCAAGTTCCATGTAACTTATCGGGTTTTGTGCAAAAAAAACCTAAACTAAAATAATTTTGCAAAACAAACCCTCACCTTAATTTTGTGCAAGTCAAACTACTAACCTTTAAGGTCAGCGGCAATACTGACCATCAGTGTATCGATGACGTGGCAGGAGCGACCACGTATTAAAATGTCAAAACGCACCGTCTCGTCGGATCAAAACGGGAGGCTGTTTTTTTTAAGTTGACGTTTAATTGGAAAGAAAACGACAACTCTAAAGAAGGAAATCGATTTGGGGGAAATCTAGGAAGAAATTGGTGTGTTACTCGAATCGTGAAGTCGTGACTAGAGATCGTGGAAAGTTGTTTTTAGAGCTAACGATGAGGTACCCTATTTCTTACGATCTCTTACTCTCGACACTATCAATTTCATGTTTTTGAACAAAGACAAAAAAAACTGGTTTTCCGTGAATGATAGGTTTATCAAGTGAATTAGACTCTAATGGTAGTTGTTTGTTTCATGTACACATCGATTTCTTGTGTCATTAGTTGTAGTTTGTCAATTTCAGGATTTTGTGAGCCGACAGAGAACTGTGTTACCCGTGAAACAAATTTAGCAATTGGTTTAGACAGTAATGGTGTTGGTTTGTTCGTCTTTGATTTGGATTTCATTGGTGTTGGTTATGATTTGGAAGGATTCAAGGTTTTTAGATTTTGGAACTCTTGAGTGGTTTGTTCGTCTTTTTAATCATTGTCTTGTGCTCGAATTAATCACTGTATAATCTCGTTGTTTCAATTATCATTGTTGATCAGAATAATAAGCTTAATTGGTGTCGGGAAAATCAAGAAAACTTATCTGAAGTTTGGCTTATCATTATTTAATTAGTCAAATTTGATTTGAAGCTATTTTTCACTGTGATTTTGGTACGTCAAAAGATGGTTTTTAGCTATGTACGGATATAATCATGCAAGAACGTGAAATTAGCTTCAAATCACAGTTAAAACTTGGAAATAGTGTGAGTGAGATTAGTTTGTTCCTCTCTTTTTTTGTGTTCCATCGTCAACAAGTCAAAAGTCCATACCATGTCATGCGACGTGGTAACATGTGGCATCACAATTCATCGTGTCTAGTGTGTTACTCATGAAACAAGTTTAGCAATTGATTTAGACAGTAATTGTATTTCTTTCTTTCATGTAAACATCAGTTTATTCGCTTATTAGTTGCAGTTTGTCATTTGGATTTCATTGGTGGTTGTTATGATTTTGGTTTCCTCTAATTCTTTGCATTTTTGATATGTACATCTTTGCGGGAGGTTATTGGTCACCACAAGATGCTTATCATGGTGGTCAGTCGCACATTTGCTGAGAACAACTACAACCCGAGTGGTTGTGAAGAATGTGAGGGACTGGGGAGAGAAGTGTTGATATTAGGCGAGAGGAGTAAGGTACTTCGTAATGTTCTTCTCGCATTTGTTATCGTTATTGTAGGAGTAATGGCAATGTGCTTGTAAGATGTCCCACGATGTTAGTTTTCTCTTCATCTTTGATGTCGTTGTAATGGTAGTTTAGAAGTTATCTTTGATGTCGTTGTAATAGTCGGTACTTGCAAGACTTAGTTCGATATTTTCATCTTTGTCAGTTATGTATTGTAAGACTTATTTGGGTTCGTAACTTATTTTGTTTTCTTGCTGGAAACCCTATTTTTTTACCCAGTTTAAGTGTTTAACAAATAACAAATCGATTTCACCACTTCTGAGATTCAAATGAAAAACGACACGATTTTTAACACCTGGTCGCTCCTGCCACGTCATCGATACACTGATGGTCAGTATTGCGGGTGACCTTAAAGGTTAGTAGTTTGACTTGCACAAAATTAAGGTGAGGGTTTGTTTTGCAAAATTATTTTAGTTGAGGGTTTTTTTTGCACAAAACCCTAACTTATCACTATTTATGCTTAGTTAGTTTGTTTGTACTTTGTAGATTAATTATGCTTTTACCGTTTTACGAACCATGGACACAAAATTCAGATAGGAAATCATTAGATGATAAAAAAAATAACCCGTAGCTTAATTAATTTCCAACCCAAAATAAAAAATATTTGATCATGTAATTTCTGCATAAATTTTGAGATGTTTGTGTTAGAGGAAATGGAGAGCTAAGTTCATGGGTTGAGAAGAAATTAGGTGATTTTAATCTACTTAGATCACATGATGAAAAACATTTGAAATGTTACAAGAATTTTGGAGTTGAAGGCGTATGAAAAACTTCCTCAAGCAAAACACTCAACTTTTGCAATATTGGTTGAGAAGAGAGCTTTATGCTCTGCTGCTGGTATGTCTATGCCAGAGACTAGTCTATGTTCTTCCTTTATATTTTATGTAGAACAAATATCCTGATGTGATTGTGCATCCATTGAGCACTGCTGCAAAATGTAATTCATCTTATGCTTTCTTCTTCTTCATGTTCATGTTTTTTTTTTCTTATTCTTCTCTCCTTTTCAGTTTCAATGAGAGACAACAAAAAGATGTTTCAGCTTCGATCATTGATACATTCAAAGCATTCAAAGCAGCCATCTCAACAGCAGCAAGCCCTACTTGGCACAAAAAAACAGAGAGATTTGTGGAAGGACTAGTGCTCTACATGGCATAAGGACTCAACCTTTAAGCTTATGATGACATGTACAAGAAGTCTTTCTACCATAGAAGAATAAGAAAGATGAGCCAAAAAAAAAAAGAAAAAAAAACAATGATTCTTTTAAGTGTGGGGCAATGTTTGACGACCGTTTTGGTAAATTCAGATATGTTATAAATTGTCTTTTCTAGTATTAATTCCATACACAAAAGTATTGTGAGGAGAGTTTTTAAGAAACCTATATACAAAGTATTGGAGGTTTCAATACAATAGAAATTATTCTTAGCATGTGTATATTGGAGGCTTCAATATATATATACTTGGAAAATGGAAATCATCAACGATAATTATATACTGACTAATCGAAAATTTTAATTGTGCGTGACGATTATATATACCATTCTTTTATGTTTAGAATCAGATTAATGGATAGTCTCAGTCTCTATCAACTTTGTGCAAAAGGTTGGAGGGTGTGACTTTATCTTTAGTTACTTTTATGACCATGAAAGAGAATCTTAATTAAAGGTCCCGTTTCAATTTTTCACACGAAGTTGCATGGAAAAGTTAACAGCTTATATTGTAACCTCTACTTGATAAAATATAGATACCATTCTTTTTACATATATATGTCTAAGAAAGCAGTGATATAGTTTGTGTTCTCTCCATTTTTGTTAAATGTTTGGCTAAAAGATATATGGCTCTTGCTATATGGTTCTTTTGTTATATGTTTTTTTGTAATTATGTTTTCGCTAAACACTTGCATTATTGGAAGTATATTATGTGTAACAAAATTCACATATTTTAGTTAATACACACACACACACACATATATATACTCACACAAATTCATCAAGAATTCTCAAAACATGTCTCACTGGCCATTATAAAATTAGTCTATATATTCGAAAATTCCATGAAACTGTGATAGTCGAGAAAATTATGTTGATCATATCCATTTCATGAATAAGTAACATATAGTCGATTTCATTACCCTTGGTCTACCTATACGAATATTTATTTAGCATACGATTAATTTCGTGTTTTATTAGCATTTTAGCTTAGTGTCTGATCATAGAATGATATTTAATTATATATATAACGTTGGTAATTAGAAAAGGCAAAAAACAAGATGTTTCTTAATTTGTCTTGTAATAATTGTCTATAGCGATTGACCTAATGTATTGGATTGGTCAAAATGGGAGTAAAAACAACTACACCATTATCATTCACTAAGTGACATATGTATACTTTAATCGTATCTCTTTTTATATATATATCGCCAAATTTGAAGAGCCATGAATCTATCCTTTGTCTTCTTTGAAATGTCGTTTATCGATCGTATACCTCTTCCAATTATATATACTTTATACTCTTATATATACTTGAATTAGGGTTCAAATTCGAAGTATATTACGAACCTTTAACTTTGACTTTCGATTTTGAACCCTAATTCAAGACTGTTGGGATATTACATGCAATTCAATGACCGGCACCTATTTACATTTAGTTTGGTGTATATCAGTATACGTAGGTATGTCAAGTATTTATCTATTGGCAGGTTTGTATAGTGTATATATATGGCTTCATATAGTTTAATAGTTGGAACTCTATTATTATTTTTATTTTATATATCTCTCAACGAACGAGGCAAATCACAAAGGGATGTTTGCATTTTAACCTAATAATGCATCTGCAAAAAAAGTCTATATTCTTCTACTTTCTTATGAACCGCATGTGGTATATCTGTAATGTACCTTCAAGATCCACATCTGTCTTACTTTGCAATTTTATGCTATATTTCTTTCTTTCTTTTTTCTTTTCTTTTTTATTAAAGGGCATTTATGCTATATTTCTACATATTTTTGTTTAACAAATGAGATAAACATATGTAAATTTTGTTTCCAAATTCAACTATCATATCTATAGTGTAAGAATGATATACTTAGTTCAAATTCGAATTCCTTTAATTTCTTTCAAGGATGTTAAACGATAGGAGCCAATATATAATTCATAATGTATTGGATATTTCTATGTCTAGGAATCTTTATTATATATCAAAGCAAAGAGAAGAGCAATACTATATATTATGAAGTCTCGAAAATTGTAGGAGAATATTCTGGTGCCACCACAGTTCAAGAAGAAAACTCCAAACATTAATGATATAAAAAGGTTTACCAGTTTAAACATAGAAAGGACACTCTTAAAAACATCATTACATTATGATTAAAGTTTAAACTATACTCAAAAGAATTGTTAATTAAGTCAGCCCACAAGCAGTCGACTTCCAAAACCTTACCTGCCTTTTGTCAGTTCTATGTCTCACCTTTATTCTTTTTAATTGAACCATGAAAATTTTACGTCTTAGGGAAAAAATAGATTATTTAGATTTAGTTAATTCGTAACTGTTCGAGATCGATTCAATAAACCTTTGATGCACCAGTTGGAAATATTGACCTCCTGAGGTAAAGGCCTCAACTAATTTTTATATACACTATACATTTACTGATAATAAAATGGCATGTGTAATAAAATAGTATACTAATGAACTAAAATGAAATTTGTGATAAAAAAAATGAAATAGCTTTTAAATGTGATTAGCTGCATGAGATGGAAAAGACCTTCGCAAGCCTCGAACTAATAATATACTATATTTAAAATAACAAATTTGTAGAAGAAATATACTTTTTGAAATCACAACGTATACTTTTTTCCAAAAAAAAAAAGTACGCTTTGTTACTTGATATCACTTTCTTAAAGAAAAAGAGAATGGAAAAACAAAATTGTGGAAAAAGAATGTATAGTTATCTTCGTTTTTCTTATATAAACTGTAAAATTATCTATTATCTACACGACTACACACCATTAATAAAGTCACCACAAACTCTTTTTTCTCAAATATTCTTAAAAAACAAAATGGTAAGTAAGAAATAAATAGATAGGCGAAATCAATTTTGAAAGTATATGTTACGAACAGTTTGATTTCATCATTATCAAAAAAAGAGTGTGGTTTCATTTTCGAAAGAGGCACTTGCAAGTTGCAACTCTTAGGTTTTTGTCGTATGTTGTTGGATTATAACTAAAGAGCACGTGCATGGGTACACGTGCATTGCAGGCTTTGTTCGACAAACAAGAGATGTAACCATCACCGTTGGATCTGTTATACTTCTTTCACCTATAATGAAAAATTCTGATTCATATGAAAAACTAGACCACCGTCTTTATTTATCTGCAAATTCATTAAGACTCAACTGCTTCCTTACAGAAGAAATTCAGAGCACGTCTTGCTAAAATATCAGCCTGTCTATTGGCTTCTCTTGGTACAAACAGAATTGAAATCTTTTCAAATTAAATTAAAGATAGATTCAGGATATATATCGTGGAGTTCCTTTCAAAATATCTAATTAACTGTGCTAAAAGATCAAATTAATTGTACCTTACAAGGGAAGCCATAGTCTATATCCATACATGACATGTACAATGGGACTGATCTAGTTAACTGCATGTGTTCTACAACTCAAGACAAAGTTTGCAAAGAAACAAATGATTTCTTCATCATCAACGGAGTAGTAAACTTATATGATATATATATATATATATATATATATATATATATGTTAAAGATAAACTAATAAATCATTCATAACCTTTATTTCAATTCTAACCTTCAAACTAATTAACATATCTATCTCTTTAGTTCTTTTATCAGGAAATCATGAAAAGATTAACATGTGTACATCCCTTCATAAACCATATGTTAAATGATTGTATTTTTACTATTTTACTCTAACTAGGTATACATGAATAGTATGTACGTAGAATTCATTTTAGATAAACTTACAAGTATTGAAAATCATGCATATAGTAAGATAAGTAGTTTTTACACTAAGTTAACATGAGCATGTATGACCCATTGAGCCGATTCCGATTGGACCATCACCTTTGGTTATCAAAAACAAATATAGGAACAAAAAGTAAGTAATTATAGGACACATAAAAAAACAGAAACAAAATGGAGAAGAAAGGGCAACGCAAATAACGGGATCATCATTCCAAATAGAAAAGGCAAAAATAATTAGCTTTCTATGTGTCATACTGTCACAAGTCATAACGCACTTCCACAGTTCCACGGCAAAATTCAAAAATATAACTAGTTTCCATTATTTACATATTTATGCACCACACAACAGCAATTCAGCAAATATGTAATTTCTTAAAAAGAAGAAAAATATCGTGATTAATTAATTATACATCATACAAACAAGGATATGATGTTTTTGAACAATGAAGTATAATGAATACCAAATAAACTTTCTTGTTAAACATTTTTTTAACAAAAGAACTGCAAGGAGTGAAAGTGAAACTGCAAATACATCGGTAGCCTATAATATATTCGAGGCATGGTAATATTTATTCTATCTTTGCATCATTAGAATTTTAAAATTTTATTGGCTCTGATGCTATCACTTTCAGCTTATGATTTTCCACCGCCATCCACTTCTGCCCTCTTAAAATAATTTGATAAATAAAAATAAAATAACAAGATAAACCTTTTAGTTTAATCAAAATGGCTGCAACAGTTTAACTTTAACAGATCAAGGTGCTCATATATATACACACACGGATATGTAGAGAGTGGTATAGGGTGAGACAAAAGCAATATATATAAGTGGAGAACCCAATATATCTTTGTCCTTGCTGTTTTTTCCTTATTCTCAGTCATAGTTAACTTGCAGATTTTCAAGTATTTCTAGTCTTTCTCTTATATTATACCCTTTTGTCTCCTTCTCCTTCTCTCTCTTTCTCTCAGCTATATACAAAAATCCACTTTTGATTTCTCTTGCAAGAAGTCAAGAACCCAGTAGAAGATGACAGGTGAAGTTCTTGAGACAATCTCTAGTGGATCAGGATTTGCTCAGAGCTCATCAACTCTGGATCATGATGAATCTCTCATCAACCCTCCTCTTGTTAAGAAGAAGAGAAATCTCCCTGGAAATCCTGGTAAGTTTTAAATTAAATATAAAGCTTGATGATCACCTAAAAAGAAAACCCTAGAAACTTTTTCAACTTTTTCCCCTATTCATTAATTTTCTTGGGCTGTTTTTTTCTGGATCTTGACCTATATCAAAAGTATTATTTGGCTGCATGAATCATATAATGATTAATCGGTTCTTAATTAGTTGATGTTTAGGATATGAGGCTATTGTAAACTAAACGTTTTATTAGATGCATAGATCGTCTTCTCTTGAAATTGTAATGTTTAGATAAAAAAATATTTACATACCTTTTATTATTATCACCCCACCTAAAAAGGATAACACAAACTTGACTAAAATACATGACCCGATCCAAAACATATATTCACGTTTTCCTGATGGAATCACAAATCTTGGTCTACATATAGATCCGGAAGCCGAAGTCATAGCTTTATCACCCAAGACCTTGATGGCTACGAATCGGTTCCTATGCGAGATCTGTGGCAAAGGTTTCCAAAGAGACCAAAACTTACAGCTTCATCGCCGAGGACACAATCTTCCATGGAAGCTAAAGCAGAGGACAAGCAAAGAAGTGAGGAAACGTGTCTACGTTTGCCCGGAAAAGACTTGCGTCCATCATCACCCCTCCAGAGCTCTAGGCGATCTCACCGGAATCAAAAAGCATTTCTGCCGGAAACACGGCGAGAAGAAGTGGAAGTGCGAGAAATGTGCCAAGAGATACGCAGTCCAATCCGATTACAAAGCTCATTCCAAGACTTGTGGAACTAGAGAGTACCGTTGCGACTGTGGCACCATTTTCTCCAGGTACGTGCACATATATATATACACATCTCTCTATATATTAAAGATTTGTATATTTGCTGTCGTTTGTATATATTGATCATGTTCGAAAACTACTCTATAGTAGCTTTATAGTGGCTACATCTTCTTCTTTTGTCAATATACTATTGTTTAGTTACCTTTTATAAGTATGTATGTCATTTTCTCTGTGTTTTGTTGTCTTCTTGAAGTAGGGTAAAGTTTCTAACTTGGGAAATGTTTTTGTTAATGTGATGATTGTGTCAAAAAGGGTAAAAAAATATAATGACCATGATGAACATATAATTAATAATGTTACAAATATATAGTGTACATGTGTATGGGTTAAAATGGTAACATTATCTCTCTTTATTTCATTTGCGGGAAAATGTTAATAAATTGACAAAAAAAAAAAAAAAATCTTTTCTTTTCTTGCTGCACATAATGGTAGTAATGTTTTCGTATTTGTGCTAATTGCATTTGAGCATTTCAGCAATTAATTAAAACTTTGATACATTTGCGTTGAGAGAAATATTAATTGACATGTTAATGGTGGTTTTGGTTGAAACAGGCGAGACAGTTTCATCACTCATAGAGCTTTCTGCGATGCCTTAGCGGAAGAAACAGCTAAGATAAACGCAGCGTCTCATCTCAACGGTCTAGCCGCAGCTGGAGCCGCAGGAATTAATCTCAACTATCAATACCTCATGGGAACACTCATCCCACCGCTTCAACCATTTGCACCGCAGACAAATCAAAACCACAACCATCATTTCCCACAGCCACTTCCATCGTCCTCGTCGTCTCTCTCCCTATGGATGGGACAAGACATGGCACCGCCTCAACCGCAACCTCAAGACTACGATTGGGTTTTCGGAAACGCTAAAGCTGCGTCTACATGCATTAATAATGATAATATTAATAATCACGATGAGCTCATCACACAAACCGCAAACGCCAGCTCAACCACTACTACTACTCTCTCTGTCCCTTCTTTATTCAGCAGCGACCAAACACAAAATGCAAACGCTACAAACGTGAATATGTCCGCGACAGCGTTACTACAAAAGGCGGCTGAGATTGGCGCCAATTCGACAACGGTAACCGCAGCGACCAACGACCCCTCGGCGTTTTTTCAGAGTTTCCCGCTAAAATCTTCCGACCAAACTACCACTTATGACAGCGGCGAAAAGTTCTTCGCTTTGTTCGGATCTAACAACAACAACAACATTGGACTAATGAGTCATAGTCATGATCATGAGACTGAGAGCGCTGGAAATGGCGTTATGGTTGCGTCTGCGATGGATGAACTACAGAATTACCCCTGGAAACGTAGAAGAGTTGATGGTGGAGGAGATGGAGGTGGAGGAGGGCAAACTCGGGATTTTCTCGGGGTCGGTGTACAAACGTTGTGTCATCCATCGTCTATCAATGGATGGATTTGAAACAGTTCAAAACGTTTTCGGGGCAATGAATAAATAACGAAAAAGGACAAGGAATCTTTTGTAATTTCCACCATTTTCTAATTATAAGAAGTTGAGAACACATTATGTAAGTCGTTTTCTTTTAGTAAATCAAGACTTGAAGTTTATGAAAATGTGATTATATATATATATATATATATATATGTCAATATGTGTAATGTGTTTATCTTCTAGATATAAAAATTCATGTACATAGCGTATCGATATTCATCGTATGTTTCCAAGAAATGATCTTTGGGATATAGGGAACAAAGACATTCAGCATCTTTTGAATTTTTGTTTTATTTTAAGATATTATTACTATAAGTATAATACACTCATGTTATTTGTTCGCATCATGTGAAATCGTCAATGATTTTGGACTCATCTCTATTATTTTCATTTTCATTTTTCACTGATTCTCTTATTCTTCTAAACCATCAAAGCTTTATCGAATTGAGGCTAAAATAATTAAATATTCTTTACCTTCTTCTTTATCGAAGCATGGTCTATGATTGTACTAAATTTAAAGAAGCATGATGTAAAGGCTTACGTTTTGTAAAGTCTTAACATCGTCATTTAACCCCAAAAAAAAACCTAAAGTTCATTAAGGTGTATCATCGGTGGAGGAGAGATTCACATATATATTGAGTCAAGGAATAAAGGAATTCAAGGAAATAATTTGGTTTTATTATAAGCATATTCGGTGCAGAAGATAAAGTGAAGATCCATGCATATTCTCCATTAAAGAGTAGAAAGGTCTTAATTTTTCTTCTTGTATGCAAGGATATACAAAAAATTAAAAAAGCATAGATAAAGTGTTAGAAGTGGTGGGGACAATGAAAGGTGGAGACTTTTGGAGCTCAATTATTTTAATCACAACCCTAACTCGAAGGCAAAAATTTATACTTCAGTGGAGGAAAAGAATAGAAAAAGAGAAAAAGCTTGATATTCCTAGCTTAGGCTTTTTCCACCTTTTATCTTATCTCTCTTTTGCTCTCAAGAAAATAAGATTCAGCCATCTATATATGCATGTTATTATGCTATAGTATTTAACACACACATATATATATATATATATAAGAGTTTTATTCAAAAATGATCTACAATACGAAACTTGCTCGAAGCATCATACAATATAACAAAAACATAGGAAAAACACTATATGCTGTACTATTTTCTACTGTTTATGCATTATTTCAGAGAAAGGTGTAAAGATTTGCATGACATAATTTGGAAAAGGAAAATAATGAACACTTCTGATTGATGGAAAAAACAAACAAAACATCTTTGATTTGACCCAATAAAAGAAACATGTAGGGCAAATAAATTCACCGTCTATTTTTTCGTTGCGGTCAGATTTTTATTTTTTTCCATTCAAGACAAAGTATGAGCACCAACCACCAAACTTTAGCTTTTGCCATGACATATCCTTTTATATTCTACTAACTATGTTTGCACTTGCACACACTCTAGTCTCTAGAGTATAGAGCCTTAGAGCATGTTTAATGCAAGAATGCTTAACAGGGTGTTTAGCTAATATCATAATATAAAAGTTGTTGTAAGCACTTTTGTTAAAAATTACATGTTTTGCCTTCTCTAATGGGAGACGCTTATAAGGGTGCTTAAAATAAAAGATTAAAAGTTATTTTAAACAAAGATTTTTCGTCATCTTTGAAACCGATTTGCTGATGGACTACACCTTGGATTTGAGAACGGAAAGAATATCTGGAAAGCTGGATTCGAGATCTTCAAAACCGTATGAAGATTGACTACTGGTTCCGTACTGATCGTTAGGAAATATCTTCACAAAACCTTGAGTAGAAACTGGAAATATGAAAGCTTCAAGCTTTGACATATTTGACTTCTCAAAACCATGCTCCTTCATGGCTACCTCCATTTCATTCCTTGTTATGAACCTATCGTAACAAGCCATTCACATTGATGTCTGATATTAGCGTTAAACAGTTTACCTCAATTCATACTTGAATCTTTGATTCTCTTGGCAAAAAATTATGATCCATGGAGATTGATTCATTACCTTACCCTTTCTTATCTTTACCAAAGTACTTGAATGCTTTGTACAAAAGTTCATCTTACTCCAGTCCTGTCTATGCATTGTCACAAACATGAACTCCATGTACTTCATTTTCAGAGAGCTCATACCCAAGTCTGTTCATCCTGGTTTTGAGTTTTTCATAAGTGAGTTTCCCTCTTTCTTTCCTTCTTCCTCTTCCGGTTGACTCTCCGCCATCACTTGCAAACCAGACACACAAATAAAATATCTGAGGTTCAGAGTACAAAAAAATGGCAAAATGTTTTCTTCTTTTTACCTTAAGAGCTAGCTTCTTAAACTTATTCACAACTTGGAATTGGGATAAGACACCTTGATCAATAGGCTTATACGGATCTTCTCTAACAGATTTGATTCAAGGATTGCTAGTTAAATACGAACATGATATCAGAACTAACATTTTCATCCAGAACAATTTTGATTGAAATTGGTTGATCTTCGCCGATTAGGCACGATATTGTTCGCCGCTTCTCATAAACACATGATGAATACGAACGCCCACCCACCGGAGACATGATTTCTGACTGATTTCGTGAATTTCGTGAGCGAAATCGACGAAAGTTTCGATTTGTCAACGAAGATTGAGATCAAAGAGAGAGAGAAGAGCGAAAAAGGAAAAGAAGAAATGAGGAGAGAGAAACATATTTTTGTTCTTAATTACCTCCAGCCAATCGGAGACTGCCACGTGTCATGAAGCAACCGACGCTTATAATGCTTATTGAAGCGTCGGAGCTTTGCTTTTCTCGTAATTTTGATTTAATTAAATGCTGAATTTGTGCTAAGCGCTGCTTTAAGCGTCCGCATTAAGCGTGCTCTTACTAACTAGCTAGGATACGCCCTAAAATTCATTTAACTAGAATGATCTCTATATTATTCTTATGTGAATTTTATTCTTCTTATAACTTAAAATGTATCGTAATTAGTGGGAAAACGTAACTAGTGGGAAAACAGTGACGAAAAAAAAACACAACTAGTAAAAATGAATGTGATAATGCACAAAACATGTGATTCTACATATTTATATGCTATATGTGATCGCTTCGTAACTGTTGGCGATAGCATTTCAATGAAGGACACATTTTGTTGTTCTTTCAGTCATCGACCAAACCATGTTCGATTCGACGATATGTGTCGGCCAGTAACAACTGAAAAGTTAAAGACTCTTCAAATTTTAAATAACTAATCAATCTCTGGTCAATATAGCAAGAAAACAAACACAAAAATAATCATTGTAATATATTGCTCGTAGCTAGAGATTGCGAAACAAACAAACCCATTCATTTAAGATTTTAGAAGCAAACTAAAAAGTAAAATGCTTCCAAAAGCAATAAACGAAGGAAATTATAAGATGCAAAAGCAAAATAATAAAACTAGACGAAGGAAACAAAAACTGTGATCACATAAGGGACTTCATGTTGAACTATAATCACATTCGTATAAGTTAAAGTCTTATTGCATAAGTTAGTTACTAAAAGTCATGTTTGTAAGTTGTGTCGTTACACAAGAGTCGTGTCTCTTAAACACAATGTTTCGTGTAGTATAAGTATGTGGAGGCAAACTCTTGTAATGCATTGTAGTGTGATACAATCACATCAAGTTTCATATCAATAAAATCATTCCTCGTTTAACATTCTTCTTCTTCATAAGAGAAAGACGAACTCTTGTCTCTTGCTTTGTTATGTCTTTTTTATTTTCTTACTCTGTTTATAAATAAAAATTCAACATGGTATCAGAGCTTTCATGGTCGTGGAACCTGTTAAAGCACACAAATAATGAAGAGAAATCCGCTGTGAGAAGAAGAGAAGAGATGGAGACTGAAAACCGGAGAGAAGAAGAAGAAGAGGAAAGGAAAAGAAAAGAAGAGGTGGTGACAAGAGAGAGCACCATGAACCTTCGCAAACGTATTCACATGTCGTACCACAAGAGGAAGGCTCCAATAGAGATGGAGGAGATAAGAAATCTACTCAAGTGGCAATGGAGAAAGCGGATGTGGAATCATTATGGAAGGAGAATTCTGAAACTTGATGGAGAAGCCACCTGTTGAGAGAAACAGAGCAAGGCACATTGAAGCGGTTACACATAACCGGAAAAAACGTGGATAATGAGATCCACACATGCAGGCGGTTATGGAGATGACCGGAAAAAGACATGGTGGATAATGAGATCTACACATGCAGCTGTTATGGAGACGACCGCAAAAGGACATGGTGGATAATGAGATCCACACATGGAGTCGGTTACGGAGATGACTGGAGAAGACGTGGAGAGAGGATTCACGCACGGAACGTCGAAGAGACGTGATGGTGATCAAAGGGAGTCACCAAGCAACAAAAGAGGATGCTTACCTCGAGAAAAAAAATGGAGCAAGTCGGTTGAAGAGTTAGCCGAAGAAGACATGGAGAGAGATCCATGTGGGAGACGTCAAGGACGTTAATGGTGAAGACACCAAAGCACAAGAGGATGCTTACCTCAAAAAAAAATGGAGCAACAGACTGCTTACCTAAGAGAAGAGGAGGCAGCAGACGGTTAGAGTTAACCGGAGACGTGAAGAGATTCACGTTATAACGTCAAAGAGACGTTGAAGCAACAGGATGCTTACCTCTATGAATAAAAAGGAGCAGAAACCGGTTATAGAGATAACCGAAGAAGACGTGAAGGCAATTCACGCACGGGACGTCAAAAAAACGTTGAAGGTGATCAAAGGAAGTCACCAAGCAAAAAAGGAGGCTGCTTACTCAAATGAGAAAGGAGCAGGAACCGGTTACAGTGTTAACCGAAGAAGACGTGGACAAGAAGATTCACGCATGGAAGTGGTTACACAGATAACCAGAGAAGAAGTGGGGAAGGAGTTTCACCCACGAGATGTCACAGAGATGTGATGGTGATCAAAGGAAGACACCGAAGGAATCATCAAGTTGGAGTACATCAAAGGAGAAGACCAACTCGCAGACTTACTCACCAAGGGACCAAGTGTATCACGATTTGAAGACCTTTGGGAGAAGCTTCGAGTAAAACCGAAATGTGATTAAGGAGGAGTGTTGAACTATAATCACATTCGTATAAGTTAAAGTCTTATTGCATAAGTTAGTTACTAAAAATCATGTTTGTAAGTTGTGTCGTTACACAAGAGTCGTGTCTCTTAAACACAATGTTTCGTGTAGTATAAATATGTGGAGGCAAACTCTTGTAAGACTATGTGCAATGAGGGTGTTGATAATAGTTTTCAACAGTTGAATTAGCTTTAATGAGTCTGTTGAAACTACCTGTTGAATGACTTGGCAAAATTGGTGTTGAAAATTTACAACATGTTGATAAGAAAAAATTGGGCCCACTAAAGACATGTGTCACAATATAATTGGTTACTGAGATTTCTGATTTTTTTAACTTCCCTCAATTATTTGAGGTTAATTATTTCAATCAAAATTAACTTTTTAAACTATAAATTTTATACCAAAATTCATCACTTTTTATACTCTATAAATAGAGACTTATTTCATTTCATTCGGACACAAAAAAAAACACATTTTCTTTATTTTTTCATAATGAATCACAAAAATAATCATTTTAACACTCAAAATTCTTTTAATAACCTTTTAACTACCCAAATTCCAACAATTATCAATTTCAAAATCATTCTTCCAATCATCATAGATGTATGGTAATGATTTTAATCATTTTAATGTCCATGGTATGGTAATGATTTTAATTTTTATAAATTTGTTGTTTTTATAAAAATTGTTATTTATTTTTTTAATTATTATGTAAGTTTAAAAAAATTCAAGTTTCATATAACCTTAAATTTTTTTTTAGTTTATTTAATTATTTTAGTTTAGTTATTTATTTATTAATATAAAATAAAAAAACATAAGCATAAAAAAGAAATAAAAATGTGGGGTAAGGTGTTGTATATTATTAAACACCCACATTGTAGATAGTAAAAGTTGAAATGGTGTTGAATAATGAGGTGAAATGGATGTATAAAGTAGATGTTGAAGTAAAAAATCATTGTACATAGTCTAATGCATTGTAGTGTGATACAATCACATCAAGTTTCAGATCAATAAAACCATTACTCGTTAATGTTCTTCTTCGAGAGACAAGAGATAATCTTTTATCTCTTTCTCTGTTTTGTCTCATATTCTTTCTTCTCTGTTTCAAATCAATATTTCAACACTTCAAAGCCCATAATAAAGCCCAATAGTGAATAATAATTTCCAAAAGAAATGGAAATAATTACACAAGGAGTCGCAGAGAGAGAGAGAGAGAGAGAAGAAGAGAAATGAAATTCACAGACTCTCCGGTGATCGATCTGACGGTGAACGGCACGAAGCTCTCTTTCCAGCAAGACAATGGTTCGATGCACGTCGGAACCTCCGTCTGGTCTGGCTCTCTGATCCTCGCCAAATTCGCCGAGCGCTGGTCCACGGTGGACTCATCATCGTCTCCGAATCCATACGCCGAACTCCTCGATTTCCGCCGCCGTCGCGCCGTCGAGCTAGGAACCGGATGCGGAGTCGCCGGTATGGCTTTTCACCTCCTTGGTCTAACGGAGATCGTGCTAACTGACATCGCTGCGGTCATGCCGGCGCTCAAACACAATCTGAAACGGAACAAGGCCGCGCTTGGAAAATCTCTGAAATTCTCGATTGTTAACTGGAACAACAAGGATCAGATCTCGGCGCTGAAGCCGCCGTTTGATCTGGTAATCGCGGCGGATGTTGTTTACATAGAGGAATCGGTAGGGCAGCTAGTGACGGCGATGGAAGCGTTGATGGCGGAAGACGGCGCTGTGCTGCTTGGTTACCAGATTAGGTCGCCGGAAGCTGATAAGCTATTCTGGGAGCTATGCGACGCCGTTTTCAAGATCGAGAAAGTTCCTCATGAGCATCTCCATCCCGAATACGCCTATGAGGAAACTGATGTTTACATCTTTAGAAAGTTGCCTAAGAAGGATCAAGCTGAATCTGAGTGAAGCTAATTTTGTTTCTGTAATTTAAAATGTCTTTTTTTTTACAATCAAATGTAATTTTTTCTTTACATGATCGATTTAAACTTTACAGGATTGAGATAATTTGGTTTGAAATGGTAAAAATACGAACGGGCTAATTAATGGGCTCGTTAAGATAAATGGGCTTTCTGTTGAACCCAGCCGGTTCGATTTATTACATTTACACGAATGGCTGACTTAAGTTAGGTCCAGATCCAAACACAAGCGACATAACAAAGGTCTGAAGAAGAAGAAGAAATATTTTATTTATTTAAAGCAAAATTAATTTGATATTCAACGAGAGAAAGAGAGAGAAACGCGATTCCTGAATCAAACTCCCTCGATTTTCCCGAAAACCCACCAAGGAAAAAAAAAAAGAAAAAAAAAAGAAAGAAAAGAGCATCTGACAAATTCACCAAACTCTGAAAATCAGAACTTTTAATTAATTTTATTTTGTAAACCTCTTTTTTTGCTTCTTCTTTCTCTCAATCAAATTCATTCAATATCGTTAATCCTTTTATTTCATTATAGTAACGATCGTGTTAGAAATAAAAAAATTAACGAAGGGAAAAAAAGCAAAATTGGTGATTATGATGGAAACGAATAGTCAGACAAGAAGCACTGTTGGTGTTGTTCGTTCGCTTGCTGTTCTTCTTCGTGATTTCTTCTTCTTTTTATTTCTTTTAATATTTAAAACCCCTCCCCCGAAAAAAAAAACTCTTCTCTTTTTTATTAATGATCTTGTCGATATTGCTACTCATCTCCCGTTTGTAAATAATGTTTAATGTTATTGATTTTATTTGTGAAATTCCCAATCACATTCGTTGTAGTAGTAGAAGTAGAGAGAGAAAGTTTTTCTTTTTGGTTTTTTGGTGGATTTTTATTCTTCTTTACTTCTCTTCTCTTTTTCGTCAAACCCAAAAATCCAACGGTGTTCGTGATGTTCCTGATAGAAGAAGAAAACCCAGAACTTTCATTTCTTTAATCTCTCTTCTCTGGCCACAAAATTTCCTCTCCTTCTTCAAGCTTTTTTGGTTTTGATCCGTCTCAAGTAATTGTCACAGCACACAAGTAAGTGTTTTTTTTTATCTTCCCCCAATTCAATTCATTTGTGTTTTGTAATTCTAGGGTTTCGAATTTTTTTGGTTAAATTCCGGATTTGGGGGGTTTTGCTGTGTAGAAATGGAAGGTTTGTCTGAAGAAGCAGAGAAGAACAAAACACCTGAAGGTGCTGAGAGCAAGTCTAAACGGAAAATGAAAACAGCTGCTCAACTTGAAGTTCTTGAAAATACTTACGCAGGTTTGTTTTGGTTAAATCTTACTTCATTGTTGTTAAATTTTTGTAATTTTAGTGTGTTTTTGTGTGTTTAATTTCACTAAAATGTTGTATTTTTTCCAGCTGAGCCTTATCCTTCGGAAGCTATAAGAGCGGATCTCTCAGTCAAACTGAATCTCTCCGACAGGCAGTTACAGATGTGGTTTTGTCACCGGCGGCTTAAAGACCGGAAATCCACAACAACTCCGAGCAAACGCCAGCGTAAGGAGCCTACATCCACGGCGGTTGAATCCCCGAAACCACCAGTCAATGCCGGTGATTTGTTGGCGGGAAATGAGCATAACAACTCGTTTGGCCACGAGCTTGATAATTCAAGAAGAACCGCTCGTGGAGGCGGCGGTGGTAGTGCTAGTGGCGGCGGGGGCGTAACGGTGGTTAGACGGTTTAACGAACCGTCTCCGGTTGAAGTTAGAGCCGTTGGTTATGTGGAAGCTCAATTGGGAGAGCGGTTAAGAGATAACGGACCGATTCTTGGAATGGAGTTTGATCCTTTACCTCCTGGTGCATTTGGAATGCCTATAGGTATACTACATTCTTCTTTCTTCTTCTTATTCACAGAGCTGCTTAGAATTGATAGAACTGATTCTTTTTTTATCTTCTTTGGTGTGGAACAGAGACGCCAAGCCACCGCAAGGCGACTAGACAGGGTTTCGAGAGTTATGTCCGCTCCGAAGCCAAGCCCGTTAAAGTAAGTTATCATTAGTCTCATGATTTGTTTGCTTCTTGAGTGGTTTTGTTTGGTTCTTGACGTTATTTAGTTTCTCATTACAAGGATCCTGTGAGGACAATCCGTGAATATCAGTTCCTTCCAGTTCCAGAGCAGCCATCTTCGAGGACTGATCATTCCGAGAGAGTTTCTCCGCCGATACATTTCGGAGTTCCGATCGATGCTTCTTCGGTTGTGAGGGCTTCGTCAGTGTATCGAGATGAGTTTAAAGTTTCGCCGCAGATACCGAATTTGAATCTTGCAGCTCATCAGGGGAAGACGGGGCATGTCTTCTCGCCTAGTTTGGTCGAGTATGAGTCACCGTATCAGAAGAACTACACTATGGATACTGCTGCGCCTGGAAGCTTGAACAGTCAACCGATCCACGAGGTTCCTTTTGTGAAGTCCGAGAGAGAAGTTGGTAATGAAGATGATGATGATGATTATGATGAGGCTCTGCAGTTAGAGAGAAAACGAAAGGTATGAGGGAAAAAGACTTCTTGTGAGTATTTTTTGCGTTATTTTAGGTTCTTGACTCATTTTTTTGTGTACATTATGGTCATTGTAGAGTGAAGAAGCAAGAATATCTAGGGAATTGGAAGCTCATGAGAAGAGGATCCGGAAAGAGCTTGAGAAACAAGATCTTCTAAGGAGAAAGGTCTTCTTTTTTATTTAAGCTTAGCACATGCTTCGTTAAATGTGTTTGTTGTCTTTTTTTTGTCCTTATTGTTGTGTGAATTGGTTATGCAGAGAGAGGAGCAGATGAGGAAAGAAATGGAGAGGCAAGACCGTGAAAGACGGAGAGAGGAAGAGCGGCTTTTACGTGAAAGGCAGAGGGAGGAAGAGAGGTACCTGAAAGAGCAGATGCGAGAGATGCAGCGAAGAGAGAAGTTCTTGCAGAAAGAAACTATCAGGGTAATGTGACCTTATGCAGCACTACCTTTTAACTTTAAGTTTCTTGAGAACTCGGATGAAGTGTAGTTTACTCATTTGTGCACCTCTTAAATGTGTGTATTAGGCTGAGAAAGTTCGTCAAAAAGAAGAGATGCGTAGGGAAAAAGAGGTTGCAAGGCTTAAAGCTGCTAATGAGAGAGCCATTGCTCGTAAGATCGCTAAAGAATCAATGGAACTTATTGAAGACGAACGCTTAGAACTCATGGAGGCTGCTGCGTTAGCCAAAGGATTACCTTCAATGCTCGCTCTTGACTATGAAACTCTACAGAACCTCGATGCATATAGAGGTGAATCAATCATTTTATAATTTTGATGTTTCTTCTCTGTACTTTTCACCTGTTTATGAGAATTGTTTCTTACATTTCGTCTGATGGATTATATCTTTCTTTTCAGATAAGCAGGCAATATTTCCCCCAACGGCTGTAAAATTGAAAAAGCCTTTCTCTGTCAAACCATGGAATGGTTCTGATGAGAATATTGCAAATCTTCTTATGGTGAGTTTTGCTATCTGAAGTATCCCTTGTTTATTCATGTGTATATCATTATATTAGTAAAAAAAAATTGATTTGGTTGAAAATATTATAGGTGTGGAGATTCTTAATCACATTTGCGGATGTTCTTGGCCTTTGGCCATTTACTCTGGATGAGTTTACTCAAGCATTCCATGACCATGTAAGTGTATCTCTCTTTCTTTAAGTCTCTGCATTTGGATATAAACAAGATTGCTCTTCTCAACGTTACTCAACGTTACCTTGTTGGGCATGTAGGATCCACGGCTAATGGGAGAGATACACATTGTTCTTTTAAAGACTATAATCAAAGACATTGAAGGTGTTGCCAGAACAATTTCCACCGGTTTTGGAGCAAACCAGAATGCGTCTGCTAATCCCGGAGGAGGTCATCCTCATGTCGTGGAGGGTGTAAGTATCTACCAAGATCTATTAACGTCGTAAAAAATCTTTCTCCTAATGGTTTCATTATGATGCAATTGTAGGCCTATGCGTGGGGTTTTGATATACGCAGCTGGAGAAGAAACTTGAATGTTTTCACTTGGCCTGAGATCTTGAGGCAACTCGCTCTCTCTACCGGGTTGGGACCGCAACTGAAGAAAACAAACGTTAAAACTGTGTCTGTTCACGATGACAACGAGGTATGTCAATCTGTATATTCTGTTTTTTCTTCTAAATGTATTGCAGCTTCTTCTATTCACGCTTTTATCTTTCTTTCCAAGTGTAGGCCAACAACTCTGAGAATGTGATATTCAACTTAAGGATTGGAGTAGCAGCTGAGAATGCTTTTGCCAAGATGCAAGAAAGAGGTCTCTCTAATCCAAGACGTTCACGGCATCGGTTGACTCCAGGAACTGTTAAATTTGCTGCCTTTCATGTTCTTTCGCTTGAAGGTGAAAAAGGTTTGACAATTCTCGATGTTGCAGAGAAGATTCAGGTAAAAAAAGATTGATTTTCTTTTTCTTCTTGATACTTGTTTAAGCATCTTTTTGTTTCATTTCTAAGTTTTCTTTCTTATTTGATAACAGAAATCAGGATTGAGGGATTTAACGACGAGCAGGACACCTGAAGCCTCGGTTGCTGCTGCGTTGTCTCGGGACACAAAGCTCTTCGAGAGAGTAGCTCCTTCCACGTACTGTGTGCGTGCTGCTTACAGAAAAGATTCAGGCGATGCCGAGACTATATTCGCTGAAGCGAGAGAGAGAATACGAGCGTTCAAGAGCGGTGTTGCCGATGTAGAAGATGTCGATGACGCCGAGAGAGATGAAGACTCTGAGAGTGATGTTGGAGACGATCCAGAGGTTGATTTGAGCCTTAAAAAGGAAGCTCCTGATGCTCTGGAGATAGAGAACTTAACCGGGGGCGTCGAACCGGTGTTGGAGAATGGGAAAACCGAGCCGGGACTGCTGCCTCTTAAAGATGAGAAAGTAGATGACATTTTACCTGATCAAGCTCTAGTGGATGGTGCTGTAGCAAACGATGAAGAGAGTTCTTGTTTTGAGGAGAGCAAACTTGGAGAGCAGTGGGTACAAGGACTCGTGGAAGGAGACTACTCGAACCTGTGCATCGAGGAACGTTTAAACGCGCTTGTTGCTCTGATTGGTATTGCCATAGAAGGAAACACAATCAGAATTGCTCTTGAGGTATTCATTTTACTCACTTAGTCTTCAGCTTGCATTCTCTTGAGTGTTTTCTAAGTTTCTTGTGTGTTTGCTTGCAGGAACGTTTGGAAGTTGCGAGTGCGTTAAAGAAACAGATGTGGGGTGAGGTACAACTCGACAAACGGTGGAAAGAAGAGTCGTTGCAACGAGCGAACTTTCTTTCATACCCGACGGTAAAGCAACAAGAAAGTCCATCAGCTGATGCGACTCCGGTCTCTTCGCAAGACCCGTTGAGTCTTCCTCCACAGATGGATGTGAACAACTCGGTGGCAGGACCAAGCGAGAATGTATCCGGAGTGGAGAGTTTGCAGTATCAGCAGCAGCAACAGGGTGGTTACACAGCGGACAGGGAGAGGCTCCGTGCGCAGCTAAAAGCGTACGTTGGATATAAAGCGGAAGAGCTGTATGTGTATAGGTCGCTTCCGTTGGGTCAAGATCGGAGACGGAATCGTTATTGGCGGTTTGCGGCGTCCGCTTCTCGGAATGATCCTGGTTGTGGTAGAATATTCGTTGAGCTTCAGGATGGAAGATGGAGGCTCATTGATTCCGAAGATGGTTTTGACTGTTTGGTCAAGTCGCTAGATGTTCGAGGTGTAAGGGAGTCGCATCTTCACTTCATGTTGTTGAAGGTCGAAGCATCTTTCAAGGAAGCAGTGAGGAGGAATCTTGGTGGCCAAGACTTGGACCACTCCGATGATGATGCAGAGATCTCAACGGCGTTTAGAATCGAGCTCGGGGATGGTAACGCGGTTGAGAGATGCGGAGTGTTGCAACGGTTCCAGAGCTTTGAGAAGTGGATGTGGGATCACATGTTGCATCCGGGGGCGCTATCGGCGTTCAAGTACGGTGCCAAGAAAAGCAGCCCGGTGGTTCGGATTTGCGGAGCTTGCGCGGAGTTAAACTCGGTGGAGGATGTTTGTTGTCCTGGTTGTGGCCAGATGCGTGGTGGTGGTGGTTCGGATGTTGGTGAGGTGTGTTTTGCTGAGCAAGTGGCTCAGCTCGGTGATGCTTCTAGAGGAGGAGGGTTTATCTTGCGTGGCTCGTTCTCTTCTCCTCTTAGAATAAGACTGCTCAAGATTCAATTAGCATTCGTCGAAGTGAGTTTCTTCCTACTTACTTAGAGGTGGTGCAATGTTATTATGAGTATACGCTAACGATATTGTGATTTTTAGGCTTCGCTTCCACCTGAAGGACTTCAAGCTTTTTGGACTGAGGATGTAAGAAAATCTTGGGGTGTTAAGCTCTTGTCATCGAACGCCGCCGAAGAACTTCATCAGGTTCGTGTGTCCACGTTGTTGCAGCGATTTCGATTTTTTTTTTTTTTTTTTCTGACAAATTCTGAACTTGTGACACTCAGGTTCTCACAATGTTAGAGGTGGCGGTGAAGAGAGATTTCTTGTCTTCAAACTTCGAAACAACTTCGGAGCTCTTGGGTTTACCGGAAGAAGCTCTCGCTGGAGAGGTTAATGTACTGCCTTGGATACCGAAGACCACGGGAGGTGTAGCGTTGAGGCTCTTCGAATTCGACAGCGCGATTGTTTACACGCCTGATCAGAACAACGATCCTCAGAAGGACAAAGAATCCGAAGATTTCGTCGTAAGTATTTATATATTATATGATAACAAATGCTCATGTTTTTATTTATTGTTCATACACTGAGAGATTTCTTTCTTAACAAAAGGGCTTGGAGACGAATTTTCTGAGAAATGTGCAAGAAAATGACGCAATAGAGGCTACTCCGGTGCAAGTTGCTTACACGCAAGAAGAGAACTGGACGGAGCCTGGTTCAGCTGGTGTTTCAAGCTCTGGGCGAGGTGGTCGACCACCGCGAGGACGTGGCAGGCCTCGTTCCCGTGGCAAGAAACAGCCGACGTCGGCTTCGGCTTCTTCTGGTAGACCGCCGCGAGGCGCAGCGAACTCGAATGGCGAGACGATGTTGAGACCGAGAGCTCAACCGCGTGGGGGTAGAAAGAATGGACGGCGAGGCCGGACGAGACCGACGCAAGGAACGCTCGGTATATCTAATGAAGTAGTAGTAGGAGGAGGAAGAGGAGGAGGAGGTCGCCGGGGAAAGGGAGTTGTTGTAACGGCCAAAACCGCTCTTCCGTTGGATAACGAAGACTGGATCGGAACGCCTGAGATGCAGGAGGATGACGGTGAAGCTAGCAGCTCGGGAAGATCGTATCAGGATTATGAGGATGTCATGGCGCCGATTGATGATTTTGACGGCGGCGAGTCGAGTAAATTAGTAGGTAGGGGTGAATTTAGCTTACATAGTGATGATGAATATGTAGAAGAAGAAGAAGAAGACATGAACAGGAAAATGGATGTGAATGTTGATGATGGAGATGAAGATTACGTAAACGAGGATTCTGATGGTAGAGAGCAGCCGGAGATTAGCATCGGTGCAGCTCGGAAAAGGTTTCTTCCGTTTGAAGATCCTGATCTCACATCTTCATCTTCCTCTGATTTTCAGTGACTAATTAGACAAGAAACTACTCATGTTTTGTTTGTTGTATTGTATTCTTCAGAAAGAAAAGAAAAAAATGGTTGAAATTTTTAAGTTAACAATATCATTAACCCTTTTTTTTTTTCAAGATGACGTCAATGTGATCCTTTTTTGTCTCCCCGTCGTCTATGCTTTTATGATTTCTCTGTATTAATCCAATTTTATAAAATTAATAACGGCTTGTTCAATATTCCGATGAGTTTTAAAATAGTTGTTTACCAATCATGTAAACCACTACAAAACTTTTATTAGGTTTTAGCCTTAGTTACACGAAACGTCTTCTCGATTAAGCATCTTAACGTTTTCTACGTCAAAACATGTTTGATAGTATTTTACCAAAAAAATGTTTGATAGTAGAGTTTGTTTTTCTCTCATGCACTACTGTGCATATAGAATTCGAAGTATTACACTATGCATCACCTTGTTTTTAGAATTCAGGGTACTACAGTACACTAGTAAAACCGATCTATGATATATATGTGACCATCATAGTTTTTTTTGTCATCAACATGTAATACATATCCAGGCGCGTGTTAGTGGTTTCACTTGTTGAGAAGTTGTCATGTAGGTCTAAGTTAGGTATTAATTTTTCTTAAAAGTAAAAATTATCTACTTATTTTTTATTTAGTCATTTGAAATAGTGTTATCTAAAACGCGATGACTACAACTCGATGACTAGTACTACTCTTCCTAGAGAGATTAGTTAGGTGGTAAAAATCTGGAACATTCTTGATTATCCAAAAACAAAAATATGTAATATACGGATTTGAATCCGAATAGTAAAATAGTAACGGTACTATAACTTACAATCAACAGTTATGGAAGTTAATTATAGTTATTATTGCCATTGTAAATATGTGACGTTGTTACATTGTTGTTGGTGGTATTGCGTTGTAAATAAAAAGGGAAAGAAAGAAAAAAAAAAATCAGACAGTTTGGATCTGTAAAGAGGGGATAGTGGGACTGAGAACGACGTCGTGCATATGCCTCACTACGAACTTACAGACAAAGAACTGCTCGCCTCTCATGACACAAAAGAAAGACAAAACCATCTTCTCCACATATCATACCATCTTCCTTATTTTTTTATTCTCGAAAAATATCATCTCAATCATATACTGAAAAAACTATTATAGTCATGAAAACTACATTGATATATCTCTATATTTTATGCTAAAAAATATGGCAACTTTTAAAAATTCAAAAATATCACCATGTTTCTTTTAGAAGATTACTTACAACTTGTTGTCCAGAAAAAAAATATATACGTTACAAGTTTTAGAAACTGTCTTGCATGTAATTTTGACCTCTTCTTAGACACTGGAAGACAAGTTGTATATTTAACTCATAAGAATAATGAATCCAAATCTCAAAAGTAGCTTTAAATTTAAATTATCCAAAAAAGGTTATTTACAGTCTCGATAACTTGACCCATAGAAATGAAGAAAACGTTACAAGTTTTAGAAACTGTCTTGCATGTAAGTTTTGACCTCTTCTTAAACTGACCTCTTCTTAAACGTTACATTGAAAGGCAACTTTATAATATTTAACTAAGAACATAATGAATCCAAAAATCAAAATTAGCTTTAAATTTAAATCATCAAAAAGATTATTAATAGTTTCGACAACTGTTTGACCAAAGAAATGAAAAAAAACGTTACAAGGTTTTAGAAATTGTAAGAAAAAAAAAACTGTAAGTCTTGCATGTAAGTTTTGACATTTTCTTAAACTTTGGAAGACAAGTTTTATACTCCCTCCGTTTCAAATTAGTTGTCGTTTTGGCAAAATGTATCTGCAAATATTTGGACGTATCTGCAATGCAAAACACGTCCATATACGTCCAAATATTTGCAGATACATTTTGCCAAAACGATAACTAATTTGAAACGGAGGGAGTAATATTTAACTAAGAAGTATAATGAATCCAAAATTCAAAAAGTAGCTTAAAATTTAAATTATCCAAAAAAAAATAGGGAAAAATATTTACAGTCTTGACAATTTATATAAGTGCTATTATTATCATAATATAAAATATAATTGAATTAGTATTTAACTATTTATACAAAACAACAAACAGTATCTCAGATTTTACATAGTTATAATTATTTTCAGTGTGACCATTACCTGGTACAATGTATCTAGAATGGCTTTCGACTCAAGACCTGATCTATAAGAAAAGAAGCTAGCTAGGATTGGAAAATACATTTCAGAATTACTGTATCTGACATGTTTTCATTACGTGATTGACATTAAAATGTCCCAATTTGTTGAACAAATCCAGAATATTCCGGCATATATATATATATATATATATATATATATATATATATAAGTTTTTGCCGGATAGATGTTACATATTGCATTTTCCAATGGCTTTTAACATGTCCGACCACTACCTCTAGGTAATACATGTAACTACAGAATACTATCTTTTTAATTTTATAAATACAGCAGTTTTGAATTACAGATAATTTCGTATTTTAGGGTACATATACAGTGTAACACATTTTCTATTTTTAGGTTTTAACTGGTAACTACAAATAACTAAAAAAAAATCATTCCATTAAAAATATGTTTACATATGACTATATGAGACAAGAAATTTACAGATTATTATCAAACAGAAGATAATAATAGATTAGTACATATACTGTAGTCTTATAGATTGAAATAATTTAAAGGGTGTAGGAATGTAAATATCTGCAAGGTTTCCGTAATAGTTTTCTTTCGGATTTCCAAAAACACATGTACGACGATTTATACATTTCTCTGGATATGTCATTAAAGAAAATGATATTCAAACTTTATTGAAAGAAGTAGACCTAAATGCCAAAAATGTTACAATTCATGTCCCTCACAATTATATATGCCCCAGTGCAATTTGATTTGACGTGCTATTCAATCGCATTAAATTGATTGTACACCATAATTATCATCATTATTGCATCAATGTGTCGTAAGAATAAAAATCATCTTTGGTTTTCTATCACTTTCTATTATTTTTCTACTTCTCAAAAAGTCGTCATAGATTTTTTTGTTTAGATAAAGCAGTAGACCTAAATGACATTATCCAGACGGGATTAAGCACGAACATGATGTTACATGCACGCACTGCATGTTGTCACCGATATTTTCCCAACGGTAACTATAAAATCTTCTACAATCGACAAATAACTTTTACAATCTTTAGATAGTTTTCCTACGATGTATTGAAGTAGTTCGTATGCTCCAACATTATATCTAAGTCCAGTAGTTATTTTATCCTCCGTCAAAATTGTGGATTATCTCTTGTTAATTAATCTATTGTCTTGTGATCTTGTCACCTTTTTATGAATGTTGAAAGAGTAAAGGGTTCAATTATTATCTACATGTGATTTGCCTTTTTTTTTCCCCTCTCGTAAGACACTTTTGTTTAAGTTGTCAAGTTTTTGTTGCTTTTCTGCTCTCTTTTCCCCGACTTCTCTTCCTTTTAATTAGTACGAGTAACATAATAGTATAAATTTTTTATATGTTTACCAAGAAAAGAAATGTTCAATCATATATACTTTTTAAATTATAAAATTTCCTATGACTCTAAACCATTAATAATCCAAGAAACATAATTATTGTCAATAAATATGCTTTGAAATATGATTTTGCACGTCCAATGTATATCGAGGTAATATCTTAAAGTCATCGAACGATAATTGAAGAATAAAATTATGGATTGCAAATAGTTGAAGAACAAAATTAGCATTTTCCCTGTTTAGTTATACAATTTCAAAATACATTCTAATATGTTTCTGCTTTACATTATGTCTCAATAAAAAAATTATATGTTTAACATTGCGAAGATCTCTACAAGAGTGTACACCGTTAAAAAATTATGGATCGCATGTGATATTCTAATACCACAGTAAAAATTTACGAATTATTTGTATTAATCATAGAAAATGAGAAACAAATGCTTTCATCTCATAAGAAAAATTATATAACATAAATCATTGTACGCACAAGTCCCTTAAAGATTCTTTTAAGAAAATTCTAAACAATCAGTTCGATAGTAATTTGGTTCGGTTTCAGTCAACCTAACTATTTTATCATTTAGATATAGTTTTGTACATCATTGATCGTACACTTTGTGTATATATACACAATCGATTATCATGACTTACTTATATAAAAATATACTAGCTATACAATTATAATTTTCTGATTCGAGTCAAACTTTTTGATAGAATTCAATTCCCTATCCCAAGAGTAATTAATCAAGACATGTGGATTGAATGAGATGGGAAGAAAAAGGAGATTAATAAAGAAAACATTATCCAAATGTGGCTCACGAGAAGGTCAATTTCTACGCCCCCACTTGTTTCTACGTCTCGTCTCCATCATCTTTTGGCTCTTTGTTTCGTATAAATCTGTGCATATCATATCATTCTCTTCTTTGTTATACATATTTTTCAATAATATGATACCTTTTTCTTCTTCTCTAACCAAGAAATTCAGTATTTTGACACGTAATTATTCTAGGCCGTAAATTAACCGTAGATGATATTTGTGGCATATCCATAAACGTAAATAATCCCTTTATAGTACTTAAGATTCATATTTGGGTCCGGTAACACCGAAACATCACCCTTTTAAATTGTTGAGTCAACCACATTTGGGTAGTACGACCTCTCTTTTAGTTGCAACATTAATGTTTGTGAAAGATTTCATTTTCATATTTTGCTGAATATTTCGCTTTTATTTTTGTATTAATGTATCAATACATTTCACATATGAAAACGAGAAAGATGTCGTTTGGTTAAGAGTTGAGAATGACATGACATTTTTCACTTATTAATTCTCAAGATAATTGGAGTCCACATAGCAATAAAATAATAATTCATATAAAAATGGTAGAGAATACATCAAAGCGTATCCAACCCCGTTGCACTGCATTATTCATTTCAAATATATTTATTTATTTATATACATACACAGATGTAAATAAAATTAGAATTTACACACAAAAAAAGATGTGGCTGAGATCCCACCACAAAATATAATATACTATATGGACTTAATATTTTTCAAACAGAACTGTAAACAGCAAAACTACACTATTTGCATTGTCAATTCGTAGAAGTGAGTTGCTCATGTAAACCGACCGTTTCTTTACTGTAACTATATTGTATTAATCATTGGTGTCCGAATGTGGACTTGAGTCACGATTTTATGTTCTATTCATTTAAGACGTAATAAAGAATTATACTTTTTAAACAAAAGCAGACGTTAGCAAATAGGCCCTTAATGGTTTTGCTAACTTCTAAGTAGTGCTGACTAAGCTTTGAATGTAGCCAAGTTAAGTAAAAGTTAAAGATATTAATGCTAAATATGTAACGTACAAAAGAACGTTCGTAACGCCACCAAGTAGCATCGTTTCTTTTAAAACTGTTTAAAGCCATTAAAAAATGTTAAGCTTATTGCATTTAAAGTCACACACACATGTTTGGCGAGACACCCTTTATTTATGAGTTATTAAGTTTTATTAACATGATTACTCTGTTTTTACTCTAACAAAAAAAAAAACCTAATTTGTTGTTATTATCTTATACTCTACTAGGCTACTAATTAAAATAAATTATATATCCAAACTAATTTTAAATTGTAAGATATTCAATGATTTAAAAGATTTATAATAGTTATCATATCGTTACCATTCATATAATAATTAAAATAAAATCATATCTTTACCATTCAAAATTAATAAAGTGGAGAAAGTTCTGAAACTAATAATATTGTTATAACTATTAGTGTTGTTAATAATTAATATTACGATCATCATAAATCTAATACCGCTGATATATTTCTACATCGCTGATATATTCACACTAATAACATTATTGTATTTGTAGCTAATATAACATCCAAAAATTATGTTAATGTCGTTAGTACTTAGTACTACGATCATCTATTTAATACCATTAATGGTACAATAATTATAAATCTAATGCATCATCATTCAAAATTTTACTTATTATTTGTCAAAATTTTATTTAATTTGTTTTAAAACATATTTGGTCGGTATGTTATTACTATTATTGTAAGAAATCATTTTTTCAAAACATAAGAAATCATAATAACATATAACGTCCAAGAATTCTGTTAATATCGTTAATAATTAATGCTACGATGATCATAGATCTAGTACCGTTAACTATACAATCGTCATAAATCAAACGTGTAGCCATTCAAAATTTTACTTTTTCTATGTCAACATTTTATTTCATTTGTTTTAAAACATATTTTGTCCGTATGTCGTTAATATTATTGTAAGAGATCATTTGTTTTAAAACACGAGAAATCATAATAACATTATTAGAAATAATATATAATGTCCAAGAATTCTGTTAATATCGTTAATAGTTAATACTACGATCATCATAGATCTAATACCGTTAACGGTACAATCGTCATAAATCAAACGTGTCACCATTCAATATTTTACTTTTTCTATGTCAACATTTTATTTCATTTGTTAAAAAGCATATTTTGTCGGTATGTCGTTAATATTATTATAAGAGATCATTTGTTTTAAAACACGAGAAATCATAATAATATTATTAGAAATAACATATAACGTCCAAGAATTCTGTTAATATCGTTAATAGTTAATACTACGATCATCATAGATCTAATACCGTTAACGGTACAATCATCATACTTCTAACGTGTCACCATTCAAAAAATTCTTTTTATATAACAACTTTTTTTGTTTCCATTTGTTTTAGAACATATTTTGTCGGTATGTCCTTACTTATTATTGTAAGAAATCATTTGTTTTAAAACATAAAAAAATCATAATAACATTATTAAAAATAACATATAACATCCAATAATTTCGTTAGTATAGTTAATAGTTAATATTACGATCATCATAGATCTAATACCTGTACAATCATCATACATCTAACGTGTCACTATTCACAATTTTACTTTCTATTTGTCAGAAAAATTATTTCATCTGTTTTAAACATATTTTGACGATATGTCTTTTAGGCTAAATAAATTTCTATCATCACATACAAATGTATTTGTGTATATACATTAACATAATAAGCTAAAGGAGTCTTTTTTCATTATATAGGTTTGTTGTAACGGGAAAAAATATACAAATATGAAATGATAGAACAAACAAAAAACAAAAAATCCCTCTCTCCTATTTTCTCAACCACAACTTTTTCTTTCACCAACACATATATAATAATTTTAATAAACCTTGGAACTATCTATATCGATACAGACACACACGTTCTTGTAATATATATACCCACAAATACTAGTTCACTGTATCACTCTGTTTTCTCTAAAATCCCGAATCTTGATTTTTCAACTCAAGACTCGATGTTAACTGTGTCTCCCCTCGCCGTAAACACCTCAGCAGATCATTTCATGGCAACGGATTTCGCAGATTTTTCGACGGAAGACTTGCCGGACTTTACGACTGTCGGAGATTTCACAGGCAGTCTCGATTTTCTTGAAGGGATCGATTACTACGACAATCTTTTCATTGGATTCGATGCCGTTGGAGATGTCGGTTTGCCAGATATGGATATTGATCTCGGGGAAAATTCCGGCAGCGGAAGAGATGAAGAACAAGAAATGGAGGGAAACACTTCGACGGCGTCGGAGACATCGGAGAGAGACGGTGGTGAGCGTAAGCCAGAAGTTGGTGGTGGTGGTGGTATGGACAAAACGGTGCGTCGAGGCAAACGTAGAGGGAAGAAAAATAAAGATCGTTTAACCGTTGGAAATGAAATTAAGAAAAAACCCAAGGTGTGTTTTCTATATACATATTTCCTAATTAACCTTACTAGTACTAAATCATTTTTTTTTCCTTTTTGCTAATTATTATGGTAATTGAACTTGGGGAAAATACTTGACTCAGAAGAAGAAGAATTTGGGGAAAATATTTAACTCAGAATTTTTCCTCTTCTTTTCCTATACTAAATCATACTATGTTATATGTACACTTGTTTAACTAGATTCAATGCAATTTATTGTATATGTTATTTTTTCAAATGTGGGTTTTAAATTAGTTCTGTTGTTCAACTTATATGATTTTTCCTACTATAGTTAGAAAATTTGTAATTTTTGTTTTTGTTAGTATATGAAACATTGTAATTTCGTATCAACAAAACCGTACTCTTAAATTTTATGATGTCTAATCTAAATAATTTGTGTTTCTTGCTACCAACAAATCAGGTGGACTGGACGGCGGAGTTACACCGGAAATTCGTACAGGCAGTGGAGCAGTTAGGAATAGACAAGGCGGTGCCGTCTCGGATTTTGGAAATTATGAACGTCAAGTCTCTCACTCGTCACAACGTCGCTAGCCATCTTCAGGTACGGTTACATCAATTTATCTACGATTATAGTCTTAATCATCGAATTTTATTTATGTTGATTTTTAGAAAGATTTTTTTTTTTAAATACAGTATATACACGAACTGAGATTTGTTTTTTCTTACATAATGGTAGAAATATAGGTCGCATCGAAGGCATGTGCTGGCTCGTGATGCAGAAACTGCCAGCTGGAATCTCCGTCGACATGCGATGGTGGCAGTTGCCGGTGGAGGAGGAGTGAAAAGGCCGTGGATGGCTCCTGCCTTAGGCTATCCTCCACACGGGACACCACCAATGCATCACGGTCACTTCAGGCCTTTACATGTGTTGGGATATCCTTCATGGCCTAAACCAAAGTCTACCAATCTGCCGACTGCTCCTCGGACGTTTCCAATTCCGGCGGTTGCAGCGGCTCCTCCGTCTTGGCCTGGTCATCCGCCGTACTGGCACCACCAACAACCACTCTATCCACAGGTAATTGAATTCATGTGTAAATGTTATCGATTTTCACTGTTTTTACACGGTTAAACTGAAAAAACAATAATTAAAACAGAAACAGAACCACAAAATTATTAGCAGAGAAAATTTAGATATATTGCATTTTCACGTTTTGCGTTTTAAAATGTGATTATGTAGAAAACTCTTTAACTGAAAATAAAAATGTGATTATGCAACTTTTTACCATTCTAAATAGTAAACACTGTTATAAGTTTAGTTTCATGTATGTAAACAAATATTCCGCTATAAAAACAAGTCACTGTATTGCAAAAAATCTATCTAATTATTTCCGACCATTCGATATTTCTATTGTTCATTTGATATACAAGTACTGTACAACTCTTTTTTATGTGGATTGCTAATTAGCCTGAGAGCTAGTATATATTTTATGCATGTAGCATGTTGTATTGTTTGTTTAATTACGGTTTATGAATGTATGTGTAGGGATACGGTATGGCATCATCATCGAATCATTCGATGTATATTAAATCAGAAACAAGCATCGGTGTTCCTACAAGACCATTAGGCCCCACTAATCTTAACTTCGACATTCATCCCGTGAGTGCACCTTTTTACATAGTTTGAATTTTATTTTGTCTGATTTTGGATTATGAAATGATTCGGAAAGTTTTTGAATAACTTTGTTCCATTTGATAATAGTAATCTCATCATTCATTATTGTTTCTTTCTCCTTTGAATTTGACGTTACAGTCTATGGAGACCATAGACGCCGCTCTTGGAGACGTCATGACAAAGCCGTGGCTACCGCTTCCTCTGGGACTGAAACCGCCGTCAACTGACGGCGTCATGACGGAGTTACAGCGTCAAGGCATTTCTAAGGTTCCTCCTCCTTGAGAGTGGCACAATTCGTCGAGATGGCAATTGATAAATTTGTTTCTTTTTTAGGTATATCTAAGTATTTTTGCAAGGAAAAAAATACTAAATCCTTGTTGCTTGATGTGTTGATCATCATAATTCATATGTATTCCATATATATGAGTTCATGTATCGAAGTCAAGTCTATTGTATTAGTCCTATTGCATCGTTATAATATTGGTCGAAACTTTTAAACTCAAGGAGAGAAAGTTCAAATAAAAAGCAAAATTCAAAACGCCTAAATGCTAAAAAGACGACTACATGCTTGACATTCCAAGTTTTTTTTCCCTTCAATAATCACTTTTATTTTTTCTCAAAAAAAATAATTATCACTTTTATTGTTTTAATTGAAGAAAATTATTTTGTGCTACACACACATTTTTTAGGTGCTTTATATTGATTCATTACCGCGCGAGCTTCATAGCTTCTATACTCATAAAACCAAAAAACTTGAAAATTTTAAGAATCAAAACCCATATATATATAAAATATATATCTCAATGTATAGTATCAAAAAGTAAGGCCGAAATTCCAACGCATATTATGGAGTATGGACATACTACCGAATTTGGTGCATGTTCTTTTTATTTGTTCTCTCCAAAAGGCCAAAATCTCAATGATTTTCCAACTTGGTAAGCATAAAAAAAAAAAAGGTTTTCTTTTCCCTAGAATAGCACTTTCTTTATTGCTGGAATGACACTTTGTAAAAGTGTTTTGCTTAATAACATTTGCGACATGTTGGTGCAAATAGTTTTAACCAAAACCGATAATAACTTAGGATAAAAATGGGAATATATGCCCAATGAAGGTGAGCCAGAATGATACAATGTGGAATTGGATGGGGTTTTTAGCCCAAAAGTTTAGTAATGATATTTCCGTTTGAGAATAAGTTAGGACATAATGAAGCCAGCTTAGCATAAAGGTTGTAATGAAAATCTGGAAAAACCCAAGTTGAGACTCATCAATCTAAAAAGATTACACTGATTCCTTCAACAACATTTGCAACTTCTAAGATCTTCTCTTCCGATCATCTTCACCGTCATCGTCGGAGTCACCGCTCTCACGGAATCGTGGGTTCTTCTCCTGTTACAATCACACAAAATTCCATTATCAGACAGTGTTTCAGAATCACATCAGAAGATTCTACCAAATTACTCAAAAAAAAAGTCCATATTTTGTTTACACTTACCGGTCTCATGTCATTATCAGCGTCTCTCCTAGGCTCCTGGTCTGAGTTTCTTCTTGAGTTGTCACGTCCATACCTATCATCATCTCTTTGCCTTTTCCGATTGTAATCTGCAAAAACATCAAATGGGTTTTGAATTATGCTGATGAATATACACTATCACTATGCATTATGCTAATAATTTAAACATATACCTCCTCCTCCACCTCTTCCATGGCGATTTGTTCCTCCTTGGCCATAACCTCCACGCCTTCCATCTGCAAGATAGATAAATACATTTAGGAACTTCATTCTATGCAGACTCTTATGTACAGGTTCTCGCATCATGTATCTTACAATAAGACTCATGATTTGCTTTCACATTTTGACAGTCTATCAAAAAGGGAACAAATGCAAGAAAAGAGTCTTCTTCATACAATAATACAATGCTAAGTTAAGCATCTTTAGACTCGCATTCGTTGTACTTCTACATGTTGGCCATTTATTCAAAGCTAGGTGCGGCGTAATCATGCAGCCAGGAACAGGATCATATAGATTTGATAGAGAGTTGAAAGAACATACAATTCGATTGTGCAGCTGGGGCATACGATCCCAATGAGCCAGTACCGTAATCCACGAGCTGCCTTTGTGCTTCCAGTTCCTTCTGAACTAATTTTCCATAACCACCTCTAGGTATCAATTAGTCAAAGAAAACAAACACGATGATAGATAACCAAGAAATCAAAATCTAAACTTGCAGTCAAGCAACAACAATGCCGACTAAAAGGATATCAGGATCGTAATCTGTACGGTATTCATCTCGAACCTGTATTAAATTACAGAATCATGATTACATACATATATAATGTATATACAGAAAATGACAGAGGATGCATCTGATGAAATACCTGACCACCGCTTCTACCACGTCCCCATTGTCTTCCTTCTTGGAATCCCCAATCAAAATCCACACGAATCGGCCTGTCATCAAGAATGGTCCCACTTATATACTTCACTGCATCCTCTGTGTCCTCTCTCGAGTAGAACCTGATAACAGCACACACCAAACAAAGCAAAATCAGCAACCACCAACCATCATCATGAAACTTGACAAGTCGAGACCCTTGAAAAAAGAGAGAACATACAAGACGAAACAAAAGCCACAGGGCGTTTTTGTGTTCTTATCCAGTCCCATGATGATCTTTTTGATCTCTCCTGCTCTTGAGAAAAGCTCGTAAATCTGTTCTTCGGTTGTGTAGAAGGACACATTGCCAATGTAAACAGTCGAAGATGTCCTCAGCGCCTCGTCGAACTCCTCTTGCGTTCCTGAGAATCTCCTATCTCGATAAGCCGAGAGCTTTGCTTGCTCCTGATGATATCACAACCCCAAAACTCAATGACTAAATATGTAAAACGATTCCATACAAAGTGGGAAACAAGCTCAGCTCAAAGCAAATCAACGTCTGCCTAAACATATTGCCTACAAAACTGGGAAGAGACCCATTTCCACATCAATTAGTCGATTTGGGTTTTAATCGCTCCTCACTGTGTTCAGAATCGTCTAAACCAATCTGATTCTAGACAACGCAGACACTCGATTCACTATCAAATTAGCTTCCGTAAACCAATTGAGAAGCAAAACCCACACAATGCGTTCCTCAAACAAAACCTTGTATATCTGCCAAAAATATAAGTTTGTGTACCTTGAACAGAGAAGCCATTGCCTCTCGGGTTAGTACGAAGTGAATCTGCGATGACGAGAGAGGATAAGCCCGAATTAGGTTTAAATTTGGATGTGCGAAGAGGAAACGATAATTAGAGAGGGAAAAGGTACACAGACGAGCGAAAATCGAAACGGTGAGACGCTTTCTCTTCTTCTTCTTCAAAAACCCTAATTTCTAAAGGAAAAGGCAGAACTGATAGAAGCTAGACACTCCGGCGACTCGAGTTCGAGCGAGTATCCGGTACCATGTGAGAAACCTTATTAAAAATTCATATCCCTTTGTCAAGAACAAAAATTCATATATTATAAGTTGATTTTACAAATTTTAATTTGATAATATATTGTTGAATTTGGTGTTAAACTGTTAATTAAGATTTTCAAATATGCATTTTAACTTTAGTTTTGTACGGTTTCGCAAAACGAGTGGTAAAGTGCTATATTAAGCCCAAATTATGGTTATTGGGCTTATGTCAAGTGAAGCCCACGTTTTATGGACGAGCAAGAAAACATCTGATTTGCTTACCAAACTTACACTGTGGTCGACGTTCTAGCAATTGAACCAATTGCCTCTTCTACTGCTTTATGCCTTTATCCATTGCTGCATAAAAAAAAAAACGAAATATGGAACAAATTAAATCAGAAACTACGGTGATACATAATAGACAAATCAGCCAATCACTATGCTAAATGAACGTATGTATGTTCAAATTCAGTTATCAAGATTGTAATTTGTATTGCATACAAACCTGTAAAAAGGTTTGAAATACCATTTTTGTTTCTGCTATATTGTGTGATAAGATAATTCTGACTTCTTGTGTTTGTTATGTGGTAATAACGTTGGTGTGGTACATATATTATTGATGTATCCATAATACATGTATAGTAAAATGCCTGTTCAAAAGAAGTTCGTATAACTCTTACACTGACCAGAATTATCAAAGCCAGAAGAGTTTAAACATTTGAGATGTTACACAAAAATTCTTACTAATAGAATTGATTGTTGTTTATTGGGTTCATAAATCAGGAAATCAATGAAAATCTACAAAATAAATAATAGATCAAGCCGTATGTCATGTATTTATATATCAAATCGGAATCTATCTATGGCGATATGATACACAATATAATGATAATTAAGTTGATTCCGATTAGCAAAATGGATTCTTAAGTTACTAACCGTTAGTCAAAAAAGAAAAAAAAGTTACTAAACCATTTACTGAAAGTCCATAACATGTCACTACCTTACCAACTAATATATGACGAATAATTCTTTTTCTGTCGACATAACCTACTAAAATCTTGATTAAAATAGATAACGCTATTCAATTTTAAAATCACAGAACGGAATTTCAGCTAAACAGATTCATATTAGTACCGTATTAAACAAAGGCTTGGAAATTCTCTTCAATGTAAAAATCAAAATTTTCTATTCAAATGACGTATTAATGGTGAGAGAGCGTGGAGGTCACGCACATTAATGAAGGAGCGTGAGACAAAGCAATCAAGTTACGCAAAGTCACGCCGCAGTAACGGGACGTTAATGCAAAAAAGCCGTCACAAACAAACACCTCACTGTCTGTTTTTTGGGCGGCGCTTTTCAGTCAAACCCTCGCTGACCGTCTCTCTCTCTCTATAAACCGAGAAGCCCTTTTCTTTATAAATTAACCCAACGTCACTTCTTTATAAAAATTATCCCTTTTTGGTTTTTATTAGCAAATGGCTCCAAACCAGGTGACTGCAAGTTACGCTTCCGCCGCCGCCGCCGTGGGGGAAGGCGGCGGAGGGAAGACGTTGAGAAAAGAAGTGCGATTCAGAGGTGTGAGGAAGCGGCCTTGGGGTAGATACGCGGCGGAGATCCGTGACCCGGGAAAGAAATCTCGCGTTTGGCTCGGGACATTTGACACGGCGGAAGAAGCCGCTAGAGCTTACGACGCCGCCGCGAGAGAGTTTCGCGGCTCCAAAGCTAAGACCAATTTCCCTCTTCCCGGCGAGTCGTCGGTCAGCGACGGCGGGAACGGTTCTTCCATCAACCCGCCGGATATGGCGGAGCGTGAAATGACGCGCCGGGTAGGAATGGCGGGGAGACTCCCGTTTGCATGTCACCGGCAGAATAACGTCTCCGGTGGGTTATCACGCCCGGCTGCTGCCGGGTTTTTCTTGGATCCGTCAAGGGCTGCTGCGTTAAGAGCGGAGCTTGTTAGGGTCTACCCGGTTAGGTTCGACCGGTACGATCCGGTTAATATCGAGCTGAGTATTGGTATTCGAGAGACCGTCAAAGTCGAACCGAGAAAGGAACTAAACCTGGATCTTAACCTCGGTCCACCGGTAGACGTTTAGATTTTTTTTCTTTATATTGATTTGTTTTTCGAAGTTGCCGGAAAAAATATTCAATATTTACTTCTGAATTTTGTTTTTGGTTTACGAGAAACGAAACTCTTTTGTTTTTTTGGCTAAGTAAGAGGATGAATGTTTAGAAAGCTCTTCTCTTTGGTTTCTCTATGGTTTCTCTAATTAGATGTAGATGTAAATTTTTTAATCAGAAATCTATCTTTTTATCAGCTTTTATCCTTTTAAAGTTTCTTGTATTTTAAACTACATGATGGTTGATCTACCAAATGGTAGTTGATATCACTCCATTAAATGGCTGTGGAATATAAAATCAAAGAAATATTGAACATTTATTTGTCTGTCAACGTCAAACAAATTAATAGCATTGCAGTACAAAAGAGAAATCGTCATCATAAAACACAAAGTAGTTGCCTTTTCATAAGCTCTGTCCATTTAGACGTGTGAAAACGTCTTAAGCTCTGAACATTTTTTTTATTCATAATACTGAATTATGGTTCCACGGGAGGTTTTGTTTACAAATTAGTCCATTCAGACGTGTGAAAACGCCTCAAGGAGTTTTTTTAAATAAGTGAAAGTTCAAAAGAAAGAAAAGAACAGTAACAAAGTCAGGAATATTTGAAAAACCAATGAATGTGAAATGTAAATGTAGGATAGAGTGATAGCATCATCTGTCCAATCTTTGAGTTTCGTGTAGATGGGGATGATGGCATCAGTGTCAGGTGGGAAGCACGTGTGCCTAAGCCGTCCACCAGGCGCGTCTTCTCATCTCTTTTTTGGTTTCCTCCTTTTAATTGTGTAACCGAAAATATTTCGGGTATTGTGGCTTTCGGTTTCTGTCTAAATTTTTTATTGAGTACTACTTTCATGTTTTAGGTTAGTGGATTAAGCATTTGCTATTGATTTGGTGTACATAGTTATGTATTCTACAAGGCTTGTGTGTATTACATGCAAGATTTAAGACCATAGAATTAGATGTTTAGTGCTCTGTAAAGTACAAATTACATTGTAATGTATTAATGGGAAAATTTTGATGAACGAACTATTAAATATATATATATATGTTTCCTGAACGAACTACGTATTATATACTACTCTAAACCAAAAGATAATTTTTGGATGGATACAAAATATGGTAGCATATGAATACACGGACATGAACACAGTATACCGACACACATTTGTAGAAGAATTTGTGTGGAGATTCTGATTCACTTCTAGATTGTTGTAACAAATTAGGAATACACGAGATCACCGGATTTGGGAATCGCATAATAATATTGGGCAAAAATATTACAGTACATGATACAAATTATCTGTATCTAATTACGGATTTGGCAATAACATATTTGATGGTGTGTTACTTTCGTTTGTTAAGAAATTTCGCAAGTTTTAATTGCATGAGCTATAAGATTGTTTTCTATAATCTATACTATATAAAAGTTGAGGCTATAAGCCTCTGAGAGCGTCCACATAGGATTAAAAGACGCGATTTTATTGGTCCACATAAGCATCTCCAAAATTAAGTAATTTTCAATTTTATACAACCAATAGTTTCATTCCACATCATCATATAATTTTAATTATAGTATTTGTAAAATTAATTGATTTCCTTTTTATATTTTCAGAAAATTTCCTAATTTAAGGGCATTATTTATTTTCGTATTAACTAATTTATTAAATAAGGAAATTATATTTTCAAATACCAATGAAAAGAAACTAATATATAAACAATTTTTAAATTTGTAATATTTTTTTTAATAATCTAATATATAACTGATTTTAAATTAAGAAACCTCACAGTTCCAAAATAATTAAACAAAGTGCTTCGATTTTTGTTAAAACTTAAATTCGATTTAGTAATATATTTGAAAGATTTATACAAAAATATTTTAAGAGAATATAAAAGTTGAGGCTATAAGCCTCTAAAAGTGTCCACATAAGATTTAAAGACGCGATTTAATTGGTCCACATTAACATCTCCAAAATTAAGTAATTTTTCCAATTTTAAACAATCAATAGTTTCATTCCACATCATCATATAAATTTAATTACAGTCTTTGTAAAATTAATTGATTTCCTTTTTATATTTTCAGATAATTTCCGAATTTAAGGGAATTATTTATTTTCGTATTAAATAATTTATTAAATAAAGAAATTATATTTTCTAAACCAATAAAAAGAAACTAATATATAAACGATTTTGTAAATTTGTAATATTAATTTTTTAGTAACTCTAATATATAACCGATTTTAAATTATTAAACTTCAAAATTCCAAAATAATTAAATAAAGTGCTTCAATTTTTGTTAAAATAGTAACTATATTTGAAAGATTTATACAAAAATATTTTAAGGGAACTACTATATTAATCATGAAAAATTATATGGTGAGTTTTCTTTTTTAGCTAACTTAAAAAAAAAAAAACAAAAAGAGAAAGTTACACCCTAATAAGTAATAACTGAAAGATTTGTTCAAAGTAAATATAGCCAACTTTGCAAGTGAGTGGATATTAACATTACATAATCTAGATATGAAATAATAAAAAAAGATAAAAAATAATAATAATAAAGACGGCTAATGTCATGAAGAAGACATTTAAATTCATGTGTAGTTCCTTTGAGATGATAAGAGAGATCAAGTTTTGCGAGATCCAACTTACATTGGGAAAAGAAAAATATGCATATAGCCCACTAAATTACACTTTATTTATCACAAGAATTTCAACAATATTGGTCAAACAAGTAAAGACTAGACTTGCATTGCAAAGGAGAGTTCTTGGGAGATTTGATAATCCATCTCATACTACATTTGTCCAAGGAAACATTCCAAGTTGCATTATCACAACAAGATTTTCCATTTCAGATTATAATGCATGCCAAATAGAGAGGGTAAAGAGAGTCTGCTTTCTTAGCTGAACTTCGGGCATCACTCATTCATGGGCAATTGGGCATTATTCACAACTTTAAAGAGGATTTTATCTTTATGTAAATCACAATATTCAAATAGGAAAAGTTTATGGGCCTTCTACAAATGCAAAAAAATCCAAAGGTAGAGAGGAGTAGATAATAAAACTATTGGAGACAGAGTAGTCATCTTTTTTGCACCTTGAAGAAGTTTCAATGAAAGGTGTTCGCTTGCCGCAACTTCGTTGAAAAAAAGACTGAATCACAAATTCATATTATAAAATACCATATGAAGAAGATATGGAATAAGAACAATAAGAAGATAAAAATGAAGAACATCGAAGACGAAGATACCAAAATAGAAAGACAAAAAAAAAAAACCAAAGAAGAATAAAGTAGAAGATGGAAACACCGAATCTGAAACCACGTAGATGAAATTGATATATAAGGAATCAAATAAGAACAGAGGAGAATAAACCAAACAAGAACGAAAAAGAAGAAGCAAGACGAGCAAATACGAAGAAGATCAAAGTAGATGATGAGTGTAGATGAGTGAATATAAGTGAAGATGAAGAAAAAACGAAGTAATTAGTATACTTACACTTCTACGGAGAAGATTTGATAATCCATCTCATACCACATTTGTCTAAAGAAGAAGCAAGACGAGCAAATACGAAGAAGATCAAAGTAGATGATGAGTGTGGATGAGTGAATATAAGTGAAGAGGAAGAAAAAACGAAGTAATTAGTATACTTGCACTTCTACGGAGCAGATGAGAGTTCAAGGGAGATTTGATAATCCATATCATACCACATTTTTCTAAGAAAATATTCCAAGTTGCATTACAAAAACAATATTTTGTGTTCCATATTCTAATGCATGCCAAACAGAGGATAAAAAGAGGCTGCTTTCTTAGCTGAACTTCGGGCATTCATTCATGGACATCTTTCACAGCCTTAAGGAAGATTTTATTTTACTGTAACTCACAATATTCAAATAGGAAGAGAGTACCAGCCTTCTACGGATGCCAAAAAATCCAAGGGTGGAAAGGAGTAGACAATAAAACTATTGGAGACAAAGTAATCATCTTTGTTGCACCTTGAAGGATTTACAGTGAAGAGTTCTCATTTGCCACAAGTTTGTTGAAGAAAATGGCTGAATCATATACTCAGACTGAAAAATGACATATGAAGAGGATATGAAAGAAGAACATTAAGAAGATAAAATTAAAAATTATCGAAGACGAAGATACCAAAGTAGAAAGAAAAAAAAAGACCCAAAGAATAACAAAGTTGAAGACGGAAACACCGAATAAGAAACCACGAAGATGAAATTGAAAATTAAGAATTAATCAAAGAAGAAAGGAGGAGAAGAAACCAAAAGAGGAAGCAAGACGAGCGAAGACGAAGAAGAGCAAAGAAGATGAGTGAAGATGACCAAAAAAACGAATAAGAATAAATAAAAAGAAAAAGAAGCTACCAATTTAGAACAAAGACGACAAGCCAAATTATAAGGTTTTTTTTTTCACAAGTTTCTAATACGGTTCACTTAAAAACAATGTTGGTTCAGGCTGATCATGTTGTCATAATATTGAAAAAGAAAAGTTTGGGATCTATTCTTATGTCGAATTTTATGAAGCAATTGACAAAACATATAAATATTAAGAAATGTGAGGATAGGGCTATTGTATGTTTTTTACAGAAAATACGTTTTTAAAAAGTACCTTACTTATTATGATTAATTATAAAATAATTAAATTGGTAAAGTAAAAAAATAATTAAAAAGTATATTACAAAGATAAGTTTATAAAAAAAACAGCAAAAAATAAAAAATTGTGAAGCTTTGGAAGAAAATAAATTTAAATATAACAATTTAAAAAATCATTAAAACAGATCCGTGCGTACGCTGGTCAAAAACCTAATGACCCCAAAAAATTTCTATTGCTTGCATTGGATAAGTCGCCAAAGTGGGTGTGGGACTCAAATTAAGGTCGGGTAAGCAGATATGTGTGGGTCCTACGAGTAGTCGGCAGATGCTGCGGAAAGTGTTTAGGCTTTGTTCCACGCGCCCCCGTTTTGGCGTGTGACTCACCGTCCACACATAGCCCACGTGACATCACCGCTATGCGCGTACGTTTATGGGCTTTGTCTGTAATATCTCCAGCGATGTTTTGCCGCGTGTTGGTCTCTTCACGAGCCTTGCGTGCGTGGCTTTCTTAATTCATTTATTCATTTTCATATCTTATTTATTTCTAGCTCCTCAAGTCAAGTCATTTTCATAATATCGTAAACTCTCTGGAAAACTTACGAAGTTTAACAACAATATAAGCATTCACACTTGGCTTTGATTTGGTGCAACTCTAAATTATTGACTTCTAGTCTCTTCGAACAATGCATGGCCAGGAAAAATAATAATGAAGTGAACCAAAGTTTTAACAAATAAATTTAAAACAGTTTAACTATTCACACTTGACTTTTATTTGGTACAACTCAAAAAAATTGACTTTTTGTGTCTTCGACGATTTATGGACAGAACCAAAAAATAATGTACTGAATTAAAACTTTATAACATGCGATAATAATTTTTCTTTTCGTAAAACAACTTTTCCACTTTCTCAAAAAAAAAAAAAAAAACAACTTTTCCTTTTCGAGGAATAAAATCACCCTTTCCTCTATCGCTTTCCATTGGACTCTTTGTCTGATTTCGGGCCCCACTTGAATCCTTCCTTTTCATCCTTTTTTCCGACACGTGTTCTAAGATGCAGTATGATGTGATCCAGATCCACCGCTCAGGATCTTATTAAACTTTCTGAAATTAGCTTGACCTTTCTCTAATGGGCTGGGCCTTAACCGTAAAAAGGCCCAGAGCGATAACTCTTCATTGGTGTATTTTGGTAATTAAATTGTACTATAGCTGGGTTTTGGTAATTTGAGTACGAAAAATCAGATACCGGTTATAAACGCGAGCCACGGCGGTGCCTCCGGGCATTCCCGGCGATGACGTTGGCCCAATCTCACCGGTTCTCGACGGCGGTTAACCCAATTAACATAAGCTTGCTTTCAAAACAAATACTTCAGCTGGGACGGGTCACCAATCCCGATAACTTTTCAGAGATCAGTCGTCAAAGAGAACTTCTCACGCCTTCGCTCATCTCGAAGCTCGATGATTGCACCGGTCTCAGCCAAATCAAGCAAGTACACGGCCATGTTATCCGGAAAGGTCTCGATCAAAGTTGCTACATCATCACCAAGCTAATTCGCACGCTCACAAAGCTCGGCGTTCCCATGGATCCGTACCCTCGCCGTGTGATCCAGCCTGTTCAGTTCCGGAACCCATTTCTATGGACCGCAGTGATTCGCGGGTACGCGATTCAAGGAAAATTCGCGGAGGCAGTTTCTATGTATGGATGTATGAGGAAAGAAGGGATTACGCCTGTTTCCTTCACTTTCTCAGCTCTTTTGAAAGCTTGCGGATCCGTAGGAGATTTGAATTTAGGTCGGCAGTTTCACGCACAGACGTTTCGACTCAGTGGATTTTGTGTTGTATACGTTGGGAACACCATGATCGACATGTACGTGAAGTGCGAGTCCATCGATTGCGCGCGTAAAGTGTTCGACGAAATGCCTGAACGAGATGTGATTTCGTGGACTGAGCTTATCGCTGCGTACGCGAGAGTTGGGAATATGGAATCTGCAGCGGAACTTTTTGAGAGCTTGCCTACAAAGGACATGGTGGCTTGGACCGCCATGGTCACAGGATTCGTGCAGAACGCTAAACCTCAGGAAGCTTTAGAATATTTCAATAGAATGGAGAAATCGGGGATTTTACCTGATGAAGTCACTGTCGCCGGATTCATATCGGCTTGCGCGCAGCTCGGAGCAAGCAAGTACGCTGATCGGGCTGTCGAAATCGCTAGGAAATCCGGGTATTCACCTAGTGATCACGTTGTTATTGGGTCGGCGTTGATAGACATGTACTCGAAATGCGGAAATGTTGAGGAGGCAGTGAATGTGTTTGAGTCGATGAACAACAAAAACGTCTTCTCTTACAGTTCGATGATTCTTGGTCTCGCTATGCACGGGCGTGCTCAAGAGGCTTTAGATCTTTTCCATTACATGGTATCGGAGACGGAGATAAAACCAAACGCGGTTACGTTTGTTGGTGTGCTTACGGCTTGCAGCCACGCGGGACTTGTTGAGCAAGGACGTCTGATATTCGCTTCGATGCATCAAAGATTCGGCGTTGAACCAACTCGTGATCACTATACTTGTATGGTCGATCTTCTTGGCCGTGCGGGGCGGTTACAAGAAGCGCTTGAAGTGATTAAAACAATGTCTGTTGAGCCACGCGGAGGGGTGTGGGGTGCGTTGCTCGGCGCCTGCAGGATTCACAAGGATCCTGACATGGCAGAGATCGCTGCAAAACATTTGTTTGAGTTGGAGCCAGATGTTGTCGGAAACTATATCTTGCTCTCGAATGTCTACGCTTCAGCTGGAGACTGGGGAGGTGTTTTAAGCGTGCGGAAGCTGATTAAAGAAAAGGGTTTGAAGAAGACACCGGCTGTTAGTTGGATCGTGGATGAGAAAGGTCAGATGCACAAGTTTTTCCCGGGGAACATGAACCATCCGATGTCGAATAAGATTCAAGAAACGTTAGAGGAGCTTGTACAGAGATTAACGGTGTTAGGTTACAAACCGGATTTAAGCTCCGTGCCCTACAATGTGAGTGACGATGAGAAGAAGTTGGTACTGATTCGGCACACGGAGAAGCTGGCTTTAGCGTTCTCTTTGCTCACTACGAGCAGAGGTTCTTCGATAAAGATAATGAAGAATTTGAGGATGTGTCAAGATTGTCACACGTTTATGCGTTTGGCGTCGGAAGTTACGGGGAGGGTGATTATAATGAGGGATAATATGAGATTCCACCATTTTAGGAGTGGAGCTTGTTCTTGTGGTGATTTTTGGTGAGAATCAAGATGGTATACACACTATATACAGACCAATTCCGATAGCTAAGAAGACTTCCTTGTGAATCAAGAATAGGGCTATGCAAAATCGGTGATAGATTGCTTGTCACTCTAGAGATCGTCGAAGAATTCGAAAGCATCGTTTGATAGTGTTAACCCAAAGGCCATGGAATCTGACCATAGAGCTAAGAATGTCTCGGTTTTGATTCTTATGGGCTTGGGCTTGAGCTTGAGCTTGAGCTTGAGCTTGCTGTTGTTGTATGTATTTTTTTTCATTTTCTGTTCTAGATGATTATGCCAGTTTTTTTCTTTTTAGATATAGTTGAACTGAAAAGTACAAATGTACAATTGTCGTTAATTGCAAAGTCAATATATATGACGAGTTTTTGAAATTATGAAGACATCATAAAAGTACAAATATAGTGGTCCACGTAAAGAGGTATATTCGCCGATGGCGAGCGCATCGAAAGCTCGGTCTACAGTTTTACCACCGCTTTATTTGTCTTTAATATACGAGTAATAGAATGCGTGACGTTTCCTAAAGAGGAAAACAACGAGCGGTGTATTTAAAATTAACCCAAACGGCAGAATGTAAATCTATTTCTTCGGAAGTCAACAAAACGCATCGTCGCTGCAGATCACTACCTCTCTTTTTCGCGTGAATGAAAACACATTTAACAGAGCAGAGAACAAAAGGCACCACGGCAAGGAATCTCAAACTCCGGAGAAAAACAAACTGTGTGTGATTCACAAGGTAACGTATCGCTCAATTTCATTCAGTCTTCATACGGAAAAAAATAGAATTCGAAGTTTTTTTTTTGTAATTCAATTTCTTCTTCAAGCTTGTTCATTTTGCGAGATTATCTGAGAAATGAAAATTGGTTGATTTTTGAGTTTTCGTTTGATCTAGATGTGTTGAATTTAATGAGATTTGTGTTGTGATTTTGGGAGATCTCGGGTGTTTTGATTTATTGATTCGATCTTTCGAATTTGCGAAAAATCTTGAACGATGAGGTTTATAGTTGCTCTTGTTCCCAAGCTTACTCGTAAAGCTCCGTCTCTTCCAGTGCATATATTTCGAAGAACACTCGTATTTTGAAATTAAGAAGAAGTTGATAAATCTCGACTGTGTTTTGTTGTGCCTCCATATTTTTTTAATTGATTCGTCGGTTTATGTGAAATGTGACTATCTACTGGATTTTGATTCAGATTGCATTGTCCTCCTTAATGTTAAGTATCGCTGAACCATTAATATTTTTGCAGTTTATGGGCGTACACATTAATCAGCCTCTTTGAGTTTGAGGATGAAACTCTAGAAGAAAGTTTTGCTTCCAAGTGAAAAATAATGAAGCGTTTTGTCTACATTAACGATGATGAAGCTTCAAAAGAGCTTTGTTGTGATAACCGTGTATCTAACAGAAAGTATACATTGTGGAATTTTCTTCCTAAGAACTTATGGGAGCAATTCAGGTGATGATTCATTTGATTTATGGTTCTAATGTTCTAGAATTTTTTTTCATTATTTCCCTTCTCTGATCGAGATGTTCTCTGTTTTTTTCTCAGCCGGTTCATGAACCAGTATTTTTTGTTGATTGCATGCCTTCAGCTATGGTCACTTATCACCCCTGTAAATCCTGCAAGTACATGGGGTCCGTTGATATTCATATTTGCGGTCTCCGCTTCCAAAGAAGCTTGGGATGATTACCACAGGTATCTATCAGATAAGAAAGCAAATGAGAAAGAAGTTTGGATCGTGAAACAGGGGATCAAGAAGCATGTATGAATCACTTTTGCAAGAGTTTTTTTCTTGGGGATTGATTTTTAGGTGGTATTTTGGCTTGACTGTATTACTATTTTTTGCTTGTAGATCCAAGCACAGGACATACAGGTTGGCAATATTGTCTGGTTACGCGAGAATGATGAAGTTCCATGTGATCTAGTTTTGCTTGGTACCTCTGATCCACAAGGTGTTTGTTACGTAGAGGTAGAGTTCCTGTAATGCATGTAATAATTTATGCTACACTCTAGTTTCCTGGTCGATGCACTAAAAGTGAATTCGTACATGCAGACTGCTGCTTTAGATGGTGAAACTGATCTCAAAACGAGAGTCATACCCTCAGCATGCGTGGGTATTGATTTAGATTTGTTACACAAAATGAAGGTAAGACTTCTTGTATATAATCACATCCTTCTTAGCTTTCCATGTTTCCTGTAATCAGATTTGATGTTAAGTTATATATGTTTTCAGGGTGTGATTGAATGTCCTATTCCAGATAAGGATATTCGAAGATTTGATGCAAACATGCGCTTATTTCCACCATTTATTGACAACGACGTCTGTTCTTTAACCATAAAAAACACTCTTCTCCAGTCCTGCTACTTGAGAAATACGGAGTGGGCTTGTGGAGTATCTGTCTATACAGGTACTATTTCTTATGGAAATGGCTTGTCTGTTTTGTTTAAATTATTACATGTCTAACTTTCAGGACCATGCATTCTGAATATCTCTGGTCGGTCGTATGATTTTAGTTGATCTTATGCTTTGATGGTTTTTCACTTTAATAGGCAATCAAACTAAGCTTGGCATGAGTCGGGGTATAGCTGAGCCGAAGCTTACTGCTATGGATGCAATGATTGATAAATTGACTGGAGCAATATTTGTTTTCCAAATTGTCGTTGTTTTGGTTCTCGGTGTAGCTGGAAATGTTTGGAAAGATACAGAAGCAAGGAAGGTTAGATTTTTACCTAATGATGTCATGTACATAATAAATCTCCTACCCTTGGTTTTGTATGATTGGGGAAGTTCTGAACTATACGAATCTGGTTGTTGTGTTTTTCAGCAATGGTATGTGCAGTATCCAGAGGAGGCTCCTTGGTATGAGCTGCTTGTAATCCCTTTGCGGTTTGAGCTCCTATGTTCCATCATGATACCCATCTCCATTAAGGTAATTATTACTTCCTTTCTATACACTTTGGAAACTCTGGTAGCACTCTCGCTTGCTCTGGAGTGGCATATCTTATGCACTTAGTGACTTCTTGGCATGGAAAGAGATTTGGATTGGGGTTAATGATCGTCTTTTGCGGAACAACATTTCTCTGGTTTATAACGCAATTAATATATATTGTAATTGGCATGTCTATTTCTGCTAAGCATCTGGTTTATGTAATGTGGCAGGTGTCTCTAGATTTGGTCAAGGGTCTTTATGCAAAATTTATAGAATGGGATGTAGAGATGATAGATCAAGAAACTGGTACAGCATCTTATGCAGCAAAGTAAGTTGAGGATAGAGGCAGACTACCTCAGATTCACCTGTGAACACATTAATCTCACTTCTTTCTTGTTGCATTATGTGGCTTTTTATGTGTGGCAGCACAGCAATAAGCGAGGACCTTGGGCAAGTAGAGTACATTTTGACTGACAAAACTGGGACCCTGACAGACAACAAGATGATATTTAGAAGATGCTGTATTGGTGGCATTTTTTATGGGAATGAGAGTGGAGATGCTTTAAAAGGTTTAAAAACTTTATTTCCTTGTGTATTGTGCTGTCAGTTTTTGCCCACCCAATTTGTGTTGATAATACTAATGTATACATGTATGTATCAAAAAGGTATTGTTTCTAACTTGTTTTGATTTATCTTTCTGATCAGATGCACAACTTCTTAATGCCATCACCAGTGGCTCGACAGATGTCATCCGATTTCTTACAGTTATGGCTATCTGCAATACAGTTATACCTGTGCGGAGGTAATTTTCAATTTTCATAATATCTGTTTTTGTCAGTCAAGCATTGGAAAAAAAGAAGTCCATTGATCGTATTTCAGTTGTGTAGATATATTCCGTTTATATAGGAATTTTCATTTCGCTACGTTTTGTTTGGTGTTTCCATCTGATAGCAAAGCTGGAGATATTGTATACAAGGCCCAATCTCAGGATGAGGACGCTCTTGTGATTGCTGCGGCAAAGTTGCATATGGTCTTTGTCGGCAAAAATGCTAATCTTCTAGGTAATAGTCATCTTATTTCAGTTTTGCTCTCCATGGAATATGTACCGAAAAAGTAGTTCCCATTTGTTGTTTCGTCCTCTTTATCGAACGCAGAAATCAGGTTTAATGGTTTCACAATTCGTTATGAGGTCCTGGAAATTCTTGAGTTCACGTCAGATCGAAAAAGAATGTCAGTGGTAGTGAAAGATTGTCAGAATGGGAAAATTATTCTTTTGTCAAAAGGTGCAGATGAATCAATCCTTCCCTATGCACGTGCTGGTAAGTTGACGTATCTCTTGTCAATATGAAACGAGGCAGTAGTGTGCTACTGAATGTGCTCAGAGCTTATGGCCAATTGTTCTCCACTATGCTATTAGGTCAGCAAACCAGAACTATAACTGAAGCTGTAGAACACTATTCCCAGCTGGGGCTCCGAACATTGTGTTTGGCTTGGCGTGAACTGGAAGAAGATGAGTATCTAGAGTGGTCAGTAAAGTTTAAAGAGGCTAGTAGTCTTTTGGTCGATAGGGAGGTAATTGGAACAATTCTTCTCTGTTTTTGTTGTTCACGTTAAAGAAATTATGAAGTACGAATGTATGATCAGTCTAAACCGTATGTTACAGTGGAAAATTGCTGAGGTGTGTCAAAGGTTAGAACACGATCTTTATATTCTGGGGGTCACTGCAATAGAAGACCGCTTGCAGGTAAAATTTGAAATGTCCAGGACATAGTGAGGTTCACAATGTATAATCTAATGTAGCACTATATGTATGAGAGGATTGTCTTATAAATATTTGCCTTATTTTGTTAGGATGGTGTACCAGAGACAATTGAAACACTTAGAAAAGCAGGGATAAACTTTTGGATGCTGACTGGAGATAAGCAGAATACAGCTATACAGATTGCTCTTTCATGTAATTTTATCTCCCCGGGTAAGTGGGAATCATTTCCTTTAATTTATTATTTTTGTTAGAAAGCTTTGCCTATTGCTCTACTTATCATACTTTCTACCATAATCATGTTTATATCAGAGCCTAAAGGTCAACTTCTGTTGATTGATGGAAAAACGGAAGAAGATGTTTCTCGGAGTTTGGAGAGGGTTTTGCTTACAATGCGTATCACAGCTTCAGAGCCTAAGGTTCACCTTCTAAGCTAGATTCTTGAATTTTCGCATTCTTGGAACAAGTTCATATCACGTGTATCAGAGAATAATTTTATGGGTCGTACAGGACGTGGCATTTGTTATTGATGGCTGGGCTCTAGAAATAGCTCTGAAACACCATCGCAAGGATTTTGTTGAATTAGCTATACTCTCTAGGACAGCCATATGTTGCCGTGTCACACCTTCACAGAAAGCGCAGGTACCCCACCCAACGTTAGGTGCTATTGTTTCTTTGTACATATATTTACGGAGTCAGTTTATTCTGTTTCCAAGTGGCCATTCAATGCATTGATTGAACTTTTTTTTCTTGACTTTACAGTTAGTTGAAATCTTAAAATCCTGCGATTATCGAACCCTGGCAATTGGTGACGGTGGAAATGATGTAAGAATGATACAGCAAGCTGACATCGGGGTCGGCATCAGCGGAAGAGAAGGGCTGCAGGCAGCAAGAGCTGCCGATTATAGCATTGGAAGTAAGAGTATTAGCAAGATATTTATTCCTTTGTACAGGCTTGAAGATTCATATCATATACATTCTCCGTAGTAATTTCTGTTGCACAGATGAATAGCTTGGTCGGTAAAAACAGCTTCTGATGGACTAATCTTTGATTGCAGGATTCAGGTTTCTGAAAAGGCTGATTCTTGTTCACGGGAGGTATTCATATAACCGGACAGCATTTTTGTCCCAGTATTCCTTCTACAAATCGTTATTAATATGCTTCATCCAGATTTTGTAAGTTTAATATATCCTCAGATATGTTCTCAGTAAAGAGCATCCGGGTCGTTTCTGAAATACTGACAAGAGAATCTACGCAGCTTCTCGTTTATTTCAGGCGTTTCTGGAACCAGTCTTTTCAACTCGGTTAGCTTGATGGCTTATAACGTTTTCTACACTAGTATACCTGTTCTTGTTAGCGTAATTGATAAAGATCTTAGTGAAGCAACAGTAATGCAGCACCCTCAAATTTTGTTCTACTGCCAAGCTGGAAGGTAAGCTTACCATTGCTTCCTTCATTCTGTGTATCTCTGCTTTTGTTTCATCCACGGATTCACTAAATCTGAAGTTAACTGCTCATACGTTTCATGCATATTTGTTAATTTCAATTCAGGCTTCTCAATCCAAGCACATTTGCGGGGTGGTTTGGCCGATCTCTTTTCCACGTGAGTACTGTCATCTCCAATCTACTCAATTGATTACATTTTCTATACTACTACACCAAACATCACCGGTTACTATGCTAAGTGCTAACTCTATTTTCTTTTGCTAAAACTAAGTTTCTTTTGTTCATTCTTGCCTTGTGTTAATCTGGATTCTGGAAATGATTTGCAGGCGATTGTTGTATTTGTAATAACCATTCACGCATATGCTTATGAGAAAAGTGAAATGGAAGAGCTTGGAATGGTAGCTCTCTCTGGATGTATATGGCTTCAAGCTTTTGTTGTGGCACAAGAAACCAAGTATACACCTTTTAACTTGTTTTCCACGATACATAGTGGTGATTGTTGAAACCTTGGCCTTACCGTTCTCTGTCTTCCTTTTCATTGCAGTTCCTTTACGGTGTTGCAACACCTTTCCATTTGGGGAAATCTAGTCGGTTTCTATGCGATAAACTTTCTCTTCAGCGCCATACCGTCTTCGGGAATGTACACCATCATGTTCCGCCTTTGTTCTCAACCTTCTTACTGGATAACAATGTTTGTAAGTATCAGTTAAAAGCCATCTGCCTATAAATTAACAAACACCAAGTAAAAAGTAATATTCGTTTCTTTTTTTCTCTTGTGACAGCTCATAGTTGGAGCAGGGATGGGTCCTATCTTCGCATTGAAGTACTTCCGCTACACATACAGACCCAGCAAGATCAATATACTCCAGCAAGCTGAACGTATGGGCGGTCCAATACTGACTCTAGGAAACATCGAAACGCAGCCGAGGATCATCGAGAAGGAAGTGTCTCCGTTATCCATCACTCAGCCCAAGAACCGAAGCCCGGTCTGTGAGCCTCTTTTATCAGACTCTCCAAGCGCAATTCGACGCTCACTTGGCCCTGGAACTCCATTCGAGTTTTTCCAGTCACAGTCAAGATTATCATCATCATCATCATCTGGTTATACCAGAAACTGCAAAGACAACTAAACAAAAAAAAAAAAAATTGATTTCTGTTTTCTCTGTCCGCAGTCATAGAGGTAGTGTTCTTCTTATTTTTCCCAACTTTTACAGTTCCGTGACTTTTCTTAACCAGACCGAAAATACAGATGAAAGCAGAAAAACGACGAATATAACACATGTGTATAGATTACTTTACTTACTTTAGAAACTCATAAATATACAGCCAACAAAACACATCGTCTATCTGCAAAAGTAGATTTTATTTCATTGATTTTATTAGATCTCTCTGAGAGAGAGAACCAAAATGGAATTGCTCTGCAACAGTAGTATTTGAAGAAAACAAATGGGTAAACTTATGGTATAATATAACTCAGATGTTACAATCTCGATCTACGTATAAACCTCATCCCTGGTCTCCGCCTAGACCGTCCGGTTTCCGATAACTTGACATCCCAATCATCCTCAACATTCTTGGGGATATAAACATCAAACAAGATTTGGCCAAGAACTCCATTGGGCATAACGGCGTCGTCCGATTGAGCGCTGGACAAACGAATAAGATCTTGTTTGTGCTCATCTTGCACAGAACCACTGTTGCCCACGTAGTAACCTACGGTGCTAGGCACGAAGAAATGATCGGTCGTGACAAGTGGTGTGCCGTTGAAGCTTCGGTTAAGACCGGAGGTTGATTGCCCCAAGCTCTGGATTGGCTCTGCATCATCGCATTGAGTTTCTTTCATAGTTTCTCTGTCGAGACTTCTTCTTGTCTTCTGCGAGTAAACCGACATTGCTCTTGACAAGAACTCGGATACATCAGCTTTATAGTCGACCTGGTTATACCGATAATGACCTGAAAACAAAATGTATATGCATGCAAAGATTATAGAGAATTCAATTTTGAAGAATAAGAACCTCACAAGAGTTTAAGTACATATAAACTAACCAACGTGAGGTGAATCATTCCACTTAACGAGTTTCACATCTCCTCCTAGTTCTTGGAGACGTGTGGCGAAATTGTGTATAGTTCGATAAGGAGCGAGGTCATCTTTTTCAGAGCATAGAATGAGATAAGGAACTCTCATGCTCTGCACCCAAACAACATTCAAGAATGCAATGTCAAAACCGAAATTAAAGTCAGAGATTTCTTGTTTACCATTTCATAATAATTAACCAAAAAAGGCTCTTACTATAGTAGAGTAAAGAGTCTGCCAGAACTCGGCTCGCTGTGATTCGAACCTGTTGAGGAAAACATAATCGAGACTCGAAGCAATACCATTCGCTGCCCACACAAACGGTTTAGGTGGTTTAGACATTCCGAGCGTACTTGGATGCACCGCTAATCGAGCTCCCAAGTCGCTTGTGAAATCCACAGGACTTGAGTCGTAGATAAACCCTGAGATACAATTTCTAACCATTCTACAATCATCCTGAATACACATACAGAGATAAAACCAAAACCACATTATTTAACCCTAACAAACAATCATCGAACAAGGAAGGACTTAAATTTGATGAAGTAGCTTTACCTGATTCAGTCCTGTTTCGCATAGTCCTTCAAGTATCTGCATATACATACAAAAGAAGCTCAATTTTTCTATCTCTAAAGAGATTCTAAACATTCTGAAAACATTTGGTGAAAACAAATGAGCAAGCTTACTTGAAGAACCCTATACATACAAGCATTAGGACCACCTGAGAATGAGGCAAACACTAAAGGAAGTGGCTTTGCTTTAAGCTCCTACAAAAATTATCGTCAAAACCAGAGACCTAAAGCTTAAGAGATCAATTAGGTAAAGCAAAATTCACACATTTTCGATTACGTATTGAATAAAACCTGATTTTACCTTGACAAGTTCAGATACAAGATTAGAAGCTAAATCCGCAGCTTTATCTGGGAGAAACCTATACATGACAATCCAAAATTGAATCAAGAGAATTCCATTTGTAAGTCTCCAGATTAAACCTGAACTACGAAAACAGAGAAAGGAGAGAGAGAGAGAACAAACATGTTGAGAAATTGAGAATGGCAAACGAGTGAATCCCATTGAAGAGAAGAATAGAGATCGACATGGTTCTTGAGATTGCGTTCTTCGCTCGACATCCAAGCGAAAACCACCACGATCGCTTCGCTTCCTCCTCCGTTGTTCCTCTTTCGCCAATAGAATTTCCCTCCATATCCCCACATCTTCTCTCTATATCGAAATTAGGGTTTCCTGTGGTGAAGTCTCTCTGTCAATTGAGCTGAAACATGATGAAAGGGGCACGAGCTTCGAGCAGAGAGACGTAGAGGAAGAAGATAGAACAACAGATCACCATCGTTATCGCTTGGCTTAAAAAACTAATATTTATTAATACATAATTACTTCATTTGGTAATTAAATTCTATAAGCTTTCCTCTTATAGAGAGCATCGCCCAAAACATTCGAATAAAACCATTTTGTAATCTTTTGATTCTATAAACAGAATATGATTTTTTTTTTTTTTTTTCTGACACATTTTGCCTTCACCAGATTAATTCAACAAGAAACAAAAAAACCAACTCGAGTATGTATGTAATCCTCTTCAATTTCATATATGATCTGAACTAAAAACACATCACGCAAAACATATCTTATTCTCTAAACTCACTCACTCATGTAGAAGTTGATGATATTCATATCAGACGATAAGTGTTCCACAAAGTGAATAACCACCTCCTATCAGCCAAACCGAGGCTTGTATGGAATTTAATTTCTCGTTGAGTAGGTTCACAAATTCATAACTAGTATCAATAGCTTTTCACTGTGATCGGATGTACACAAGTCTTTATTTATTTTTATTAGCCCATATATCAATCATTCAATTTAGATGTATAACATGCTACGAATACCAGTACCGATGATACTCCTCGATCGAAATTCTTATTTTTGTATATGGGAAATGGACCATAAAAAGAATGACTGATGATCTGCAAGGTCAAGGTACATTACATAGCTATAAGCCTATAATAAACAAAAGGTACATAGTTAGGTTCAACCGATTAAAAATGTTCTTTAACAAAAGAAAATATAGTAATTACAAATTTATAAATGGAGCGACAAAGGACAGAAGTACTACACACACTGATGCCTCTTTAACGGTTGTAAACATCATTTTACAGTCCACAGCTTTAATCTTCACTGTTTTACCCTTTTCAAATATGAAATTGCAAACCAAAAGCATTCCAACGGTGATTTTCTTGTTGGTCTTTATATTAACCGATTTGTTATACAAATTCTGGAGTAAAAGAACATACCTTGAAAGAACGATTGTTGCTAAATCTCATGCAGCTATAGCTGTTTTAACATATACGGAGTAACGAATTTAAACAAAATTTATTTTACCTAACAAAAAACTAGTGCTGCAAACACGAAGTTCAGTTACAAAACTCTTAACTGTCATTATGTCAACTCTCTCCTCGCATTATATTATTCACCTACGATGCTGCTTTCATCTCAAAGAGTACACTCCACAAGAAAAGTCAAGACAAAGATGGGAAGTTGAGTACGGTACATGATACATGCACCAGTTTCTTCAAGAAGATCGTAAATGGTTAGAGGTTCCATGTACCACAATATTTAAATCCAAGCTTATCAGGGTCCATTTTATGGTGTTATTGGCCCACTGTCCTTTCTCCATCCAACACATACATGGATATATACATATATATATGTAAGTGATGTAATTGCATGATTGTGAAACAAAGTTTTCCGAGGAGACATCTAAAGGACTAATCGACCCATCGAGATGAGAATGGGAACTAAAGTATTGGTGGGTCATGCGGTCCACGTGACACCTCCACACCCCGACACACTTAGCTTTTGTATATTTGCTATTTTGTTTACCCATTTATGTATATACATGCACATGTTCACATGTACATACACCATGCGTATTATATATCGTATTTATAAGAATAATGAACACCTCTATGTATGTACAGCTGTCGCTCAGATAAATCTGTCTCCTATGAAGCAAAGTGCTCTCGGAGTGGGGAAATAAATACATACTACAGTATTATTTCAAAATTGTAGTGTCACAAAGATTTGAGATTTTGTTAGTAAATGTCTAAATGATAGGAATATTATACATGCTCCACAACCAACATGAGTTAATGTTATGGAAGTTTGTCCACTAAATATTTAAACATCATAAATCTGTACATATATTTTGACTAAATTGTATAGAGAGAGAAGTAATTACAAGAGCAATTTTCTTAACAAACAGAATATTTTGAAGTAAACATACATAGGAATTCGATCCCAAATAGAGTGTGTAATACAAGTTCCAAGAAATCACGACATAGAAGCTATGGACTCTTATTATAAAACACGGCATAGTACAGACTCTTAATTAGCTTTGATGAAAAAAAATCAAATATGTTTAAATATCAAATGTTCATTAATAAACAATTGCTCCACGACGGAGCTCCGACGCCGTATAATCCTTGCCGTGTGAGAAATATCACCGATCGTTTCACATTGATCATGTCAAGAGATCGTTAACCCATCCGAGATCAAGATCGGTACTAGAACCAACCTCAAAGCTATTCATATCCCTAGCTTCCGCCGCCGCAGTTGCAGCCGCCGTGAAATCGCTTAGCCGGCCACCGCGTGGTGTCAGTTCCTCGCTGAAGAAGCTTGGTGGCGGCGGAAGATGAAGCTGGCCATTGAGGTAACTTGGAGTAGAAGAAGGTGAAAGAGCAAACTGTTGTAACTGAAGATCTCTGTCTCCGACATCAAGCCACGCCGGAAGACGGTGATGGTAGTTGCTTAGGTTTGATGACACAAGCATTGTAGCCGCCGTGGAAACCGGCATAGTGACCAGAGACGATGAAGAAGCCACGGCAAGTGCTTCCGTGAGACTGAAGGAATCTAAAGAATTAATAAGATCGTTTAATACTTCCTTGTACCCAATGGCGGTGGACCGACGGCGGCTCAGCCGTGAACACACGGCATGTTTATTTGCCGGAGACAGAGGTGGAGACGACGGCGGTGATCGTGCTAAACCACCCAAGAGAGTGCTCCTTGGCGAGTGGGAATTACAAAACACACAACAACGATTATTCTTATTACTTAATACCGGGGATGACGACGCAGATCCACCGTTGCAGCCGGAGACGAAATTTTCCGGCGGCAGAACTCTAAGCTGACGTGGAGAGTGAGCGAAGAAACAGATTTTTCTCTCACAATGCTTACCGTCTTTACATGCTTCCGTACGGTAACGACTCGGGTGGAGCCAACACTCAAAAACTCCATGCGCGAATCCGCATTCATCCCCACGGCTGCAATCGCCGCCGTGACGAAACTCAGGACATACTTCGCCGGTGTAGTGAAACCGGCGAGGGTCACGACGACGAGCTTTTTCGCCAGGATGAGAGAAAGGACAGTCGGTCCAATCGTGGCGACGGCTACGCGTGCACCGTCGGATCTTGAACTCGTACATCCGGAAATGGTCTCCGGCGTAAGGATCGTCGGAGTCAGAGTCGTAACAATAGTCTTTGTGATTATCGTCGGGACGGGGACTTGAAGTCGAGGACGGTGATTTGACGGAGGAAAGAAGCTTTCTCGGTGGAATATCCACCGTTGGTCTACCAATGTAGCCGGAGTTGTGATGTTCGACGTCCATGTCTACGTGGCAAAGACACGAGAGAGTTTTCTTTTGTTTCTTGTGTACTTTTGTTCTTTGTTGGTTTGGAGAGGGAGAGAGAATGTGAAGAGATAAGTGTATGCACATTGTCTCTATATATATGCGATTGTAGTATACGGAGATGAAGCCAGAAGTAAAAATGTAGTATACATTAAAACGTTTTATAATGCTTACACAATGATTATACATAGCTCATATTCAGCTATCAGCTTTTATATTCCTATTTGTTAATTCAATGGAAGTCTCAACTCTCAAGTAATATGAGATCCGATTGAAATTGACCAGAATACTATCATTTGAAAAAAAAATATTTTAGAAATCTTACTGACCTTTAACAAAAGAAACAAAAAATCTTCCATCTAATTTTAAAATAAAATATAAAGTTTTTTTTTTTTTTTTCTTCGATAACTTCTTTTTTTTTTTTTATATATTTATTGTACTTTTATTCATCTTCTTTCCAAAAAGAGTACCATTGCAAATACAAGATGAATGAAAGTTGAACTAATCGAAAAAGATAAGACCATAAGAGAAGACATAATAGAGAACTCGTGTGAAGAGTACCAAGAAAGCTCCGAAGATTAAGGATGGAAGAAAATATAAAGTTGCAATTAGTTTTGAGACAGAAACATTACTCGTAACATTTTATAGAAATTAAATCGCGCTGAGACAAATGTTAACAACTTACATATAGTTAAAACAAAATGAGCGGCTCGTGGGCGTGGCAAGAGAACATAGGAGAGGTTCATGCAACTGAGCAGGAGGTGGCGTTCTCAGGGATATCTCGAGTCATCGTTACTGAATAATTTGACTTTTATTTTTTGGGTTAAAAGAGTCGAGTAATTTGACTTCTATCTAATTAGCCTTGTTTGCGTAATTACGTGTATCATCTTAATATCGTCGATCTAAAAACTGAAAGTAATTAGCTAGTGACTCCTCGGGGGATATATATAGTTCTAGGGGAAACGTTGCTACACAGAAATGCATGTGTACATGACAATAACACATTAACACTATTAATCTATTATTATCATTGTCTTTCAACATTATTATTTAATCAAAATTTCAAATTTGTTCTGGAATATCTTGTAAGAGAACTTAATTCGAAACTAAACAAAATTTACACCAAGTCTAGATTCAATATTTGATTTGATAGCCAGATTCTCTAAACCAAAATACTCAAAAGCTGAAGAAACTCGAACCAAAATCAATCACAAAAAACCTCAAAATTGAATACGCATACATGCACACATAGATCCATCTTTTTGTCGATCAACCTCTCTAGTCTCTATACTTAAACCCTTCATCAAAACCACCAAAACACATGAGATACCAGTAATCGTTTTGATTATCATACACTTACTATAGCTAGATATATACACAATCATTTTTTTTTTAAATGTTTGCATAATTGTTTTAAAAAAAATTATAAACGGATCATCTTTAACCGAAACCAAACTACTCCTAAAACCAATAAAATAAATTTGGAACTTTTGATTTGCCATTTAAAATAAAATAAAAAGATTAATGTTATTGTAAACTTACGTGGAGCAATCCATGCTAGAGGAGATAGGAAAGCTGAGATGTGTGTTGCAAAGAAGAGGAAGCTCTTGGATCTTATCAGCCAACATCGGAGGCGTATAACCTCTCGTCATCATCTCAATACAATTACACAAAAGCCTCGGATTCTCTTCTTTGTGCTTCGCAATTATGTTGAGTTTGTTGATGTGAACACAACATTTTTTACCGGGTTTGTAATAAATGCCCATGACAAATTCAAGACAATAACCAAAAAAATCGTACGTGTATGCACAAAACGGTACGTACGAGTGAACCCGAATCACTAGCCTGGTGTGGTCGGAGATCACGAGAAGTAGTAGTAATGAAAGCACGATTGGTTTAATCTTGTGTCGTTTATCCATTTTTTTTTCTCAAACTTGGAATTGTTGTGACTTGTGAATGAGAAAATCTTTTAGATTAATTTTAGTATGTAAGAAGGATTAGATATAGGGTTTAGTATTAGTCACGTTTGTTATGTGAACTTTTTGGTTTTATCGATGGTTGGGTCATCGTCTACGTATATACCAATGAACACAATACAAATCGAATGAACCTAGCTATAGACCTATAGTGTGAAAATAACAATTATTGGGATATGACGATTATACATGTATCAAGTTTGATCATTTTCGCAACATAATTAAGATTTAGAAATCATAGATGAAATGAACCCCATTTTAACAACAAAGGCTTATATAAAGATACATAAAATGAAACTGATTAAACTCCTTGCCGTTTTTAACCACTTTTTTGGCAAACCAACAATTTTCATTCTCATTGGAAGTTGGCAAGAAAATAGCAAACGACTGCGTTTAGGTAACCACCAAGACCAAAGGACTTGAAACGACACCGTTTCAGACTCGGAGCGTCAAATTAGCCGTTTCCTTGCACATTCGAAAAGCTTTTGGCCATTCGCCCTTTTATTATTATTATTATTTTTTTTATTTTTTATTTTTTTTATTTTTTTTTATTAAAAAAAATACAGAAGCCATGACCATAGTCATACAGTTTTTTGTAAACAGATTACAAATAGGGAAAAAGAGCGGATCATTTAAAGAACCAGAAACAACCCAATCTTCCGCTTCGATTGACTTTAGGACTAATAGGATACCACTAGCCACTTTCTCCACGCCCACGTCCGCGATTTCCACGTCCGCGAGCCGTTAACTGCCAGTGCATCTCCTTAGCCTTCATTGTTGGTTTAACTGGTCTTTCTCTAAGAATTCTTTTCCCAAAAGGCGTCATAAGATCCATGGACTCCGTCGCTATGTCAGAATCCGATGAAACTTCTTCTTCTTCTAGAGAAATCAAAGAGCCAAACTTGTTAGAACCAAAATCAGGCGCAGCTACTCTACTACTATCCTTCTCGGGAGAGGAGATTGCTTGACCCTTAGTAGCATCAAGGACTGGTAAGTTTTGGGCAGACTCCAAAGAAGGAGACTCAATTGTTTCATTGATAAGCACAACTGTTGGAGCAGAATCAGACATGTTCTCAAGAACAGAGATTGTAGCTAGCGAGATAAGTTCCTCCTCCGCAACCTCAAATGTATCATCTGAGGCAACCGCAGTAGAGGATATAGTTTCTTGAATTTGATGATCTTCTCCAACAAAATCTGAACAAGTATCAATTAGTGATGGTTCAATAGGGTTTGTGGATCTGAACTGTAGCAGTAGAGAGAGCTGGACTTTCCGAGACATTCTTGGTGACTGTTCCTTGTGACAAGAGGGTTTGTTGTTGACAACAAGGAGGCTTAAGGACAGCAGGAACTGTAGCAGTATGGAGAGCTGGGATTTCTGAAACATTCTCTGTGACTGTTTCTTGTGGCAAGTGAGTTTGTTGTAGACAACGAGAAGGCTTATGTCCCAGCTGACCACATTTCCCACATGTAGTAGGAACCCAAGCATATTCTACATCTACCATGGAGATGTAACCTTTTTTATCAGCAGCCGCAATCTTCTTAGGAAACTCCTTATTTAATTCCACTTCAACCAAGATCTTAGCTTCACCCATTAGAGTAGGGTCAAGTCTTGGCTTATAGGTAGCCATGGGAGCACCCAAACCTGAAGCAATATGACTAATGCCAGGAATTGAGTAGCATCTATGATGAATATTTTTAAGAGTCACCCATACAGGAATCGTTGAGATCTCAGGGATATCAAAAGTATCTGCAGGAGTCCAGGGAGCTACAAACAGCAAACAGTCATCAACATGCCATAAACCTCGTTGCAAGACCCAAGCTCTTGTTGAAGCATCTGGAATATGAAAGAGGAAATTCGAATTTCCTAGCTTACGGACAAAGATACTGCAATTCCTGCCCCAAATTCTATTGACTACGGCATGCACTAAACCACCAGCAGGAGCACTACATCTATAAAACTGTCCTATGATGTAATCTTTTTGATTCTCTAGACCTTGTAGCAAGACATGACTTGGAATGGTTACCTTTGGAGTACCATCTTCCATGTATTCCGGTGATGTTGCTCTGTAAAGGTTCCTTGTTGCTGGATCCATTCTAGCTGCCCAAGGAAACCGAATACTATCTTCACAATTTGCTTCTGAGAAAGTCTGAACAGGTTCCTGTGTTTGATTAAACTCTGAGATTGATTCTTTGGAGAAAGTCAGCTTCTTTTTCCATGCTCCTTGAAGAGGAGGAGGGAGAGAAGAAGATAGAGTTTTGGGGGGCACATCGGAAGCCTCTCCGTTGACAGATTTTCCGGTGGAGAGTTGTCCAGCAGAGATTTCACTCACGACTCTTTGATTTGGTGGTTTAGGTGGTTCAGAATTTTGAGAATTCTCCATGGATGAAGGTGGAAACGTCTAATGGAGGATTGAGACACCTAAGAAGAACTTGGGTAAGTAGCCGGCGACGATTCCGCGACGGCGGATCCGTCGATGAAGAAATTACGATTTTTAGGTTTCGCCTTGTTGAGAGAGAATTGGGGGCGCGTGAGACTCGAACGCTGTAAATTTTTTCTTTTGATTCGTCTCTTCTTCTGCAATCGTTCAGATTCTTCTTCTCCACCTTTCAATTTCTCTCTCTATGATTTGTGGCCGGAGTTATGGATACGACGGAGGAGCCAAACGAGACTTCCGTGACGACGATAGACAAGAGTTATGAGTTCACGGCGGCACAATGGCATGGTTTTCTTAGACGATGGGAGAGTGATTAGTCGTAACAGAATATTCCTATTCTATCAGAGAGAAAAAGCGAACGGAGCTCCGGTTCGACTCAGCCACAAGTTATAAATGCTCCTCAAGGTACGTCTTTATTCTATCAGAGAAACGAATTGTATCCTAGAATAAATCAACTCTGGTTTCGCTGAATCGGATTTAGGGTTTAGGTACTTCAATTTTTGAGCAGCAAGAAGAAAAATGATAAATTCATTCCATTTTTAGGAATTGACCTGTATTCTTGGAATTCTGATTGAATTTCAAATCGGAGAATTTTCCCCTTCGTCTTAGCTTCTATTGATTGTTGATTTTCAGTTTTGGAATCAAACTGTTCAAATTTTTGTTTTTATATATCGTCTTTGTGCAGCTTTGATTCGCTTTGATTCTGGCCATTGAAGGTTGAGAGCATGCGTTGTTCAAAAAAAAAAGTTGAGAGCATGTGCAGTTTCAGCCTAGAGGAAGAAGAAGAAGAAGACAAACACTTGAATCTTCAATTTCGCGACTCAAAAACAGAAAGGTGCATTGTGTATTCAATAGATATGATCAAAACCTGGAAATACTACAGTAATAGAGCTTTTTTTGTTTTGTTTTTTACCTCTCTCGTTTTCTTCTACCACACCATAGTGATTTGAAGCCTCACCTCAATGAACCAAAGAGCCCTCTGCTTCCTCCTTTAACTGAAATTGAGCAAGAGGAACTCGAGAAGGTGCCAAAATTCAAGGCAAGACCTTTAAACAAGAAGGTATCATATATATTCATATTCACAAGTGGTTTAATTTGCTACTTTTTCATTTCACGTTCTTCATTCGTCTCTCTAGGTCTAATTCAGAATTATCTCTCAACCATTCCAGTAGCCAACTAGCTATATTGGGTTTTGATGATTTTCCTTTTTACACTTGGTTTTAGTGTTTTCCTTATCACATTAGGTTTAAGCTTTTTTTCCCTTTTTGCATTAAGTTTCATTCCTATATAAAGGGATTCCTTATGATCAAACAAGAAACAAACTTCATTCTCTCTCGCTCTCTATTATTTTTATCTCTCTATTTCTCTTTGTCACGAAATTTTTGGAAATCATGACGGACTTGGATATGTCTCAGGTTAATCTGGATTCCATCAAACTTCCTCCTGGAAACGACTTTGGAATCGAGAGCGATGATGATGATGTAGCTGTTTACCACGATAGCCAGTTAGAATTCGACGACGACATTGATTTCGGCAACATAATCGTTGTAGATAACCTCCCTGTTGTTCCCCCGCTGAAGCTTGAGAAACTAGAAGGCGTCGTGAGGAGGCTTTACAACAAGTTACACGTAAGAGAACTGTGGATGCCCCTCGATCCCGAAACCAATTTGACACCTGGCTACTGTTTCATCGAGTTCAACACTCCTCAGGAAGCTCAAACCGCCAAGGAGAAGACTCACGGCTACAGCTTGGACAAGTCTCACATCTTGGCTGCATACACGTTGGATGAGTTTGAAAGGTTAACGGATGTTGAGGAGGAGGAGGAGTGGGAGGCTCCTCAAACGAAGCCCTATGTGCCTTGTGAAAATCTGCAAAGATGGCTTCTTTCTCAAGGGGATCAGTTAGTTGTCCGTTACGGCACTGACACTGAAGTTTGTTTATGGGACGATGCTGGGAAGAAGACGCTTGAGCCTGTTGAGAAGCGTGGTTGTTGGACAGAGAGTTACGTGCAGTGGTCTCCTCTAGGTACATACCTTGTGACACTTGACAAGCAAGGCGCTGCTCTTTGGGGTGGTGCTGATACTTTCTCACGTCTCATGCGTTATCAGCATGAGATGGTGAACCGTGTTGATTTCTCGCCAGGCGAGAAGTACCTGGTGACTTACAACTATAGCCCGGAACAAGTAGAGATGAAAGTCTTTGATGTGAGAAGCGGGAGGGTGATGAGAGGCTTCAAGGTTTGTCCTAATGTGTTTTCAATTGGTGGTGTCTGTTGGGCCCGCGGGGATGAATACTTTGCCATGCACAACGTAGACACTATATCTGTCTATGAGACTGAGACTTTCAGCCTGATTGATAAGAAACCCATCAAGGTTGATAATGTTGTGGGCATGTGTTGGTCCCCTACTGATCCCATTATTGCATTGTTTGTTCCCGGCGGTGGAGACCGTCCTGGAAAAGTCGCTCTTGTCCATATCCCAAGCAAGGTGGAGCTGAGGCAGAAGAATCTCTTCGGCGTGAGTGGCTGCAATATGTACTGGCAGAGTAGTGGAGAGTATCTTGCTGCCAAGTTTGATCGATACACATACACTAGCACAAAGAAAAAGAGCAGATGCTTTGGATTTGAGCTGTTCCGCATCAAAGAAAAGGATATTCCAATCGAGGCTCTTGAGCTGGACAACAAGAACGACGAGGTCATTGCTTTTGCGTGGGAGCCTAAGGGTCACAGGTTTGCTGTCATTCATGGTGACCAGACGAGACCAGATGTCAGTTTCTACTCGATGAAGACGGCGAGGGTTTCAAAGCTCGCTACTTTGAAGGCCAAACAAGCCAATTTCCTCTTCTGGTCTCCCACAGGGAAGTACATCGTTCTTGCTGGCCTCAACGGTCAGCTTGAGTTTTTCAACGTGGATGAGCTCGAGACAATGGCCACAGCTGAACACTTGATGGCCAGGGTGATTGAATGGGACCCTAGTGGAAGGTATGTTGCAACCGCAGTGATATCATTAGTCCACGAGATGGAGAGTGGTTTCACTCTATGGTCTTTCAACGGGACATTGCTTTGCCGGATACTCAAGGACCAGTTCTTCCAGCTGGCATGGCGCCCGAGACCGCCGTCACTCTTGTCCGCGGAGGAGGAAGAAGAGATAGCAAAGAACCTGAAGCATTACAGCAGAAAGTTTCGGACAGAAGATCGGGACGTTTCGTTGCTGTTGAGGGAACAAGTCAGAGAGAAGAGGAAGGCGTTGCAGGAAGAGTGGGAGGAATGGGTGATGCAGTGGAAGTCTCTGCACCAAGAGGAGAAACTCACCAGGCAACAGCTTCTTGATGGTGAAATCAGTGATGAGGAAGAAGAGGAAATTGATGGTTTTGGTTTTTGATGATTTTTCGTTTTTACTATTGGTTTTTAGTGTTTATTCTTTTTAGCATTAGGTTTAAGCTTTATTCCTTCCTTGATGTATTCCTCTATAAGGATCTCTGCAATCCGAAACTCAGGTCATCAATAAGAAGATACTTCTGTTTTTGGTAGCTCAATACTGTTAGCCAACAAGTCTTTGTTGCAGAACTACTTCATTTATAGCCCAACTTGTTCTATTCTCTCTTGGTACAAGATCAAAGAGACAAAAATGGTATCATGTAACAGATTTTCTGTAAATCCACTACCAAATATGTATCTTTAAGCAAAGAGAATAAGAACAGTGTACAAATACTTGAAACTTTGTCAGGTAGAGGAAGAGAGAAACAACTCAGAAGGACAATGGTTCCTCACGCCAGACCAGTGCCAAAAGTTTCAACAACCCCTATCTACAAAGAGACAACAATGATGGCTTCTTCTTCTACTACTCACATGAAGCAGCTTTATACAAGGTAAAAGCACTAAGCAGCATAAAAAAAAAATACTGTTCAAGAACGCTTGAACCTCGCCTCCTTTGTAAAATGAGAGTCGGCAAAAACTAGAAAGATTCTTCCTCTCTTTTTTTTTCAGACTTGACTGATATAAATAATAAGAAAAAAGGTTTCCCTTATAAAATACTAAGCAACGTCTACATTGAGTAAGAAAACAAAAAGTGACACAAAATGTTTTAACTCCATACAATTTAACTACTTAAACCAAAAACCAACAGCGATGTATAATCTAACAAACAAGCCCTGGTCCATCTGTATATATACACAGATGCAGAACGTCCTTGGGGCTCCACCAAGTTTCTTTCACTCGGTTTGTTTCTTCCGGTAAGATATGATCTGAAAGAAAACAAAACCAAATATGGAGAAAAGTTTCAGAAAGTTTGATTCACACTTAGAGATAAGATATTATAGAAACAGACTAATATGATCGGTGGCGCTACCAAATGGGGATCATGGATTGAAAAGAAATCGACTTTGAGCCTTGACAATGTTGCATTGTCTTCCAGACTTTGCATCTCATCTTTGGTTTCTGCTGCTGAAGCTTCTGAAGTCACTGCAGGAAGGTTCTCTGTCGCCTTATCTTCTACTACTCCTCTTGTTCCCAACAATTCAATCTCTTCAGTCTTCAAATTCATCTTAAGTGCCACAAACTGTTACACAAATACAAAGAAGACAAGTATCTTAGCATATGTGATTGAAATCCTCTTGTGTTATTGAATTGCCATAAATGCTAGAAACTTTCTTTTACTTAAGTCTTAAACATATTCTAGTGACAAGACTGATGTTAAGAGAGATAGAGACAGAGAGAGTACTCACTTCGCGGAGCTGTTTCACAAGCAAAGTGGGTCGGCAACAGAGATATGGCTCCGGTAACTCTGGTATACATTTTGTATCCACTGAGACAAGCTTGAGATGAATATCCAGCTGCTGAGAGAGAAAGACAGAGAAAGAGAGTAAGTTTAATCATAGCTCAAGATAATCCAAAACTCAGGTCATCAAGAAGGAGATAATCATCTCTGGTACCTCAATACTGTCCGCATCTGCGCTGTTGCGTAGATATTCAACAAGCCTATTCACGCGAGCAGTCCTCACACTCTTACTAATACCTCCTGGTGTGTTATTCCCATGCCTTGTGTTACTCCTTGTACCGCCTCTCCCCCAAGCAAGTATCTCCGGATTCCACACAAGCCCTGGAGTGCCTCCTCTGCTGTTGTCTCTAACCGCTTCTGTGTCGTTATCCGCGCAGTTGCCGTTGTTGTTTGCACCTGAAGAAGAAGGGTGTTGCGTTGAACGGCTTGTAGATCGTTTTCTTCGTTTTCTCTGCCTGACTTCTGTGCCACGCTCATCTGAAGACGAATCTTTGCCTCCTCCGTTGTTGTTATCATCATCATTGTTATCATCGTCATGAGCTTCTTCTTGTTCCAGGTTTCTGGAGTTCCTTCTCCTTCTTGAACCACTAGCAAGACGCTGTGATCTCATCAAGACTGCTGCCTCTTTCCCAAAAGACTTTCTCTTCACAAGAGCCTCAGATTGTCTCTGTGATATCTCAGCTATAGATGCCTGAATCTACAACAATGGCCATAACAAGGTAGAGAAACATTAGCTTCAGTAAACAGTCAAAAAAGGTAATTAACAACATTATCTACAACACAGATTGGCTTAAAGTATCCTACCTGCTTATTACGAGCCATCTCATCTTCATGAAAAGCCAGCTCCTGAAGAAGAAACAAAATTTAATAAGCATTTAAGAGTAACAATCTCTCAGAAGTAAACAACCAGAAATAAAGATATGTTGATGCTTTTACCTCTTCCTCATAACTATCAATGTTTGGGAATAAAGCTGCAATGAGAGCATCAAATGTCGGGTCGTCTCTCAGAGAACGCCGGCTTGCACAATGCTTCCTGCAAGCAGGACACTCATTGTTCCTGCAACAGCATAAACTCAGAATAAAGCTTTATAAAAGCCAACATCTATGGCACATGTAACTGGAAAGTGGCATAGAACTGAAGCAAGAAAAGAAACCTAAACAACACAGATAAGACATACCCCAATCTCATTGACTTATCAATACACTCCCGGCAGAATCGGTGGAGGCATTCCATCACAGTCCTTGTTTTCTTTATAATCCCTGGAAACATGAAATCAAGAAGCAATGGAGCTCAAAATTTAGAGTGTGAAGGACTTGCAGTGGTAGGAAAATGAGAAAGTTGGCAATATTGACAAGTTTAAACAAAGTTCTCAACAGCAAAGGTTTGTATGCCGGTTGAGAAAAAGCAACAACTTTGGAGCTTGAGGATAAGTTCTCTTCACAACAAGGATATGACAAAATTGATTCGAAACATTGAGGAAGAAATGAAGTACCAAGGCATATGGGACACTGCACGTCTTTACGGATTTCACTTAGATCAATGTCCATTAGTCTGCATGAAAAAATCCAGAGGTAATTAAACAACAAGATAACGAATGTCCATTCTCAGAAAACAAAGTAAATCTGGGTCTTCAAAAAAGTCAAGAGAGATTTAAGACACTCTTGAACAAGAAAGAGATTCAATTAAATGAAAGCTAAATCATTCTCAAGATCAACATCCAGAAATGGCATATTCATGGCAGCTAGAAACTTTCACATTGATTAAACACAAGAGCTGAAATAGTTGAGGGAAGTTTTGAGCAGGAAGACGACAGCAATTACAACATGCAAACGCTCTATACGCTAGACGATGTATCATCAGATTGCTAAATCAATCAGAGGAAATTATGACATCAAACGAATCAAAAACAAGTGTTTAAAGCGAGAAAACTGAGCCATTTCACGGCGAAAAACAGATCGAGAGAGAAACGAGAATCGTACTCTGATTGGTCTCCTGGTGTCGAAGATGGACTTCTCTCCTTAGAATCTGTGGACAAAAAAACCCAATCGAGAACCAAAATCGATCACATGAACAACCACAGTCTCACGTATATATACACACAATTTACGTTTCCACGAGTATAAACCCGAAAATACGACCTTTACCTTCTTCTTCTTCTTCTTCCTCTTCCTCTTCCTCTTCATCTGCTTCGGCTTCTACTTTTTCTTCGTCTTCTTCTTCCTCTTCCTCTGCATCTTCATCACCATCTTCCTTTTCCTCTTCATCTGCTTGCGCTTCTGCCTCTTCTTCGTCTTCCGCTTCGTCGGGTTTCACTCCTTCTTCGACTTCCTCGCCGTCTACTCCTTCTCCTTCGTCTTTCTTCTCGACCCTCTTCTCTAGATCCTCTTCAGCTTCCGGGATTAATCGGTCGAGAGGTTGGTCTTTCTCTGTCGCTTCCTCATCGGGAATCTCAGCCGCCGAGAAGCTCTTCTCCACAGACATTGTAGGAGACAGTGATCTCCCCCGAGGCAAACAGAAAGATTCCACCTTTCCCCTCTTCTCTCTCTCTCTCTCTACGGCTCTCTCTCGCTCAATGGGTATTTGTATTTTTCTTGCTGCGTTTGTGTTCTGGTTCGGTGCCGATATAAGAGAAAGAAATCGGACGAAGAAAAGGTGAGAAACTTGGCCCCTCTCTCTTTTTTTTTATTTTTCTTTTTCTGTTCCTTCCATTTCCTAATTTTCTTTGATTAATATCTTGGCTTAATCGTATATAGAACTTAAAAAAATCTCATATCTTATTTCCTCTTTCTGCTTAGTGCAAGGAATTGACTCAAAGCAATGAATAATGGGATTCAATTCGCTGGCCATTTGAATTCGCACTTTCCTATTAATAATCAAAATAATTTGTGGACTATCTATTGGGGTGCTGGGTGATCGAAATAAAACAAGGCGGGTCAATGTTTATTTTTAGCGTTAATAGTGGGGTGTAAGTATAATTAATCAGTAAATAAATTGACTCGCTGACTGAAAATTTTGATTAGACCAGTAGTGTTGGGCTCGTGTGTGATGATAATAAGCCCACTTGCCTAGCCCATTTGTATTTCATTAAAGCCCAAAGAGTAAAAACCAGACGGAAGCTAAAATTACTGGTGATCAGTCAGTGATCAGAGTAGGAGTAATTAAGGAACAGAAGACGATCCCTTGATTAGGCTTTACTCTTTGTGACGGACATAGTTTTTACTTGTTGGTCGTATCTTAAACCATTTGCACAAAGATTGATGAAAGACATAAAGACTCCAATGTGGTAAGATAGGAAACGGGTTGTTTCATCGACTCCAATGTGGTAACCCACTTTCATCGGACGTCTCGGTGAAGCTTCCAGCCGACGCAATCTCCTTACCCACTCATCTTTCTCCTTATCACAAAAAGAAGAACGATCCCAACATTTTGAGAGCAAAAGGAAGACAATTCGAAACTTGGACAGCACGAAACGAAAGAGCTTGAACGCAAGAGCTTCCTCATAATTTTAGGATATTCAAGCTCGTATATATGTGTATCACTCCACAATGAGTGAGCAATGATTTTTCTTGAGTACAAATGACTCAACATCCTGGACCAAACCAACTAGAGGTTTTTATGATTTTTTGCTGTTTATCAAACCTGTTGCTAACAAAGTGTTGTTCTAGTCATTTAGGCATAATATAAAATTATTCTAGTCATTCTTTCCGAACATCAAACTTAAATTAAAACTGTGTATAGAAAAAGATTGAAGGTTTGCTTAATCATTATTCGCCTTGTTTGATTGGAGTCAAACTTGGAACATAATTAAACAAAAATGGCATAGATGATAATCCAACTTAATATAAAACCCTCTTGTATGAGTTTATCGTTTCCTTGTAACTTAATCATTCGTCACCTCTTTTTCTTTTGCCTCCGGGATCTTGCTGGATTTGAGTCAAACTTGGAGCGTAATTAAACAAAGATATTAAAGATCTTGGCATAGCTTCGTAACTTCTGACATTATTGTCCTCTCCAACGATATATACAGAGGTATAGAAATGACAACACACGAGGACTTTTCTCTCCTCATCGAAAACGAAACTTGCGCCATCCTCACTCACATAAAAATAATCCAAATCTACTGCTAAGGCCTTGCTCCACGACACCGCGTTGGTCTCATCACTGATCTTATTTGACACCCATATATTTGTCTTGGTTCTATAACCGCGTTGTAACAACACCGAAAGTTTCTCTCCTCTAACAGCGGATAGAGACAGAGTTTCATACGAATCATACTGACGCGGAAGACTTAGATATTCAAATCTTTCCGTTGAATAATCAAAACTTACTATTTTCTTGCTTTCCGTTTCTTCAGCAATCCAGTAAGTCTTTCCCTTCAAAGACACCCCTCGATCAAGAGACCAGATTATGAAGTCTAAAGTTGCATCAACTTCAAGAACCCTCCATGCATTGGATTCCATCTCACAAATTTCGAATTTTTGTATCGTTCTAAAATAGTGTTCGAATTCTTGTTTGTCGTAAGAAGGCACATGAACCATGCCGCTCAATATTTTGTAGCTATAGCCAACGTTGGAATTTTTGTCTAGGTAGGATCCAAGAGCATATCTAGCGCCTTGCCTAAAACGATTGATCTTGATCCACCTTGTTTGACCGGTACACGGGTTCCAAACCACGAGCCTAGGGATTCTATCCTCGGTGAGGCATAACAACAAGCCGTCGCAGTGAAAGACTTTAGAAATCTTGATATGATTTAAACTAGAACGTGGGTCGATTAGACTAAGCTCGCCTTTGACCTCTATAGGTGGAAACATAAGGTTATTGATGCGCATCAAACATAACCGAAACTCCTGCAACTGCAACATGAGAACCATAAACTGCTTTGGGGCTTTCTCTAGGTGATTTGATGTGAATCTCTTATCGTTTAACAAACGGTTCCATCTTTTGCATGTAGATCGTAACCTATTAAGAGACAACGCCGGAACACGACAGAATATCTCTTCTAACAAATCCTCTGGAAGTTCCAACATCGTCATCATTGTGAATCTTGGATCTCACAAGGAAAATAAAAAGGGGCTTCAATTGTTGTTAGGGTTTTTGAAATTTCACGCTTGCTATTTTTTGTTTTTAAGCAAAGTATATTTTGTTTAGATGGTCAAGTAAAAGAAAAAGGAAAAGTGTAGAATGGAACCCTTTTCCTGAAAAGAGGCTTCGGTATTTTTCGTAGCCCTAAAAGAAAGTATCCAAAGTGAATCATCCAAAGGACCAAAGAGGCTTCGGTTTTTCACAGCCCTAAAAGAAATTGTGTTATGTACATTCGAAGACATCATCACACGTAAACTCATTTGCTCTTGACATTGTTTGAAATTTCAATTCAATATTGGATACAATTGAGCAAACATTTAATAACAACATAGGTTCTAATTATCTAAAAACAACTTGGGTCATTTATTAAATCCAATTTTTTAATGTGATTCTCGATTCAATAGTTTTATTTATCATGTCATCTTTTATTGGTTCCTAATAACATTGTTAAGACCATCTCCAACCCCTCATGCCATATGTTATTGCAAATGGCAAAAATATAGCAATAGCATTGGGTTTCTCTCCAACCCCTCATGCCATATATCATGCTATAATTTTTTTCCAACTTATTATTAATTGTTAAAACTACTTGATTTCTTCAAATTTTACAAAGTGAATCATTTGTTTTTTTTTTTGCAAAAACAACCAGAATTATATTTTTATTATTATAATATTAAAACAAAATACATCATATTACATAAAAATTATAGAAAACAAAGATTTTAACCTATTGTTTTATGTTTTTTGAATTTCAGTATTTTTAAAAATAAAATTTTAAGTTTATTATGGTTATGTTTTTATATTTCTATGAAATAAATATTATTTATATTTTGAAAAAGTTATGAGTATTGTTTATTTATTTAAATAAATCATAATCAATATAATTAAACTGTTAAATTAAAAGTAATTACAAATTGAAGGACTATTTTATAAATAAAAAAGTTCAATGGCAAAATAGCATATTGCATAATCTCATGCCAAATATAGAAGCAAAAATAGCATGATGCTATTTTGCAATAGCATATGCAATTGGGTTGGAGCAAAAATTATGGCAAAATAGCATATATGTCATATTTAGCATGGGGTTGGAGATGCTCTAACACTAGCATATGTTAAAATACACTGTGGGATAGCTAGTGGAAGAAAAGAAATTCATCTAGTCAATAATGAAAAATACAAAAGAGTTTAGTGACGGACATTTCCTCTCCATTCCTAATGTTCCTCTATTCGTCTTATTTCAAACCATTTGCACAAGATTAATGAAAGACTTAAAGACTCCAATGTGGTAAAATAGGAAACGGTTTGTTTCGTCGACTCCAATGTGGTTATCCACTTTCATCGGATGCCTCGGTGAAGCTTCCAGCCAACGCAATGTGCTTACCATTCATCTTTCTCCTATCACCAAGAAAAAAACAAAACATCCCAACATTTTGAGTCTTTGACTTTGAGAGCGAAAGGAAGACAATTCGAGACTTGGACAGCACGGAAAGAGCTTGAAAGCAAGAGCTTCCTCATATTTAGGACACTCAAGCTCGTATATATGTGTTTCACTCCACAATGAGTGGGCAATGATTTTTCTTGAGTACAATAATTCAACATCCTGGACCAAACCAACTCGACTCTTTGATTTTACCTTTCAAGTGATCATTGTAAGTGCGGCTAGGTCTATACATTCATGTGTTCGAGTGTGTAATGAGCATATGTACGAGCATAATGTATATAACACATAGTTTTTTAAAAAGGTTTGTTTCCTACATCCCCGGGACCTAGTCCAGATCAAATCCACTAGAACAAGAGTACAATTACAATTGCATATGATATCCAGCATTACAATGCCTACCATTTTTTTCCAGATGGATACTATGAAGATAAATATCAATCCCGCATGATTGACTATCATCTGGTAGTACAAGAGAAACACTGTCTTTGTATCGGTTGCAATCTTCATAGATGAATAACCAAACAGATCTACAAATCTCTATGGTGGCACGACGCCACACACACATGTGTGCATCTCTCAAACAATACCCTAGGCGCGTCAAGTCTTCATGAGACCGCCTCTGGGTATTTATACCAAATGCCAAAAACTCTAGACGACTTAAGCCACGCTTCAAGTCTCTACAAGTAAATGGGCTTACTTTCAATTAAGGTCCACACGACCTACTTCTCTTCCTTGAATGGAAAGTTTACAAAACCTCATTTCTCTTTATCTTAATCACCATATGATGATGCCACGTGAATACTTCCTCTCCAAGATACATAATAACGTGCATCAACATATAAGATCCCAATCTACTGCACCATCTCGATCATCTCAGCATACTCTAATCTCTTTAGACCTCAAGCACAAGCTAATACTTCAAGTCAGTCGGCATAACACTTTCAATCATAGCCATCCACACTACCATCAACAAGGTAAAATCGTTTTGAATAAATGGTTGCTAGATATTTGACCTGTTGATCATACAAATACGATGTTAAGCTTAGCAGTAGAAACTTGAAGAATTATGAGTTCTACTTCTGTAGCTGTACACAACTCCCAAGATTATGCAGAGCAGAGACGAAAAAAAAGCTCATACACAACTTTATATAGTGTTACTGCCACTGATTTATGAAAGCTTTTGAAAAAAAGAATCTGAAACATAATAAGACTCTTTTTATTCTACGAAATCACTTCTTAGTAAGGATATCAGTTTGATACCATTTTAGTAATTAGTAATGAGCCTAACTCACACCCAAAAGCTAGTTCAAGAGTGACGATTGACTCATACTATATATATTAGTGAATAAAGGCTCCCACTTTCGATGTGGGATTTTCACACTCTACTCTAATAATGACCAAAGATATTAACATTGACATAACAAAAAAAAAAAAGAATAATTGAAGGTAACCCTCTTTTTTTTTTCCTCCGACACCTAGATGATAATCCGACTTATTATAAAACCCTCTTGTCTGACTTTGTTGTCCTCTCCAAAAATGGTCTGAAACAAGCATCGTTTGCTATTGTACCTTAATCATTCGTCGAGTCTTTTTCTTTTGCCTCCGGGATCTTTCTGTATTTGAGTCAAACTCGGAGCGTAATTAAACAAAGACAAAGGTAACGGATACATTGACGAGGTACCAGCAAAGTAATCTCTGACATTATTGTCCTCTCCAACGATATATACAGTGGGACGCCAACTACAACACACGAGGACTTTTCTCTCCTCATCGAAAAGGAAACTTTCGCCATCCGCAATCATATCACAAGAAGTCAAATCTACTGCTAAGACCTTGCTTCACGACACCGCTTTGGTCTCATCGCTAATCTTACTTGACACCCATATATTTGTCTTGGACTCATAATCGTCTTGTAACAAGACCGAAAGTTTCTCTCCTCTAACAACGGATAGAGACTGAGTTTCATAATACCAATCATACTGATGCGGCAGACATAGATATTCAAATCTTTCCTTTGAATAATCAAAACTTGCTACTCTGATGCTTACCGTTCCTTTACCTTCAGCAATCCAGTAAGTCTTTCCCTTCAAAGAAACCCCTCGATCAAGAAACCAAATTTTGAAGTCCGAAGTTGCATCAACTTCAAGAACCCTCCATGAATTAGACTTCATCTCATAAATTAAGTAAGAAGGCGACGGATGTTGAACTATGTAGCTCAATATTTTGTAGCTATAACCAACGTTGGAATTTTTGTCTTGGTAGTATCCAAGAGCATATCTAGCGTTTTCCCTATAACGATTGATCTTGATCCACCTTGTTTGACCTGTACACGGGTTCCAAACAACGAGCCTAGGGATTCTATCCTTGGTGACGCATAACAACAAGCCGTCGCAGTGAAAGACTCGAGAAATTTTGATATGATTTAAACTAGAACAAGGGTCAATTAGGCTAAGTATGCCTTTGACCTTTATAGGTGAAAATCTAAGTTGATTGATGCGCATAAAAAATAACCGAAACTCCTGCAGCATGAGAGGCATAAACTGCTTTGGAGATTTGTCTAGGTGATTTTATGTGAACCTCTTATCGTTTATCAAACGGTTCCATCTTTTGCATGTAGATCGTAACCTAATAAGAGACAAAGCCGGAACACGGCATAGTATCTCTTCTAACAAATCCTCTGGAAGTTCCATTATCGTCATCATTGTGAATCTGTGATCACACAAGGGAGAAAAGTGGCTTCGATTGTTGTTAGGGTTTCTGAAATTTCACGTTTGCTATTTTTGGTTTTTAATCAAAGTATATTTTGTTTAGATGGTCAAGTAAAAGAAAAAGGAAAAGTGTAGAATGGAACCCTTTTCCTGAAAAAGAGGCTTCGGTTTTTTTTCGCAGCCCTAAAAAAATTGTGTTATGTACATTCAAAGACATCATCACACGTAAACTCATTTGCTCTTGACATTGTTTGAAATTTCAATTCAATCTTCACATGCATTTGCGCAAACATTTAATAACAACATAGGTTATAATTATCGAAACAAAAATTGGTCAGGTATTTAATCCAATTTTTAGTGTGATCCTCGATTCAATAGTTTTATTTATCATGTCATATTTTATTGGTTCCTAGCTAACATTGTTAACACTAGCATATGTTAAAATACACAAATTTTTGAGGGTGGAAAAGAAAAGCTAGCTAGCCTAGCTTTTACTTGTCAAATCAAATACAATAATATGATATGGCTAGTAGATAATGAAAAATATAAAAGAGTTTAATGAAAGACATAAAAGACTCCAATGTGGTAAAATAGGAAACGGTTTGTTTTGTCGACTCCAATGTGGTTATCCACTTTCATCGGATGTCTCGGTGAAGCTTCTAGCCAACGCAATGTACTTACCCATTCATCTTTCTCCTATCACCAAGAAAAAAACAAAACATCCCAACATTTTGAGTCTTTGACTTTGAGAGCAAAAGGAAGACAACTCGAGACTTGGACAACACGGAAAGAGCTTGAAAGCAAGAGCTTCCTCATATTTAGAGGACACTCAGGCTCGTAGGTATGTGTTCCACACTTTCACTCTACAATGAGTGAGCAATGATTTGTCTTGACCAAACCAACTCGAGTTTTTAATTATATACCTTTCAAGTGATCATTGTCATGCACAACATCAGCAACAAGGTGAAATCGTTTTGAATAAATGGTTGTTACATATTTGAACTGTTGATTATACTGATTCGATGTTTGGCTTAGCTTGAAGAATTATGAGTTCTACTTCCCTAGCTGTACAACTCCCAAGTTTATATATGCAGAGCAGAGACAAGAAAAAAAGCTCATGCGTACACACTTTGTGAAGTGTTTATGCCACATATTTATGAAAGCTTTTTGAAACAATAAAACTGAAACATATAACTCATTTTGTCCAAGGAAACACAATTTGACATCAAAGTTAAAAACTGTGTAACTATTAAAAGTAAAAAAAAAAATATATATATATATATATATATATATATATCACTTCTTAGGAAAATATCAGTTTGTTAAGTATTCAGTATTGGAGATAATCCGACCTAATAGAAAATCCTCTTGTCTGACTTTGTCGTCCTCTCCAACAAATATCGTTTGCTTGTACCTTAATCTTTCGTCGCCTCTTTTTCTTTTCCCTCCGAGATCTTGCTGTATTTGAGTCAAACTCGGAGCGTAATCAAACAAAGATAACTTAGAACTTGACCCAGCTTCGTAATCTCTGACATTATTGTCCTCTCCAACGATATATGCAGCGGTGTCCCAATTACAACAAACGAGGACTTTTCTCTCCTCATCGAAAACGAAACTTCCGCCATCCGGAATCAAATAACAAGCATCCAGATCTACTGATAAGACCTTGCTCCACGAAACCGCTTTGGTCTCATCACAAATCTTACTTGACACCCATATATTTGTCTTTGTTCCAAGATAGCGTTGTAATAACACCGAAAGTTTCTCTCCTCTAACAACGGACAGAGACAGATTTTCATACCAATCATATTGACGTGGTAGACATAGATATTCAAATCTTTCCGTTGAATAATCAAAACTTACTAAGAATTTATTCCTTCCCTTTTCTTTATCTTCAGCAATCCAGTAAGTCTTTCCCTTCAAAGACGCCCCATGATCAAGATACAAAATTATGAAGTCCAAGGTTGCATCAACTTCAAGAACCCTCCATGCATTAGAGTTCATCTCATAAATTTCGAATTCTTGTTTTGAATAAAGATCGATATCTTGTTTGTCGAAAGAAGGCCCATGAACCATGCCGCTCAATATTTTGTAGCTATAACCAACGTTGGACTTTTTGTCTTGGTAAAATCCAAGAGCATATCTAGCGCCTTGCCTAAAACGAGTGATCTTGATCCACCTTGTTTGACCGGTACACGGGTTCCAAACCACGAGCCTAGGGATTTTATCCTCCGTGTGGCATAACAACAAGCTGTCGCAGTGAAAGACTTGAGAAATTTTGATATGATCCAAACTAGAACGAGGGTCAATTAGGCTAAGTTTGCCTTTGACCCTTATAGGTGAAAATCTAAGTTGATTGAAGCGCATCAAACATAACCGAAAATCCTGCAACATGAGAGGCATAAACTGCTTTGGGGATTTCTCAAGGTGATTTGTTATGAATTTCTTATCGTTTAACAAACGGTTCCGGTTCCATCTTTTGCATGTAGATCGTAACCTAATAAGAGACAAAGCCGGAACACGACAGAATATCTCTTCTAACAAATCCTCTGGAAGTTCCAACATCGTCATCATTCTGAATCTGTTATCTCACGAAGTAGAAAAGTGTCTTCGATTGTTGTTAGGGTTTCTGCAATTTCACGTTTGCTATTTTTTTTTATATTAAGCAAAGTATATTTTGTTTAGATGGTCAAGTAAAAGAAAAAGGAAAAGTGTAGAATGGAACCCTTTTCCTGAAAAAGAGGCTTCGTTTTTTTTCCGTAGCTCTAAAATAAAGTATCCTAAGTGAATCATCCAAACGACCAAAGAGGTTTCGGTTTTTCACAGCCCTAAAAAAATTGTGTTATGTACATGCAAAGACATCATCACACGTATATAAACTCATTTGCTCTTGACATTGTTTGAAATTTCAATTCAATCTTGGATAACACATGCATTTGCGCAAACATTTTATAGAAGGATCTAGAAGATCCATGTGATTAATGTAAATATTATGAACATTATTATAGGGATTTGTATTTATGTTAAATGATACTATTAGATTAGTAATTAAGTAAAGTGTGTCACTATATAAACCTTACAACATTGTACATTCATCTTTATGAGAGTCAATACAATACTTCTTCCAATCTTAAACTCTCATCATCTAATATGGTATTAGAGCAGGTTATGCTCAAGAGTTTTGATCTAACAATCAAACTCTCTTTTCTTCACTTTTTCTAAGCCAAGTGCTTCCTTCATTCAAGTCTATCATGGATCTCTGAATCAAAACTCTTTCTTCCTCTTTTTTTTCATTTTTTTATTTTATGTTTTAAGCTATATACTTCTAAATTCAAGTTCATCATGAACCTCTGAATCATTACCCTAGAATGACTCGTTCTTCTCTCAACTCAAGCCATGTGCTTCTCAAAACCTTAAGGTTTTCTTTAAATTAAAAAAAAAAAAACATTTTATCGGTTTTCTTTAGTTCGTTATTGAAAAAAAAAAATCCTTATTTCTACTTCTCCAATCTCATCTTCTTATATTCTTCTTTTTCTTTTCTATAATAAAAAAAAATTGATTTCATTTTCTGAATTTTCAGGCTATCTACGCTTCTTCTTTCCTCATCCATTTATGAAAAAAAAAAAAAAAAAAAAAACATTCTCCTTCTTAGAAAGTTGAGACACCTTCGTTCATGGCATCATCTCAGCCACGAGAGTCTCCTATGCACCTCTGTCACCATCGTTTTATGCAAGAGTCATGAGACAGCTACCGGATCTTTCGGCGATTTGTTTAGCCACAGTCAAGCTTCCGCTCCACTCCACCGTCCGTTGCTATGCTTTATCATCGTCACGGGTGCTTACTCTCCACGAGACAACTTTCCAATTTGATCCAAAAGTTATTCAAGTTGTTTCCAACGCATCTACGTCTCCTACGGTTTCCATCGCTATGTTGTCATCATTATTTCAAGATTGAAGTGGCTAAAGCCCCTTCATCTTGAAGGGGAATGTAAAGGGAAAGAGTATCACTCCATTCAATCATCCAATCCCTATGATTTCTCCTTAAATTATTATGATATATTCTCTTGTAATTACTTGATTATGTTCATCTTGTATATATATGTGCTCTATGTATATTGAAAAGTCATGAGAGCAATATACAATTCTTCCTAAACACTAAAGTGTTATTCTCTCATCACTCTAATATGGTATCAGAGAAGGTATGCTCAAGAGTTTCGATCAAACGATCAAACTCTCATTTTCGTTTTTGTTTTAAGCCATAGAGCTTCTTTTTATTTTTCTGTTTAAATTTAGTGCTTCTCTATTCAAGTTCATCATGAACCTCTGAATCTAAGCCATTGTACTTCTTATTCAAGTCTTTATAGACCTCTGAATCATCTTTTTTATATTAAAAAAAAAAAAGTTTTTTGTTTTCTCCACACTTCTTCATCTATTGCTAAATCTCTATTCTCTATTTCTATTCTTCTTTCTAATTTATTTTTCTGATAAAAAAAAAAAAACCATTGAATCTCTTCGATCTTCTCTCCAACACCATCTCTTTCTTTCTTTTGTCTTCACTTAAGCCAAAGTGCTTCTGTTTCCACGGTGTTTAATTACATGAAAAAAAAAAAAGAAGAAAAAAAAGAAAAGAAAAAGAAGTATTCGTCATCTTCATCCCCATATGCGATTCTTGATATCTCTAGCACAACGTCACAGCAGCTCTTCAAGAATTGGTTGTCTCTGCTTCACCATCACCAGCAACTACCTTCCATCACATTTCATTCTACCACTGCTGTCACACTTTTTGCCGCTGCATTTCACCGTTTTCTCTACAACTCTACGGCTACACAAGGATTATATTATCAATCTCAAGCCGCTAACTCCGCTTTTCTCCATCACCGCCTTGAGCTTGAGGGGGGCGTATAGAAGGATCTAGAAGATCCATGTGATTAATGTAAATATTATGAACATTATTATAGGGATTTGTATTTATGTTAAATGATACTATTAGATTAGTAATTAAGTAAAGTGTGTCACTATATAAACCTTACAACATTGTACATTCATCTTTATGAGAGTCAATACAATACTTCTTCCAATCTTAAACTCTCATCATCTAATACATTTAATAACAACATAGGTTATAATTATCGAAACAAAAATTGGTCAGGTATTTAATCCAATTTTTAGTGTGATCCTCGATTCAATAGTTTTATTTATCATGTCATCTTTTATTGGTTCCTAGCTAACATTGTTAACACTAGCATATGTTAAAATACACAAATTTTTGAGGGTGGAAAAGAATAATACTTGTTAAATCAAATACAATAATATGAGATGGCTAGTAGATAATGAAAAATACAAAAGAGTTTAATGAAAGACATAAAAGACTCCAATGTGGTAAAATAGGAAACCGTTTGTTTTGTCGACTCCAATGTGGTAATCCACTTTCATTGGATGTCTCGGTGAAGCTTCCAGCCAACGCAATGTACTTACCCATTCATCTTTCTCCTATCACCAAGAAAAAAACAAAACATCCCAACATTTTGAGTCTTTGACTTTGAGAGCAAAAGGAAGACAACTCGAGACTTGGACAACACGGAAAGAGCTTGAAAGCAAGAACTTCCTCATATTTAGTGACACTCAGGCTCGTAGACATGTGTTTCACACTTTCACTCTACAATGAGTGAGCAATGATTTGTCTTGACCAAACCAACTCGAGTTTTTTGATTATATACCTTTCAGGTGATCATTGTCATGCACAACATCAGCAACAAGGTGAAATCGTTTTGAATAAATGGTTGTTACATATATTTGAACTGTTGATTATACTGATTCGATGTTTGGCTTAGCTTGAAGAACTATGAGTTATACTTCCCTAGCTGTACAACTCCCAAGTTTATGAAGAGCAGAGACAAGAAAAAAAGCTCATACGTACACACTTTGTGAAGTGTTTTTGCCACATATTTATGAAAGCTTTTTGAAACAATAAAACTGAAACATATAACTCATTTTTGTTCAAGGAAACACAATTTGACATCAAAGTTAAAAACTGTGTAACTACTAAAAGTAAAAAAAAAAAATATATATATATATATATATATATATATATATATATATCACTTCTTAGCAAAATATCAGTAAGTTAAGTATTCAGTATTGGAAATAATCCGACCTAATAGAAAACCCTCTTGTCTGACTTTGTTGTCCTCTCCAACAAGTATCCTTTGCTTTTGTACCTTAATCATTCGTCGCCTCTTTTTCTTTTGCCTCCGGGATCTTGCTGTATTTGAGTCAAACTCGGAGCGTAATCAAACAAATATAACTGAGAACTTGACCTAGTTTGCTCTCTGACATTATTGTCCTCTCCAACGATATATACAGTGGCATAGGAAACAGACACGAGGACTTTTCTCTCCTCATCGAAAACGAAACTTCCGCCATCCTCACTCATATAACAAGAATCCAGATCTACTGCTAAGACCTTGCTCCACGACACCGCTTTGGTCTCATCACTAATCTTATTTGACACCCATATATTTGTCTTCGTTCCGAGATCGCGTTGTAATAACACCGAAAGTTTCTCTCCTCTAACAATGGATAGAGACAGATTTTCATACCAATCATACTGACGCGGAAGGCATAGATATTCAAATCTTTCCTTTGAATAATCAAAACTTACTAGGAATTTCTTGCTTCCCTTTTTTTTATCTACAGCAATCCAGTAAGTCTTTCCCTTCAAAGACACCCCCTGATCAAGACACAAAATGATGAAGTCCAAAGGTTCATCAAATTCAAGAACCCTCCATGCATTAGAGTCCATCTCATAAATTTCGAATTCTTGTTTTGAATAAAGATCGATATCTTGTTTGTGTAAAGAAGGCACATGAACCATGCCGCTCAATATTTTGTAGCTATAACCAACGTTGGACTCTTTGTCTTGGTAGTATCCAAGAGCATATCTAGCGTTTTCCCTAGAACGATTGATCTTGATCCACCTTGTTTGACCGGTACACGGGTTCCAAACCACGAGCCTAGGGATTCTATCTTTGGTGACGCATAACAACAAGCCGTCACAGTGAAAGACTTGAGAAATCTCCGTTTGATTTAAACTAGAATCATGAGGCTCAATTAGACTAAGCTTGCCTTTGACCTTTATAGGTGAAAATCTACGTTGATTGAAGCGCATCAAACATAACCGAAAATCCTGCAACATGAGAGGCATAAACTGCTTTGGGGATTTCTCAAGGTGATTTGTTATGAATCTCTTATTGTTTAACAAACGGTTCCGGTTCCATCTTCTGCAGGTAGATCGTAACCTAATAAGAGACAAAGCCGGAACCCGACATAATATCTCTTCTAATAAATCCTCTGGAAGTTCCAACATTGTCATCATTGTGAATCTTGGATCTCACAAGGTAAAGAAGAAGTGGCTTCGATTGTTGTTTAGGGTTTTTGAAATTTCAAGTTTGCTTTTTTTATTTTATTTAAGCAAAGTATGTAACTTGTTTGATGGTCAGGTAAAAGAAAAAAGGAAAAAGGAAAAAGGAAAAGTGTAAAATGGAACCCTTTTACTTAAAAAGAGGCTTCGGTTTTGTTCGCAGCCCTAAAAAATTGTTTTGTATCTACATTCAAAGACATCATCACACGTAAACTCATTTGCTCTTGACATTTTCTGAAATTTCAGTTCAATCTTGGAGAACACATTTGCGCAAACATTTAATAACAACATAGGTCATAATTATCCAAAAACAACTTGGTCATGTATTTAATCCAATTTTTAACGTGATTCTCGATTCAATAGTCTTTTTTTTTTTTTTTTTTTTTTTAACACTTAGATTAATCAAGGTTGCAAAACAGAGAGAAACAAAAGAGTTTGCATACTTCTCCTGTCCTTTGTATGCTTAAGCTTTCTTTTTCTTGGCTTCGTCTTTTTAGCCTTATGTTGCTCGGTTCTCATATATGGTACTTACTGGTATCGAGACCCATCAATAGTCATATTTATCATCACATTTTTTTTTTGGTTCCGAACATTATTAACACAAGCATTTGTAATCATATAAGCTTTCATTGTTAAAATACACAAATTTTAGATAGTGGAAAAGAAAAGTTAAGCTAAGCCTAGCTTTGATTTGTTAAATTAAACACAAATATATGAGATAGCTAAGCTAGTGGAAAATAAATTCATCTAGTCAATAATGAAAAATACAAATATGTTTAGTGACGGACATAGTTTTCACTTGGTCGTCTGATTTTAAACCATTTGCATAAAGATTAATGAAAGACATAAAGACTCCAATGTGGTAAAATAGGAAACGGTTTGTTTCCTCGACTCCAATGTGGTAATCCACTTCACCGGATGCCTCGGTTAAGCTTCCAGCCAACGCAATGTACTTACAAATTCATCACAAAAAGAAAAGAGACAATCCCAACATTTTGACTTTGAGAGCAAAAGGAAGACAATTCGAGACTTGGACAGCACGGAAAGAGCTTTAAAGCTAGAGCTTCCTCATATTTAGGACACTCAAGCTCGTATATATGTGTATCACTCCACAGTCCACAATGAGTGAGCAATGATTTTTCTTGAGTACAATGATTACATCCTGGACCAAACCAACTCGAGTCTTTGATTATACCTTTTAAATGATCATTGCCATCCACACCACCAGCAACAAGGTGAAATCGTTTTGAACAAATGTTTGTTAGATTTTTGACCTGTTGATCATACAGATACGATGTTAAGCTTAATTAGCAGTAGAAACTTATAGAATTATGAGTTCTATTTCTCTAGCTGTACACAACTCCCAAGTTTATGCAGAGCGCGCAGAGACAAGAAAAAAGCCCATGCACACTTTATGAAGTGTTACTGCCACAGATTTATGAAAGTTTTTGAAAAATGAATCTGAAACATAATAAACCTCTTTTTATTCAAGGAAATAAAATTTGACAACAAACTTAAAAACTGTGTAACTAAAAGTAAAAAAAAAAAAAAATCATTTCTTATTAAGGATATCAGTTTGTTAAGTACTCCAAAAAATATGACCAAGATATTAACATTGACATAACAAAAAAAAAAGAACAATTGAAGGTTTGCTTAATCATTCGCCTTGTTTTCTTTTTCCTCTGATACCTAGCTGGATTGGAATCAAACTTGGAACATAATTAAACAAAAATTAGCATAGATCGATTGTTAGATCCGAGATAGCACTCGTCAAGACGGGCTATCAAAGATGTGAGTTTAGGAAACTGGAATGCTTAATTCGACTCTTAGATTATCAAGAAAGTTACAAGGAAGTAATCTCGCTAACAAGCCTAGCGAGGTTATAATGATGAACAAGAGAAGAGTAAAAGCTGGTGTAAAGGCCTAGTGTTTCTAGATGATTTCGGATCCCTTTTCCCCAATGGGGGGTCTTCAATATATAGTGTTGATAATTCGGCCGAACGATGAATATTCTCCTTCGGGCGAGATGGAAAACTTCCTCTTTTGTGATATGGAAAACTTCCTCTTGTCTTTGATCTCCTTCCTTTCCTTAAGTCGGCATGAAGTTTTATTTACATTTCTCCATGGATTGTGCCTTTCTTCTCAAGTCTTGCCTTTTTGCTGAGAAGGCCAGAACTAAAGTCGGATTGGGCCTCGTGACTTTACTAATGATGACGGGCTCAGGGAAATGTGTTAATTTCTCCTCTAACATCGATGATAATCCGACGTATCAGAAAACCCTCTTGTCTGACTTTGTTGTCCAGTCCAAAAATGGTCAGAAACAAGTATCGTTTGCTTTTGTACCTTAATCATTCGTCGCCTCTTTTTCTTTTGCCTCCGGGATCTTGCTGTATTTGAGTCAAACTCGGAGCGTAATTAAACAAAGATAACAAAGATCTTGGCATATTTTGGTCAACTCTGACATTATTGTCCTCTCCAACGATATATACAGCGGGATCCCAAGTACAACACACGAGGACTTTTCTCTCCTCGTCGAAAAGGAAACTTGCGCCATCCGCACTGATATCATAAGAAGTCAAATCTACTGCTAAGACCTTGCTCCACGACACCGCTTTGGTCTCATCGCTAATCTTATTTGACACCCATATATTTGTCTTCGACTCATTATCGCGTTGTAATAACACTGAAAGTTCCTCTCCTCTAACAACGGATAGAGACAGAGTCTCATAGGAATCATACTGACGCGGTAGACATAGATATTCAAATCTTTCCGTTGAATAATCAAAACTTACTATTTTCTTGCTTACCGTTCCTTTACCTTCAGTAATCCAGTAAATCTTTCCCTTCAAAGACACCCCTCGATCAAGAGACCAGATTATGAAGTCTAAAGTTGCATCAACTTCAAGAACCCTCCATGCATTAGACTTCATATCATAAATTTCGAAAGAAGGCGACCTATAATATATGCAGCTCAATATTTTGTAGCTATAACCAACGTTGGACTTTTTGTCTTGGTAGTATCCAAGAGCATATCTAGCGTTTTCCCTAGAACGATTGATCTTGATCCACCTTGTTTGTGAAAGACTTGATAAATCTCTGTTTGATTTAAACTAGAATCATGAGACTCAAATAGACTAAGTTCGCCTTTGACCTTTATAGGTGAAAATCTAAGTTGATTGAAGCGCATCAAACATAACCGAAACTCCTGCAACATGAGAGGCACAAACTGCTTTGGAGATTTGTCTAGGTGATTTGATGTGAACCTCTTATCGTTTATTAAACGGTTCCATCTTTTGCAGGTAGATCGTAACCTAAAATATAGATTAAGAGACTTGATATCTTATTATATGAGAGGATTACACTATATATATAGGAGATACAATGAGAGTCATTAGGGATTAGAGATTGCCTTAAACAAGTAAAGTTTTGTTTGATGGTAAGGTAAAAAGGAAAATGATAAAAAAAAGGGAACCTTTTCTCTAACAAAGAGGCTTCGTTGTTTCGCGTAAAACTGAATGTGGGCTTTTGTCAAATGTCCGGAAAGCCCACCAATTCAAACTGTAATTGTACTTTTATCCAAACAGGGTTTGAGTCTTGAATAAAATAGATAATTAGGGTTTCTTCTCAATTTCTTATAAATAGCTTATCTTCCTCTCTACCGCTTGACATTCAAACCCATCTTCAATTGCTCTTGTTCCTCAGCTCTTCTTATGTATTGTTCTGTTTCACAAAATTATTACTGTGTTTTAATTGATTTCGCTGAAGAATGTGATGAAAGTTGTCGATGTGTGATGATTCTTAGGATTCAATTGATCGATAAAATTTCAACTCGCTACGTTCTTTCTGATTCTTCATCCTTTTTTTTCTTTTTTTATTCGAGCAATCTACAGTTTTCGAGTTTTTTCAGATTTTGGTAAAAAAGGTTTTCAAATATGTGAAAGATGAGATCTTGGAGAAATATGATGATACTCAGAAAATTTATCTTAGGACACCTTCTGACACAGTTTTCTGTGTATGAGAATGCTCTGTTATTCTGATTCTCCAATGATTCTCTCTCAAATATTTAACAAACTCTTTTAATTACTTAAAGATCTAAGTGAATTTTAAACCTATAGAATTTGAATTGCAAGGAAAAAGAATACAATCAACAATTGTAAAAAAGAAAAGAAGGAACAGCAATTCAAAAACAGGAATTTATGACATAAATGTGTGGATGTACAAATCTCTATAATTTATGACATACATATTTGTACACAAAGATCAAACTCTTTGATGAGTCTGTATAAAAATGTTATACACATCTATATAATAATCACAGAGATCAGCTTTTTATAAGCCAACAAACAATCTTTAATCTCTATTACAACTTCTTTTTCAAAATCTAAGAACCAGATAAAGCTCAAGCTCATCAGACTCTTCTTTGATACAACAAGACTCATACTGGTTCACTGCTCCTTTGCCCCATTCAAACAAATCGATTCAGTGCCTGGATTGTTTTGCTTTGTGTCTGGTGAATTCCTGCAGCTGCCGGTCATGTTCTTCCAGCATCTGATCCACTTTACTTGGCTGAGCCAACAATGGACCCGACATGTACATTTTGTTATCTCCAGAATCATACTGTTGAAACAGAGAGAGAGGACAATGTAAGTAAGTGAAAGATGGTTTCTTTGTCTGCAAAAGGAAGGAAGGAAGAAAGAATCAGTGAGATGATCACTTACCCAAGATGGGTCATTTGGCATTTTGATTTGCCTCTTACTATTATCCATAGTATCAGCTCTGTTGAATGCTCTCAGATCCTTCCTCTGCTGATCCATGATTGGTTGGTCTGTACCGCTTTGTCCCGTTGAGTGACCTCTGTACGAAGGTATTCTAGGAGCTGCATTTTCCTTCACGTACGTTAACCGGCTGTGATTCCGGTTGTTCGTCATCGGACCGGAGTGAGAGACTCTTCCACTCGCCGCCGGATTGTTGTTGCTGCTCATGTCCTTTGTAGTCTGCGTTTGTGATTGTCTTGTCGAATTACCCGCAGCACAGCTTCTTAAATAAGGATTCTGTATATTTGGCCAACAAGTTTTTATTTTTTTTTATGTTACAGTTAAAGATTCTGATGGATCAGAGGCAACAACAACACCGAACCATAGCAGATCAAGCCTTTCTGTTACCTCCATAGCTGCTGCGATTGACGGATTTGCTTTCACCGGTGGGATGAGTTTTCTTTCGTGTGACCGTCTTGTCTGAGAGTCTTGCTTCTCCACGTTGGGTCGCTGTTGTTGTTGCTGCTGCCTTTTCGCATCGTCCCGGACTTTAGCATCAATCTCTTTGCTTGGAGGATATTTTGGTAGAGACGATGGATCACAAGCGAACGGCTCTGTTTTGAAGTACTGCTCACACAATAAAACTATGTGTTAATTCACTCAAATCACAAAGGGGTCACAAACATAAAGCTAAAACCAAGTACCTCACTCTCAAGAGCTCTAGCTGCAGAGCCTCTCCGGTCAGGATCTATGGAGAGTAAAGCTTCCAAAAGCGAGAGAACATTCAACGGCAAGTCCTTGAACATCTCTGCTACACGTCGTCCATATGGAAGCGCCGGTCTAAACGCAGCTGAAGGTGGCAGCTTCAGTTTCCTCCAGTAATCTTCTGTTGGCGAACCACATAGCTTGAAGATCTTATGCAGTTGCTCTACCTGTATAAGATTGAATCATCATCATAAAGCCAGGTCTTGTAGCTAAGTGGAAGATGAGTTTCAAGAGTGTATGTATGTATGTACCTCGGTTTTTCCGGGGAGGATCGGTTTCCCGGAATATAACTCTCCTAATATACATCCGGTGCTCCAGAGATCAACACCAACACCGTAATGGCAAGCTCCGAGAAGAAGCTCTGGTGGTCGATACCAAAGCGTCACAACACGGCTAGTCAATGGAACGCAGTGTTTCGGGTCGAAAAACGTAGCTAAACCGAAATCCGCAATCTTCAAGACTCCATTACTGTCAATCAGTAAGTTTGATCCTTTGATATCACGATGCAGAACACCACGGCTGTGACAATGGTGAAGCCCGCTTAGAAGTTGCTCCATGTAACATTTAATCTAAGCAAGCAGCAGAAGAAGAAGAAACAAGTAAGCTCATGTCTCTCTACACAAGTTGATTATATGCATAGTAAGTGGCAACTACTACTACCTGAGGCTCTGAGAACTTGATTCCAGGTATGGAGGCAAGTCCAACGAGATCATGATCCATGTACTCGAAAACCAAGTAGAGAGAAGACGAGACAGAGGCAGTGATCAAGCCTTCTAATTTAAGTACATTAGGATGATCAAGCCTTCTCATCACAATGATCTCTCTCGCCATGAACTTGACGCTCTCTAGATCGCTGAGATCAAAACGGACTCTTTTAAGCGCGACGATCTTGTTGTTGACAAGATCACGAGCTTTGTATACACTGCTATACGTACCTTGCCCAATCTGCAACCACACCAACACACAAACCAATGAAAACGAGTTTGTAACAATCGAAAACACATCGAATCGAGAAAGGAGGAAAAAAGCTTACTTTCTCCAATTTCTCGAAGGTGCTTGCTCGTCGTGGAGTCCAATCGACGAGAGCTTCACCGGCGACTGAGACTAGCCAAGCAGGCCATCCTGCAGCGACTTGCTTAGCTTCAGCTTCTTCCTTTGGATGATGGATAACGATGCTTGGCTCTCTCTTTAACTCATCAGGAGGAGGAGGAGCTTCTTCGTCTTCGTCGTCTGTGTCACCAATCTGGGAAATCTCCGCATGTTTCTCGGAGAATCTACTGGAGCTGAACTTTTCGGATTCGATTAATCTGACTTTGGCGTCTCTGCAATTCGATCTGTCTTGCTCGTCTTTCGTTTGGCTCGAATCGTCGATCCGCGACGAATTGATCCGTGAAGAACGCTTCTCTGTTGGATGATGATGATGATGATGGTGGTGGGGGTTTTTCTTCGGAGACTTCTTCTTAGAGATTATGCAACCCATGAGTTCCGATTAAGAATCAACAACAAGAGCTCATAATCACTGTAGAACCCTAAGAATTCAGATGAGTTTCTTCTTCAGAGCAGCTTCAATTTCCCGGCGAGGCCCAATTTCACCATCGGGCTCAACAAAAAACCCGCAAAGAAGCAAAGAATCTGGGTGTGAACGAACTCAATTCAAAGAAGAAGAAACACGATGAAGGAAAATTCCAAAACCCGAGGAAACGGAGTTCGAACTTGACCTTGGAGAATTCAGAGAAAGTGATGATCGATGTAAAGACTTTATTGATTGGAATCAGAGATGGAGAGAGAGAGAGAGAGAGGAGTAGGCAAAAAAAAAAAAAAAGTAGATTGGAATTTTCTCTGTTTCAGATTGGTATAATTTGACCGAAGAAAACACTGCATAGACACAGAGAGAGAAAGAGAGAGATGATGATGTGTATATAAACAATGTATAGATATACGTGTATGTATGTATATGTAATCATTTTTTTATGTAAACAGCTAAACACTGGCGCCTCCGTCAACGGAGAGATAGCTCTCTCTCTCTCACTTATTTTCTTGGCTGAATTAATTAATTAAATAATTACATTTCTTCTTTTGTGGATATGAGTTAAATACTTAAATTTGAAAATTGACCTTTTGTTTCCATAGTTTGATTTGTTTTCAAATTTACTCATTTATTTCCCTTTCATTAAATGGAAATGTGAGTGAGAGTTATCCATGTTTTTATTACATATTCAATTTTTCAAAAAGAAAAAATAGCAAAATTAAAACAAAATTTCATGTTTTGCTTGATTTATAAGACTAAAATTGGGTAAAGACACTTTATATGGAGAAGAAAAATTAAAAAAAAAAAATATAAATGATATTTCACTAAATTTAGTCTGTGATTTGTGAATAATTATTACCTTTTTTTTAATTTAGTATGTATGATAAATGCTATAGTATTTAAAAATTATTTAACTACACTGTTACCACTTATAAGGTTATTCCTACTGCCAATAGGTCCAATACCAATGCAACTTCTAAAACTAATGAATCTGACTCGAACGACACATAATCTTTAGCCATGAATATGTGTTGGCTTGTAGCCACGGCAGAGGCTACACCTAAGGGTGGTCTCTCTACTTCAGAAAACGAAGTCTCAAGTGAAACTACTACAATGCAAGCCACGGTTGTGATTCTCACCACTACTTCAGCCACATTGGAGGCCGCTCCCAATTCCACATATATATTTTTTAGGGGGGTTAAATTCCACAAATTGATGCATCACCAAAAGCTGCCACAACTACTACAAAAAACATGTATTCCCTCAATTTCAAAAAACTTGATATTTTAGAAAAAAACACAGATATTAAGAAATATTTTTGTATACATTTATTATTTATTTTTGTCTGTTAAAGAACATTTAATGTTATAAAAGACCCAATCATCCATTCCCTCCAATTTCTCTCACCTAAAAGTTAAACTATTTCCAACAAAAATTGCATTAAATAAGGCTAAAACATCAAATTTTATGAAACAAAATTATTTTCTAAAACATCAAAGTTTTCTGAAACAAAGGGAATATATAGTATATGTCTCATCATTTGATTTTGCCTGAGTTCAAAAAGTTCTACAAACTTGGAAATTCCACTGTTGTGATGATTATCTGTTTTGGTAAATGACGATTTGGATTGAGAGTGTAATTTGCAACATTCAGGAACCCTTTTTATTGGAGTCGTTGTAAGGATTCAATATGTTTGATTAGTTACATTTTCTGATTGGTTGTAGAGAACCAGAAAGATACCAAATTACCAACTGTGGAATTATCGTAAGAAACTGAAGTCCCTTAATTTATTTAAACATCAATCACACTCCCCACTCAATTGATTATATATTAACCATATTGAAATAAAAATTAACAGCTTAATTTCATAAATTATTGATTTATTTAATTTGACGGTCCGTTAATAGAGGTACTTTTCAACGGTGCTTGCTCCTGCTGTCGCTGCTGTACATCCTGTCATGCAACGAGAGTAACCAAAACTATGAATAGCTTTGTAATTTTAATGTTAATTATTTCTTACTCGTATAAAGAAATCGAAACCATTTACCATATCAAACCTAAACTGTAAAACTATAGTTGATTATAAATATTTTACCAGTCATAAACAGTGGGAGAATTAGGAGAAGGTTTGTCAAAGACATTTGCACCAATCTCCCTTGTGGTCACATTACTTGCCGGATGAAACACACTCCTCCACACATCCACTTTCCGGCCAGATCCCGGTGTCACCGGAGCAACCGGACTCGCCGGGAGAGACGCAGTTCCTCCTACCGTTGTCCCATCTAAAGAACCGTATATGTAACACTCAGATGAAGTAAAAATAAATGCAAATAGTTTGTAGGTAAATGAATAAAATATGGCAGAATTATGCATTGCCATGAAACTTTATCGCGAAAACATATGGAGTTTTTTTAAATCCATTTCACTAGAAAACCTGAATTGTTGACAAAATTTCAAAAATGACTGCATGCATGTATACGTTCTATATTCAAAAAGAATGAACGGGACAAAGGTAACTGTTCAGACCCATGATATTTAACTCAAATCTTAGAAATTTCGGTTTACCTTTGATATCGTTCAAGCTAGTTAAGCCGGTGGAGATTCGCCGGAGATGGCCACGGCCACGGGCTTCAGGTTGAGGACCAGCCACGACGTCATCCCAAAAGTTGTCGAATATACCCATTTTTTTCTTTTGTTTATAGAGAGATCTTCTTCTAATCCTCTCACCTTTAAATACTTGATATGATCGGTTTGGTTTGGTTAGAATAGGTCTGGTTTTTAGGAGACTGAGCTCATCCATTTGGTTTATTGAAACGTGAAAATGTGAGAAGTGGAGCGAGATAACCGTTGTTGGCTTTCTTCCAAGATTCGAACCGAGATAACCGTTGCTAACAAACCAAAACCGAATTGGTTAATCATCATGATGGGTTTACTAACCAGTCGTTTATAACATTGGACACGTGACGGACGATCAACTCAAATAGCAGATTTAAAGGCTGGTCTCTTGCAAATATTTGTCCGTTTCCTTTGGAGATAAGGTTGAAGCTTTCAAGAATATGAATACTATACTTTTATTCTGTCAGTTCTTGTATATAAAATCTTTGTATGCACAGCAATTAAAGTCTGTGATTTTTTATTAATTAAATCATATAATATTTTCCTTTAAAAATTTGGACTTTTGAAGGTCACATAACTCTCCTTAGAGATGATCAGTCTCAAACGGTCAAACCTAATAAGAGTGACCGTAAAAGGTCTGAAAACTAAAAACTTGTTTGCAAAGTTGGGAACAAAGCATTTAAACTTAAAACACAGAAATTAAACTTAGACTAATACAACAACGACATCTGTTTTAGTGAACTTAGAACCTCTTCTTGAAATCATCTTCATCTTTCCGATTTTCCCTGGCCCTTTTCGACAAATCATCCAACCCCTTATCAACATCATCCCGAGCTCTATCCGCCTCCTCACCGGATCCAACCACCGCCTCAGTAACTTTTTGAGCAGTATTCTTCGCCGTCTCCCATGCCTCTTTCACAGTCTCCATAGTCTTCTCCCCAACATCTTGAGCCTTTTCCTTAAACCCATGAGCCATATCCTCTGCTCTCTCCTTCGAGTCCTCTGCATATTCCTTGGCTCTGTCTCTTGTCTCTCCGGCCTTATCCGCAGCTCTGCTTGCTCCTTCATTCACCTTATCCTTAGTGTCACCCGCATAATCTTTGGCCTTCTCTTTCACATCATAAGCTTTGTCCTTAGCCTTCTCTTTCGTCTCATAGGCTTTATCAGCTGCTCTGCTTGCTCCTTCATTCACTTTATCCTTAGTATGTTCTGCGTAATCCATTGTATTTTCTTTAACATCATAAGCTTTTTCCTTAGCATCCTCTTTGGTCTCGTAGGCTTTATCAGCTGCTTTGCTTGCTCCTTCATTCACTTTATCCTTCGTTTGCTCTGCAAAATCTTTAGTCCTCTCTTTAGCATCATAAGCTTTGTCCTTGGCATTTTCTTTTGCATCGTAAGCTTTATGAGCTGCTCTGCTAGCTCCTTCATTTACTCTCTCCTTTGTTTGTTCTGCATAATCTTTCGTCTTCTCTTTCATATCGTAAGCTTTGTCCTTAGCTTTGCCGGCTTCTGTGTATTCTCCGGATTCTTCTCTCCATTTCTTTGAATCATAAGCCAAATCAGCCCTTGAATCTCTCGCTTTCTCTACCGGATCATTTCTTCCCTGGAAAAAAAGAGGTCAAGAACCATTGATCTCTCTGTAAAGTTCCAAATTCACTTGATATCTTGGGACACACGTTAACATAAGAAGCGTCTCAAACTATTTAGAGTCTTCGTGTATAGCAAAGACAAGCTTTACTGTAAGAAAATATATCTAAATACTGAATACTCCATTTCTTGTCACACACTTTAACCTAATATCAGCTCGTAAAATCCACAAGGCGTATAAAGTTGTGTGGATTTTATATCGTCTAAGAAGACCTACAGATTTTCTTTTTTTTTTAATCCTAAAATATAAACACATACGTATTATTTTACATAAAATTTAAAATTTATGTAAAGAAAATAGTTTCAGAAATCGGAACCATGAACAAGTTATAATATAACCATTAACAAGTAGGTAGTTACCTTAGAATGGTTAACAGATGATGAGGCGAAAAAGACACGAGAGCTTTTCCGACCAATCAGCACCGCAAGAGTACTTCTCGGAGCTTGGCTTTTAGGTAAAGCTTTGAAGAGACCGAAAAAAGCCGTTCTCGTTAGTTGCATAGAAGCCATATTCATCAATCGAAAAAAAAATTCTTCTTCTTCTTCTTAATTTGGCTATTGCAAATGTTGTTCTTTTTCGTTTATCTTTCTCTGCTTTTGCATTTGTCTAACGTTGCAAACTTATAGACTTCATTAAGGACAGCTGGCAGCACGAATTTGACACGTGTTGAGGTAATGACACGTGTTTAACAGTTTGCGTTCTCTCTTTCTGCTCTTCGCTTTTACTGATTTTCGTGAAAAGACTGAATAATGGTCACAAAGATATTTCCAATCCATGAATATCATTCATAGCATGATAGCAACCTCGATAGTAAGAAGTATTGTCAGTTAACACTTAACACTTAACACTTAACACTTAACACCCTGTTACACCCATTTGACTTGTTGTAATAATGTATATATTTAGTGTCAAGAAGAGAACCATAACGATTGATTATAACGTAATGTGTTGATTCATTGACCTAAAAGGCTAAAAGTCTATATATATATATATATATATATATATATATATATATATATATATATATTGGAATCCTACGAAAAATTAATTGAAATTATTGGACAAAGGGAATAAGAAAAAGACAAATATACATGTACAATTTTTCTATTGACGTGAGTTTATCGATCCTCTCTTAACCCCGAGCATCCGACTCTAGACGTGAGTTGTTCTTTCATACAAAACCCTAAGAATATTAGTAACATTTTAACAAATAAAAAAAAAATATTAGTAACTTCGATTTAATGGTTCCATATCGACAATATAATCTGGAACGAAATGATAATTTATTTCGATATACTTGCATGTAAATGCATGGTTGTCACAAGACTCACGATACATAGACATTGACTCTCAGATTAATCGATTCCAAGCTCAAGAAGACAAGAAGTAAATACTGTATTTAGGCCACCGTACGTAATTCACGAGTTATTTCAGCCCTAGCTAGCACGAAATTTCAGATAGTTATGGGGTAGCTTCCAAATGCTATACATTTGCTCAGGGCCAAGAGAAAATTTCGAAGAATATATTTTGATTAAAGTCGTTGGCAGAATTTATTTGTAAATATTGACTTGCCTAAAATAATGATATATTTAATGTTGAGCTTGGTGTGCAAGGCGAAGTCTCCACTCTGAAACTAAATATAAACACAGAGATGGAGAAGATGGACTAATCTCCAACTATTACAAACATATACTTTTTAGGATTTGAACAATGTCACAGCTTATTCTCAAACAATCTGTCTTCAAAAATCTCCTCGTAAGCTTTCTTTCTATTGCATTCTCTGACATAAATTATATTTTTTGTTTTTCTCTTTGCCTCTGATTGTTTCAAAATGTACAGAGACACACAAACAACGTTCGGCTGTTGTCATCTACACCGACCTATCCGTTTAAGCTGATTGAGCATCTTCTCACCGTCCGATTCTCTATATACGATGATGATGATCGTGTGACATGTTGGTCTACATATAATATGCCAAATAGCTGCAAGCAAAAGAGAATCATGATCAATGACAAGAAACTCAGGGAGGAGTTTACTGATGCGATGACTTGTGGATTCACACATAATGGATCATTGAGATTCCATGAAACCACCGGTAATGATAATACCGTACGTATCGTCATCGAACACGAGAAGAACTTGGAAGCGGAATCAACATATCGTATGAGAAAGTATCTACCTCCTTTACCTAGTGGTTCCAAAATCCTGAACCTTGCCATGTCCTCTTTACCCGAGCGAGATGAAGATTGGGCCGTGTGTGTCAAGTTCCAGGGATCTCGGTTAAGTCTCTATAGGCATAGGCCTTCTGGAAAATCTGAATGGATCAACATCAAACCAATGCATGAGTCTATAAGCCCTTTCTCGAGTATTATGTTCTCCAAGAAAGATCAAAAGTTCTACGTTCCATCACCTGGAGGCAAAAACTTGTTCGCTTTGGATCCCCACTTCAAGGAAGAAGAAGTCAAGCCCAAATTCTTTTACCTCCAGTTCGAAAAACTTGCAAAGCTGGTGGTTGGCGAGTTGGATGATTTGAGTTCGTGTTCCAGGACAGACCACCTTGTGGAATCACCAACCGGCGAGCTTTTCCTCGTCAAGTGGTATATAAAAAATCTAATCATGCTAGCTTTTTTTCGTTTTGGTTTGCTTTTTACTTTTTTTTATGAGTATCGTTTCATGTCTTTGTAGGTACGGTGATGACGTGGATTATGAAAACAGCAACCTCGGGGTGACATCACTAATACACAAAACCCAACAGTTCATGGTGTTTAGAGAGTTTAGAGAGGAAGAAACAAAGAATCTATATTATATAAAAGTTGAGGCTATAAGCCTCTGAGAGCGTCCACATAGGATTATAAAACGCGATTTGATTGGTCCACATAAGTATTTCCTAGATTAAGAAAGTTTCCGAATTTTAAACAACCAATAGTATCAATCCACATCATCACATAAAATTAGCTATTTGTTCAATTAGTTAAATTCCTTTTTATATTTTTATATTTTAAGAAAGTTTCATAATTCAAAGTTAAGCAATAGGAAAGTTTCCAGAATTTATAAGTGTAATATTAGTAGAGATATGTAATAAATAAGAAAATTATACCAACAATATCATTATATATCAACATCTAAAGCTACAATTGTATTAACTCGATTTTGATCAAATGTAGCTTACATGAATAAACATATGTTCACGTCAGAGCTTGATATAAGATCAAACAAATCCAACATCGAGAAACCACCTGGAAGCAAGATGGAGGGATATATATTGAAGACAAGATACTTTGACATCACATATTGAAAGTTCACATAGATCGATCAATTCTTCTAAAGGATATGTAGTGAATTAATGAAAAATCATGAAGCAAAGGAATGATTGAAACGAAGACAATGGGCATCACACTGAAGGTATACATGTCCTTCTGTGAAATAAATAAATTCGCTTGCTTTATTTCGAATATTATCTGGTCTATGGTGTTCAATTGATTTTCTTTGTATTTTGATAATGGAAGCACATCCAATTAATTAATAAATAAGTTACATTACCACAAAATAATCAAAGGACTATGAAGAGAACAAGGAATCGAAATTACCAAAGTGTAGATTAAATCAAAAGTGAATTGTTGCTCCTAAATTAGTAAGCTTTCGATGGGGAAAATAATATTGATTATGAAGAAACAAAAAAAATCAGAATAGTGATTACATGACACAAATTGAAAGGAAAAGGCAAACACAATAGAAGGCTGTATTTTGTTCCTTTTCTATTTTTCTTTTCTTCGTTTTTCAATGTTTTGTAATATTTACATATTCATGTGTTTATAAGTAGTACTTTTAAAAGATGTCACTTGAAAGAGAAGGAATATAAACAAAAGTAAATTTATTAAAAACAGAATAAGATAAATTCCTTCTCATTTTAGTATTTACATATGACATTCAAAGGGCCTGTTTTGAATATATTTTGTTCAATAAGTCATTCTAGCTTGATTTTATTTTCAGTTTTTCAGGTAACGAAATTGTGTTTTATTTAATTATAATTTATTCTAAATTTAAGAGGAATAGAGCCATGCAGAATTTTACAAGAGGAATGGAACCATGCAGAATTTTAAGGGTCGAGAATAACCTACAGAAATAAGAGAAAACAAAATGAAGAAAAAAGTAGACACAAAAAAGAAGAGTACCAAGATAAAACCGAAGAATAGCGAAAACAAAGATATTGAATTGCGAATACAAAATAGAGACAAAAGAAGACAAAGATGAATAAGGAAAAACCATATTAAAAACTTGTGAAGAACAATTTGAAGAGGAATTCGAACAAGAACGAAGGAGAAGAAACCTAACAACAACAAAAAAACTTGCGAAGACCAATCTAAAGAGGAAATAAAATAAGAACAAAGGAGAAGAAACCAAATCAAAACAAAACAAAAAAAAAGAAGAAAAAAAAAGAGAGCAAAGACGAAGAAGAGCAAACGCGAAGATGAGTGAAAATGAAGAAGAAATCAAATAAGACCAAAGACAAAGAAGAAAACAAAACATAAGATACTGAAAAAGAATGAATCAAAGAAAATTAAAAAAAAACTTTAAAACAACAACGAAGAAGAAAATGAAGAACAATTATGTGTGTCGACTAGCTTCTCTTCATTTAGGTTTTAGGTTTTATAACCATTGAAAACTTACCAAAATATTAGTTTATCATCTAGCTTAAATTTATTACATACAAATATTGTTATTTATAGCATTTTAAGTTCTAACATAACCAACTGAAGTTATTTTAAATAAACATCATGTTATATACAAATATTATTGACATCTAATTTTAAGAATTTCACTAAATATATTTAAAAATATATTTCTGTTTAGAAAATGACTAACACGTCACAATAGTTCATAAATTAACATTACATTTTACAAATAAGTTTAGTGATAAAGTAAGTTTGTCCTATTATAATGATTTGAATATCTTCAAGTAAGTTTTGGTCATTAGACATACACAAACATTTTTGTTACCGGGATATGATCTAAACAATATTTTTGTATGTCAAGATTTGATCTCAATACGATATTGATATATCTAAAAACTTTTGTTTTCCAGAGAGTTTTGGTATTGAAATATTGATAAATTTTAATTGTTGATTTTTGCAGTTTAAAAAAAAAAAATTAAATATATTTTAAACTGATTTAAGATACAGACCCGCGCGTACGCAGGTGAAAATCCTAGTAAAGATGAAAAAGTTATGATCTATACAGAGGATATTGGAGACTTTTGCAATTTTTGTTGGACATAGTCAGGCTCGCTGTGTCGAGGCCAGGTTGTACCCTGGACTCGACCGTAACTGCATCTACTTTGTGGGCTACAGCTTTGGTGTTTATGATCTATACTCAAAAACTTGCACTACCTTTATGGAATCGCCTGATCTTCCATTAAGGAACTTGGAGTTCCCTTACTGGCCTCCTCCAGTTCCTCTCTCCTAGTTTTAAATTATTTTGCTATATTGTTTCTGTTTCACAAGTGTTATCGATGCCTTTGCTATGATTTCACCCTATATTTTATGAGATTTATGATATGTCTTTTTTCTTCTTCTGCTCCAACGAAAATATACGGTAACCTTTAAAGTTTATTTGCCTGAGAAATGTAAGCAAGAGCTTTGTAGAAACCGAGAGAGCAATTAGGGGTATATTGTGTGGTTTATATACAGTTTACGATTTAGACAGCAATGTTTTTTGGTTTTTATTGTCCATGCATGATTGTTGACTAACGACCTATTTGTGTATATCGTGTGAACATTATTTTACACATTCTTATCTTATCAGATTTATAATGTATGGTTCTCGTTTCTGCTAGGTACATGAGATTAATTGTAATGGTCTCTGGTTTATAGGTTTTCATGAAGAACAATTTCTTGTAGGAATTTAGCTATATCCAAGGGATACAATTCAGGATCTCGCTTAATACCAAACGACATCATTTGTTATAGCCTGTGAACAAGGTCTATATCAGTGTAATGTGGACCTAAGCAGCAATCACTTTCAAAATTTTAAAAATTAAAAGTTGAAGCAAATACAGTATATGAAACTAATAGTTCAACTTTGAAACTTCTCTACTATATGAATCAACTTCAATCGAGGAAAAAGGCATAAAATCAACCACATGAATCGATTCTAGCTCTTAAAAAAACAATGATTCCAAAAGAGTTAATTCAAACAACAAAGACTCAAAATAAGTTTGGCACTAATTAACAGTGATAACTATCAACCTTTTAGGATTTGTAGTTTGTTTAAATACAACAATGGTTTTGTATTTACTGTCCATGATTGTTAACTAACGCCCTATTAATGTATGACATTTTACACATTCTTATCAGATTCATAATGTATGTCTCTCGTTTCTTCACCAGGGAACATTCTCTACATGTCATGTATAAAGCTTAATACCAAACGACATCATTTGATATATAAACCAAATCCGTTTGGAGTGAGGAAACGGTCTAGATCAGTGTAATGCGAACCAAAACAAGAATCACTTCCAAAGTATAAAATTCAAGTTGAAGCAATGTTGTCTAACGTCTACTATATGAAATTAATTCAACCATAAGCATTAACTCTGTGAAACCACTTTCTTCTCTACTATATGAATCAACTTCAGTCCAGCAAAATGTATAAATCAACCACATCGATCGTTTCTAGCTCTTAAAAAACAATGATTCAAAAAGAGTTAATTCAAACAACAAAGACTCAAAAGGTCCAACAATCTTCTACATAATGATAAACAAAGTTTTTTTTTGTTTCCCAGGTGATAAAAAAAGCATAAACCAGCCACATTAACCGTTTTCAGCTCTTGCCAAAGTGAAGAACTTCAGCAGATTATAAAAAAAAAAAAAAAAAAGTAACTCAAAAAACAATTCTTGACATTTACCATAATCAGGCTTGATCGTCGGGTTTCTTGTCCTCTGTAGCTTCATTAGTGGAAGAAGCTCCATTAGTAGTCTCTGCTTCTCCTTCAGCGTTGTTCTCTTCAGTTGGCTGAACCTGTTCATCTTCAGGGAGAGGCTCTTCCACATAATCGTTCTCAAAAGCATCAGCAGGAACCTCGTAAATCCGAACTTGAGGCTTAGACGGATCCTTCACAAGAACATACTTCCCTTCACTCAGCTTCATACACAGATCAACAATCGACTTCACAATCCCCCACATGTTGTTAGTGTTCAGATTGATCTGCCCTGCGAAATCCTTCGGCTTGTAACCCAAAATCGATAGTATAACATGGTTGAAATGATCACGAGGATGGACCCTAGACACAAACCCAATCTTCATCATATCCGCATTAGCCAACAGAGCCTGTGCAGTCCACTTAGCCAACTTGTTACCATTGTTCTTCAGCTCGTTAGCCAAAACCGCACCTCTCTGAGTCTCGAGCTTCTGCCTCCAGTCAACACCAGAGTACTTTGGATCAAACTCGTTAAGAGCATTCAAAGTGAGGAAAGATTTCTGGTTATTCAGATCAACAGTGCTCTGTAACTCACACCTAGCAACTAGATACATACTATCATCAAGCTTCCATCTCCTATACCTATAAGCAATAGAAGCATTCTCTTCACCTTCGTTAACATTAGGGATTGGCTCTTCAAAGGTTTCTCTTTTACCGTTCTTAACCAAAACCTGCTGCGCGAAATTCTGGTTGATGAAAGCAGCCTCCATGCCTAGAGAATGAGCAGAGTTGATATCGTCTTTGGCCTCAGGTAAAGGCTCCTGAGAAGTCTCGTGAACGGATAACAGATCGAGTGCTGACCCATCTCTCTTATCGAAGAAGAGCTTGTTCCCAACACGCTGAATCACAAGATCCCAAGAGTAAACCGATCTAGGAGCACACATGAGAGCGGCGAGGATAGCGTCGGTGGCGAAGACGGTCGCTTTGTCTTCTTTAGCGAGACGTCTGATGACGAGATCGTCGCTTGTGGTGACCTTGAAGCTCCTGTTCTTGAAACGCTCGAGCCTGCGTTCGGCTTTAGGAGTGATGCGATCGAAAGTCCGATCGTAGTACTCGAGACCACCGCAGAGGAGGAGATCTTCTGGCTCCTGGACGGTGAAGGAGAGCTTCGAGAAAGTGGAGAAAGGAATCTGCTCGAGCATGTTCCATTCCGGCTGGATATCGACTGATGACTTAAACGCGGCGGCTTCACGGCGTTGATGGTGGATGTTGTTTCGGTTGAGGTTGTAGAGACGATCGCGACGAGCACGATCCTTCTCAGCTTCACGTTTCTTCGCTTCGACTTCTTCGTCACGGCGCTGAGGAAGCTGGTTCCTGTTGTGATACTGATTGAATCTCCATTTGGGTCCGAATTTGGGACGTGGCGGTGGTTTGCCGTCGACCAATCGGAAAGCTGCGTCTTCGTCGGCGTTTCCGCCGGAATTAGCGAGTCCGAATCCTTCGTCTACTGCAAAAGCGGAGAAATCGAAGACCGCGGACGGATCGGATTTGGATCCAGTGGGAGGACGAGCGGAGGGATTGGATAGAGCTCGAGTCCAATCGGCGACGCGTCCGAGCTTCTCCGAACGAGAGAAGGATGCGAAAGGGACGTTCGGGAGGAGATTCGCCGCCGCGACGCTGGTGGAGGAAGCGGAGGATGAAGTGTCGGAGGCATCTGGAGGACCCCATCCATCGGAATTGAAAGGCACAGTGCCGACTTCGAATGCTTCGAAAACCATCGTTTGGAGATTTGGTCGAGAGAGAGAGAGTAGAAGAAGCTGTGCGAAAATGAAAAAACACTGTTTTATGTCGTCAACAAGCAGAAAACCCTAAATTTGGGAACGACGGCGATATGGGCTTATGGGTTTTTCTAGTCAAAAGGATCCTTAAACCTTAAAGCCCATTATCTGCTACACACCTTTAAACAACGTCGTTTCATGGCCTTGTAAGTTGTAACTCTTGTTGTTGCATTAACTAAACGGGGTCCAAACAGTTAAACGACGATTTCTGAATTCTGAGGTAACGATTCAGAATGTGGAAGTTTCGGTCCAGTTTTTGATTTGTTAAGACACTGAATTTATAGTTTTTTTTTTTTGGGTTTGTGGGTCGTTTTCATGATTCAAAAACCATATTCACTCTGTATTTTTGCTCCGAAATGATGATTCTAGCTTGTGTTGTGTGTTTACACAGGCGATGTTCTCCGATCTTCTTCCAAAGGAAATAGAAGAGGAGATACTCTCCAGGGTTCCGGTCGAATCATTGAGACGGTTACGAGCCACTGGCAAAAGACGGTACCATCACTCGTGTAGGTTTGTCTTTCTGGGTAATTTAAAAGCTCTAAACTTTATTTTTTAATTGGAGACTGGTTTGTTCATATATGGATTTTTGTATAATGTACAAATCTTTTAGGGGTTGAATACTTGAATATGTCCGACGTAAATAAAGAAATAGCAACGAATATCGGCATTAAACTACTCTCAAAAACTTGAAACAGAGGGTTTCTTCTCAAACTCTGTCAACCTAAGCTTATTACTTTATCAGGCAAAGTCATGTTTTGATCATTAGACCACTTATGGTTGAAACAGATTTTGGCCACATACTTAGTCAAGACACATGTTAGAAGAGCTTTCTCCTTCACCTCTAACCTGATCCTGATTCACAATGGAGGCAAACTTGTTTTAACCAATGAAAATGGAATGCTAGAACCTTTTTTCAGAATTTAAATTTGTTCAACCAAAAAATCTTTTTACAATGAATGTTTCTTTGTTCCGAGTCCTAAAGGCTGAATGTTACTTAGGAAAGAGAATAGAGGGTGCTCAAATTACATCTTTGATGATCCAAACATTAATACCTTTGAGGTTTTCGTTTTTTTTTTACATTAATACCTTTGAGGTTTTCGTTTTTTTTGCTCAGCCTTTATAAACATTTTTCTTCTCGTTAAAGTTCCACTTCAGGTTGATTATATAGAGTCTGTGCCATCCCAAATATTCCCTCTTACAAGAAGCTTTTGCATGCTCTGTACTTCTTCTGAGGACTGGAAATGCGTTGTAGTTGTCTCCCTAGACTAAAACCGTCTCAAAGAAAAAGAAAAACCAAAAGGCTTGAGGAGATCTTGTGATTAGTAAATATTAATACCCAGATTCCAGAGTCACAAGCCTACAAGGCCTTTTAATGAGTATTTTTAGCATCCCACATCGGAGAGCTGCGAGAGTTTGTTAGTGGAACCTTCAATATAAATATACTTCACTCTTCCTTAAGGTAAATAACGCAGTCATGTGGTGAAGACAAAGCGAACTATTCTTTCGCCTTTTACTAAAGAATACCGTGTCTTCTCCACGCTAAGTGGCATACGCCTATTTTTGGAGGGTTTCTACTTCTTAGTAGACCCAACATTTGACTAGTCTCAAGCTTATGTTGTTTCATCCGAAAGATATAGCTTGGTTTTAATCTATTTAGCCTCTTCTACGTGGACCAAACAATATTTAGCCTCTGAATCCTTGTGATGTACATTTATTAGATAAGAAGCTTGACGATCAAGGTAAATAGTTTTTCATTGAACAAAGAGAGAAACACATACACCCAACTGATAACAATACAGAGACAGAACACAAACAAAAACAGAGTTACTGTTACTGAGAAATTGGGCAATGAGAGGCAGCCACTTATTTACTCTGAGCATTGATATTGTGACAGCTGAAGCAGAACCACTTTGAAATTCTCACTGAAGGACCTTGAGGGAAGCTGGCCTGCTGGTGATATCAGCCACCCACGCGTTGAGATGTGGACGCTCGGAGAAGAGCTTCTTGGAGGGAGTTTGGAGCAAGTATTGAATCACTGGAATGTGGTGAAGATCTGTCAACGTAAAAGTGTCACCGGCACAGTACTTGAAGGCGCCGAGCCTACCCTCGTAGATGTCAAGAACCTTGGCTAACTTAGCCTCTTCTTCCGCAACAACGGCTTCGTCTGTGGTCAAGCCATACATGAGCTTGAACACTTGTTCCCAAGCAAGCTTTGAAGCCGGTGGGTCGAACTGGTGAGCTTCTACTTCCATTCCATTGGCCATGATTGCATAGTCTACAGTGTTCTTGGGGTCAGCTGGGAGAAGGTTGGTTCCTTCTTCTGCGTATCGGTGTGCTATGTACTGAGTAATCGCTCTTGATTCTGCACAAAACAACCAAATTCATGTTAGTGGTTGTGCCTTGTTTTACATATTATCAATTCAGATTTGAGACGATACATGAAAACGTTCATACCAAACATCTTGAGGTCTCCGTCTTCAAAGGCTGGAACTTTACCAAAAGGCTGAGCGAAGCATCAAATTAAACACAAAAACATTCAAGATTCACACTTTATTCATCAAAAGTGGTCATAGACTGATAGTGATAGATATACTTACGTTGCGTGAGAGGAAAGGCTCCTTCTTGTGCTCACCGTCTAAGATGTCGACATGAACAAGCTCAAAGTCTAGGTTTTTCTCGTAGAGGGCGAGGAGGACTTTCCTGGTGGATGTGGAAGCTGCGTGTCCGAAAACTTTGATGCCTGCCATTGGATTTGGTTGCTAAGAGATGTTGTTTAGAGATGTAATGTATTTGATGTTGAAGATGAAGGTGATGATTGATGAAATAAGACACAAGTAGTGATGGTATTTATAGAGGTAAAAAACAGAGCATTCTCTGCATTCACGTTAATGTTTACTTTCTAGTTTCTACTCCAAGACCGTCGCAACCAATATTGAAAACGCCATTGCCTACTCAGCAAAACGCCGTTTACTGAGCGTTGAAAATTGAGTTTGATAGGAAACGAGTGAATTACCAATCTGTCCCCGTCTGAAAACTTAATCTATTAAATACAAGTCCTTGTGCTTATACATTCTTTCAGTTATTTCCCGTTTGTATAAACTTTGTTTAATTTCCCATCTCTGTTCTCTCGTTCAGAGTAAATTCAAAAAGTTCCGTTAGCTCCAATTTTCTCGGGAAAATTTTCCTCGAGAGTCTCTTCTTGGGTTCTTGATCTTCAACAAACACGCTCTTATAAACCCAAGAGATTCGATATCGGACACTTCTTTTCTCGAAAAATTAAAGTAAATTCGTGAAAACTCTCGATTTTCTCGAGAAAATTGAAGAGGATTACCACCATGTGGAGTCGCGAGGACGGCGAGAATTGTCGCGCTCCGGGTGGAATTTTCTGGACACCGCCACCGAGATGGGAAACGAGGAAAAGAGTTTACGCGGCGATGCCGATATCGGAGAGAAAAAGAAAATGCTCGATGGAAAAGCAAGAACCATTTCACATGATCCACAAGGTTCCTTCTGGTGATTCCCCTTACGTTAGAGCCAAACATGCCCAGGTATGATTCAATTTTCAATTCTCCTCCAATTACTGTTGATAGTTTAGGGTTTATGAATCCCAATCCCGCGTGACTCATTAGTGTTTGTTAAAAGATTCCTAAAAGTTTTCAATTTTATCCATTTATCATGAGAAAACTGGAAATCCTGTGAAGTGTTCTTTAACTTTGAAGGCATATAGCTTTAGTGAAGATCTTGGTTTATGTGTATGAATGTTTGCTCTGTATCTTGAAGAACAGTTGATAAGTAAAGAGCCGGATCGTGCAATCTCCTTGTTTTGGGCTGCGATCAATGCTGGAGATCGAGTTGATAGCGCTCTGAAAGACATGGCAGTGGTTATGAAACAGTTAGACAGATCCGATGAAGGAATAGAAGCTATCAAATCTTTCCGATATCTCTGCTCTTTCGAATCCCAAGATTCCATTGATAACTTGCTACTTGATCTCTACAAGGTAAAGAAACGCTTTCTCAGTCTGGTCACTGTGTCGCCATTGTTTATAACTTTAACAATGGGATTTGGATGTTGCAGAAGTCAGGGAGGATCCAAGAGGAAGCTGAGCTGCTTGAACACAAACTGAAAATACTCGAACAAGACGACTGTGGTAGAATCACAATAGCGAGAAGAAGCCACGGGAAGCAGATCAACACTTCAATCGAGCAAGAGAAAGCACGGTGAGAAGTGTGTGCACATCCCACTTTATACACCTTAAAAGAGTATATTTTATCTGAGTTTCTTGCTGTTTTGGATAATATAGGGTTCTAGGGAACTTAGCTTGGGTTCACTTGCAGCTTCATAACTATGGAATAGCAGAGCAGCATTACAGGTTGGTGTTCACATTATCGATCACACTAAAGCATAGTGTATTGTGTTATCTGTTTCATTCCCTTAACTAAGTTAAAATTGGATTTTCACCATGATGATTAGGAATGCTTTGTCTTTGGAGCCTGACAATAACAAGCTGTGCAATCTCGCCATCTGCTTGATGCGTATGGATCGAACCACGGAAGCTAAGTCTCTGCTTGAAGACGTAAAGCAGTCTATCAGAAATCAATATAAGGACGAGGCGTTTTACAAGTCTTTTGAACGAGCTAAGGAGATGTTAGCCGAAAGAGAAAGGGCAGCAACAGTAGCGGATAAGGATAATCCCAGTGGTTTTATGACAAGTAGTAGCTCTTCAGATTGGATTTGGAGCTATCCTTTTATCAAGGAAAAGCAAGCTGTTCATGAACCAGGGAACATGTACAAAGAGAAATCGAATGTTTCCGGTGAATCGGTTGACCAAAACTCGCCAGTTCTGATTACACAGCCCCAGCCCCGGGAGTGTAAATGGGTCGATGAGGAAGTGACAATTGGTGCTGCTCGAAGGCTAAGGTTCGGGAAACTTTGTGACAAGAGTGATGATTCGAAGAGTGTAGAAACAGCAGATTCGACTACTAATGCAAGGAAGATGTGTGCAGATTTAGTGAAAGAGAAGGAAAGTTCAGAAAAAGGACTTCGGAAGATAATAGCTTCAGGATCATCTGCAGCTTACGCTCAGATTATGGATATTGGTCAAAGAACCGTATAGGCTTGACACAATAAAGCTTGTATATAGTTTTAATAGTTTTAGAAGGATTCTTGCTAACTTTTGTCTATTGGATTCAATTCATAATGCCTCTTTAGCTATATCAATCTGTTGAAATGAAAATAGCTGCGACATAAAACTTGAAAGAACGAAAACAATATTTTTCACCGACAAAAACAATAAGCAATACAAGCAAAAGTTCAACACTCGAGAACGAATTTGGGTTTCAAGAACAAAACACACATAAACGGATAAAAAGAAGAAAGATAAGTTTTCCGAGAAAAATTAAAAAAAACGCAGGATGAGGGAAAAGAAGAAAGGGAATGCAGCTTACACAGCTTATGAATCTGATGACGTCATTGACGAAACACCTTAAGCCTCCTCGTACTCCTCTTCTTCCTCGTACTCCTCTTCGCCGGCTGTAGCATCCTGGTACTGCTGGTACTCCGCAACAAGATCGTTCATGTTGCTCTCTGCTTCGGTGAACTCCATCTCGTCCATGCCTTCTCCTGTGTACCAATGGAGGAAAGCCTTTCTCCTGAACATAGCAGTGAACTGCTCGCTCACACGCCTGAACATCTCCTGGATCGAAGTCGAGTTCCCGATGAAGGTCGATGCCATCTTCAAACCCTTTGGTGCAATGTCACAGACGCTGGATTTGACGTTGTTTGGGATCCATTCAACGAAGTAGGATGAGTTCTTGTTCTGGATGTTCATCATCTGCTCATCGACCTCTTTGGTGCTCAGCTTTCCACGGAACACAGCGGATGCGGTCAGGTAACGTCCATGACGAGGGTCAGCAGCGCACATCATGTTCTTGGCATCCCACATCTGCTGGGTCAGTTCTGGGACGCTCAAGGCACTGTACTGCTGTGATCCTCTGGATGTCAATGGAGCGAAACCAACCATGAAGAAGTGGAGCCTTGGGAAAGGGATCAGGTTCACGGCGAGCTTCCTAAGGTCGGAGTTTAGCTGACCAGGGAAACGGAGACAGCAAGTAACACCACTCATTGTAGCCGAGATGAGGTGGTTCAGGTCACCGACTAGTGAAGCACAAAAGAAAGAAAACAAGTCAGGACTCAAATCACATTACATGAAACTGACTATCTTTGTTTAGATTCTCTCAGTGATAAACATGATTCATGAACGAGAAATAGAGAAAGGTATGTAGAATAATATACTCACATGTAGGATTAGCAAGCTTGAGGGTACGGAAGCAGATGTCGTAGAGAGCTTCATTGTCCAAGACCATACACTCGTCAGCGTTCTCAACAAGCTGATGCACAGAGAGAGTTGCATTGTATGGCTCAACAACAGTGTCAGAGACCTTAGGAGAAGGAAACACTGAGAAGGTCATCATCATACGATCTGGATATTCCTCTCTGATCTTGGAAATGAGAAGAGTTCCCATCCCAGATCCAGTTCCTCCGCCCAAAGAATGGCAAACTTGGAAACCTATCACCAGGAGAAACACAATGTATCAGAGAGATAATAATGCATCACTATTCACCAATCTGCGAAATGTAGATAACAAAGACGATCTCTAACAAACGCGTTCCATTTTCTCAAACATGAATGGTGCTAACAACGAAGACCTAGATTGATTTTGTTTGTTAAGGATCCAGGATTGAAAGCAAAATCGAAATACTAAACAGATATCAATCAATCTCTCGCAGGATAATGAAACTTGATAAAATCCAAAAACCAGATCGAGATTCAAAAACAATACGAGAAGAAAAAATGTTTTGAAGGAATGAGATCTCTCACCTTGTAGACAATCGCTGTTCTCAGCCTCCTTCCTCACGACGTCGAGCACGGAATCAATCAACTCGGCTCCCTCGGTGTAATGACCTTTCGCCCAGTTGTTACCGGCGCCGGACTGCCCAAAGACGAAGTTATCCGGACGGAAAATCTGACCGAACGGTCCAGATCTGAGCGAATCCATGGTTCCAGGCTCCAGATCCATGAGGACGGCGCGAGGAACGTACTTCCCACCGCTCGCCTCGTTGAAATAGACATCGATCCGCTCAAGTTGTAGAGGAGAGTCGCCGACGTACTGGCCGGTGTGGTCAATGCCGTGCTCGTCGCAGATCACTTCCCAGAACTTTGCACCGATCTGGTTTCCACATTGACCGCCTTGGATGTGGAGGATTTCTCTCATTTTTCTCTTACGGTTTGTTTCTCAAGGGAAAAAAAGAGAGAAAAGTGAGAAAATGGCGACTCGTCTTTTCTTTTTGTCCTTGGCTCAAATAGGTTTAAAAAGAAAAGGTATTGTTGAATGGGTAATAATCAGCTATATATAGTTTACGTCTTCCTCAATAAGTTTTTCCTAAAATATATTTACAACCGTGTCCTTGAACTTTGTTGGATCTCGAAATGAAACCCTAATACTTTTGTAGATTTCGTTTTTGTACTCTGTGCTGTATGACAGCGGAGGATTTCAAATTATTTCTGTCCCACTTGTCCAGAGATATTTTGCTATTTAAGCATTAAAAACTAAAAATATATAAATAAAAAATAGATTTTCAGCCGTTTATGAATTTTAATATTTTGCGAATCGTACACTGTTTCGACAAAAATTAGATCCAAGGTGCAACAAATTTTTGAATATTTTTAGTTCATGAACTCAAATCTGTTTGGCTAAATTATTAGCCGCACCGGTTTTGTTCTCTTTTCATTTTAGATAACCGGTTTTGTTATTCAAGTGTAGTTACCTGGATAATCAAAACAGATCATATAGGAGTGTACGGGCCAACTCAAATAAAAGTTGGGCCCTTTATGTAATTTATAAAGGCCCATCACTTTCGGTATAACGAACTAAATATTATGGTGTCAAAGTGCCAACTAAATGATCAAGATTCAAGGACCCCCACATATTCAAAATTCTCCAAACCTAATTTATCCAAATTATTCTCGATTTTTTTAAGAAAATTAGGAATGTAAGCCACTCATAAAATAATTACACACCGTGTGTTATACTTTTGTGTTTAAAAGACAATATGTGTATTTGTAGCACATTTGGAACCTCTTTAGAAGTTAGAACCACCCCCTTAGTGGCATGAGAGGTGGATGTTGAATTTTGTTTCTAAGAAGAAAAAAAAACTGCTTTCTTACAAATTATAATTAAATTTAGACTAAATTGTATATTATGTAACTATTGACTGATTTTGTTCTAAATGTGGGAAATGGGTTAGGTTAGTGGCACCCACTAATATGCTTCCATCCCACTATGATCCTTTAAATAGGAGCGAAATAAGAGCTTATGTCCCAAATTTGTATGTTTACAAAATTTGACCAAAAAACGTTTGTTTATAATACTTACAGAGAACCTATGAAAGTATAAGAAATTATAATTTCCCGATATAGAAAAAGATTGATCGCCAATTATTGTCCAAAGAAATTCCACCCAAAAAAAGAAGAAGAAGAAGAAGCAATTATATGCACACAACACAAATCTCTTTTTGGTGCAATAAAAAATAAGAAAGTGGAAACTTTAAAACTTTGTGCTAACTTAGAGTTATCACCCAAAATTACATCAAACGGTGTTATGTACTTTGTAAATTTCACAACACTAATACAGTGTTTTACACTATTTAAAACCCTAAATGGTATACAAGCACATGCTAACCTAAATGGTCATGACACTATTACATTTTCAGCGATTTTATACAAATATATAGGATTAGCTTAGCAACAAAACCTACAGATAGATGGTTTACAGGCACATGCCAAAATGCCAACCTCACAAACATTGCTTATTGTAGATTCATATCAATGAGAAAGTAATTAATTTGGATTTTGGTCATACCTTAAACTTACGGCTAAAACACAGCATTATACTAATCAAATCGATGAATATATATTTTTTTTTGGCAACTGAAAACTTCATTGATAAGGAAAAGAAAAACATAAAGATCGTAGTATTAAAAGTCCAAAAATTAAAACATCTTTCCATTTTTATTTTTAAAAATTGACAGAGACTATACTTTATAATCAATTTTAAGTTTTTAACTCGGTTCTAACTTTTTAAATTAAAGTAATATTTCTCTATTTCCGTTCTTTTCGCCAATTACTCATCATTTAGCTCGTGTTTTAAAATCACTCCAAAAAGCGATCTCTCGCCTTCACTTTCTCCGCAATAACCCCCTCCTCCTCCTTCACTCAATCACTCCATGTATTTATTGCTTCGACCTCTCAACAAAATTTCATCAGTTTCTCCTCCAAAACCCAAACTCTAACTCTTGAAAGGAAACTGAAGAGAACTTAAAGTATTTCTTTTCTAAAACGCTTCCATACTTCATCGACATGTCTCTACCATGGAAGAAATCAGGACGTATCTCGAGATTCATGTCAGAATTTCAGCAATCTCGGAAACGCGGCGGGTCTTTGTTCGTCGAAACCGGCTTCTCGCATTCTCTAATTGATCTCTTCGTCAAAAACTGCGATCGTCTTAAGAGATCCTCCTCTAAACGCCTCAAACGCCAGAACCAAACCGCCCCAAACGCGTCTTCCCCAGTTATTCATGATGTCATCCTGGAAAAGCCGGTGACTAGGAAAACCGTTCGGAGTAAGATCGATAAAGATAATCTCTTCGGTGGTGGATTAACGGCGGAGAAAAATCGCGCAAAGGACAAAAACGGTTACGTTTGCGTCGGAGGCGGTGACGGCGCGCTAGTTTTGTTCGCGTTTCAAGTTTTTATAGTGGCGTTGCTCGCCTTGAGCACGAAGATGAAGCTCACTTTGGGAATCACTCTCTCCACCATCGCTCTTCTCTTAACAGAGCTCGTGGCGGGGCGTGTACTCACGCGCTTCAAGCCCTGTAGCACCACCGGCACGGAGAAAGTAAAGCGAGTCGTCTCCGTCCACGACAAAAACGCGATTCCTTGTGAAGAAAAAATCGAAACTTTTGATGATTCGAAGGATGAAACAGAGCATGTAGCTGTAACAGAGGAACCGAGCTCGGAAGATTTAACGATTCGCGATCTGTTGTCGAAAGATGAGAAGAAGTCCAAGAGTAAAAGTTCGAGACTGAAATCGAAGATTGTGAAGAAGCTGAAGAGTTACAAGAAGATGAAGAAAACGAATGTGATCATAGAAGAGACTTTGACGGAAGTCTCGAGCTTGGTTTCAGAGGATAAATCAGAGATAAATGAGTCTGTGAGAGACGAAGAAAGGTCGAATCCGCCATTGACACAATCAAAAGGAGATAACATGAATGGGATTGTTCTGATCGTGATTGTGCTTACTGGTTTGCTAAGTGGAAAGATCTTAGCTTTTGGTCTGACACTATCATGTCTGTTTCTGAGACTCGGAGCAGCCAAGAAATTTGGTTTTCGCATATAATTTGTTTTGTTCTAACAAAAATTACGAGAATAGGTGTCGTGGTCATTGATCAGTACTGTATAGTGTTAGAGATTACAGATTAGCATCGACTATGCGTTTTTACGTAATATATGGAACAGTTATTTTCCAAATGAACTAGTAATCCATTTTTTGTTCAAATAATAAAATTAAAAATAGTATCTATTTAAAAACAAGCAATTTATTTGGTTAAATGTAAACGTAAATTTTAATAGCAAACATAAATTACAAAATGATATGTTTACATTTGGCGCGCTTATATGTTTATATCTTCCAGTATTAGAAAAAAAAAAAAAGACGTTCTGTATTTCAAAACTAATTTATGTTTTACAGAAAAAAATCATTTAAACACATGCAAACGTAGAAAAGTTGTGCTTTAGATAAATCAAAGCTTTTATCGTTTTAATGGTAAAAGACTCAAAACACTCAAAACTACTGGTTCAAGTGTTGCTTTGGAGGATATATTAACACAAAAAGAAATTGTTAGGCAATGTATATAAGAATAATTTAGAAGTGCTTGTAGTAGGTAAGTGAAAAGCCAATTATATTAGGTTTCACTTCAACCAAAACAGCACTGGAATGTGATGAAGTGATCGTAGCTTATGTGGCAATATTGACGTGATGATATGGCAATTTGTGCTTATGTGGCAGTATGACGTGGTAATTACTAACGGAAAAAAGTAACCAATTAGGTTTCTGTCAGGCAAGAAAATGGTTAGGTGAAGCTTGTGCGAAAGTCTTGAAGGTCTCACTTTGATTGGAGACCAAATGTTTAGTGTTGTGTTTAATATAAAGTTTTAATGATCATTTCAAATCTTATAGGTAAGAGATGTGGTTTTGGTTGTTGATGATATTCAAAAGTTTGAATAATAATTGTGATATATAAGTCAAAATCTGAGTATTTCACTTGAAATTGTTAATTTTATTTTTTTGTGGTATCTTAATATATGTATAAATATGAAGTTATATAATTTTTTTTTGTTAAATAAAAATTAAAATATTATAGATTGTAAGAAAGCACCTCTACAAGGTGAAAACGAGATGATTAATGTGAATAATATTAGACAAAGAAATCAAATCATGCTTTTGGAAAAGGTGAATATGTTTTTATGTAAAGATTAAATAAAAAATTCAAATAAGACTAAATAAGTGTCGGAAAAAGAGAGTTTCTTTGGTTTTGATTCGATAGATCTTTACCTATTTCAACTTGAAACTTAGTGGCAAAGCCTCCATTGTTGGGTATTTTTTTTATTGCTTTTATTTTCTTCTGCATATCATGCTTACCACTAAGTTATAGCCAATGTCTAAAGATTTTAGATCTTTATCAAAAATTTAAAGGATATTTTATATCTTAATGTAAACATGACACTTGTTAAACATTTGTGTTTATTTTGAAGTTGACAGTACTTTAACATCGAACACTAAATTTGTGCGTACAAGTGTACGTACATGTATCTATTGTCATTTTCTTACATTGAGTTTCTCTTACCTTTTTGAGTTTTCTTTCTCTGCGTATGTGTATATATCAGGGTCTTTAAAGATATTTAAGTGATGCATTTGCATACAATCTTTTGCTTTCAATATTACCAGTGGCATAAGATATTTTCTACTAATTTTTTGGCCGGCTGAAACAAAAGCAGCTATAACAATAGATTAACTTCCTGTAACCAATGGTCGTCGACAGAATTTAGATTTAAAGTTGTGTTCATCTACTTAACTTTGTAAAACTAATATATGTATCTAAGTTTTGAATTGTTGTCTCGTATATCGTTAGGATGTTTTGAATATGATGCTTACCGAGTTTATCGGATTTTTGAGTAAATCGATACACAAACCAGGAGATACAATAATTATGTTGTGATCGTAAGTCGTAACTAGATTCTGGTTTAGAGTGTGTTTGATAAAAATTGATCATGCATGGACTTGATCACAGCTTGCTCCAAAAAGTAAAAACCGTAATACTACTTAGCGTTAGGATTAATGATGGGAGCAAGTCAAAAGATAAATATAAGTTAACCAGTATAATAGCCCATGCGTGAATGTGAATTTTGTCGGACGTGATTAAAAATATTGATCAATGCATGTCCAATAAAGTAGCAACTTTTCGTAGAAAAAAAAAAGTAGCCACGCATAATTTGTTCTGTTTACTATACATCTTTCGTCCAAAAAGCTACGCCGATAATTTGAGCATTTAACTTGTGGCAAGATTCCTATGCATAATTATATAGTTTAACAATTGATCATAAAGATTGGACTCGCTTGAAATGTCTAAATTTGGTTTGGTTTAACTCTAATCATCGGCTAAGATTGTATAGATAAACTTGTTTCACTAGAACATTTTAGCTAAAGTTTCTTTTTATGTTTTTTTGATAAGTGAAAAGTAAACAAGATACACGTAAAAAGGAAAGGAAAAACAAGAGCTGAGAAAACGTAGGATCTTGATCATGGTAAGATTTCAAAAATGTCGTAAGAAAACTATTACCGATAGCTTTCATAGCTCAGTTGGTTAGAGCACCCGTTTAGTAAGCGGGAGGTCTTGAGTTCAGCTCTCAATGAAAGCATAACTTGTAATTAAATTCTTTCTTTTTGTCATACCATAAAAGAAATTACTAAAGATATGATATTTTCATAATCATGCGGATTTATGTAACACAAATCATTAAGGGTATAAATAAAAGACTGATTGTGGATTTATAAAATTAAAACAAGAATGTGATAGTGAGAAATAATTTAATAAATATTATTCCCTCCATTTTTTTAAGATGAATTTTCTAGTTTTTTCACACATATTAAAAAAAAAAAGTAAAAGTACACTAATTTTATTAAACCAAACAATTTTAAACCAATAATAATGCAAGAAATACATTGAGATATGCTTTTTTTTACTTTAATCAAGAGAAAGTACATTGGAAACCTATAAAATTTATCTTTAAAAAACAACAAAAAATAGCTAGAAAATTCATCTTAAAAAATGGAGGGAGTAGTATCTACACATCATGAGGACAATATGATGATATCTATAACAACTTAGCAAGAACCCTTGCAAAAAACAAACATACAAACATTGGTTTAGGTGTAAGAATCAATCTCTCACAATCAAAGGAGGAACACTCTGCTCATTTCTGAAGAAATTGGTCGGATCAATCTTCCCTTTAACCATAGCCAATCTCTTGAAATTACATCCAAAGTACCTCATCCCCCATAATCTTGCCTCATCAAAGCTACAATTACTCCCTTTATTCATACCCAAATCAAGATCTCTGTAATTCAGATAAGCTCCTCTTGGTGATCCAGAGACATAAACGCTCATATATCTATAAAGCAATCTCATCCACCTCACATGTTTCTCCATTACTTCAATTTCCTTCATTCTCCATTTCACCATATACTGTATGTTATACAAATTCCCTCTCCTATGTGGAAATGGAGTCTCAGTTTCACCAATCTCATAAGTTTTACCACCTAATGGCTCCATTATCATAACCGGAGATTCGACATCGTGAAACCTCTTCCATATACCTTCTAAACCGGTTTCAGGAATTGGGTTCTTGACAAAATCAGATTTTGCTTTGAAATACAGATCATTGTACCTCTGATCTCTATCAAGAAGAGTCTCCAGTGGCTGTCCTTTCTTCCAGTTGAAGTACATTATCGAATCGATCCAGCTCATTTCTGAACAGTCTTGAGACCTTAACCCTAGTTCCGGAAACTTCTGATTCATCAAAGGAATCAATCTATCGATTCCTCCAAGATAATTTGCTTGGAATGTAGCTTGAATTGATCCTCCGGATTTGTAAATTATGACTCTAACGAAGAGATTCTCGTCAAGCTCTGCAGCAATATATTGCCATCTATGAACGACTTTCGTCATGTTTTGTGTTAACGGTAAGTACCTTGTGAAGCAAGTAACCTTCTCTGGAACCCTAACTAGTTTCACCTTCCATGAGAGCACAACTCCAAAACTAGCAGCTCCACCTCCTCTAATCGCCCAGAACAAATCTTCCCCCATTTCTCTCCTACCGTTGTAGATTCTCCCGTTTGCGTCTACAAAACGCGCGTCCACAACGTTGTCTGCGGCTAAACCGTGTTTTCTCATCATTGCACCAAACCCTCCTCCGCTAAAATGACCTCCAACTCCAACACTAGGGCATGTTCCTGCAGGGAAGCCATGGATCTTGCTCGATTTAGCAATTTTATAGTAAAGCTCACCGATTGTCGCGCCGGCTCCGACCCAAGCTGTTTCATCCCTGAGGTTGATCTCGATCGAACGGATATTAATGAGATCGAGGATAATGAACGGTGAGTGTGATGAGAGGTACGAAAGGCCTTCATAGTCATGACCACCACTTTTAGTCCTAACTTGCACCCCAAGTTTCCTGCTGCAGAGTAATGATCTCTGGATTTCTGATTCGGTTCTTGGCGTCGCGATCATAATCGGCTTCTGGCTTGTGAAATTCAAGCTCAAGAATCTGTAGTTTTGGGATAAAGATTGCGAGAAATTGGTGTAGAGTCTTGAATCTGGCTTGTGGATGAAGCTTGAATCAGAAGGTGTTGACATGCAACTAAGAAATTGGTCTCTATTAGGAAGAACTTTAGAATCAGAATTGACCCATTTGACTAAGAACAGAAGAAACAGAGATAAAGCCAAAGCTTCAAGCTTTCTCATCTTTAGTGTTTTGGATTTCTTGGGTTTGAAGTTACTGAGAAATAGCATTTGTTCTTGTTCTGGTGATGAGCGAGTGTCAGAGACTTTTCATGAGAGCTGTTGAAGTTGCAGAGGGTTATAAGTGTTTCCAGCTAACACCGACGTAGAAATAATAAATTTTAAAAATTTTGTTTTTGGAATTTTGTGTTGCATGCACAGAAACAAAGTAACATTCAATAAAAGGCTTCCAAGACTGGTAACTAAAAAATTAATTATGGGCCTGATTGGTTGTGGCTGTGGCTTTAGATTTTTGGCTGTAGAGTTTAGGCTGTAGGTTTTAGTGCTGTGGCTTTAGTTTTTAGTGCTCTAAGATTTTTTTTTTGTAGATTGTGTATTAAATGAAATATTAAAACAAAAAAAAGAAGATATAGAAATAAGAGATTAAAAAAAGAATATAGACAAAATAATAAGGAAAGAGAAGAGAGAGAATTTAGAGAGCACTAAATTTAGTGCTATAGAAAAATTGCTTTCCACAGCTACGGAACTTCCATAAATAAATAAAATTGCTCTATGTTTCAAAAATGGAAAGAGATAAAAGGAGAGCATGATTGGTAATTTTGGAGTGCTGTAGAGAGATATAGAGCTGTGGAGAGCAACCACAGCTCCCACCAATCATCCCCTATATGTTGCGTAATAATTATATGCCAGCAATGGAATTACGTGTTCTAATAGACATTACCATATTGGAATAATCTTCTCATTATATAATAATAAACCTATAAGATAAACAGATAATAGACCTCCATAACCAATATACAGGCCTACATATAGAAAAGTATTCACAGTTTTGTGCTGATAATTGTTTTCCCCATCTAATTTTGCTGAAAAGAGCAGTGCCTACCTGCATTCATAAAGACTATTATATTAAGTCTAATTAACAATAAAAAGGAGTTTACTACCTTCATTATGGTAAACCAATTCGTAGTGTTAGTAAATGTCTAAGAAACATTCTTATATCACTGAATCCTAAGCATTGTTTTCTTTTGCAGCAAAAAAGGGCATGATTTTGGACTTTTAGTGAATGAAAACAAATCTTTGGTCTTATGAATCTTCGGTAGTTTTCACATACAACAAATTTTGTAATTACTGCAGTTCAGCGTCAGCGGCATGAGAGCAACGTGTAGACGTTTACTAGCCGTTACTTGTCTTTGACTTACTGATCGATGCTGCCCACTGCATGACTCATTTGTGTTACAGTGAGGTGTGAGGAGAAATCAAAGATTAGACTAATTAAAGATCAAAGTAATAGTTTGTTTTTCTTACAACAAAAATAATAGTTTGTTGCTTACACTAAAATCGAACTGAACCACCACAACTACAAGAACAGATTGAACCAAAATTCAGCAAACTGAACCGAATTGTATAACTGCAAAATAATTAAAAACTCTTCTATCCAGTAAAATGAACCAAATCTGAAGTTTATGCAACCATACCGAATAAGCCGAACCAAGTATTTCAATCTAAACTGAACCGTACTGAAACAAAATGTTATTGTTAAAACCTGAAAAAACTGAATGCCAAAACCTTGAAAATGGAGGTGCTTTGCAATAACCTCGTAAAAACTCATTATATAATAACTCAAAATTTTTACAATACTCAATTACAAAACCCTCAATTATTACAGTCTAAATAGACGAAAACTGATAAAGAAGAAAATGGGGTCAAAGATTACAATTTTTTTTTATTCTCTTATTCATAGTCTATAATGAGAGATCAATGAATAATACTCTTGGTGTGATTACAAGTTTATTCACCAAAAAAGAATTACCAATGATAGCCTGAGGACAAGATTTCAAAGCCATATCAAGATCTTTTACTGCACACAAAACATTTCCCACAAAAAAAATCCGCAAACACCGATTCAGGCTTCAAATGTAGAGGCTCTTACTAACTAATCTTGATAAGGGTTTCTCAAAAAGTTTCGATCTTTTCTCTCTCAATCAAAGATCCTTTCTCCTGTAGAAAACAGCAAAAACACAACGGAGCTAAAGATACAGAGCAAACCAGGGATGAAGAACACAGGTCTCCAGCTCTCTGGATGCGACAAATCTGAGTAAATCAATTTCGAAGCTTCAAGAAGCTTTCCAGTCAAATCAACACCAATGATTCCAGCTAACGTCCCAGCAGTATTTGAAACCCCCATCACAATCCCTGCGTATCTCGGAGCAATATCCATATGGTTCACCGCAAAACCGGCTCTTCCTAGTGCCAGAAACCCAAGAGCCACAGAGGAACACAAGATCACTCCATTCTCGGTTCTAAACTGAGGTAAAGCCATCAACGCCACTGAAGCAACCACAAACCCAACCGTGTTCAAGAACTTGCGTGTTCTTGTCACCGAGAGTATCTTCTTGGTGATCAGATAGTCTGCAATAAACCCACCAACAATGGAGAACGCAAACATGTTGAGGTACGGCACCATCTTCGACGAATCCATCCCCTGAAGACTGATCTGGAGTCCAAGCTCGAAATAGGTCGGAAGCCAGTTCATCAGCACGTACAAAGCGTAATGGAACGTGAAGTTGTTGACCACAATCGCCCAAACAGGTTTGCTGAGCAAGATCTTCTTCCATGGGATGTGAGTGACTTTATGGTGGTTAACGTTATTAGTTGGCAACAGAGCACCTCCGAATCCAGCAGCAGCGGCTTTCGGATGCTCAGACCGAGGCGGGTCAGTAGCGTACCTAATCCAAAGCAATGACCATATCACACCTGCTAATGCCTCTGCTAAGAAAACTGACTCCGGACCTCTAAGCTCGACTAAAGCAGGGAGCAACCACATTCCTAAAGCTGCACCTAAATACATCCCCGAGGTCGTTATCGACACCAGTCTAGACCTTTCATGAGGAGGAACCCACTGAGCCAAAACCGTGTGGATAGAAGGAAAGATGAAACCTTGAGCAACACCAACAAGTAAACGGGCAACGATGAGTAAGCCGACTCTGTTTGGATCGAGGGGAACCAAGAAACACGTCGATGACCATAAGACAAACGAGAGAAGGAGAACTTTCCTTCCCCCAATCTTCTGAGCAGCCCAACCTCCAGGGACTTGAGAGCAAGCGTAGCCAACAAAGAACGTAGAAAGTATGGTTCCTTTGCTTGACTGGTTGATACCAGCAGCGTCTGCAGCGACGGTGTATGCAATGGAGAAGCCAACGCGCTCTATGTAACACACGGAGGTGCTGAGGAAAGTCAAGAAGACTATCACATAGCGTTGCGGAATGTTTGATAGCTTCATGTTAGGCCTTTTCTCTGATCTAAAGCATTTATGTCATAGAAAAAGCCTCTCAAGCACCACCACATATGAAAAAAAGAAACCAGGAGGGATAAAATAAGCTCCAAGACTCTCCAATTGACCTTACAAATCTGCAATGACAGGATAAAACTGGTTTTAGTTCTCCAATTCACACAAAACATAGCAAGAAAATTATAAATGACACCAAGAAATCACAATATCCGATATCCAAAGCCAGGAAATTATAACAATCGTTGAATCAGAAGAAGAAAAACAAGATCTACATATGATTGATACTGCAAAATGGTACTAACTAAGATCTGTTCCTTGTCAGATGTATATGAGACGGCAATCACAAGACAATACTTTATCCATTTTAAACTACGCATTTGTTAACATTAATCTTACGCTGCTCTAATCATACAAAGTAAAATCAAGTCAAACCCTTCAAGGAAACAGATCAGAGCTCATCTCTGTTATGCATCAAAAGATAAAAGTAAAGCAAATTCTAAAGATGTACAGATCTTAAATAACAAGAGTAAATCTGAAGGTCAAGGTCGTATCAAGCAAAATGAATTCGTTACGAAACTCCTCATCCCAAAAGCCTAAAATTTAGCATAAGTCGTCAAAAAGTCATCTGATTCTTAAACATTAGATCACAAACACAATTCCTGATAAATAACGATTTCAATGCTACCACAAAGACTCATTTTCATTCTCAAGACACAAATCCACTATAAAAAATCAAATCTCAAATTAACTTAACTACCGAAAAAAAGAGAACGAAATAATGAAACCCAACAAACAAAATCCAAGAAGCAATCTTCAATCGCCAGAAATTAAAGCAGCCGAATTGTACAGTGAAATGCGTTGCCCATTTCTCTCTTCACAATGTAAATCGAAAACTGAAGTCAAATCACAAAACTTACCTTAGTTGTTCCGAATTACTCCACTTTTGCTCTAAATCTCCCTCAATTGAAGTCGTACTGGAGTTTTTCGAACTTGCAAGATCGGAATTGCAACAATGCGAATTAAGGGGTTTACGGCAAAGTAAATCCAAATCGATTTAAGAAATTGGCGGAAATGAAGAATGGGTTTTGGAGTTTGACGGTGGAGAGAGAAAGTAGTGTGAGACGCAGTGGTCCACGGTGAAGGAGACGAGATTTTAGGGTTTGTAAAAGAATTTAGAACAAAAAAAGGGGAAGAAGATAGAGGAGATCGCTTTCTCGGGTCAACGACGATGTTGATATTTTTAATTTCATTTATGTATTTTTGGTTGTGAGATATTTTCATGAATTAATGTAACGGCAATTTCTTTTTATATATTTTTGCTAATTAACTAGGTTTTTGACCCGCGCACGCGCGGGTCTGGTCTAATAATTTTTTAAACTATTAATTTTTTTTTTACTAACACTTCACAATTTTTTAATTTTTGCTGTCTGTCTTTTTTATAAACTTTTCTTTGTAATATAATTTTTAATTATTTTTTACTTAACCAATTTAATAATTTTATAATTAGTCTAATACATATTTTAGTTGTTAATTTCTTTTTAATTTTATTTATTAGTTTAGCTTTTTCAGCTCTGAGTTTATGATTTATACTTAATTTTTTTTTTGTTGGTTAATTATTTTGCATTCAATTCCATTTAATAAATTCATCTCTTTATTTTTAAATAACTGTTTTGATAGTTAAAAAATCTCATATATTCCAAACTTTTCTTTTTCATATCCTGTTTAATTAACAACCGCGTTTCCGATTCCCGGTTCCATTGTTTTGGTTTGTTACAGTTCAGTTTTGCTATCACATTGAAATTAGAAATGATTCGTTGTCTTTCTTCTTTGACCGACAACAAAATCGAACAATGTTTCTACCTTATTCCCACCGGAACATTGTTAATCTCATCATCGAGATCCCTCTTCTTTGTTTCTCATCTTGGATATTTGCCTTAATTCCTCTGAGCGATTGAGACCTGTCAAAACTAATTAGATCAATTGATTGACGGAACAGTTTCTGCTTTAATCCCTCTTCCGAGACTTTATTTCTCTGTTTCTTCTACTGATTCTCTCAAGCTAATCACTTCGTGAAAGGTTTGAATTTTCCTTATTTTGAAGCCAGTTTTGTTGATGTTGAGATTATGTGTTTAGCGTTTAGTCTATTTCTTCCGATCCAAATTTGTGATAAATCTATTACTTTAGGTGATGCCAACTGCTCCGCCAAGTTTTAGAGACTCAGAGATGTCTAGTTTTTCAAAATTGCCGCCTTTTGATGAACGTTTTGGGGTAAAGCTAAGGACTTTGCCTCTATCATGAGCGAGTTTTCTTTTATCAATTTCCGAGTACTTGTCGAGTTACTTGTTTCTCACCCAAGTGAAGGTTTATTATCTAATTTATGATTTTGTTCTTTTCTTTTTTGTGTTGACTAAGTATTTGCGAGTTCTTTAGTTGTCTAAAGCTTCTTTTTTTATATATATTTGGTAGATTAAATTGCCTCTTTATCTTTAAAAAGTCCCTCAAATCACCAAAGTTCCATGCTTTTTAAAAGATGGTGATGTCTACTTGCAATTCATAATTGATGTGTTTAGCATTGATGATACCTTGGAAGCTAATAATTGGTGATTAATGTTTGTGTCGTTACCTTTTGATCAATTAGAAGCAGTTCATATCCTATAGGCAGACCTCCGTTTTTAGGGTTTCTTGCCTCCAGAAGTGGATGACTCTAGCAAGCAGCTCTTTCTTAGTAAATCCTCTAGTGAGTTTAGCGAAAACAAAAGGAGACCGTAACTGATCAGAAACAGAAAAGCTGGAAGAAGACATACTTATTTTAATAAATGCTCTCTCTAAGAATATGGTTGTCTTTAGAACTCGTGTATGTGTATTCTAAAGTTTAGAGGACTATTTATAGCCAATGCCAAACATTAAAATAGCTAAATTGTTAATTTCTTAATTTAGTTAGTTTACCTTTTTCAACATTGAGTTTCCAGTTTATTCATAATTTCTTTTTTTCTTTTTTTGTTCTTTTTGTTAGTTTAACTTTTTTTATGTTGAATTTCCATAAACTATTAAAAATAATGGATTAAGGTAATTTATGCCATAATTAAGTATTAAAATTTACAATAGTACAATTTCATTCTTTAATACGATATGTACGATAATGTAATTTTTCTTAAAAACTTATTTAATTTTCGATTTTAAAATTAAAATGCTGATTTGGCAAAATTTAATTGGTTTCTTAAAAGCTGATGTGGACGCTTTAGAGGCTTATAGCCTCAACTTTTATATAGTAGATTAACGGTTTGAAATATACAAAAAAAAAGAAGGAGAAAATATGGTACTGCCCAGGATCGAACTGGAGACCTTTTGCATGTAAGGCAAACGTGATAACCACTACACCACAGCACCATTGATAAAGAAGATATTATTTTGTTATTTGATAGAATTAATTAGTTCGCGTAGATTTTTGATATAAAAACAGAAAAAGAACCCTAAAGCCAACATTATTTGCAAATCATAATACTGTAACTAATAATGTGGAGACAGAGACGAATAAATCGTCGTGGAAACCCTAGCAACCACAAAATCAAACGAGCATCAATGGCTTCTCCCATCCGAGGTGTTGATTTGATCAGCTCTATGCCAGACGTGATCCTCCACCATATTCTCTCTTTTACTCCCATTAAACTCGCGATCATAACTTCCGCCTTGTCCAGACGATGGAGGCATGTATGGTGCGAGACACCTCGTCTCGACTTGTACGGAAGTTATGGGGCTCTAGCAATAAACCAAACCCTAAATTCCTACAGGGCTCAGAAAATCACGAGTTTCGATCTTTTTATGTACGAATGTGTCCCTGAACCCCAGCTCGATAGCTGGATCGAGTTCGCTATGTCCCATAATGTGGAGAAGATGTCTTTGAGCCTCAGGGGTTTTGTTAGTAGCGAGAGTTATCGTTTCCCAGACTCCTTCTATCTTAGCTCCTCCTTAGAGGAACTCTGGCTGGATTTTGTTATGATTCCAAGATGCACAGTTTCTTGGAAATCACTAAGGAGATTGACATTGTATTACTCTTCTCAATCTCTTGCTGATATTCTCTCTGGCTGTCCAGTTCTTGAAACCTTGAAATTGTTTTACTGTGGTGGTGGAGCTCAGCGTCTTGATCTGAGTAAGTCACCGAGTTTAAAAACACTGGAAATCATTCGCCGGCAGTATGATACTCCAGGGTCGATGGAGATTGTAGCGCCGCACGTCCGTTTTTTGGAATTGAGAAGCACTAAGGAACCATGTACTTTAGTTGATGCCTCCTCTTTGATCGAAGCTAACCTCGACATTGACGGATACGACAACAGAGACATTGCTTTGGAGGCTGATGATTGTCTTCCACTTCAAAACATGGTGCTAAAGATGCTAGCGAAATTGCGAAACGTAGAGGAGCTTACTTTTGGGACTACCTTTCTTCAGGTATCGTAATGTTTCATTTTACCATTCTTGCATTCGACGGCTAAAACCAAAATGCATCTATAAGTGGCCTTGAAAAACATAAACCGTCTAAGTAGTTGGTAACAAATATATATATATATAGATTTTGTTATGCATTTTTTTTTTCTTTTGTTTGGTTCTGTAGAGATTTATGTTTCATTAGCCCATTACCTTTTTCATCGTTTTTGCTAGATTCTATCGGTCGCTGAATTCTGTGGTGTTCATTTCCCAAAGCTCAAGGTCCAAACTTTGACTCTCGTAACCATGTTTGCAAAATCTGTTATTCCTGGTATAACAAGGTTACTACAAAACTCACCTGGATTAAGAAAGCTAAAAGCATACCCAACGTACCCGGATGGCATAGAGGTACATATAAACATTTCATGAACCATATGTCTTTCACTTTTTTTTGGCTACATTAAGGATTGTAATTGCTTTGGAGTAACCCTTTTAGTGCTTATACAGGATTGTTATCTGGACAGATACTTGGATTCGCAAGGATTGAATCCGGGCCAATGTTGGAGGTCCAAATTATATGCGGCGTTTCCTACCAAAAGTGACTATCATTCTAACCGTTTTCTAACGCCAAAACTCGTGGCTTCGTTCATAGATGTGGTGCTGAAAAAAGTAAAGACACTAGAGACGCTAACTGTAGTGTTGGAACATATCCGCGAAAGGGGTGGTGCAAAATGGTTTGAAAAGTTGCTTCGGACGCGTCATCCAACACTTTCTAACGACAACAACGTCACCATTCTGATCAGAGAATAAGTATTTGCATCAATCATTCATCTAATCTTAATTAGTCTTATACAATATCTGGATAATTCAATACTTTTTTGAATTTCTAATAACCATTGCGTCTTGTCTATGATATGTATCATGTATGTTCATTTAAAGCTTTATAGATAAGGTAGCTCATTAAAAGAAACTGAATAAAAAAATAATCTAAATATATGATATAACTTAGAAAAAAACAAACACCCACGCACGTAAAAGTCTACATGTCAAATATATAATTCAATTTTAGGAACAAGTATCTGTATGTGTCGCCCAAGTTTTGTTCAGGCTTTGATGTTCTTGTGCCTAGAGTCAGTCCCGGTTCAATCATAAAAGGCCCTGTTACATCTCAAGTTTCCTGCCTAAAGTTATATTCATATTGTTTTCCTTTATGCTTGTACATTTTTAAGGTATAAAATACGAAACAATCATCAAATTTTAAATTGAATTTTTTTTTTAAGATATATTAATATATCCTTGTAAACCTAAAAACTCTTAAATATCATTTCAAAAGTCTGAAAAAAAAAATATTCGGTAAAAAATATTAAGTTACGAAAAAATATCTTCAAATTTTAAAGTAAAAGTATTTTTTTTTCATTTTTAATTTTGGAAACAAAATTACAAATATCAAAAAAAAAAAAAAATCTAACAGAAGCAGTATTAAGTTTTGAAGAAACAAATATGTAAGGATTCACAGACATGAAAATGTGAACAAAATATGAAGCATGCTAGTTTTGTATTTTGAAGTTATGGTTTTTTTTTTAGTTTTTGGGGAACTTATATGTTTTTTTAAAGAATCAAAGCTTTTCTTATTATTATTCTTCTGTCAAAACATACTGCTAATTTAAAAAAAAAAAATCGTTGGTTTTTGGATTTTCGGGGATTTTATGAAATTATTTTGGGATTTTTTCGAAATTTAATTTAATTTTTATTTAATACTAATATTTAATTGTTAAAAACATAAAAATATAACGGAAGTTAAGTTTCTGTTAGACCGAATGTGTTAAATGGGTACGGTTTAAAAAGTGTAGGTATTAAAATAGACAAACATAATAGTTGGGGTATTTTTCTGGGCACAAAATTGCTAGGGTATTAAAAAGCTCTTCGGAATTTAGTTGAAGTATTTTTATGGAATTTTTCCGTTTCCTGACTCTACACTAAAAATATCATTTATTTTCATTTTCCCCTAGGTAATTTATTGCTCCTTGTGCAAGATTGAATATTATCTTCAATAAGATTTTCTGAATCTCTCTATTTTATAAAATATTAAGTGATTCTCCCATGCCTTGTGCGGGATGTATTGATATTTTAAAATTATTGTTTATTAATAATAAATTCTTCAAGATTTTGTATTGTATTTTCTATAAATTGCTAAATAACTATGTTACTAGGATTTAACCCGCACAAATGTACGGGGAAAGCGATTGTTTTTTTTTTTTATATAAGGGAACTATGACATTGTTATTGAAATTCTGAAACTTATAATTCCCTATTCGCACAATCGAAAGAGGGTGGTGAAAGTTCAATATGTTCATAAATAAATAGAGAAGCAATGGATGAGGTAGTTGAAGTAATGTTTGTGGACATTGAAAAGAATCTTGTGAAGACGTTAAGATCTTGCTCCTCATAAAATGCGATATCGATTATGAGAGATGAAGTCTGCTTTTTTGGTGTTAATATAATTCTCTCTTAGATAATGTTTAACATGAAACAAACACGAAACAAAGAATAAGCCCTGAAAGAAATGTTTAACATCTTGGGACATTCTACTTAAGAATAATGATGCCGATCAAATCTTATTGTCACTTTTACAGCTATTGAAATAATCGTAGATTGTTACATCATCTTCTTCGCTTTCGCTGTCTTGTGCGGAAGTGTTCATGCAGAGACGCATAACAAATCATTAAGTAGTGTAATATTAAACTTTTAGTGTTTTCATTATAATAAAGATTAGAGAGAGTCATAATTATGATACTTACACTATATCAATGAAATAGTCAACCTCATCAAAGCCAGTAGGATTGAATTCAAATGTAGAAGTCCCTTCTTCACTCTCGAAGGGATACTTACATTATTTATATTTTAAAATTATTGTTTATTAATAATAAATTATTCAAGATTTTGTATTGTATTTTCTATAAATTGCTAAATAACTATGTTATAGTCAGTAGTCTTATACGATCATATTTGTGTTTTTTTTTCTTACGCTTTATTTCAAGCAAGTAATCACTGACTTTTTCTTCTTTGAGTTTTACATCTTTTTTTTCTTTTCTTTTGATTTCCAGTTTGTATTTGGTTCTTGTCTTTGTCTTTTCCTAATTTCCAGTGCCTCATTTTTTTATTGTTCTTTTTTTTTTTCATTTTCTTCATCAGCTTTGATTTCACAAATTCTTCTTCTTTTTATGTTTTTTTTTTCTGTATATTCTTCTTCCATAACTGATAACTCTTTGTATAACACATTTAAATGTCTTTGTCTTTTCTTTTACCCTTTTTTTTCTGTAATAAGAGCAAATTGGTTTAGTCGAAGTCAAGTAGGGATCTTATATGAACTTTTTAAAAATTAGTACTTTGATGGTAAAGTCAGTGATTTTGTTCACTTGTAAGTTGTAGCTCTCCCTCTCTTCCTAAACATAAAAGTTGAAAAGAAAAACCAGAAACGATTGACAAATATGAATGCATAAATTTTCAAAGCGAATAATAATATTATAAAGTGATATAATGGAGAGTTGCATGACTCTCTGATTCCCCATCTAAATCATTGAAAGAGAGATTTTTGTATACTCTTTACAAATGAACCCCCTTTTTAATCAATTGAAGTATAGCTTGGGGTTCTTTGTCAAATCCAGTAAGGTCAAGATAGAGACATCAAGAATGCATGAAACATAAGTGAGCTAAGCAAATTCGAAATGTTTTGTTTTAACAACCTAAATGAACATAAAGCATAAGATAAAAATGCAAGAGATGAAAGAAATGCAAATGGAGGCACTTGGGATGAGGGTCATTGACCTTGGGAGATTCTCAAGTCAGTTTATGATGCTCAAACAGTTTAATGATTGCTAATCCTTAGGCAAAGAACTCATTAACAAGACTAATCCACTCTCATGGTACTAATCACTTTGCTAATTACCAATTTCAAGAACTAATTCTCATTAGTGAAATTGATAAAAGCAAGCATAAGATTCAGTTCTAGAAAGCCAATAAACACCCTAGACAATCACTCTCATGAGCTAGGAATGTAAATCCTTTAGATGGTTGGTTCAAGCATTTCATCAAACACTTCTGGTGCATGAAATGCCTAAGATCTAGAATCAACTTGATCAGAGAAGATCTAGCATTAAGACCACCAAATAAAGAAGGATTAAGCAAATCAAGTCCTAAACATCAAGGTTGACCATCAAATCTCCCTAAATCTAACTCATCCCATGAGCCTAAAGAGAACTACTCAAAAGACATGAGAAATTCGAAATTAAGAGAAACAAGATGATGATTATGATAAACTAAGATAAATAAGAAAGATTCAAAGAAGAAGTACTTTCAAAATCATTAAAATCAAACCAAGATCTTACAAAAACGAAAATAAAAGAAAGGAGGCAAAGAGAGAGGTTTTTGATCAAGGAAAAGATCCAAGATGCCTAATAAAATTAGGTCTTCAGCTATTTATAGTAAAAGATAAGTGAACCCTTGGTCAACTCCGTCCCTGTTGACTTTGTCCTTTATGACGGTCTTGAGCAAACTTCTCAAGTGCTTTGTTCTTCTTGCTCAAGTCCTCTGGTCTGCGAATTCTTGAACACTTCTGAGCTCTGATCAGCTTCTAGCTTCTCTGTCTTGCTCCAGTCACTACCCCAACTTGCTAAACGCCTCAAACACCTAGGAAAACACTCCAAATGCAATGGAAAATGCAAAATGCTATTTAAAAGCTAAATGTTCCTAAGGAGATGAAACTTACACTAAATGGTATGAAATGAGACTCAAAGACATACAAAACCATGCAAATTATGATGCTAAAAATATGCAAATATTGAATACATCAATCATCAAATGAAATCATGTTTGATCAAGTATAAAAAAACTCTGCAAAACTCATTCATTTGATAGGAAATTTGATTTAAAGTAAATTGATATCTATACTATTATCTTTTAAATTAACTAATAATCCGAATTTTAAACAAATTAACAACCACTGAAAAAGGTTAATTCAGCACAAAATCATGCAATCATCTTTCCAAAGATAGGAGAATTGTGTGAGAGACAATCAAGAGAGAAAACAATAGATAGATGGATTACATCACGAAATCTTGGACCAATTAGTCCATGTGGACAAACCCATGTTGAGGAGAAGCGGTAATTCTACTCGTAGTCCAACAAATATTTATTTTATTAAAACTTAGAAAAATCGCAAAGAATTTGCTAAGGGATTAAATAGATGATATAAATGTATTAATTTTAGTTATTGGATTTATCATGTTGCCTAATTTACTGAGTTTCTAATTTTAATGTTAATCTTGTGGGTCATTTTTAAGAAAATCAATTAAACGATTATTATAAATAAATAAAAAATTAAATAAATTTATTAAAATTATTTATCTCATTAGTAAGAGAGGTTCATTTTCCAAAATCACTTTGCAAATAATAGTATAGACTTTTTCTCTTTACTTTTTTCCTTGTTATTATTTTTTTTATTTTTATATCTACTTTTTTACTAAAATCGTACAACCAATAAACTACAACAACAAATTATTCTACAAACAAAAAGCTAAAGCTAAATAAAAAAGAAACTTGGGACAACAAATTAATTTTGCTAAATCATCAATACAATTCGGACATACAATGGATATGAGGGTGCGTGCTGAAATTCATCAAATACTTGGAATGAGTAATGTAGGCGGTATGAGCAATTATCTTGGAATCCCAGAGAGTCTGGGGTTGCTAAGACAAAGATATTAACTTTCTGATTGACAGACAACACAAACGAATTCACCATGTACTGGTTAAGTCTGTTCTTTCAGCGATGTCAATACATGTAATATCATGTTTTCGCTTGCCTAAAGGGGTTACAACTAAATTATCTACCGCGGTATCAAAATTTCTGGTGGAACAGTAACGGGCAAACACGAGGGATGCATTGGCTGACTTGGAAAAAACTTTGCAGCCATAAAAAATATGGGGGATTGGGATTCAGGGTGATCGAAGACTTCAATACAGCATTATTGGCGAAACAACTATGGCGGCTAATGGACAATCCAAATTCATTATTTGCACGGGTATTCAAATGAAGATATTATCGGAACACAAATCCTTTGGATCCCATTAAATCATACTCTCCCTCTTACGTATGGCAAAGTATGATATCGGCTCGACCTCTGGTAAATAAATGACTCATCATAAGAGTTGGTTCAGAGAGTTGATGATCCTTGGATTATTCCAGCTTCTCGCCCGAGGCCAACCTTAGGACTTGGGGTTCAATTTTACCCTCATCTTTGAGTGAGTGAACTAATGACACCCGGTACATCAACGTGGAATTTACCACTATTAAATCAAATTTTTGATAGTAAGGATGTTCCCATTATTTTAGGAATCCCGACATCACAGCTTAGTAGGACGGATTCCATGGGATGGTTCTTTACAAAGTCGGGCCGATATACGGTTAAATCGGGATACACAATTGCACAACAAAATATGGATGACGCTAATACTACATTCATTGGCCCAGATATAAGGTGCCTTCAAGCACATACATGGAAAGTAAAGTGTACTAAAAACTACAACATTTTCTTTGGCAATTTTAACAGGTGTATATCAGTAGGAGCACGGCTACGGAGCCGCTGCATTCAGATAGACCCTCAATGTGTGCGGTGTGGTATGTCTACTGAAACACTTAATCATATGTTATTTGAATGTCCACCGGCGCTACAGGTTTGGGCTTTATCTCCAATTCCTACAGCCTCCAACTGTTTCCCAACAGGAGGTTTATTCACAAACATTTCTCATTTGTTCTGGAATCTGCCGGATGATGATAGAATGGGGATGTACCCTTGGTTGATTTGGTTTATTTGGAAAGGTCGAAACGAAAAAGTTTTTTCTAACAAGGATTCGAATCCGAATGATATTATCAACCATGCGGCAAGTGAGGCAACAGTGTGAAAGATGGCACAGGAAAAACAGGAGATAAGATTATTGATTTTAGAGATCTCGGTGGGATCATCTTTTCAGGGTGATAGAGGTCAGGTGGATGGATCATGGAAAGCATCAGATCCTAGGGCAGGACTGGGCTGGTATAATTCCAATAAATACTCATGGGTACGTGCAATTTACGACGGGTTTATCGCCACTTCAAACAGAGGTTGAGGCGTTGTTATGGGCTATGCAATGCTAAGGCAGAAGAAGTTAAAGATATTGTTTGAAACGGAGATGGTGTATAAACCTGAGGACTGACCAGTGTTCGCAACGATACTTGATGAATTATGCAGATTTAAAAGAGGTTCACTTCTTTCTCTATTGTGCATATATCAAGGACATATAACACGAAGGCTGTTGACAAAAAAAAAAAAAAAACTTTTTTTTACAGCAATAAAAAAGAAACTAAGGGCCTGATTGGTTGTGTCTGTAACTTTGGATTTTTTGCTGTAGAATTTAGGCTGTAGATTTTTTTGTTGTGGCTGTAGATTATAGTGCTGTCGAATTTTTATTATAAATAATTTCTTATAAAATATCATAAATGTATCATTAAAAATAAATAAAAGAGATAGATAGGAAAGAAACATTAGAAAAGGAATATAGAGAGTGGGATTAACGAATGAGAAGAGAAGAGAGAGAATTCTCAGAGTTCTTAAATTTGTGCTCTGCAGAGCCAAAATATTTCGATATTTAAAGTTATAGCTCTCAACTTAAAAAATGAAATCAAAACTTGATTGCTTTAACACTTCTAGAAAAAATTATTGCTCCACAAAGCACTCAGAACACTTACCAATCACACCCTAAAGCTAAATACAACTGTAACTGTAGAATAGCCAATAGGACAAGGAAAGCGTCCTAGAAACCCTAGCCACCACGAAATCCAACGAGCATCAATGGCTTCTCCAATCCGAGGTGTTGATTTGATCAGCTCTATGCCAGACGTGATCCTCCACCATATTCTCTCTTTTACTCCCATTAAACTCGCGATCATAACGTCCGCCTTGTCCAAACGATGGAGGCATGTATGGTGCGAGACACCATGTCTCGACTTTTTTACACGACCGAGGAGGGCTCGAGACATAAGCCAAACCCTAAATTCCTACAGGGCTCAGAAAATCACGAGTTTCGATCTTTTTTTTGTCCAAATGTGTCCCTGAACCCCAGATCGATAGCTGGATTGAGTTCGCCATGTCCCGTAATGTGGAGAAGATGTCTTTGAGCTTCGGTTGTTTTGCTAATCACAATGTTGAATTTTAATTTACAAAATAGAGAAGAGAAAATATGAGACAAAAAACAGAGCAAGAGCAAGAGATAGGGTTTATCTCTTCTCTTCATGAAGAAGAACAATTACGAGGAAATGGATTTGTTGCACTGAAACTTTCGTATTTTTACAAGACACTCTTGGACTCTAAAGACACGTCTCTTCACAAAGACTCAATGTAAAGACACATTCGACATGTGTAACCGTTTTGGGGTTATTGATTCTATTCGCATCTCTTTCACGTGATGCAAATATAATTGACATGGCTAAGTTACTAAACTATATAATATACGACTATAACTCAACTATGAAGACTTGATCACTTCCAACACACAAGACTTATCGTTTCCCAGATTCCTTCTATCTTAGCTCCTCTTTAGAGGAACTCTGTCTGGATTTTGTTATGATTCCGGGGTGCACAGTTTCTTGGAAATCACTAAGGAGATTGACATTGTGGGAATCTTCTCAATCTCTTACTGACATTCTCTCTGGCTGTCCAGTTCTTGAAACCTTGATTTACTGTGGTGGTGGAGTTCAACGTCTTGATCTGAGTAAGTCACCGAGTTTAAGAACATTGAAAATCATTCGCCGGCAGTTTTCTGTTCCAGGGTCGATGGAGATTGTAGCGCCGCACATCCGTTATTTGCATTTGACAAGCACTAAGGAACCATGTGCTTTAGTTGATGTTTCCTCTTTGATCGAAGCTACCCTAGACATTTACAGATACGACAACGGACACAATTCTTTGGAGGCTGATGATTGTCTGCCACTTCAAAACATGGTGCTAAAGATGCTAGCGAAATTGCAAAACGTGAAGGAGCTTACTTTTGGGAGCACTTTTCTACAGGTATGTATGTTCTCTAATTCTTGCAGTTTCTAATTAGAGTCACTGTTTGTTTGATGACTATGACTACTTTTTTTAAAGCCAAATGCATCTATAACAACATCAACTTGCTAAGTAGTTTGTAATAAGTATTTACTATGTAGTTTCTTTTTTTTTTCTCGCTCTGTACGTAGAGAATTATGTTACATTAGCCCATGACCTTTTCATCGTTTTTGCAAGATTCTATCTCTCGCCGAACTCTGTGGTGTTCCTTTCCCAATGCTCAGGGTCCAAACATTGACTGTTAGTGTCATGTTTTGAAGATCTGTTATACCTGGTATCGAAAGGTTACTACAAAATTCTCCTGGATTAAAAAAGCTTATAGCACACGCAACGTCCCCGGAGGGCATAGAGGTATTCTTACCGTAAACCTCTTTTTAGACCATGCAATCTAAGAACATTTCATGAACAATATTTTATTGGGATAATCTAATATATAGGCTTTTGATATTTTTTGGTAAAAATCACATGTGTTTGTATGCTTTGGTCTTTGGAGTTAACACTTTAAATCATCTACAGGATAGGGATCTGGACAGATATTTGAATTCACAAGGCTTGAATCCGGATCAATGTTGGAAGTCAAAATATGAGGCATTTCCTACCTCAAATGAGAGTTTTAGAAACCGTTGTGTGACGTCAAAACTCGTGGCTTCGTTCATAGAAATGGTTTTGAAAAACGTAAAGACACTAGAGTCTAGAGACGCTGATTGTAGCGTTGAAACATATCCGCCACTGTGGTAATGCAAAATGGTTTAAAGAGTTGCTTCAGGTTCCTCCAGGACTTTCTAACAAAGATAACGTCTCCATTGTGCTCAGACGCTAAGTATTTGCATCGATATTTTCATCGAGGCTTTATAGTACATAATATTTGGATGTTGAATACTCTTTTGAATTACTTCTCTGCCTATGCATCTCTCCTGCATGCAGTTATTCTGATGAGACGAGTAGTTTATGATGAATGGTTCTTGTCATGTTATTTCATGCTTAAGATATTTATTTATATTTTTGTCGGGATTTTTGTTTCAGTATCATTATTTATCTGTACCTTTTTCATTCTCAACTATTTGCCGAGCTCTATAGATGTTGTACTTAATCGAACGCTTGAGATAACAATCTTTGAGTCTCTTGTGTGGTATAACAAAAATGTTACAAATAAAACTCACCTGGGCTGAAGAAGATTACTGTACACGCAAAGTTTTGTTCAGGCTTTGATGTTCTTGTGCCTGGAGTTATGTTCACATATTGTTTTCCTTTATGCTTGTACACTTTTAAGGTATAACAAAAATGTTACAAATCTCACATGGGCTCATGAACTGCATACAAAGAAAAACACCACCGTAGGGTATCTTTGCCCCAAACCTCGTTTATTTTCCTTCATAAGTTTAGATTACATCATTCTATTTGTACCAAGTCATCACCATAGCGTTCTCTGATTATTCTGTTGCGAATAAAAATTTTCCTCTTGCCTTCTACACCAATTAATTCATCTTTAAAGCAACTCTTCCTCGACCTGGCAATTTCTACAGTGGGCGACTGATTATTGTAAAGTATTAAGATGAACAAATTAATATAACAAAATATTAAAATGATAAAAATAAACAAGAATTAAGGAAACAAAACCGGATTTGCAGAGTCGAGATATGATCTCTTTCCTTAATTCTGTAAACGCCCCGTAGTGTGACGGTTGCATGGCGTTCCGAATCCCAGGATAAAACTGCACACTTCTTATGATTGCATCACTCAATACATAAGCTTGCGAACCATGTTTTCTGTGATGTACTCTCATAAGAAAAAACAAAACAAAAGAAGAGATATGAGAGATTATTGTTTTTGTTTTGAGTAAGTCTGTGTGAATGAGAAGACAAGGCTTTATATAAGCCAAATGCTCAACCTACAAAGAAGAGCATAAAGTGGAGATTGAGAATTCATTCTCACTTAATTGTCTTGACTGAATTTATGTTACAAATTCAATCTATTTATTTTTTGTTAAAAACAATTAATTAAAGAGATATTTTCTTTGTTGACTCAATCAAAAAGAATACTTGGTCAAAAGATTAATCTTAAGACCGTTGGCCCGATGCCAAATCCCGAGGCCCGAAACAAGTTCAGCCCGGTTATCTCTTTTCTCCACTTTATATACAAGAGGATTTCACCTCAAACTTCCAATATGGGACATTTCATAAATGTTACATTTTATGCTATACAAGCAACCCACTTGGACCTCCATTTCTCATTCAAACCAACTTCATTTTTGACATATAAATATATTATCAAAAATGAGTTCCAACAATCCCCACATGAATAGAAATGACTCTAGACACTGGACGACTCAACTCTAGACTTGACTCTCTAGACAAGACTCAAAAGACTCAAAAAACGACTTTTGAGAGTACAAGCGAAAAATCCACTGTATATGAGTTGGTAGCATTTTTCAGCCTTGAACCAAATCACTGTTATAAACTATCGGATTTACTCGACCAAGAGGTGAACATGATGTCTTGAACCTCTCGGGCTTTGATGTAAACCGAGACAATAGCTATAACACAGCTTCATTCTCTCACAGAATCAGGTTCTCTATTGTGTTCATTTTGGCCGTGAACTTGCCTGGATAATCATGAGTGAACTTGGAGAATATAGCCTTTCATTTATTCTCCTAGAAACGGCCCCATTTCACACTCACAAGGTGATTCGCCATTAACTTTGTTTAAAGGAGTATCCTGCATTACTGTATATTTCAAAGTTATGGACCCAAATCATTAAAAGCAAAAGCTTATCCTCTACACCATACAGGTAGCACTGTTCATCATCCTAGGAACTGGGTAGAGACATGAGTCTCCCAGTGCTAGTTGATTCAGTTTGACTTAGTTTTCCCCTTGAACCTATTTCATGGGATCTCCAATCAGTTAGGTAGGGTTACCATCAAACATCCTCTTAAGTCATAGGCTTTAAACCCATTCCTCTTGATGATTTTACAATTTAATCTCATGACACACCTTTAATTGGATCCTAGGTTGTCATTCAAGTAGATATAATCTATTAAGATTACTCCATTTGAGATCAATTGTTTAACAATTTTAGGAGTGGCATTGCAACTTTTGCTATGCACCCCCACACTTTTAGGTATTTGTACAAATGTACTTTACCTTTCAAAACTTATATGACATTTTGTCAATAACTTTATGTGGTAAACAATGTTTTACCCCCACATTTTTGAGATAACTCAAAAATCATGCACTTTGCATTTTCACATTTTAAGTTTAAAGAATGGCTAGAAAGATAATATCTTTTGTAACCAATTTTAAACTCCTTTCCACATAATTTGTCTAACATTAGTCTTGTGTTTACAACACTAAGCACTAATATGACAATATGATAAATATCATAACTTGGTACAATCACAAGTGGAAGACCATTACCAAAATAAATTTGGTATGTCAACTCACTAAACTTGTTACCAATAACCCTTCAACCACTAATGGTATGGGACAAAATCATAAATGGTAGACCACTCCCAACATGGGGTATCAACTCATTTGATTTTTCACTTTAGAAACATTTTTGTAAATGTTCTAATTTTTGGTAACACTTTTTTCTTTCTTCCTTATTCAATTTGCATAAAAGCCAAACCTGAATCATAATACCAAAAATATTAGAAATATATCAAATATATTAAGCAATTTAATCACTTCTGAAAATTGCAACAAATAATTAAAACATCAGAATTAATAAATTCGAATTTAACAATTTAATTAATTCACAAATCGCAATTTAATTTCAGGTTCGATTCCTTTTGCAACTTTAGTCAAAGTTCTATGTAATATTCAATGCAAGAATATCAGTATGCAAAATCCTCATGATTCAATGCAGCAACAACATTATAATTTAATGCACCAAGCAATTCCAACAGTTAATTAAACTAATCAAAAGAACAATAAAGCAAGGAAAAAACTCTCAGAAATTTTGATCAAATACTTATTCAATAATAAAGCATATATAATCAAAAAATAACACAGAAATTTCTGCAAAATATTCTGAGAATATTTCAGAAAATAACTGAAAGAAATTCTCCAAAATCCCTGCAAAATAATCAGAAAATTAATCCAATTTCCAGAACATAGTTCTTCCATGAACACCTGTTCATATCAAATTATTAATGCATAGAAAAATATTTTTTCAGACATAAACACTGAAAAATTCTGAAAAATATGCAAAAATAATTAAATAAATTTCAGAAAATAAAAAGAATTAAACATATTTTCTTCCTTTGATAACCTGCAAAAAATCATCAAATTAATTTCTGTAACACCAGAAAATTAATTCCATAATCTGCAAAAAATAATTAGAATAAATTGCAGAAAATTGGAAAATTAATCCAATTAATCCAGAATTTCCAGTTCCTGTTTTCATGACAAAAACACTTCACAAAAATCAGTTTTCGTTAGTGCAATAAGCAAAAACGAAAATTTACAGAATTAAGATTGTAAGAACGCAATTTCTACAATGGGCGACTGATTATTGTAAAGTATTAAGATGAACAAATTAATATAACAAAATATTAAAATGATAAAAAATAAACAAGAATTAAGGAAACAAAACCGGATTTGCAGAGTCGAGATATGATCTCTTTCCTTAATTCTGTAAACGCCCCGTAGTGTGACGGTTGCATGGCGTTCCGAATCCCAGGATAAAACTGCACACTTCTTATGATTGCATCACTCAATACATAAGCTTGCGAACCATGTTTTCTGTGATGTACTCTCATAAGAAAAACAAAACAAAAGAAGAGATATGAGAGATTGTTGTTTTTGTTCTTGAGTAAGTCTGTGTGAATGAGAAGACCAAGGCTTTAATATATAGCCAAGTGCTCAACCTACAAAGAAGAGCATAAAATGGAGATTGAGAATTCATTCTCTTCTTAATTGTCTTGACTGAATTTATGTTACAAATTCAATCCATTTATTTTTTGTTAAAAACAATGAGACAATTAAATGAGATATTTTCTTTGTTGACTCAATCAAAAAGAATACTTGGTCAAAAGATTAATCTTGAAGACCGTTGGCCCGATTGCCAAATCCCGAGGCCCGAAAACACGTTCAGCCCGATTATCTCTTTTCTTCCACTTTATATACAAGAGGATTTAACCTCAAACTTCCAATATGAGACATTTCATAAATGTTACATTTTATGCTATACAAGTAACCCACTTGGACCTCCATTTCTCATTCAAACCAACTTCATTTTTGACATAAAATATATTATCAAAAATGAGTTCCAACAGAATTTTCGTAACGATCCCCCCACTGTAACGATCCCCACTGTGTCTTGGACTTCTCTAAAGAAACTTGTTTTTCAAGTTTCTGTGAACTTTCTGATAAAACCCTTCAACGAAACAGATCAGAGCTCATCTTTGTTATGCATCAAAACATTTACCTTTTGCGTGTAAGGCAAACGTGATAACCACTATACCACAGCATCTTTTGGATTAACAATAAATTTATGTGTAAACGTAGTTACAACTTACAATTTATCAGCGTACAAATATATAGAAACAGAAAGAGATGTAGAGAAGTATAGGATAATAGGACCAACATTATTTGCAAATCATAATATAGGGCATAGGCGACGCCGACGACAAAAGCGTGGTAGAAACCCTAGCCACCGCAAAATCAAACGAGCATCAATGGATTTCATCAGCTCCATGCCAGACGATATCCTCCACCATATCCTCTCTTTTACTCCCATTAAACTCGCGATCATAACGTCCGCCTTGTCCAGAAGATGGAGGCATGTATGGTGCGAGACACCATGTCTCGACTTTGATAGATACGATGGGGCTCGAGAAATAAACCAAACCCTAAATTCCTACAGGGCTCAGAAAATCATGAGTTTCGATCTTAGCTTGCCCGAATGTTTCCCTGAACCACAAATCGATAGCTGGATCGAGTTCGCCATGTCCCGAATGTGGAGAAGATGTCTTTGAGCCTCAGTGGTGTTGCTGATGCCGAGACTTATCGTTTCCCAAACTCCTTCTATCTTAGCTCCTCCTTAGAAAAACTCTGCCTGGATTTTGTTATGATTCCGAGATGCACAGTTTCTTGGAAATCACTAAGGAGATTGACATTGTATTACTCTTCTCAATCTCTTGCTGATATTCTCTCTGGCTGTCCGGTTCTTGAAACCTTGATCTGAATAATTAGTGCTTATCTTGAAACCTTGAAACCTTGAAACCTTGATCTGAATAATTAGTGCTTATCTTGAAACCTTGAAACCTTGAAACCTTGAAATTGTTGTACTGTGGTGGTGGAGTCCAGCGTCTTGATCTCAGTAAGTCACCTAGTCTGACAAGATTGAAAATCATTCGCCGGCAGTTTTATACTCCAGGGTCCATGGAGATTGTAGCGCCGCACGTCCGGTTTTTGGAATTGAGAAGCACTAAGGAACCATGTACTTTAGTGAATGTCTCCTCTTTGATCGAAGCTAGCCTTGACCTTTGCTTAACGGTCGACACTTGTTACTACCCTGGAATTCATTTGAAGGCTGATGATTATCTTCCACTTCAAAACATGGTGCTAAAGATGCTAGCAAATTTGCAGAACGTGAAGGAGCTTACTTTTGGGAGCAACTTTCTTCAGGTATGTATGTTTTCTAATTCTTGCATTTTTTCTAATTAGAGTCAGTGCTTGTTTGTTGACTATTTTTTAACAACGTTTAAAGCCAACTTGCTAAGTAGTTTGTAATAAGTATGTACGTAGAGAATTATGTTACATTAGCCCATGACCTTTTTCCTCTTTTTTTTTGCCAGATTCTATCTCTTGCCGAACTCCGTGGTATTTCTTTCCCAACGCTCAAGGTCCAAACATTGACTGTTAGTCTCATGTTTGCAAGATCTGTTATACCTGGTATCGAAAGGTTACTACAAAATTCACCTGGATTAAAAAAGCTTATAGCACACGCAAAGTCCCCGGAGGGCATAGAGGTATTCTTACCGTAAACCTCTTTTACACCATGCAATCTAAGAACATTAATATTTCATGAACCACTTATTTTGGGATAATCTAATATATAGGATTTTGATATTTTTTGTAAAAATCACATTTGTTAGTATGCTTTGGTCTTTGGAGTTAACACTTTTAATGATCTACAGAATAAGGATGTGGACAGATATTTGGATTCACAAGGCTTGAATCCGAATCAATGTTGGAAGTCAAAATATGAGGCGTTTCCTACCTCAAATGAGATTTTTTATAACAGTGGTGTGACGTCAAAACTCGTGGCTTCGTTCATAGAAATGGTTTTGAAAAACGTAAAGACACTAGAGACGCTGATTGTAGCGTTGAAACATATTCGCGACACGGGAGATGCAGAATGGTTTGAAGAGTTGCTTCAGATGCCTCCAACACTTTCTAACAGCAATAACGTCTCCATTGAGTTCAGACGCTAAGTATTTGCATCGATGTTTTATCAAGTCATAATCTTATAGTATAGAATATTTGGATGTTGAATACTCTTTCGAATTACTTCTCTGCCTATGCATCTCTCCTGCATGCAGTTATTCTAAAGAGACGAGTAATTTATGATCAATGGTTCTTGTCATGTCATTTCATGCTCAGGATAGTATATTTTTATTTTGTGGGAATTTTTGTTTCAGTATATCATTATTTACATGTATCTATAGATGTTGTACTTATTCGAAGGCTTGAGATAACAATCTTTGAGTCTGTTCCTATTATACGTACCGGTACACATTAAACTCACCTGTGCTGAAGAAGATAACTGTACACACAAAGAAAAACGTATACCATAATGACATTATTTTGTTATTTAACGGTTTGAAAAAAAAGGAGAATATATGGTGCTGCCCTTTTGCGTGTAAGGCAAACGTGATAACCACTACACCACAGCACTATCTACATAGCAAGAAATTTTATTTGTTTAATTTGATACAGTTTGTCCACATAAATTTTTGATATAAAAACAGAAAGAGCCCTAAAACCCTAGGTTGTGTTTGCAAATCATAGTACTGTAGCTATTATATTGGGAATAGGCAATAGAGACGAAGAGATCGTCGTAGAAACCCTAGCCACCACAAAATCAAACGAGCATCAATGGCTTCTCCAATCCAAGGTGTTGATTTTATCAGCTCTATGCCAGACGTGATCCTCCACCATATTGTCTCCTTTATTCCCATTAAACTCGCGATCATAACTTCAGCCTTGTCTAGACGATGGAGGCATGTATGGTGCGGGACACCTTGTCTCGACTTTGATAGATACGATGGGGCTGAAGCTATAAACCAAACCCTAAATTCCTACAGGGCTCAGAAAATCACGAGTTTCGATCTTAGCATGTCCGAATGTGTCCCTGAACCCCAGATCGATAGCTGGATCGAGTTCGCCATGTCCCGAAATGTGGAGAAGATGTCTTTGAGCCTCAGTGGTTTTGTTGATGAAGAGACTTATCGTTTCCCAGACTCCTTCTATCTTAGCTCCTCCTTAGAGGAACTGTGGTTGGATTTCGTTATGATTCCGGGGTGCACAGTTTCTTGGAAATCACTAAGGAGATTGACATTGTGTGAAACTAAACAATCTCTTGCTGATATTCTCACTGGCTGTCCAGTTCTTGAAACCTTGGAACTGCTTGATTGTGGTGGAGTGCAACGTCTTGATCTCACTAAGTCACCTACTCTGACAAGATTGACAGTCTTTCTCGGGCAGTTCCATATTATAGCGCCGCACATCCGTTATTTGAAATTGACAAGCACTAAGGAACAATGTACTTTAGTTGATGTCTCCTCTTTGATCGAAGCTAGCCTTGCTATTTGCTTAGAGGCCAACACTTATGGCTACAGTAGTGGAAATTATTTGGGGGCTGGTGATTATCTTCCACTTCAAAACATGGTGCTAAAGATGCTAGCGAAATTGCAAAACGTGAAGAAGCTTACTTTTGGGAGCACCTTTCTTCAGGTATGTATGCTCTCTAGTTCATGCATGTTCTAATAATTAGAGTCACTGTTTGTTTGATGGCTATTGCTAACTGCTTAAGTAGTTTGTAATAAATATATAATATTTTTTATGCTTGTTTTTTTTTATGGTGTGGTTCTGTACGTAGAGATTTATGTTACATTAATTAGCCCATGACAACCTTTTCATCGTTTTTGCAAGATTTTATCTATCGCCGAACTCTGTGGTGTTCCTTTCCCAACGCTCAACGTCCAAACTTTGACTCTTGAAACAATTTTTACAAGATCTGTTGTTCCTGGTATAGCAAGGTTACTACAAAATTCACCGGGATTAAAAAAGCTAATAGCATACCCAAAGGACGGGGAGGGCGTAGAGGTATTTTTACCGAAAACCTCTTTTAGACCATGCAGTCTAATAACTAAGTAGGAATATTTCATGTATTCTTACCGGAAACCTCTTTCTATATAGACAGGAACAGGATTGATATTTTTTGTAAAAATCACATGTGTTAGTTAATATGCTTTGGAGTAACGCTTTTAATGCTCTACAGGATGCGAATCTGGCCAGATGTTTGGACTCACAAGGCTTGGATCCGAATCAGTGTTGGAGGTCAAAATTATATGAGGCGTTTCCTACCTCAGCTGACTATCATTATGACTTTTCTCGGTTTTCGTCAAAACTCGTGGCTTCGTTCATCGAAATGGTGTTGAAAAACGCAAAGACGCTAGAGACGCTAACTGTAGCGTTGAAACATATCCGCTACAGAGGTGCTGGAAAATGTTTTAAAGAGTTGCTTCAGATGCATCCAACACTTTCTAACAACAATAATGTCTCCATTGAGTTCAGACGCTTAGTTTTTTCATCAATGTTTTATTTAGTTTAATCTTCTTTTTTTTTTTGACATCATAATACAATACTTTGATGTTTAATACTCTTTTGAATTACTTCTCTTGCTAAGTAAGCATTGCGTCTTGTCTTTCTGTAGACTGATATATTGTTCATTAAAAGCTTTTTTTTTTTGATAAAAAGCTTTTTATAGATAATATTGCTCATTAAAAGAAACTGGAAAATATATATTATGATAACTTAAAAAACAAAGTAAATGGCTACATTAAATATATAGTTCAATTAGGAAGTCAATATTACCGAAGCTGACATGATCATTTTCCTGTTCTAAGCTTACTTTTGGGGCTGTCTTTCATCAGATGAACTGGCATTCTTTCCTTCTATAAAACCCTCAAAGACTGCTCTTGTAGAATATAAGTGGCTTGCATAGTTGATATTTTAATAATTCTATTAGTTTAGGATTGTATTTAAGTAGAATGCATACGCACATGCCAAAATGTATCCTTTTTTTTTTTTTTTTTTTTTGTCATTGGTAGATGTTCATGAATACCATAATCCAATAGCCATGTCTTCCAGTTTTTTTATTGTCTTACATTCTCTCTAATCTATGTATGAAATTTGTGTTTTACATTTGATGTTTTAGTCTTTCAAATACAAATAGCTATTGATGGATGAATCTTATTAAATATTTCATGTTTATCTTATCTAGAAGCTCTTTTTTTATCTACTGGCTCTTATTTATTTTTCAGATTTTTAGTTAAATATTTCAGTTGACCACTTCCACTATTTTCAGGTAATCGAAATCCAGTGAATAAAATTCTACTACTGTATAAATGATCAAAGATTCAAAGTCAAACGCTTCATCTCATTTTGGCGGGAAAAAACATATGTTCTGCCTCGTTTATTTGTTGTTGTTTCGGCCCAATAATACATTTCTTATCGGCCCATTAATTGAATCACTCCCTACAATAAACGAACGGAAATGAATCGACGGCGTCCGAAACCGAAACCACGGCGGACGATCGCCGAGAGGGAGACGGCGGCGTCGCAGCAGACGACGTAGAAATCCTTAGCCGCCACCGCAAAATCAAACGAGTGAGAGATTCAATCAAACACGGTGTGGATTTCATCAGCTCTCTACCCGACGCGATCCTCCAACAACACATCTTCTCCTCGATTCCGACAAAGCTCGCCATCAGAACCTCCGTTCTGTCCAAGCGATGGAGGCACGTATGGTCCGAGACACCTTCTCTCTCCATCGACTGCCATAGATCCGAATCCGACCCTGAATCGGTAAATCTAACCTTAGCCAGACACTACTCGTCTCCCAAAATTACGAGCTTCCATCTCGCTATCAGCTGCAAGGCTCGCCGGAACATTGACAACTTGATCGAGTTCGCCATGTCTCGCAACACGGAGAAGCTGTCTCTTGACTTCCATGAATCTTACACTGGTGCTTACAGTTTTCCTGATTCCTTCTACGCCAGTTGCTCTTTAAACCAGCTCTTGCTCGAATCGGCAACTATTGATTCGATTCCTACCACTGTGTCTTGGACATCTCTAAAGACATTGTCTTTGATGGGTTGTGTTCTCTCTGATGAGTCATGTGCTAAGATCCTCTCTGGCTCTCCACTGCTCGAATGCTTGACTTTGTATTGTGGTGAACTCGAGCGTCTTGATCTGAGCAAATCTCCGCGGGTAAAGAGTTTGGATGTAGAAATTTTAGAGCCAGTAATGGAGATTGTGGCACCGCACGTTCATCGTCTGAGGTTGAGTCACAGTGATGAGTCAAAATGTAGTTTAGGGGATGTCTCTTCTTTAACCGAAGCTAGATTGAACATCCGCTGTTCAAAACGTCTTGGTTTCATGTTTGACGACTTTGGCGATCCTGAAACTGGTTTCGCTAATTCGCTTCAAGTGATGGTCCTAGAGACGCTAGTGAAGTTGCAGAATGTGGAGAAACTTACCTTGTCTCTTCAAGACGCTAGGAGTGTTGTCTCACCAACTACTTGTATTGGAAAGGCTTGGAAACGCGTGAATGTTGGAAACCGAAGGGTTTGGACTTGTCTGAGCCGAAACTCATGACTTCTCTCATGAAATTTCTGCTGAAGTAAAGTGAAGCCGGTTGGTGTATGGATGGGAGTTACACTTTCTCACAAAACAACAATGGTGAGTTGTCTTTTGTCACAGACTCAACTCAAGAGTGTGTCTTCCGTTGTTGAATCTTATAGTACGTTTTGTCACCTTTCTCTCTGACTGTACTTCAACCATCTTTCTTCCTTTCACTGAACTTATCAAATGCTTCATCTTTAGTCATCTGTGAATGATATGAAATATTTGCCTAAACTCATAGGGACATTTGGTGATTCGCATAAGTAAGAGTGAATGTAATCAAGAAAATTAGACATCATGGGGCTGCTTTAGATAAACTGGATAGAGATCAATTTGGTGACGTATATAAAGCAATGTTTATATCATAGCTACTGAACATTGTTCGATTTATTTTAGTTAATTGTATGTTTCTTACTTTTATTCTTGTTGTCTGTTATCATGAGCTTAGCTTAAGGAAAGAGTTGGGATGCTCTGCTCGTTTCTGAAGAAGTTCTCTGGATCAACCTTTGTTTTAACCTTCACCAATCTATTGAAATTGTCTTTGAAGTACTTAGCTCCCCAGATTTTGAGCTTGTTTCAAGTTCCATTTCGCGTTATTATTTCTGTTCTGTCCAAGGTCCAGGTCTCTGTAGTTCACATAAGCTTGTCTTGGATTACTTGAGACATAAGGCGTCATGTAACTGTACATCTCTCTGACCCATCTAATGTGTGTGTTCGGTCTCTTATCGCTGTCTGGCCATCTCGTGAAATATTGAATCATGAAGATGGTTCCGTTTCTATGCGGAAATGGGATCTCAGACTCAGGGATTTTCGCCATCATTCCACCGTAAGGGGTCCAAAACACCATTGCTGCGTCTTCTTCAAGCAACTTATTGAACATTCCTTTGAGCCCTAAAGCAGGAATAGAGTTTTTAGCGAAATCCGACTTTTCTTTGAAGTAGACTCTTCCCAAAAGTGATTTCCCTTCAAGCAAAACCTCTACAGGAGAGCCAGTGGGAAAGACAGCAAAGTAAAGAATGGATTCGATCCAGCTCATCTCGATACAATCCTCTTGAGTTAACCCTAGTTCCGGAAAATTCTTCTTCATAATACCCATCAAGGTGCCTTTCTCTTCAAGAAACTGACCTTTGTACGATGCGATCACAGTCTTGTTCCCATTGTTCCCAGCTACGTTGAAGACCACTCGGATGAATAGCTCTTCCACAAGCTTGTCGGCGACCACTTGCCACTTCGAAAGAATCTTGTTGTCGGCGTCTTGTTCTAACGTTTTGGTGACGTTGAAGACGGTTATGGTATTAGAAACAGGAACAAGTTTGATCTTCCATGCAAGAATTATTCCAAAACTCCCTCCACCGCCTCCTCTAATCGCCCAAAATAGATCCTCGCCCATTGTGGTTCTGTCAAGTAATCTACCATTAGCATCAACGATCTTTGCGTCTAGAATGTTGTCTGCAGCAAGACCATACTTGCGCATCAAGGAACCGTATGCACCGCCTGTTATATGCCCACCTATGCCTAAGCTAGTCCACAAACCCGCAGGGAATCCATGGACCTTGCTCTTCTCTGCAATTCTACGGTTAAACAAAAAAAAAACAGTTTACCAAAATATTCATTAGTGAAATTTTGTGTACTCTTTGTTGCGTTTATTGTTTCAGCTAAGACATGACATTTAATTCTAATGCGTAATATAAATCAGACATTGAATTACTACATCTTCAATAAAACAAATAAAAACATAAGGTTTTAAATACTTCACTGATATTATTCAAAAAAAGAAAAATAAAAAAGAAGACATCATTCGAAACTAAAGTATATTTATATATTTTAGGAATTTGATTTTGTAATAGAAAAGTTTAAACTTTAAAGATAAACGTAAAAGCAGAAAATGACGTTTGAACCGAACCTGTAGTACAGTTCACCGATTGTAGCACCAGCTTGAACCCAAGCGCTATTGTCTTCAACATCAACATTGATTTGTCTCAATTTCGACATATCGATCAATATAAACGGTGTCTCGATCTGTGAGACATAGGACATGCCTTCGTAATCGTGACCGCCGCTTCTAACCCGTACATGAATTCCGAGTTTCTTGGAACAGATGATGGAAGCTTGGACGTGAGACTCATGAACCGGTTTGAATATGAATGCCGGTTTAGGCATTGAGTCTGTCAAGTATCGACGATTCTGAGCCGTTGATTCGAGGACTTCGTTGAAGATCGAGACGTTTCTTGCAGGAGCAAAGAACGTTTTCTCGAGTGGGAAATCACAGAGCTAAATACGAAATAAAAGAAACTGCATGGAGTGGTTTTGAATTTCCCATCGCTATTGCCAATACTACATGCAAGAGAAAAGCTAAACACACAATGATGCGTTAAGACGGCAATGGATGATATAAAATAATTATACTTTAACATTATTTTATTTTGTTATGTCAATGAAGAACTGTCTTTTTTTTTTTTTTTTTTTTTTTAAGGAAGGACTGTATTTATAATATATAAATAGAAGATCCATTTAATTTTTCACTGGTGACGTGATTGTCAAAAGATTAGGTTTACATTAATTTAAGTTAGGTGTACATTAATTACGATTTGAAAACGTTGACATTTTTTTTAGCTTTTATGGTAGAAATTGTAGAGATGCATATATTTAGCCATTTACGCTTCGAATAGAGTCATCAACATGTGTTCTCTTCAATCTTATTTGGCGCATAGTTACTTACTTATGAATGTTGGCTCTGCTCTTAATGGTGCATGAAGGTTGTATGAATGAAAGAAAGTAAGAAGAACAATATCTTGTCAGATTCTTGTAGTTTATTGTAAGGTCTTACCTTTATTTTTGGACATGATATTGTTTTCTTTATCATGAGCTCGAGCTTCGAATGGGCAGAGAAGGAATACTCTGCTCGTGTCTGAATAAGTTCTCTGGATCAACCTTCGATTTAATCTTCACTAGCCTGTTGAAATTGTTCTTGAAGTACTTAGCTCCCCAGATTTGAGCTCTTCTGAAGTTATCCTCTGAGTCATTCTTCTTGTTCTGACCAATGTCTAGATCACGATAATTCACATAAGCTTGTCTTGGATTACTTGAGACATAAGGCGTCATGTAACTGTACAACTCTCTGATCCACTCCATGTGTTTGTCGTCTGCACCATTACCATTCCCTGACCATTTCGTGAAATAGTGAATCTTGAAGATGGTTCCGTTTCTATGCGGAAATGGGATCTCAGATTCAGGGATCTTCGCCATCATTCCACCGTAAGGTTTCCAAATCAGAAACGACGCGTCTTCTTCGATCATCCTTTCAAACATTCCTTTGAGCCCTAAAACAGGAATAGGTTCTGTAACGAAATCAGACTTTGCTTTGAAGTAAGGTCTTCCGTAAGGCGAGCTCGGTTGAAGCAGAATTTCAAGAGGAGGAGGAGGGCGTGTGGTGAATCCAGCATTGTTTACAACGGTTTCGATCCAGCTCATTTCGATACAATCCTCTTGAGTTAACCCTAGTTCCGGAAAACACTGGTTCATAACCTCCATCAAGGTGCCTTTCTCTCCAAGAAACTCACCTCTGTATGTTGTTGTCACAGTCTTGTTCCCCGTATTTCTGAACAACACTCGTATGCCAAGATCTTCCACAAGCTTGTCGACGACTTGTTGCCACTTTGAAAGAATCTTGAATCCTGCGTCTTGCTCTAACGTTTTGGTAATGGTGAAGAGGGTTAGGGTTTCAGGAACGGGAACAAGCTTGATCTTCCATGCAAGAATTACCCCAAAACTCCCACCACCGCCTCCTCTGATCGCCCAAAAAAGATCCTCGCCCATGGCGGTTCTGTTAAGTAATTGACCATTTGCATCAACGATCCTTGCGTCTAGGACGTTATCTGTAGAAAGACCATACTTCCTCATCAAGGTACCGTATCCACCGCCTGTTATGTGCCCTCCTATGCCTACGGTCGAGCACAAACCTGCTGGAAACCCATGGACTTTGCTCTTCTCTGCAATTCTGCAGTTAAAGCGAGAGAGAGATAGAAAAAAGATTAAAGAACAGTTAGCCAAAGATTTTTATAGTGAATTATTGTTTACTTTGCTTTTATAGTTTTAAATATACAGAATTCCTATTCGCCTTTCAGCTGAATTTGTATAGTTAAAACTATAAAAGCAACTAAACAAAATTAGCATTGTTATATTACGAACAACTAACTACACAAAATTAGCATTGTTATGTTTTTATTACAAAGGCAGTACCGCTAATTTAAATATCTAATCATAACACAAATTCAATATCAAAATTACTCAAAACCACTTCATAATGAGTGAAATATAATATTTCAATTGGTAAGAGAAAAACCAAACATAATATTTTAACTTTGTGATCTCTGTAACTCAAATAGGGTAAACACGTATCTTTAAAGACTATTGTGTGCTACTTTTGGGTACTTTTAACTTGGTGTATAAGATCTGGAAAAAAAAATTATTTTTGTGCTATTTTCATTTTGTTTTAGACCTTTCTCTAAGAAAGTAATAGATAAGTTAACAAATGTGTAAAAAAAAAAAAAAAACAAAAAAACAAACCAATCTTACCTGTAGTAGAGTTCACCAGTTGTAGCACCAGCCTGGACCCAAGCACTATTGTCTTCAATATCAACATTGATTTGCTTCAGTTTCCACAGATCGATCAATACAAACGGTGTTTCCATCTGTGAAACATAAGACAATCCCTCGTAATCGTGACCGCCACTTCTAACACGAAAATGAATCTTTAGTTTCTTGGAACAAATGATGGAAGCTTGAACGTGAGACTCATGAACCGGTTTGAATATGAATTCCGGTTTAGGCATTGACTTGGTCATGTACCTCTGATTCCATACCGTTGAATTAAAAACTTCTTTGAAGTTCGAGGAGTTTCTTTGAGGAGTGAAGAACGTCTTGTCGAGTGGGAAATCGACATTTGTGTTTCTGTGGAGACATTTGATGAAGTCATCTTGTAGAGAGGTTGAAGAAGTTGGTTCTTTGGTGTGGAAAGAAAAATATAGGACTAAAAACAAAATGGAAGAAATGGCAGAGAGTGGTTTTAAAATTATCATGCCTGCTACCAATGGTGCTACTATTATGCAAGAGAGAAGCCAAAGACACAATTACGCTTCAAAATGGAAATGGATCTATGCTGTTATATGGTCAATGAAGAAAATGTGTTTGCCGACCAAAAAAAAAAGAAGAAGAAAATGCTTTTATATAAATATAAAGAATATAAAGATTGGGATAAGACAACCATTAGATTCTTTTCTGGTCGTTATGGTGTCGTTGTCAAAATTAAAGACTGGGTGGAGATATGAGATCGATCGTGACGGCAATTTTTTAATGCGTCTTGAAAGAATTATATTCGTGGACTTTTTTTCAGCTTATTTGGTAGAAAACTGTACATTAAGTTGACATAAAAAAATTTCTATTGTTAAGAGATTAAAATATGGATTCATTTGTTTCTCATTTGAACATTTGAACACACATCCAGAAGCAAGATTTAGTTACTAATGATTTCGTGATAAAATAGTTTTAGACATGCACATTGACAATTACGGCCGCAAATCGGATAACTACGCGAGTTGGTTAATCTACTCGTGGAAAATATGGCTAGGGCTATAGAGTGATAAAGAAAAGTCCATCTTTTCGATTTTGCAAGAACAGATTAATTTTGTTTTCCAACTATTTTTAATACAACTCACTCATACACTTTTGTTAAAAACCACATCAATTTTAATACAAATCTCTCTGACTGTAACTGGTTACAATAAACTAGGGTAGTACAAAATATAATGCTCATTGTATAACCAATCAAAGGAGTATTAGTCTACAAATGGATATTACAAAAAAAAAAAAAAAAAAAAAAAACCATTACAACAAAGTGATAGTACAAAGAGAAATGTCAAAACAAGAGAAAAAAAACCATTACAACAAAATGTCGGTACAAAGAATTGTTTTGTATGTGTGTGAAAGTGTTATGATTATTATTTTTGACTTCAAAGTTATGAAAATTGGTTGTCACAAATTGTATTTTTATAATTAATAAATAGTATACGGAGGGATCAATGATTGGAGAGTGGGTTACTTTTACAACAAAAAAGAATGATTGGAGAGTGGGTTTTAATGGCAATAACAGGAGCTATTGTCTCTATGTTGCACAGCTGGTCCTTCGAGCAACTGATTGGAGAGTGGGTTTCAATGTGTCAGAAAAGTAAGGTGTCTGCTCGATCTCATGTCGCTGTCTGACCAGCTCCTCTGATATTATATTATTATCTCCATCAATCATTCTCACCGGTAAAGTTTGGTTTCACTCGGTTCAGTAGTGTATACTTATAATCTTAAATTAGGTGGTTGGTCCGCACAAGGTGCGACATAAAAATTTTAAAATAATAAATTTAATCAAATTTTTAATTGCATAAGTAATATAATTTAAGATGATTGACTTTTAAACTTATATAGATATACAAAATTAATTTGATAAAAATCATTTAAGTTTCATTACGTTTTGGATGAGTTATTTATATACTATATTAGTCAATTTCATATATTTTGTATTTTTTGAATATTTTATTATGTTTTTATTTTATTTTAGTGCACAAAACCATATCAATTATTTTAAATTTATTATTTGTTTCTTTAACAGCTTTAAGTTCTTATTCCATAATTTTTATCTTTCGATTTTTCTAATTTTTTTATTGTTATATTCTTCTATTGTTTTTTTTTTCTTATTTCATTTGTTTTGTTTGTCATAAAAATAAAATATTAGATGAGGAAAGAGCAAAAAAGAAACCCCAACTCATTCTTTCTAGGATTTAGAAGAGATTCTACATTGCGTCGGCATGAACTATTTTGAAAAAATAAAACTAAAAATTTGTATCATTTGAAAAACTATCAAATTATACTCATTAAATATTCATACCAAACCAAATGTATTAGATAACTACTTTATAGTTTATATACCATTTTATTCAATTTCATTAATTCTTGTCTTTCAAATCTTTCATGAGTTTTATCCTACTCCAAAACATTATTCATTATTATACAACTTTCATGTATGCAAAAATTAACTAAACTCCGACGATCTCATTTTTTCTTTATTGTCTATGTCAAATTCTTCTTTTTCCGTTTCTTCCGATTTTTCTTCGTCTTTTTTTTTTCTTTCTATTTTTCTTCTTCCTTGTATTCTCATTCTTCTTCAATTAATTTATCGTCTTCGTATCACTTGACTCTCTTTGATTGTTCGTTTTCCCGAATTATTTTCTCTTTCATTTACTAACTTTTTATTCTTCTCGTTTTTATTTCCTATTTTTCCAACTTTGACTTCTTATTCTTTATGTTCCTGTTATCTTTTTTCCTCCTTCCTCTTCATCATCTTTGTGTGATCTGTCGTTTTTTATTATTTTCTAGTGGCTTTATTCACCTTCTCGGCTTCTTCTTCGTCTTTTCTGTATGCGGCTAATTATTCCTCTTCTTTTTCTCCAACGATCTTAACTTCGTTTTTTCTCTCTTTTTATCGTTTTTTTCTGATTCATTTTTCTTTTCTCTTTCTCTTTTTTCATCTTCTCATTCTTGTTGGTGTTCTTGTTTCATCCTTTTCATCTTCTCTAATGTCTTCTACTTCCTTATTTTTTCTGATTTTTCTTTATTTTTTTCGATATTTTTTCGTCCTCAAGTATTTCATTTACTTCTTATCACATTCGTCTTCTTCAGCTTCTTATTGATCCGCTTTTTGTTTCTAGGTAAATTGACTAAATTGAAGGATAAATAGCAACTGGCTGCTATATATTTTATAGCAAAATACCTTTATCAAATTCTTAAACCACTGTCGATTAAGAAATTTTTTTGACAACTCTTTTCATTTTGAACTAAATATTTTTGCTTAATTTGTTATAATTGTTGTTGTTGTACAAAAATTCACTTGAAATTTTAAGAATAAGCAGTGCTATTATTTTATCGATATGATTTGAGCAAAAGATTAAACAATATAGTTGTTTTTCTATTTCCCTTTTCATTAGAATTTTCAAAGACTAAAGTTTTCTTTTTTTATTAAAATTTTCAAAAACTAAGGATTTAAAAAACACACACAAAACTAAACCCTACACCCATCAATATAAACCCTACATTCTAAACCCTAACCCACCAATATAAACCCTACATTCTAAACCCTAACCCACCAATATAAACCCTACCTTCGTATCACTTGACTCTCTTTGATTTGTTCGTTTTCCCGAATTCTTTCCTCTTTCATTAGTAACTTTTCTTTTCTAACTTTTCTTTTCTAACTTTTTATTCTTCTCGTTTTTTTCCTATTTTTCCATCTTTGACTTCTTATTCTTTATGTTCATGTTATCTTTTTTTCTCCTTCCTCTTCATTGTCTTTGTCTGATCTGTCATTTTTTTTTTCTAGTGGTTTTTATTCACCTTCTCGGCTTCTTCTTCGTCTTTTCTGTATGCGGCTAATTATTCCTCTTCTTCTTCTCCAACGATCTTAACTTCTTCTTTTTTTCTCTTTTTATCGTCTTTTTCTGATTCATCTTTTTCTTTTCTGTTTCTCTTTTTCATCTTCTCATTCTTGTTGGTGTTCTTGTTTCATCCTTTTCATCTTCTCTAATGTCTTCCACTTCCTTATTTTTTCTGATTTTTCTTTATTTTTTTTTCGATATTTTTTCGTCCTCAAGTATTTCTTTACTTCTTATCACATCGTCTTCTTTCAGCTTCTTATTGATCCGCTTTTTGTTTCTAGGTAAATTGACTAAATTGAAGGATAAATAGCAACTGGCTGCTATATATTTTAAAGCAAAATTCCTGTATCAAATTCTTAAACACTATCGATTAAGAAATTTTTTGAAAACTCTTTTCATTTTGAACTAAATATTTCTGGCTTAATTTGTTATAATTGTTGTTGTTCTACAAAAATTCACTTGAAATTTTAAGAATAAGCAGTGCTATTATTTTATCGATATGATTTGAGCAAAAAGATTAAACAATAAAGATCAAACAATATAGTTCTTTTTCTATTTCCCTTTTCATTAGAAATTTCAAAGACTAAAGTTTTCTTTTTTTATTAAAATTTTCAAAAACTAAGGATTTTTAAAACACACAAAAACTAAACCAACACCCACCAATATAAACCCTACCTTCTAAACCCTAACCCACCAATATAAACCCTACATTCATATCACTTGACTCTCTTTGATTGTTCGTTTTCCCGAATTGTTTCCTCTTTCATAAGTAACTTTTCTTTTCTAACTTTTTATTCTTATCGTTTTTATTTTCTATTTTTCCAACTTTGACTTCTTATTCTTTATGTTCATGTTATCTTTTTTTCTCCTTTCTCTTCATCGTCTTTGTCTGATCTGTCATTTTTTTATTTTCTAGTGGTTTTTATTCACCCTACACCCTAAACCCAAACCCCACATTATAACCCCCCCCCCTCTCTCCTAAACAGCCCTACACCCTAAACCTAAACTCACATTACAACCCCCCCTTCTACCTCCTTCCTAAACCGCACACATGGAACCCCACATTACAAATGTGTTTTGGATTTGCTTTTATTTTATTATTTTTTAAAAGAAGGTTTTTTTTTGTAATGATTGTTTTTTTCTCCCTTCTATTCTTCTCCAGTAATCCCATCTTCTTCTTTTTCTTCCATTTTTTTATTCATTGTCATAATCTTTTTTTATTTCTTCTTCTTCTTCCAATTTGTTTTCTTCAATCTTTTCTTATGTCTTCATGTCCTCCAACTCACTATTTTTTTTTCTTCTAATTTTCTTTCTTTATCATCTTCATCCTATTCTAGTATTCTACATTTTGTTTATCTCTTTTTTGTCTT